ACGATGCTTTTAACCGCCGATCACAAGAGTGTCAGAACGTGGCGATTTGGCACCCTAGGATACCGCCAATTTAATTGGGCTCCTACTTGATTTGCTCCATCTGTCGGAATAATGATCGGGTGGAATTTGTAAGTAAATGTACTGCCATTATATTCAATTCCGCTTCCCCAACCCCATACCAGTGTGCAGCTGACCATGCACCGTACTACTTACTTCCGCAACGCTATAATACTCAATGTCAACACCGTCTATTGTAGACGTGTCTAGTGTTCCCCTATACGCGCCATTCTTGACAAATAGACCATGCTTGGAGTGCTGGACTAATCCCCAAGGCCTCATGAGAAATCCTTTCGCTGTAGGCATCCAGATCATACACGGGCTGGAAGTGCTGCATGGGCCACTAAGCAGGTGTGCCACTGGTCGTAGTTCGTGGGGGGTCCTTGAGCTGGATAAATGTGTACCGCTCGTTGGTGTCACGTTCACGGATGTCGGAGAAGCTAGCAATAATCGTTCTGGCTCTAGTTGTCAGAGGGACGCGTTGGCAGTCGGACCCAAAGAGAGAACACCGGCGTCGCCAGCGGAGCCAGCTAGGTACGCAAGGCTATGGATATATATGGACTACGACTTCGGAAAACAATAGCAGAAGTGCTGAAGGTCGTCGAGGCGAATTCTGCAAGCGCTATGGAGTGCGCGGAGTGCTTGGCAGCATTCCGTAATTGCTCTGTTACTGTGGAATTGGTACACACAAGTGAGTTGTAGTGGACAAACAAGCACCCAGTTCCATAGCCGGTCGGGAATGGTGCGCAGAGCAATAGGAGAAACACTAGACACGTCTACAGAACTATATTACGGTTGATGGAAGCAAAAGATAATAGGAGGTCCAAACAATTAATGAGCCACAGTCGCGAGATTCTGATATTATGCACTTCCAAACACACACACAGATTTGCGATTAACCGCGGGTGGCCTACAGCGGCCAAGAAAAAATTACGAGGAAACGCGTTGAAAAGAAAAAAAATAAATGCAACGTGGCAGTGGGAGCGGCGTAGTCACAATACTTACAGGGGAGTACTTGAATTGCCTTGATAGATGACTTTCTAACAATATATAGGAACCCCATTTGGTGGGGTATCTGGGAGGGCAGCAAGGGCTCCTTCTAGGAGTGGTATGGCCACTAGGTTCCCAAAATTGAGGCGAGGATTATTGAATTTCGCAGTTTCGACCACTGACACTCAGATGTCAACCTCGTTCCTGCCTGCATCACACATCATATTCTACATTTAGGCCCGAAGTCCATGAGGATGGATGGCATCATCAAGAATCCCCCTAGACCAACCAAATATAATTTTAAAATTATCTCAGAGCAGGCGCTCAATATGGGTTCTCATTTTGCCTCGGAGAAAAAGTGAATTTGAGTGTCAAAGGTGGGTGGACATCAAAAATAACTCAGTGGCAACGATTCTGACACAAGCATTAGTTGTGGCCTCAGACCATGAGACAGACACCTTGCCCAGTCTAGCCTGTCTCCGCCCTTCACTTCATTTATTGTCCTTAGCACATTCAGGGTGGTGAGGGAACTGTCCCCGTCTCTTGGGCTTAATTAACAAAAGATCACACTACGCCCTGGTAGGCGTGGGGCATTGGAGATGCAGTAGGCGTGTCGTTCGTGTTCCCTCCATGTCCTGACCCAAGTACCGCTCCGGTGTCTCCAAACAGCATCCGCGACTTGTCTACGAATAGTTGAGAGAGAGGTCAAGCCTCACGCAGTCTGGTGGTGTACCAGCCTTTGTTTTGCATAAACACAGAGAACAAGACTGGCCCACGAGACAGACCCACGAGAACTGCTCGCAAGACCTCTACTCGGTCAGTTCCCGTACCACGTGGGGACCTTCATCCTCACGTTGTCCAATGAGTGGAATTGTGGAAAGCAGCGCACCGTTGCTGCGGGGATTTGAGCAAGGTCGAAAGTGGAGCGAGCACGATGCTTTTCTTCACCTTTTTTTTCAATCACAAAAGAATTAACTTTGTGCAGTGCCGCGACTACAGAATATGGGGCTTCTCGCCGTCTCTTGGGTGCCTGTGACTGTGAAGTCTGTCATAACGGCGAAAAAAGGCAGTTCCACTCTGATTGCTCCGAAGCTCGGTCTGCATCGATGGGTTGGGTGCTGTGGTTATCACGGCGGGCTGTTGAGACGGTTTTCACTGTTTAATTTGGATACGCTGTGCTCTCTTGAACTCCTATTATCCACCATGAGGGATTGAACTGGGCACGACCGCCCACCGCACCCCACAAAATAAATCTCATTTCAAGGAATCCATTAACGAGGTGGGGATCCAACTGGCAGCGGGCATAACTCAATCGCATCGTGCGCTTCGACATTCTTCAAGCTATGGTCAAATCATCCAAGCAACTTGTCTAACATACATTGCCCATAGGACAGTACCACTGGTCCAGCCCCGTGCTGAATAGTATCACAATATCACAAGTTGGCAAAGTTTTGTAGCAGCTAATGCCTGATCCTGAGAACGTAGATAATCTATACTGTGTGACCACTACGACTTTCCTGCGAGACTTTGGCAGAACAGAAGTACATCTAGCTACCGATGCACTTCAAGAGTAATAGCACTGAGCCCAAGATTTACCACCTCGTTGTGCGAGTGCAGCATCCGATTCAGGAAATAATACAAAATCTGGGTCTGGCACGAGAATGACGTAAAAGATCGAAATATGTTCGGGATGTCAGTCCACTAAGACTGTGCCACTCCCAACGCAACAAAGGCAATGTCGGATATTCTCGAACAGCTCGTCAGATCGTCAGTAGGCACAACCCCCCTATCACAAAAATTGGTAACGGCTTTTAGACCGCTATGCGAGAACACCGGCATATGCCCCAGCAAGCAAAGCCCCCGGCTTTCGTTAGGTGCAATGGAGAGTGTGTTGAGAATCATGATCGAGCGTTGTGCCCAACACATAGCATAGCTTGAACGACTGAAAGTCGCGTACAGACAGGCGTAGTAGATCGTATTCATGCACTTACTTCCTTACAATAGAATGAATGGCAGTGAGACGCTGATGGTTCTGTTTTTGACAGCGAAGGAGCGTCGACATATACCGTCTCACAGATGCGTAGTTCATCTGAAATGACCATTTTCGAGGTACAGTACTATCTTACTGTAACACACATGTAGTTGTCACAATGTGAACGGGAAATACATACTAGTCTTTTCGGCACGGGCGGGGACGCCGCCAGCCGCCAAGCGTTGGATGGAACTCGGAAACAACGGGAGTATTGGTCACTGCTCGAGTTCCCGGCCCATGATTGCATCCTTCTCAAGAGAAGGAAGTGACTGCCCACAAAGCTGTGTAATACACCTGCGGTGAACAAGATTCCGCTTGTTTGCTAGGAACCATATGGTTGTGATATACACAAGATTGGACAAGATTGACAAGAGCACAATGGTCATCCCAACGAATTTCAGTGTTTGAGGACCATGACCAACATGACGAAGCGCATCTACTGACAAACCTCAAAGAGGGATGGGCCAAACGATACGTGGAGGCAAGTCGTCTGATCGCGTCTGAGTCTGTACATTTTATGGAAGTATGGAAATGGAATAGAAATGGAATCGGCCAGCTCTTTTTTGTTTTTGACCGTCATACCTCCCATCCTCCGATCCTAACATTAAAGCGGAGAAAGTGTAGACTGTGCGAAAACCCGGTGGCCAGTCAGCCACCGCGGCCCGTGTGATAGTTAGAGTCTCGCTAAAGTTGTGGGCCACATGCCGGCCACATTTAGTGCTGTTGAGATTCTTAGTCGTGGGCAAACTCGCCTAATCTTTCTCAAAGCAGATAATTACCGGAAATTATGTACTTTTTATCATCCGCCTTGGTTTCTGACTGGGAAAACTACGAATCATCTCACGCTGCATGCAACTAAATTTCATTAACAAAGAAGAAGAAGTCCCAAAGATGGCACTAAGCAGAAGCAGTAAGCAGTGGTTGAAACGTGCGCCCTCATTCTGTTCGTTGTCTGTGGCGGCCGGGAAGGCACCCCAGTGGCCACTGCCCAGGGCGACGCTTGACTGGTGAACCCGTTTCATATCCCCACAACATTATATATCTCTCGGTCAAAGATTGCCTTGTCAGTTGCAGGAATTCCTAGAAGCATGGGGATGAGGTAAAGTCATGTGCGCTGTGCACGTGTTCCTTTTAAAAGCGCAGGACCTGCAACGCCAGGATTGTCACATTGATGACTGCGACAACGAGCTCAACGCAACGAGCTCGATGATATTGATGGAGGACGTCATGCCGCCATCCACCAAGATGCAGCAGTTTTTGGGAGTTCAAAGACAGGGTATCATGCAAGTTTGACTAATATTGGCTTGCCATGACCAAAATGTGGGGTTTCAGCGACCATCGAACACGCCCCAATATCCTAGTTACGCAATTCCCGCCCGGTCTTCCACACTCCCATAATTATCCTCGCAGATCTCAACATACGTTTGTCTGAAGTAAACAGGTCCAGACTACCGGACTACCTTGTGGGAGGCTGGCGCACGACTACCTGTATCAATCAGCCGTAGAGACTCGTTACAGATTTCGCATTCGTATCGAGACGGCTTCCGGATCTCAGGCACAGACCGCGCGCCAATCGGTGTCATATGACGCAGTGATCAGTGACGCATTCTCATGCACCAAAGATACCCGGCTTACAAGCTAGCACAAGGCCGCCCACAATCTTGATACACTATCTCTGACCACATGACCATAAAGTGGGCATGCCCGGGCATGGAAGCGTCATGGGATCGTGGGGGAAGTTCCCAGGCTACATACTTAAAGAGGCGGCGCAGCCACCCACCCCCTCACTCTGCCCTTCTCGCTTGCTCCAGTGATCCAGTGATCCAGTGATCCAGTGATCCAGTGATCCAGTGATCCAGTGATTTGCATTAACCTCAACACGCAAACAGAAATTGTCACCTACACCACCTGTCTCCTCAACATGGCCCAAACCAATCGCCTTGAGCACAAGACGGTCGTGACTGTTGACCCCTTCAGGCCTGCTGCGGAGCAGAAAGGTCTCATGAATCGCTGGCAGTGGGTTATGGCCAGTCAACTGCAACCGGTATACTAACCGACAGCCCCGACATTCCAGCTTACGTTACCGTCAAACCTGGCGAGGTCTTCAAAGTCGAGTGTCACGAATGGACCGGTGGTCAGATCTCAAACTCGGACAACGCCGACGACGTGAAGAATGTTGATCTTACCAAAATCCACTATCTCAGCGGCCCCATCGCCATTGAGGGTACCCAACCGGGTGACGTTCTTGTGGTTGATATACTAGACATCACCCCCTTCGAACAGATGCAATGGGGTTACACCGGCGTCTTTGAGAGTGAGTTGGTCGGCAGTGGCTTTTCTGACTAGCAAAAGGGACCAACGGAGGTGGTCTCTTTTCCACCACGTTCGACACCAAGGCGGCGAAGGCGATCTGGGATTTTGAGGGTAAGACGGCAGCTGGCTGCGTCTTCTAGCTGGGATTGTAGACTCAACGGACGATACAGGTATATACGCCTCGTCAAGGCATATCCCGGGGGTGAAGTTCGCGGGCATTCCACATCCCGTGAGTTGTCACTTAAGAGTTGATAGCTGCCCCAATGCTGTCCACCACATTTGTGTCAGCCCTACTGACTGCCAGGGTCTTATCGGCACAGCCCCAAGCCAAGAACTGCTTGACATTTGGAACAAGCGTGAAAGGGCGCTTGTCGCAGCTTATCCCCAAGCAGTTCCAGACGTGGCACTGCTCCCAAACCCTACGGGGGCTTACGTCGGACAAGATCTTCCTGACACAACGCGTCGAAACGTCTATACTGAGGGCGCCAGGACAATCCCGGGACGAGAGCATGGTGGGAACGTGGACATCAAGAACTTGTCTAGAGGCTCAAGGGGTGAGTACGGGAACGTTGGTTGGGTAATAATGTGTGACGGACAGCGGCTCATTTGTAGGTTATTTCCCCGTATACATCGAGGGTGCCAATTTATCGCTGGGCGATCTTCACTTTGCGCAAGGGGATGGCGAGCTCTCATTTTGCGGGGCTATAGAAATGGTAATTTTGTGGTTACGGAAGGGGCTGAAGCTGGTAGGCTGGTATTGCCACTCTGAAGACGTCCATCATCAAGGATGGTGTGACGAAACTTGGCTTGAAGCAGCCAATCTTTACTGTGAGTCTGCTTCACCTCTACGGGGCTGCATCACTGCCCCATATTCCTGGCATTACTTGACCATCCTGCAGCCCTCTCCCATTGATCCCATGTACAAGGAACAGGTCATCTTCGAAGGACTCTCAGTTGGTGAGCTGCTTTATCATGAGAGATGCCGCCAGAAGTAATGCTAATATTGCAGATGTGAATGGCGATGGAACGCAGTACTCCATGGATGCCACTGTTGCATACAAGCAGGCAGCGCTCAACTGTATGGATTATATTCAGCGCCTTGGCTACACCCGCGAGCAAGCTCGTAAGTGACTGTCCTGTGGATGTTAAACGCTGACGACCGCAGACCTGCTGTTGTCGGCTGCCCCTGTCGAGGCCCACGTCGCTGCCATCGTGGACGTCCCGAATGCTTGCGTGTACGTACCTTGGGCAAGGCAAGATGAGAAGACAATGAGGGTCGGGAGAGATTAGGCAACACAGAAACGTTATGGTCCGCGCGAGCACTCTGCCGATCCAGACCCTCGGGACAACTGCCTGAAGGAGTGTGAAGGGGTTGGCAGTACTGACCAGCTACAGGACCATGGGTCTGCCTCGTGCAATCTTTGACCGGGACATCCTTCCAACCGATGATGGTCTCGATAGGCGTGACTACGGGCAGGCTGCCATCCGTTCGGACGGCCAGCGGTGCCTTCAGTGAGAAGTAGTTACGGATGTCAAGGAGGGAACCCTCTGTAAAGAAACCAGAAACAATGAATCCGAAATGTCTACTGGGACGGCGATGATATATAGTGCTTGGATTTCACTGCGCAAATACAAAACCTTGCGACTCGATGATCGATGAGCTCCACGATTGCACGGTTTTGCACGCTTCACGACCACTTAGATATCCATCGACGTGTTTTTATGTTACTCAGGCACGGACACGTGACTGGCCGACAACGTGCAACGAGCGCGCCGGGGATGACCGCGAGCGATTGTCCACTGACTTCCACACCATGACGTTTGTCTGTCATTGTACATCTTCTGATCTCGGCTCACCATGCAGACAACCGACACTGGTCTCCTCTTTCAATCGTCTCAGCAACTCGCCGATGCATCGACGCGCGAGCGCAAGATTGTCGCTGCTGAAAAAGTCGGCAACCCCATCAAGGTTACTAGCAAGGTGCTCGACCTTGTTGTGCGTGGCCAAGATGCGTGGACAGCAGAGTCTGGCTGGCAAGCCCGTCGACTTGACCTCAACGTAAGTGACATCCAGCTTGCATAATCTTCTAACGGTCAGTCTGGACGCACCAAGATTCTGTACAAAGGTCACAAGGGTCCTGTCACTTCCGTCCGTTTGCACCAGGTTGGAGGCCAGCGACCCTGGCTAGCTCTTATCACTTCGTCGTGGGACAAGACTATCCGGATCTGGGATGCCGATGTGAGTCGAGCCGGTAATGATAAGACAGAGTGCTTATGGTTCCAGTCTGGCCAGTTGGTCCACACTTTGGAAGCTCACAGCGATTTTGTCAAGTCCACGACTGTCCTGCCCACTGTCCCTCCCATGCTACTGTCAACCTCGTCGGACAAGTCATTCCGCCTCTGGGACCTCTCCCCTCTTACCGAGAAGGGTATTCCAGTGTCCCGCCAGGTTGTGAAAGAGCACACCCGGCCTGTGGATTCGGCAGCATATGCGTTGTGCGAAGAGGAGCCTTCCATCATGCTCGTCTGGACAGCTGACTCTATGGGGGTGCTGAAAGAATGGAAGATCTCCCATGTGAGTTTTGCCTTCATAGTCACGTTGTCTCATGATTCCAGTTGCCCACAGGCACCTATCCTCTGACGTTTGTCCGCGATTTGCCTGGCCACGAGACGAGCATTGCCGGCTTGGCTCGTACCGATGACGGACTGTGGAGTAGTGAGTGACTGATGCCTCTTGTGATGTTGACCCGAAGTCTCTATGGACAATACAGCGCGTCTACATGGGACCACCCCCGTCATCCTGCAGCACCCAAGCTACGTCAAGTCGATTCTCCCGAATCCGAACGGCTTACCGTACATTGTCACTGGGTCTGAGGATGAGGACATCAGGGTGTGGGATGCTGCCACCCTCGACGGCGACCACAACCAGCCTGTGGCAATTGTCTCCGGTCACTGTGGCGAAGTCTCTGCTTTGGTCACCTGGATTAAGGATGCCGGTGGTAAGAAAGAAGTGATCATCGTGTCTGCAGGCCTGGACGCCACACTGAGGCGGTGGTCGATTGACGGTGCGTCGTTTCCAATTACATCTCGCGAGCGGTGCGTTGACCACCGCAGATCTGCTCAACCCGGTGCCGTTAAACTATGAGCCAGTGAAGCCAAACAGTGGGGCAACCATGACTGAGGAGGAGGAGCGTGAACTGGCGGAGTTGATGTCCGACGAGGACTAATATAGCACCCGCGGGGTGCATGCAAATTGTATAAATGCAGCTATGGCGACAGCGCACGGCTGGCAAAGTCCAGGACCATGTCAACATAGTCACCCAGGTCCGCGTACTCTTCGAGCTTGCAGCGCAGGGATGATGACGCTGGCAGAGCGTAAATGCAATATAGATGGGAGGCAATAAGAGCATCCAAAGGCGTGGCCGATCTGAACAGAGTCAGCGTGTCTCGCTTAAACGGCGGAGCTTGGACTCACTCGGCGCCGAGAGCCCAAGAGCTGCCCAGTTTGGCCCGGAGTGCTTGCAGAGCCTCAATGCCCTGTTCAACCAGGTCTTCGAGGTCAAGGACCCTATCGTCACCAGTCAATGATGCAGGGAGTGGGGTGGTGAGACCGCCGACCAGAGCGGGGGGCTCAGGCAAGAGCAGCGCCAGCTCTTTGCCATTGGCGGCGGTGGAAGCAAGATACGCTGGCTGCAGGCGCACAAGTATGAGTTGGGCAACCGCGAGGGCATCGTCATACGCCACTTGGCTAGGCATTCCTTGGAGGCTGCCAGTAAGCATTCTGACAGGTGTGGCTCTTTGCTTACCTCGTGGCCTTGCCTTTGAGAGGATGGGTGGAGTCGAGCCAAGTTCGGATGTCGTCGGCAGCAACAAGTCGGTTCTCGCTCATGATGTGTAGAGCAGGCAACTTGCCCTTGGGAGCTGCATACTCGTTTGCCCATGGTCGGATCTGGATAGGAACGGCGCGCAGCAAAAAGAGAAGCTGAGCACGGAGAGAAGATGGAACGTTCGAAGCCCAGTCGCGATTGTGAGGGTGCGCCTTGGTTGACGACTCGTGAATCTGTGGCAAAGTCAGTAGTGGCTACTAAATTCTACTCTGGATAGCTTGTATGGCACAAGTGGTTCTCGCGTTCCGCAACCACAGGTCAAACTCACCCAGAGAGTGTAGGGTGACTGAACGGCGCCGAGGGTGCGCGTCTGCTTCCAGTCAACCGTGTCTTGCTGGTCAAGAGTGACGAGGGGAAACTTGGAGTAGAACGAATTGACCCATCTTGGCGCGGCAAACATAGATGATGATGACGAAGCTGCTGGCTTGACCATTCTATGTCTTTTTGTGCTGGTCGTTGTTGGTTAGCAGTGGCGCAGTGGACGGCGAAAGTCACCACTTGCTCTCACTCATCACTGAACCGTCTTCGCTCGGCGTCTCGGGATATCCCGATGTAAAATGGCCCTCCCTGTTAAGCTCCCTGGGAGGCCCCGGCGCTTGCGCGCCCATGACGTGCGGCCAGTGGGGATGACGGGGGCCGAGTCGTGCTCTCCTCTTCACCATCTCGTTCATCGACCGTCAACCCACATCGGCCACATCTCTTTCCATCCACCCTCCTCTAACGTACTGGTTACTCTCTCCTCCTAGTAGCGGCAGCCTGCAATGGTCGCCCCAACTGGCCACGAGCAGCAGTACTACGATCAGCTATTTGCAGCTGTCAACAAGGATAACGTCAGTCGGCCCACCTGCGCACCGCAATCTCCCTCGCCGACAACGCTGACGTGCACCACAGACAGGTGTCCTCCCTGGATCCGAGGCTCTCCCTTTGCTTACTGCATCTGGACTCCCGCAACAGACACTCGGTGAAGTCTGGGCCATTGCAGACCCGGACAACAATGGCTTCATCACCAAGGACGGGTGGTACAGAGCGGCCAGGGTCATCGGTTGGCTGCAGAAGGGCAACCAAACCCAGGTCGATGCTTCTCTGGTGAACAAGGCAGGTCCGTATCCCACATTTAGTGGCTACCCGGCACCACCCCAACAACCCCCCCTCGCCCAGACTCCGCTTTCAGCCAACACGACCGGCACCGGTGCCCTTCCCCCTTTGACGGCGGCCGACCGTACCAAGTTCACTCGCATTTTCGTCGGCTGTGGGCCGTCCAATGGCCTAGTCAGCGGTGACAAAGCCCGGGATGTGTTCTTGAAGAGCAAGCTAAACTATGACAAGTTGGGATTGATCTGGTATGTTTACTTGTCGTTGTGCCAGTGTCTGACATCCACAGGAATCTTGCGGACACTCAGCAACGCGGCGCTCTCGACCTCCCAGACTTTATCATCGGCATGTACCTCATCCAGAGCTCCATGGCGAATCCGAGTCTTGCTCTCCCCATGACTCTTCCCCCGGGAACGTATGAGGCGGCATCGGGTGGCCGACCACCTCCTGTCACCACGGGCGTTCAAGCCACACACACAGGCCCGACCAGCCCCATTCAGCGTCAGCTCACCGGTACGCTGCAGCCTCAAATCACGGGCCAAAGCTATACCCCCCCTATCGCCACCCCACCTAGGTCATCAACGATCACACCTTCACGCCAGTCAACGAGCGCTATGGCGTTTGCCTTGCCCACTCAGAACACGGGAGGTGTTCCTTGGGATGTCACCCCCGAGGCCAAGGCAACCTCCGATCGCTTCTTCGCTCAGCTTGACACTCAGAACAAGGGTGTTATCGAGGGTGACGTCGCAGTGCCATTCATGCTCCAGAGTCAGCTGGATGAGGGCTCTCTGGCGAGCATCTGGTGAGTAAGCACTACTGGTATGTAAGGCTAACTGGGCCAGGGATCTGGCAGACATTCGCCAGGAGGGCAAGCTTGACCGCAGCGAGTTTGCCGTGGCCATGCACCTCATCAACAGCAAACTGTCTGGCAAGGAGCTGCCCACGACTGTCCCTCACAGCTTGATTCCCCCCCACCTTCGGTCGCAGGCCGTCGGTGCTCCATCGGCACCTCCAACTGCTTCAAAGGACTTGTTCGATCTCTTCGACGATGCTCCTGAGCAAGCCAGTGCCCCTCAGCCGTTCTTGCCCCAGCCTCCGTCGAGGCGCACTACCGTTCAGGAATCTGCGCCAGTCTTCCAGCGTCAGCAGTCCGTGTTTGGTGAGTAAAAGGGAAATTTCGAAGCTGACCAGAACAGCCACTACTCCTCAACCTGCTGCTGATCTCCTTGGTGACGAGACGAGTGCCGCCCCCACCTCGGTTCTGGACAGATCGGCTGAAATTGGCAACAAGAAGAACCAGCTGGAGAACACAACCCGGTCTGTTCACGAGCTGGAAACATCGAGGGCCGAGCTGGAGCAAAATGCCGCTGCCTCCGCCTCGCAACTTGCGGCCCTCGAGGCTGAGCTGGCAACTGCTCGTTCTAGGCACGAGGCCGAATCCAAGACTGTTTCCGATCTCCGTGTTCGCGTCGGAGAGCAGGCTGTTTCCCTCAAGCAACTCCAAGCGGATGTTATTTCGGCTGAAAGTGACCTCACCGCGATGAGGCTTGAGAAGGACGAGTTGGAGCAGGCGCTCCTCAGCGACAAGGAGGAAGTGCGAGGTCTTCAGAGGCGCATGAAGGAGCTTGAGGACGAGAAAACTGGCCTGAAGCTTCTTCTCGAGAAGTTTAAAAAGGACGCGAGGCAGCAGAAAGGCATGGTCACCATTGCCAAAAAGCAGCTGTCCACTGCCGAAGGATCTCGCGATGCGGTCCAGCAGGAGGTACGCGACACCGAGAAGGCTATCGAGGGTGACGATGCGTTTGGTGTTACTCAGACGTCCGCCATTGACAGTGCATCGTTCCCCGCGCCTGCCGGTGTCCCGCTTCCCCGCACTCCTCAAACCCTGAGCCCCGAAGCAACAGGCGCGTCGCAGAGATCCAACAACCCCTTTGACCGCTTTAACAAGTCGCCTATCCAACGTCAAGTCTCCAGTACGCCAGACCACTCCCACTCCGCAGCTGCTGTTGCCCTCGGGGGGGCTGGCGTCGCCGCCGGTGTTGCGGCTGGTGTCTTTGCCCTTGGGTCTGAAGACCATGAATCGGCAACCTCCGAAATGCAGCCAACTGCTGCCGTTTCAGCAGGCAACGATCTCGCGCACGACAGTGGTGCCGCCATTGCTGGCGATGGCAACGCGGCCATCGACGTTGACCCCTTTGGCATTCCAGTCACCGACTCTTCTAACAATGTGCCGTCCACGATGCAGGAAGACGATCCCTTCGGCCAAGCCACACCCGAGGTTGCACAGCGCAGCGTGGGTGGTTCTGGCTTTGATGACTCTGGTTTTGGTGATTCATTCCACACTGCTGTCGAGCAGCCTTCGGCTGGTGAAGCAACAGATTTCGACACTGCATTTGCCGACTTTGACGACAACTCTGAAGGTCCTACTACTCAGAACAATGATATCCACGCGACCAGTGTTGTCTCGTCTCTGCAGGATATGCCCGAACTCCCAATCCCATCTGGAATTTCCCCCGCGCTCGTTACCGACCTCCGTCCTGACACTGAGCGTACCGCATCGACGCAGGACATTGCCCCGTCCAGCAGCCCTGCCACTCCGTCTGTTGAACCCACTGGCGAGGCCGTTGCCGTTGCTCCGGCGTCGAAGGTTGACGAGGACGACAACGAGTCGTCGGATGAGGACGAGGGCCCCGAAGACGTTGATGGCCCCAGGCCCGACTATGGCAGCCGTCAGGTCACCCCTCCTGAGCAGGGTCTGCCCTCAGCCATTGCTCCTGTTGTCACTTCTACCTCCCCCGAGGTCACCACATTGCCCACCGATGACCACAAGGTCCGTCGCAGTGCGCCCCCGCCCCCTGTAGCCCGTGGATCGGCTGGATCTGGACTGGCGTCACCGACCAAGATTCCTACCCCTGCATCCCCGGGCCTCTCGGTTCCGTCGACGACATCCCCCGCTCTCGACCCGTTTGGAGCATCTGGTCCTTTATCGACCGACCCGTTCGGTGCCCCGGCTCCTACCCCGCCGCTTCCGGCTCCCGTGTCGTCTACTGACGATCACAACGCGCCTGTTGTTCCGGTTCTGCCGTCTACCGGTGCGACTGCTACCTCGGCTCCTTCATCGACTACGGACCCGTTCGGCGCACCTGCTCCTTCGGCTCCTTTGGCGTCCATCGACCCTTTCGGAGCCCCGGCTCCTTCCGCTGTGCCCACCATCGACGCGTTCGGTGTTTCGATTGCGCCCACTCAGCCATCGACTGGTGCAGCTTTCGACCCATTCGGTGCTGCCGTAGGTGGGACGAGCCCGCCATCTCAACCTCCTTCTGCCCCCTCTGCTAGTGAGGCTCATGATCCGTTTGGCGTCCCGTTCACGGCTGCTGTCCCTACCGTGCACGCCCTCCCTAAGATGTCGCAGTTTGACGACGAGGATGAGTTTGACTTCTCTGACCTTCCGCCTACAAAGACCACTGCGGCGCCGAAGGCAGCCAACCCGAACAGTGCCTTTGACGACGAGTTTGCTAGCTTTGATGACGAGTTTGAAAACCCGACCCACTCGAGCTCCGATAACTCCAACTCCCTCATTCAAACCTACGAGGTTGTGTCTCCGAAGGTCGGCAAGGAGTCTGTCCAGGAACAGGGCCGTGGAGCAGATGAGTGGGGAGTCGGCTCCACCACGGCTCCTGCGGCGGGCCAATCCAACACTCTGTCCTTTGATGACGCCTTTGGTGGCGACTTTGAGCCGACGTGAGTTATTGCGAGGTTGCTATGGCTGACAGAAGTAGCTCGAACGCCGTGGCCAACGCTCCACCCCTTCCAGAGCGCCCGGACCTTCCCCAGGCTGACGACCTCGAGGATGTGAAGAAGGTACGTATTCCGTAGTTTGGTGCATTGTTACTGACTGGCTCAGCTTTGCTCCATGGGCTTCCCGCGTGGCTTAGTGGTGGATGCCCTGGACGCAAACGGGTATGACTTCCAGAAGGCCCTCAATGTTCTCCTCGACAAGTGATCAAGTGGTAGTGGCGGAATGATACCTATGCTGCAATGTAGAAAAGAAAGTGTGCTTGGCAAGTGGTGTCGTCTCCTTGTGATGATGAGCCTTCATTGGTACCTTTGCATGGTAGCAAACAAGAAACGTCTGTCCGTTTCTTGAGGCTGCTACGGCATAGTTGTTGTTACAATTGTCTAATCCTGAACGACCACCTCGCCGGCGCCAAACCCTCTGGCGGGGGCCTCGTTCAGCTTTGCGCTCTTGGTTCCAAACTGCATCGCGCGCTTGACCCGTTTACCCGTGACTTGTAGACCACACTGCTGTGCCCCCAGACGAATGAGAACCTTGTCCCCTTCTCCAGGTGGCAAGAGGGGGTAGCATTTTGCCCAGATGGGAAGGGACGAAACGTAACGAACAAACTCAAGGTCCAGATATGGGTATCGAGCGTCTCGGGCGTGAGATGAGAGCATGCGATCGTCTCGTGACAAGTTTCGTTGAGGGAGACGGTCAAGGTCAAGCTGGAGCTCGTCAATGAGCATCGGCCATGCCCCACGCTCGAATGCTCGCCTGTGGCGAGAGTATCCCCCAAGTTGTCTGTAGCTGGGTGAGCCTTGATCGCTTTCGGTCGAAAAGGACACGTCCAACTCACTCGTCTGCGCCAAGGCCCGAGATGTACACCTTGGCACCGACAGTGTACGGTACCGGCCCATATCCAAAGTCAACGACTCCAACGCCTCGCGACGCAAAGTAGAGTGGGTATCCGAGAGAGAGGTCCATCTCCGTCTTGTTGGGGTACATAAGGTCCAGGATCTCCTGGCGGTGTGCGCGACTCTCTTCAACGTCCACGTCGACTTGGACAAAGCGAAAGTCGCGACCGGGGCACGCCCCACGGAGCTCTTCCACCGCATCGCGCCCCGAAACACGGTCGGGGACGTCGTACGGGTTGCGCTCCGGTGCGCGTTGCTTGCCCTTCTTGTTTCCGTTGACGTTTTCCTTGGCACGCGGTTGCTCAAATGCGACGTTGACAAGTTCGATTGGCTCACCTGCTGGAAGACAGCGGTGAACCAGTGCTGCTAGAAGTGAACAGTCGACACCGCCCGAGAAGAGGAGCGCCACGCGGGCAGAGCTGTGGGCGTCAGCGCCACACATGGTGTGAGCAACCTACCCAGGTGAACGCTCTGGTATGTTTTCCACACGTCTCCGTACCGCACCTTCCAGCCTTGCAATAAATGTGTCGCATTCTGCCTCGGCTGCTGCGGTTCCCGGATCCGCTGGTGGTGTTGCCTTGTTGACTGGGGCAATGTCCTTTAATAGTCAATCTACAATATGGACCTGAATCGTTTATGCTGTCACTCACTGAACGCGTCTCAATCTTCAGAGCAGCGCTGAAATCAAGCATCTGTCCACAAATGTTAGCTTGAGCCATAACTGGGCGACGACAGGAACAACGCACTCCTGTAGGCAACGCTGTTAGGTCAATCACTCCAGTCTGTCCGCCGTCCAGCGTTCGCATGGCAACGCCTTGCAGGCGTGCTTCGGCACTGCGCGATGAAGTGAGAATAAAGATCGGATGTGAGTCTTCATCGCCGGCGTGAAGGAGAAGCGATCGCCGTGACAATGGGTCAACGCCAAAGAAGATGGCACGCGAGGCAAACTGTGTTTGGTCAGTCGACACGTTGGTACTTTGGCTGTCATGCCTATTTGTCTTCTTTGTGACGCACAGAAATGTAGACAAATGTATAGCTGCACTCGTTAAGCTCTGTTGCCCAATAGGTTTGTTTAACAGTACGTACGGTCCTTCAATCGAGTTGAACACCTTGTTGGGTGCTTCGCCTTGTTCGAGACGTTGAAAGATCTTGCGCGTGTCATTCTCTGTAATGCCTACATCGAGGCCGCCGAACACTTGACCATTCCATGCCAACACACCGCGCTTTCCTACAAGCGGTTGGGCTGTGAGAGTGCCGCGAAGGCCGAGAACACTGGCACCGAGCGTGACAAGCACGTCACCAGCTGGCGTTTGGAAGCGACGTGCGTAGACGCCTTTGGCGTTGGGTCCGCGAGCCGCATTTGTGGTGTGGAGGGAGTGAACGATGCGATCGATGCTTGGGGCGGTCGTGTTGAAAGGTGTGATGGAGAGGGTGAGGCCGCACATGCGGCAGATGATTGAGAAGGATATGCGGTGAAGAGCATAAGCTGGGCGGGGAAAAGTTGGGTGAGGGCGGGGGGGTGGGAGAGACATTGTGTGCCCATGTGGAGTGGATGGATGGGGCCCCCGCATGGTCGCTTGGCGCACGGTGATCCGTTGATCCGTTGACCACAGTCCGTTCTGTGATCGATCTGTGACAATCTTCTGGCCTCTGCCCGATCTCTGCCCCCCCCCCCCCCCCCCCCCAACGCTGTCTTCCTGACTTGCAGACTATGCAGCCCGGCGCATCGAAAGCTTGCCATACATAGCACAAGGCGTTATTGAACTGCACGCCAATCCATATGGGGAGCTCAACAATCAGTCTGGGGACTCTACCGTACTGTACTGTACATACAAGCCCCGCCCGCCCAAGCACAAGGCTCACTTGAATAGATGCAATTTTACCCCAGGGCCATCGTGTAGATATGTAGAGGCTATGGAAGCTGGCCACTGGCCACTGGCCACTGGGCCACTGTTGGCTTGACGGAAACAAACGCGTCGCGGCATGAACCCCGCTCGAGCCGAGCCAAATTGAACAGGCGCCGAGCGAGCTCCGAGGAGGGTCACCCGTCGCGGAGTATGGATCGCGTGCAAGCCACCGCGATCGATCTGCGAAATGCAATATATCATGGCAGGCTAGAGATCTAGAGAGGTTATCAGGTTGGTGTATATGTATGTGTCTACCAGTTGGCCCTTGCTTTGGGGTGTTGTAGCGATCAACTACGGGTACCGGATGTCCGTGGCCCCGTGGCCGGTGTACCAGTGTACAGTGTCTAACGTTGTCTGTCGGCATGGCGTCAGTCGGAGAGCGGGGCAGATGGCGGGGGTTCATGACGGCCGACGGGAACGACGACATGAACAAGGTACATGTCATTTTATGGGTGCTGCCACAGCATGCACAGTATGTATGTACAGGCCACACTAGTACACTCGCTAACTAGCCACAGTGCAATGCGCGGCTGGACTCGGCCCGCAGTAGTACTGACATAGTGTGACACAATTTAAGGCTTGTTGAGCCAACCGCGCGACGCGTTTGCCCAAGGCGCGTCTGTGGATCTGTGGTGGTGTGGGGAGCGTGCAGGTTCTGCACACGTCATGCAGAAACATAGGATATGGAAAGCATGCATTGCTGCGCATCACCACCACCACCACCACCACCACCACCACCACCACCACCACCATCACTGATCACTGACAACAGCACGCATGTACAGTGTACAGACGGGAGAGGGGGGAGAGACGGGTGTGGGTGGGTGTGTGTGTGCCTGACACGCCAGTGTGCGCCGCCGTTGTAATGTGTGGGACCGGTGACGCGGGTGTGTGGGTGGGTGCGTGCGGGCGTGTGTGCGTGTGTGTTTACCCTGAAAACAGTTGGAGCGCGCCTCTCTTTGCTTTTTCTCGCTCGCTAGGCAGCCCATCCTCTCGCTCGACGACGCCAATTTGCTTCCGCCGCCGCCGCCCCCCGCCCGTGCCCCTGCCTGGAAGCCGTCTTCCCTCTCTCTTCCCCCCCTTTCATATCATCCTCTCCCCTCTCATTCTCCCATCGTCTCTCCCACATATACAGTCTCCATCCTCACCCACCCACCCACACCTCGCCCTCTCGCGTCTCATCGTACACCACAGCCCACCGCCACTCTGCCGTCCCCTCTTCTGTGACCCCCAAGCGACCCCTCTCCCCTCCACACAACGCGCCCCCCCCCGTGGTCGTTTTCTTCCTCAACCCCACCCACGCTCGACGCGTCGCTTGCCACCCCCCTCGCGCGACTCCACCCATCCATCCTCCACAACGCATTCCTCTTTCCACTACGCGTCTCCTCAAGTCTAGCTACGGCGATACATACAACTCTACTGCCATCCGCACACGGTGATCGCCCCGCACACAGCACACGCGACTTTGGTGTTACGCGTTCCTCCTTTGTTCTGGTTACGTGCCGCTCTCGCTCCCCGCACCCCGATCCTAGCAACGCAGCACGGGGCGATATACCATCACTTCCACTGGTAACGCTCCTCGCGCTGCAGCTTGGACCACTACGCGTCGCATCAGATCAGCATCAGCTTTGATCCGCGCGTCACGTATTGTTCTCGACGGCACACAGGTGAGGATTTTTCAACAATCGTCCCAAGCTGGTCACCGGCTGACGAGCTCAAAGGCAGCAGTGCCCGTGCCAGGAGACCGCTCTGTGTGCCATCACTGATAGCTGCGTTTTGTCCTGGTGAGCTTTTCTTTTGTGTGTGATATCTATCCATCGCGCTGAACAATAAAGACCAGAAACCGCGCCACCATTGCAATACCAACTAGACGCCCCCTCGTACCCGGTCCCGTCGCGTTCATCAACATGAACCGTCACTCATCTTTTGGCGACCCCGGGCCCTCAGGCTACACACACGACGACTCGATCTCTCCCTCCATCCAGACCGGCAACCTCCCGCCCCAGTACGATCACATGGTCTCACCAGAGATGGGAACCCACATGCCCCTCATCTCGCCTGGTCCACTTGGCCACCATCAGCATGGGCACATGCTCGCCCCAGCCCCAGTACCCGACTTTCAGCAGTACCAGATGCCCATGCACCCTGGTCCCCCAAGTCGCCCTCCCTCGCAGCAGCACCGCCCTTCCTTTTCCGGAGTCAACTATATGTCAATGCAGCGCCACTCGTCCATTCAGACGACGACCCGCTCGGACAGCCCCCACATGCTCGGCGGTGACGTTTTCGGTGGCTCGGCCATCGGTAGCTCATCCGAGGCCAGCTTGATGCTTGATGGAAACCATCTCCCCGTTGCCTACGAGTACCACACAGTAAGTTGCTTTTTTTGGCGGTTCCCCTGCCTCCACAGGTACTGACTGACCGCTTCAGACACCGTTCTCTGCCGACCTCCCACAGGGCATCTCACCTGCACGCGCTCTTGGTCCAGCTCCCACGCAACTGCAGCCGTTCACGACTCCCAACTCGAACGACACGCACACGACACCCACAAACGCAGCGTACAAGGTCGTCCTCCCTTCATCGTCATCCATTGACAGCTCGAGCGATAACAGCAGCTCGATTGAGCGTCCTTCTACGCGCCACAACAAGATTGAGCTGAGTGATGACGAGAACGACTCTCCCACCAAGCGGGTGGGTCCTCGTGTTCCAACCCTGGAACCTGCCCAAGGCGACTCGCGTGCCATGGTTCCGGCTAAGAGGACAACAGCTCTCACCGCGCGCCATCAACGCCCACTGCCCAAGGCTGGCCCAGCCACTGGTGGTGGACGTACAAGCGCAAAGTTTACAAAGGTGGCTGAGGACCCTGGTGTGGAGGGTATTCCCCCCGGCGCTCGCTCAATGGAACGCCCTCAGCAGTCATTTGCCTGCATCATTGGCCAGGCCATCCTCAAGTCCTCCGCAGGCGGCCTATCACTGGAGCACATTTACCGTTATGTGGAGACCGCCTACCCTTACTTCAAAACCGTCGACCAGTGGCGCAACTCTGTTCGCCACAATCTATCAATCCACAAGATCTTCGTTACCATTCCGCGTACGGACAAGTACCCCCCTGGCAAAGGTGGCATCTGGATCATTGATGAGAACGAGAAATGCCACTGGCCGTCCGAAGACAAGTTTATCAAGAATTTCCCACCCATCCACCCTCACCACGCCTATTGTCGCCAGACGCTCCACGAGCGGGCCGTTGACCAACGCCTTCGTGAAAAGGCCGAGTCTGAGGGCAGGGTCTACGTTCCGAGGAAGGGAAAGGGCAAGAACCGCAAGGCGGCTGCTTTGAAGGACGAGGCCGCTCCTCTGCCACCACCAGTTCATGCCGCTCCAGGCCTGCCACACCCGGGTCCTCCTCCACACTGTCTCCAAGGACCTGTTCCCGCTATTCCGCTGCCACCCATGATGCAGCAGCCTCAACCGCACCATATGGCACCGCCGCCACTTCCTTCATCCCCTCCTCCTATTCCCAACTCGCAGACCACATCGTCGTTTGACTTTGAGGACGATGGTGACTTTGTCCCAGAGCCGTGTCACGCTCCTCAATACCCCGACGCATCAAAGAACAGGAACACCATGAGTCTGGGACCTCCCATTGGCCACCCCGACAGCAGCAGGAACCTCCGTGACGAGGACGAGGAAAATGTCTTTGGTGGTGGCGACAACGTTTTCGGGAGTGTGCCCAAGCGTGTCCGTCTCGCCCAGCCCGAACCTCTTTCGCCCATCATGGAGCAGCAAGCCAGCAGCAGTGGGTTCCTGCACGATGATCCCGACATGTTCATCACTCCCTCGCGCGAGCGTACGCGACCCAGCATGGCCTCCAGCTCCCAGCACTTCACGTCGAGCGCTCTCAAGACCCCAGCGCTTATTCAGACGTCGTCGTCGCCTACATCGTCCCCAATGCCACCAACCATCACTCGTGGATCCCACCACCACCCCAGCGGACTGCAGCAGGCTTGGACCCAGGACGACATGATGCGCGCCACCACACCCACATCGCCCAAGGCCAAGCTTGACCCTGCGTTTGACCTCAAGCCCACTCCACAGAAGCGTGATCGTGACGACGACTCGTTTCAGTCACTTGTTACCCACACAGAGCGTGGCGCGATTCCCAAGACGCCAGTTACCCGCTCCTCGGCTGCGGCCGAACGGACGCCTCGTATTGGCGGTCTGCGCACCCCTGGCATGATGACCAAGACGCCCTTGACATATGGCAGTCCAGCTCGCATGCCCCCCTCAGCCAATGCCCTCCTCTCCACCCCACTTTGGGAGATGAGCGGCGTACTCGAACGTCTCAAGAATGCCGAATCGCCCACTCGCACTCCTCGCTCCGACGTTCCCCCCACCAGCCCTACCCACTACTCGTTGAGCGACTGTGGCGACTCACCTGTCGCCAAGCGCCGCAAGCTTGCGGTGTAAATTGCAAACCATCTCCATCCTGCACTATCCTGCACCTCCCTTGTCGTTGTGTCTACGTGCTGGGCCTCGCTGGGCCTCGCGTTGCCATTTGTATCCTCCCACAGCGCATTTAACGATCCCTCTATGAGCTGCCACTTTGTTGTTTACTTTTTGATACCTCCGTAACCGCCCTTCCCGAAGCGGGGGTGTGACTAGCTTGGGCGTAGGCGAGGCCACTGTCATGCATCTCAGTTCCTTGTGTACAAACATGTCGCCACCATACGAGCAACGTCGGCCGCCTTTCTTCATCACGTGGAGCTACTTGGGCTTGTGTGCTGATAGGTCAGTCAGCGTGCCAGCACCCTAAAGCTCACAATCCTCGTCCATCAGAGTCTCCTCGTCGACACTCTCCACCACCCAGGATGGAAGGACGATGTGCTTGTGCTTTGGCCTGCACAATTAGCTTTGCATACAGTCTGTCCGTGCTAACTCACTTTGAAGTCCCGCGCACCAGCTCAACATAACGACCAGAGTCCTCGTCATCCATCACAATATGGGTAAGCTTAGGGTGCAGGACATTGGTGACGATACGACCGCCGTTCTCGGACAGCTGTTTGGCCGCCTCGGCCAGTCTATACAGGCTCAGCACATACCACAGGGGTTATTGTTACCCACCTATCCCCAGCTGCAGAAGGGGGACTAGACTCGGCAAGGCCGTTCAGCTTGGCATTGTCTGGCGTGTCGAGGTAGAACACAAGGTGGGAGAAGATTTGGTCCTCGTCGTATGCGTTTACGTTCTCTCCCTCACCCATGGCTTGATACTGAGCGTGTCAGTGGCACTCGATATTACTTCACTTACAGTGTCGGGCGGGTTGTTGGGGTCAAAGATGCGCATGAGTGGCTGGTGCTGCGACGACTCGGGCTCAGGGAGGGTGGGTTCGAGGCTGAGATTGAACTGTACGTGTCAGCAAGCAGACTGTTGCAATAATTCACCTCTACGGGAGCGGGCTGTCCCATGGCGAAGTCATCGTCATACTCCTCCTCCTCATAGTCCGAGTGGTGGCGATCGTCGTCCGTGTCGTCCCCGTCGTCCCCGCCATCCGAGGCGGTATCCGAGTGGCTAGACGGAGCTTCACGAGGTTTGTAGCGGTAGCTGGCCGACGCATCATCGATACCCCATGCCACTGCTAAAGCTGCAGCGTTGACTTGATGGTTGGTTGGGGGTGGTGTGGGCTCCCTGAGTTCGTCTGCCTCAGGCTCTTCATCTTCGGGCATCTCCTCGTCGGCTTCGTCCTCGACAAGAGCCTCGCCAGTGCGATCTCGTACCAAGCTAATCTTGTCAAACTCCGTTAGCGTCTTGTTGTAGTAGCGCCCCCCTTGATCGTCGTCGGAGGCGAACGCAAGGAATCTTCAGTTAGTGGTGCGGGCGACATCCAAAAGCGACCTAACTCTTTGAGCAGAGGGATGGGTCGGTGGCGCTTAATCGACTCGAAGATCCACTGCGGCTTGATCACACTGACACCTTTGCGGATTTGGGCCTTGACACGGGGAGCTGCACATTGAGTGAGTACCAGAGTAGGTACATCCGGGACTGGACTTACATTTGTCGTCGTGAGAGATGACCAACGCCGAGGCGTCTGATAACTGGGCCTGCGTGAAGTTGCCACCATGTTTGTGAGCAAGTGCTTCAAGCTCCGATTTGGTGTGTCCTGGAGCATCCTTAGGAATGACTGCAACCTCAGCAGGGGCCCTCAACGCTAGACTTACAGAAGGTCATGCCAGTGAAGATGCTGTCTTCCACTAACGCGTTGGATAGCTTTTGACCGCGGAAGCTCTCGAACAGTTCCACCTTGCGACGGGTTGTCGTGACACGGCGCTTCTTGCGGGAGCTGCCAGTCAGTTGGCTCCTCCAAATCAACACCCACGTTCCACCATCATCGTCCGTATACCGCTTCTTGGGCTGTTGCATGAGGACCGTAAACTCATCAAAGCTCAGCTGTGAAGTGTCAGTGTTGACATATGTACAGGCACTCACGCAGTTCCACATGTCCCTGTCTTTGTGCTCCTCACCAGAGGAATTGGTACGGCTCTGTCGATCCCAGTAAATGAACCGACAGCGGGGGAAACGAAGGGTGTAGCCCACGCCATATCCTCCGGCTAGAGGGTAAGCTACCATAAATTTACGTTACCTACCTGCCACGACAATCTCGGACGCCTTGACTTCGATAACAAACGATCTTGACATGTTAATAATGCCTGTCACATGTGACGACCGCACTCACTTTTCCGGATTAATATAAACATCAGCTGAATGTCAGAATTGACTGGCACAGCGGTTTAACACGTACGTTTATCGTCGACACCTGTCGCTCCCATCTCCAACCAATAGGGAGGGTTACTGCGGTCAAACGGCTTCCAGTCATCTTTATGGTTCTTGCTGTGTATGGTTAGATAGCCCGCTTGTTACACGCACAGAATCCATTCGTAGTCGGCATAGTTCATTCCTGAACCGACGCTCGCAAACGTTTTAAACCTGGCCAAGTAAGACCAAGCAAACCTTGATAATCGCTTACAGGGGACGCTCGCCGGAACCATCGTCTTCTTGGGGCACACGAAGGCCGAGGAGCAGACTCGAGAGCTTGCCTGTGCGGCCACCTTTGCCCCACCATCCGCCTGAGGGTCAGAGAGTACTAGGTCACTAAACTCGCCAAGGACCAAAAGGTCAAAGTTCTGACCAGTTAACGACAAAAGCCAGGTTTCTGTTGCTTACCTCGCCCATTTGGTCGGCATATTCCGGCTTGACTTTGATCCAGTCTGCATCACGCGAGTTGGTGACATAGCGACTGTCGGCCTTCTTCACAACCATGCCCTCGCCCCTGTGCACTGTCAGCCGATACAAGTTGGTGAACTTACTTTTGCTCCAAAATGCGCTCGAGCATGTTGCGAATATCAGTTCCAGTCCGGCCCTCCTCTTCATTGACCAATTCGATGCGACCGCGGAACATGTCGAGGTCTTTGAAGATGTGGTTCTTGAGGAGGGTTTTACGCTCCGAGAGTCGCTTGCCAGTCAGGCAGTGGCCATTAAGGTACAGGATGTCGAAAACCTTGACTGCAAAATCAGCTCGGAGCGATGCAACACCACGTACAACAGGGCCTGGGGGAGTTCTCGTCGTATATCCTGTCTGCTCAGTCAGCAACAACTAGACCGAGCTCATAGCTTACCCAGCGCCGCGGTCTTGAGTGAACCGAAAGCGAGGTACTTTTCTAGCGCAGGATCCCAGACCATCATCTCGCCATCAAGAATAATGCTTGAGCGTCAGTGAAAGAGTTTCAAGGGGGCTAACATACTTGTGAACATTGTCATTGAAGACACCGGAAATAAACTGGGTGAGACTTCCTTCACCGACGTGGGAGCCGTAGAGATAGGCTGGCAAGATTAGCTCCTGGTCCATAACTGGAACACACTGTAGTCTTTGGCTTTGCGCGAGCAGTAGAACCATTCTGCGCCGGAGTTGCGTATGTGCAGTTGAATACGCTCGCCGTCCAACTTTTCCTCCATAATGAATTTGTTGTCCGGTCCACCGACAAGCTTGGCAATCACCTCGTGAGACGACGTGGGAGATCGATAGCAAAGCTGAGGAAGGAAGCAGCGGAACAGTTCAATGTTGGTTGCCTGTTTTGGTCAGCAACGTGCCTGGTTTGCGACTTGCGTTCTTTTCTAGGCGAATGTCGGGCTTGTACAACGTCCAGCAGACCCGCTTAAGGTCTGAACAAACATTGAATAGAGCGTTGGCATCAGGGTGGAAGCAGTTGAAGATACCCTTCTCGCGGATCTGGATGCGGAGATCTGCAGGGTCAGCGATGGCTCGTCGGCTTTGCAAAACCTTTAAGAATGATACGGATGAGCCATTCCTGCTCCGTCGGAGTGCACTGCTCGTTGACTCTCCTCAAAATCGGAACAATCTGGTTTCTGTGGCGTCAATAGGTGCTTGCGTGTCCGTGTGTTCTGGCCTACTGCTTCAGTCTGCCCCTTGCCAGCTGGTCGAGGATGAGGTTAATGGCCTCCACACTGAGACGGCCTTCCTCCACAGTTGAGCGAGCCTGGATGATATGGAAACAGACGCGAGCAAAGTCTCCCGAGGAGTTCTCCCCCTGGCGGTCAGTGCTGGGAGAAACGAACGGAGATGCTCACTTGTCCCTCCACAGGCTGCTTCCAATTCTGCAAGCGCTGCGCGGCGTCACTGCTCTTATCTAGACCAAGCACTTCGATGTAGCACTTGGCCATCATTTGTTCCTTGAGGTTGTAGACGGGCCTTTCGCGGTCTCGCTGAACGTCGTCAGCAATGCTGGAGCTTTCGCACTGACATCAGGGAGTAGAAGACGGATTAAAGGATACAGGTCGTTTCCAACCTTGAGGCGCCACACGTCCATGAAGCGCTTCAGAGTATCAAAGCGTTTGTTTGCCTTCTCGCTCCTCAGGCGGTCCATCATGTTGCAGAGAACAGCGAAATTTGGTGTCGATTCGCGATTGATGCAGTCGGCTGGGCGTTCGAGTTGGGTTGGGGGAGGTAAGGCCGACGCCGCGGGCTGCGACTGCGATTCAGACTCGTCTTCCTTGACCTGTGAGCTCAATGGAGGCGGATGCCTCTGTCGGCCGTTAGACCACCTTGGCGCAGGCATGATGAGGTCGACAATGGAGGAGATAGATGGAGGATGTCAACAACGGAGGAATGGTGGTTGAGGTAATGTCCAGTCGACGGGAACGCGGGGCCTCTTTTGGGCCACGCGACGTTACGTCACATCAGTACATCAGTACCTGCTCAACAACAGACTATTTCCTAACAATCCGCTCACAAGACCGTTTTTGTTTTTATGTTTAGCATCAAGAAGACCGCAATACATACAACAACGTCGCCAGTACTCGCAAACCATCTGTCCTGGGTACTTTCTCCGCCCAGACGAGCTCTGCCGGATCCGTGCGCCTCCTCCCAAAGTACATGCAGCAGCATCCGTCGCTAATGAGAAACATCAAAGTACGGTAGGTTGATGTCTCCCGTCTGCAGGGTTAGGTATCGTGCAACGAAAGAACGGAGGCCAAGACAGGACTGTAGGTCAAGTACTTACTGCACCGGGCAAAAGCCATGAGAAGTCCGATTCTCCCCCAAAGTTATCCAATGAATTGAAGAGCGAGAGCGTTGGGGCATTAGCCTCACGAAAGAATGTAGCGTCGATGGGCGACAGCTCCGTCAAAGGAATCGTTACAGAGGGCTGAGTACTCCGAGTGGAACTCTGTGCCATCATGGTCACGGGAGGACTTGGGCTTCGTTCGTCACGTCCACGCTTTTTGCTGCTCTGATGAGCAATCGGACGGTACCATGCAAATCGCTGTACTGGGGGCGGAGGGCTACGCGACTCGGGTCGTGACACCCGGCATACGCGTGTCGTCTCGTCGAGAACCTCTGCCGAGCCCAGAGCGACCGGGAACACGGTAACAAAGTGGCGCAGAATCGCGGATGCCGCATGCAGGATTTTGGTCGCTTCTTCAGCTTGGACATCGTTTCCTGCAGTACGCGCTGAGAGGACACATGCAAGGAGGAGTCGTCCGGTGAAGAGGAGACGGTAACCAACCACTGTGGCCTGTCAGGTATGTTACGCTGAGAGAACTCACAAATGTCACAGCGTGCAAGGTGATAGGTTGCACCCAGCTGAACCACGAGGGAGACCAAGTCCCGAGCAGACGTAATGAGCATGGCTCGATAGCTCTCAAGCCGCTCTGCCTGGGGCTCCGGATTCAAGGTTTCGAGCTGAAGGTAGCGAGCAGCGACCAACAACTGGACCATCTGGTCAACGGAAGCCACTTGCTCGGTCGGAACCGAGTAACCCCGCATCATGGAACGCGTTTTGGGTACTGGTTCAGCAATTTCGGGTGGCGCGTTTCTTCATGTTAACAGATGTAGCGTTTTAGTGGTCTCACCTCCTCCATTTGTTCACAGAAGCCATAGTCTTCTCCAGCCGTTCCGCATCGTCGTCATCCGGGCGCGTCCCGCGTGAAACTTCGTTCATAAAGTCGCAATTAGGAACGATGGGTCGATGAGACGAGGCACGGAAAGCACTCTCCAGTACAGCCGACACCTGAATGAGTTGTCGGAAAGTCTCAACGTGGGCGGCATCGTTGTCGTCAATGTTGTGGCGAGGCGAAGACAGAGTGTCATCGTTGTCAAACGGTTCAGGTAGTCGAACATCCATGTCCCACATCTGCATGAGATGTGGCCTTCCGCAAAAGGCCGAAATTTGTTTGTCCCACACGTACACTGCCCATGCGGTACGCTGAGGAAGGGTCAGTCATGGTTAGGTCAGGTAGACATACCGATCGGATTTCGCGGAGGATAGAGTTGCCCATGACCGACGACGAAACCGTTCTTTGGAGGCCACCATCAAGTGTTCTTGAAAGAGCTTCGGCAAACAGGCCTTGGGCAACCGGGTGAGGAACATTGTCGACACTCTGGAAGATGGAAGCGAAGAATCTACTCTGGATAGCGAAGATGACATTGTCGGACGTGATTGCTCGGTCAAGCAAGCGGTTGAAGAGCTCATAGTACCTGAGACCTGAGGAGGCCGGGTTGTCTGGAACAGCGTCAGCGCGATGTAGCGAGCATCGGCTTACTTGGGTCTGACCGAACCCGAAGGTCGTTTGTGTACCTCGACGCCAGCATGCACATGGACACGACCAGTGCGGCAAACGCGTGGTCGTTCCATCGATTGAGATCTGAAAAGAAAGTGGGGATGTGCAGAATGGGCCACAATGGATGAATCGTTGTGAAAAAGATGCGCAATAGGTCGCTCATGAGGTCGGGTGGAACTGGCTCATTAGCACACGTTTGGTGTTGTTGGTGCTCACTTGTGCCCGCGATACTGGACATGAGAAGTTCAGAGGATTGAGGTCGAGCGACATTACGTCCCGGAAAGTACTCTGCTGAGCTGCCATTGTCATCGCCAGGCCGAGGGGCTGGTGGCCCATCGTGAAGGAGATCCTGCAGCCACTGCCAGTCCGGTTCGGTCCTCTTCTCCTTCGGTTCATCATCGTCGCGGTTAGCCAGACGACGGGTCGCCTCACTGTGACGTCAGTTGTCAACTGAATGATCGGACTCACAGCAGTGGCAATCCGGACGTTGACCCAGCATGATGAGACAACCCATGGGAGGACACGTAAAAGTGGGCAGTCTTGTCCGAGTCTAAGACTGGGGGAGTCAGCATGAACGCGTTGGAGGTCATTGTGGGGCAACACACCGCGTCGCTTCTTTGCCGCCTCATCGTCCCCCGAATTACCCCTCTTCTTGTCAGACACAGTGGGATGTGTTATATCGTCCTTGAGTTCCACCCTACCAAGTTAGCTGCAGCGAACAAGGCTTTGGACTCACTTGGCCTCGATACTGGACAGGACTGTCCGCGAGTTGCCGACCTTGGTGGAGAATGAGCAGACTGCTTTCGCAGCTACACACTTGGCGCACGGGTTTTCGTGTCCACACTGTGATGTCTTGGTAAGCTACTGATGTCGTCCACGGCCCATATCTACATGCCTTTATCTTTCGAGTACTGTGTGACAACATTAGCGCACGCACCACTTTGCCGAGGTGTTACACAACTCACCGGCATCTATCACAAGCCCTCAAGAAGCGGATGCGGGTAGAGTCGATGTCCTCTGGCCCTGCCGCGGCGGCGCTCCCCGAGGGTGACCCAGGCATAGATATAGTGTTGGAAACCGCAGAGGTGGACGGATTGTTTGGAAGCAGGGTGTGGTTGTTGAGTCGGCATTCATGAGCCTGTGCCAGATATCCGTGGTCGCGGAATCAAATGCTCATTTGCACACACCATTTGCGAACTGTCAGCTAATCCGGCCACCAGGTCGATAACCCGATGTGAACATGTAAGTACAGTACACCAGGCTTGCATCCGGGGCATAGAATATATAACATGGAAAGTTGGAACGCTGCCGAGCAATAAGGGCTCGAAAATGGGATGTCGCAATGAACATGTGTGGGCTTATGGGCTTCGGATCCGCAGAAGAATGGGCGAGTTGTGGGCAGGAATGGAATTAGATCGATCTGATTTAAACAAATGGGAAGTTGATTGGGAAAGCAGCCCGGCTGGCCCTCAGTTGAGTGACAGGTTGAGAGCGAGATGGGGAAAGGGGAACCGAGCGGTGAGAAGGTTGTGTAGCTGGATGGGACACCTGGCGTGGGGTAGGTGGCTGACGGGGTGGGGCCGACGGCGTAGCAATGGGGGTTGGTGGCGGCGGCATCGAAGGTGTCGCACGGTCTGCCCTGGTAGCGGCTTCGGCCATATTGGTAGGTGCTGCCCTCGCAATCTTGGGAGAAGCAGGGATCTTCTGTCTAATGAACTTGCGGACCAGTGGATCATCCACATGGATCATGCCTGGAGGAAGGACAGACTGAGAACGGCTGCGCTGAGCTCGGGATTGGCCAGGAGACTTCGTGGGCTTAAGCTTGACCGTCTTGGTCTTTACCATCTGGGGCGTGTGGGATGGTTGAGCCTTGATTATCTGGGGCTTCAAGGTCCTAGGTTTGGTGTTTGTTTTCTTGGCAGTCTTCTTGTTTGAACTGCGCTTCATGGGCGACGATGGGCCTGACGAGCCAAGGGCTTGGTTCTCAGCAGCGTGAGGCGGAGCTGCAACGGGCAAGAAGTTGGCTGCCACATCGTTCTCATTCGTGGCACACTCGGCAGGACGATCAGTATCCTAGCCGTTAGCGACGTCACAGTTGTGTTAGTTGTTTAACACACCTGAGCCATCTCAAGCGAGTCGCTCATCTGGTTAACCACCTGCGCAGCCTTGTGGGCAGTGCGCCCTTTGCGCTCCATTGGTTGGTCAGCATGAAGCGCGAGCGTCTGGGCATCCTTGGTGGTCAGTAAAGTCACACCTTACAAGGGCACCCACCCAGTGGACACGCCTAGCTTTGCTGTCTTCGAGCTGTGCATTGTACATGGCCTGTTGAGTGTTTAAATCGACCACCCCTCCTGCGTTGTTGACAGGGAGGAACGACGCAGCTGACAGAACAGTGACGGAGAAACTCGAGGGTCAGTGTTGTGTGGATTAATAACAACACTCACCCCATGTCCGGTGTGTCGAGCGTGCCGCCCTCGACTGCCCTTGGCACTTCATCACGGTTGTGAGAGGCAATGAAGAGACGTTCCGTCTCGGGGTTTGGGTGAAATTGGGGTGGTTCGTAACTGCGACTGGTCAGCAAAAGCAGCGTTGTGTTATTCCCGTACTCGAGAGGCGTATCGTCACGGTAAACGAGCTTGATGTCCACATAGCGGTGACGGGGGAGTGGGTCAAGCTCCTGGAGGCCCAGAATCAACTTGTACATGAAGCTGCGGATCGCGAGGCGCAACTCCGGAACCGTTTGGGGAAGGAAGAAGCTAGACGTAGAACTGACGGACTTTTGGGAGCTGTTAAAGGCAATCGATGGGCCCTCAGTATCGGTGCTGTAGGTGAAGTCAAAGGTGTACGATTCGATAATACTAAACCCTTTAGTAAGGTATCATCGTCACATTCTTTTCAAGTACGCACTTATTGGGGTCATTGACTGGATCCTGTGAGAGTCAACTCTGTACGACATTGCCACTCACAAGGAGGACCAAAAGAACCATGCTCTTCAGGTAACTGCGCTCGAGAGCGTCCACGACTCCCTCGTTCTGATTCATCAGGAAAGGCATAAGTTTCCCTACATACAAAGTACTTGAGGAAGGCATCACCTTCTGCGCTGTTCAGAGTTGGCTGTGTACTAGGTGGTGAGCCCCTTCACTCACCTCGATCCACTCTTGATCTTCATGACCTTGATACTGGCGACCTCATCAGGGGCCGATGAGACTCCATCCTCGGTAAAAGGGTGCTTGAGGGAGGTAAGTTCCTTGCTGTCGAAGTGATCCTCGGGAAGAAAGGAGCTGCATGTTTCGTTAGCGGTGGAAGGAAGCAAAAGGGCGTCACCCACCGCAAATACGCGATAGAGCCCAGCGCGATTTCAACCGTAGCTTTGATGGCGGCAAGACTACTGGCGGCCGTGAGCGAGGTGCTATTCAGCGCCTGCTGCTGTGACCGGGACTGCGATTGGGGTTGGGACTGCACAGTCTCTGTCTGGATGGCCTGGGGCGCCTGTATCGCCTGCTTGAGCGGGCGCTGTGAGGTTTAGTGGACACGGGCCAGCTGTGAGCTCACGAATTTCTGAGCCACCACTGGCATGTTGACGACTGTCAGTGGTGAGGGATGAGGGAGGATGTGACTTGAGGGGTGTTGATGAGTACGATAACTGCTGGTACTTAGAGAGATGTAGAGAATGGGAGATGGGGTGATTGTCAGACGAATAGGGAAGGCAAGGAAGGATGAGGGAAGGCTCGACGGCTGGAGGGAAGGACAGAGCTCCAGAGAAGGCTGGCCCAAATTGATCGCCGTCGAGCTTCGTCAACACGACAGCAGCTCGTAAGCGCAGAGTTCAGAGATCAGAGAGCATGTAGTTTGTACATAACATGCGGGATTACAGTACAACTAGGAAGCTAGTACATCAACAGATATAAACGGAGTGTGGCCGTTACACCAGGTCGTCTCCACGGAAAGGTCCACCAGCAAACTGAACGAGTTAGCAACGTGCCTTGCCATTAAAATATCAAACTCACGGCTTTCTTTGCTTCATCGCAGTGGCTTCCACCGCTCTCATTGTCGATCTGGTGACATATGAACAGCGCGTCGGCCCTGAAATGTTAGACATATGCGCGCGTGCGGGATGTAAACTCACGCATCCCCCAGAACAGCAGCTCCAGATCGGATGGCAAGGAAAGGAACGCCACCACAAAGGAGTGCGGCGACTGGCGCATAGCTGGGGTGGCCTAGGCTGTGGGCCATGTAAAGATATCCAGCGGTCGCAGTGAAGAAGCCGGTAGCAGTGGAGCTCAGGGTGAGAAGCAGCTTGATGAGAGTGTCTGGCTGGTCAGCTCTGGAGTGGCGGCACGCACTTACAGTCAAGCAGCTTGCCGCTGTTCCTGCGGCTGGCAAGACCCACAGCCCGTCGAGCGCTAGGCCAGAAAGACTCGCCAGTGATGCCGACGTATACGAGAGCGTAGCCATTGAGCTGGTCGAGAACGCTTGCGATCATGGTGAGAATCGGGGTGAGGCTGTGGAGGAAAGACAGAGCGTTGGGAAGCACCTTGGATCGGGGCGATGTAATACGCTTGAGCTCGTTGGCAATGCGGCCCACGACACGGACAGTGGCCACAATAAGGGAACCTAGGCAGATTGAGCCAAGGGACGTGCCAGTGGCGCGATGTACAGCGGCGGTGGTGACCTCGAGTGGGTCGAGGCTGTTCTCACGGTGGAAGTACCACTCGCCAACGACACCGGATACAGCCACACGGCCGATGCCACGGAGCACACCCCAGGTCCAGACCCAACCGACGGTGACGAGGAACATGAGCCATCCCGCGTACGGGTAGATGTGGAATGCCCAGGTGTCCTCTCGCGGGCTTTGGCCCCAGTACCCGATCATCCCAAGCCGAATGAGCATCGTTAGGAAGGGTATGGAGGTAACTGCGAAGATTGCGAGCAGGAGAGGGGTGAGGAGGAGCATTGGCGGGTGGCGTAGGAGAAGGTGAGTCGAGAGCTAACGTTAGCTGCGGATTGGAATGAAGATGGACCCACCTCGACAACCGACACGGTGCGCTCCAGCTTGCGTCGACGCAGCCACACAAGTCGAGCGAACAATGCTGCCATAATCCAGCAGAGAACGGCTCCAAGGCGCATTCCGGTCGTGGCCCACCACCGGTCTTGCTGGTCGACATCCCCAATGCTCTCAAAGCTGGCACCAATTGCCCACCAGCCGCAGATGAACAATGAAAAGGGAATTGCGGCAGCGGTGGCCATGAGGACAGGTCGGACAGTCTTGCTGAGGAGAAAGAGGAAGAATGGCGGGAGGATAAGGGAGGGGATGATGAGGGCAATGAGGAGAGGGAGTAGAGGGATGACGGAGGGTGGACCGGTCGTTGGTGCACCCTTGGGGGGCTGGATGGAATCAGCATCGTCGCCCATGGCATTAGAATACGTACATTTGAAGAACCCCAGACAAACAACAGCCCAAACAAAACTGCGAGTATTGTCGACAGCCAAAGAGCCAGGAAACCTGGGTCTGGGGCAAGTCAGCACTGGTCCAGCTTTGTGTGTTGTCCCTGTACTCACCCTTGTACTTTCGCAGTCCTTCACGTTCCCAGTGACCGAAGCGCCCATGGTAGACCTGGAGTCGTACTGGCACCTTGGTGGTCATGTGCGTGATCTCGTCGGGTCCGAGGAGAGGCTCTTCCAACGTTTCGCTTGCGGTGGGGAGCTGTGGAACCAGGCTGAGGCTGTCCGCCGGGTGAGAACGGCGGCGAGACTGGCCCATCATGCCAAAGCGCTCGTCCTCCGAGTCGGCTTCGGTCTCCTTGTCACTCTCGGATGCCTCGCTTTCAGACGACGAAGGAAAGACGCTCTGGTACGCAAGCCATCCTTTCTTGGCCCTCGCGTTGCGCTGACCGCGGTCCTCTTGTGCCTGCGGTCGAAGCAACGAGCGGCGAACCTGCGCGACCTGATCCAAGTCTGCCTCCATCTCCCCCTCGCTGTCGGACGAGGCTCCGTACGGGTCGGGCAGTGCTGGACGAGTCTTTGCAATGCGTTCCACGACCGGAGCGTCAAACAAGAGGCCAACACCTACGCTGCTTTCGCCACCTGCCCGACTGTCCTCCAGATCGGCAATTGACGGGATGCCATCGATGCCGACGCCTGGGAATGGTGGCGTCCGTTCCGGCGACGATGACCTCGACGAGCCTGCCAGGCGAGGAAGTGACTGCGATGCAGTTGGCGATGGTAGAAACGGGTCGTGAGACGGGGAGCCGGGGGATGGAGGTCGGAAGATCTATTGATTAGCTCTGACGTTGCGAGTGTGACGGGATGTGAGACGCACCTCGCTTGCGGTTGGCTGCTGGTTGCCACCGGTCCTGCTGCTAGCAAGGAATCTGCTGGCGTATGCGGAGAACGCGGTTGGGGCACCCGCCGATTCTCTGGGAGATGTGGACATGGTTTTCCCAGACGAGAGATACGAGTTGGGACGACGACGCGTCCAGCTTGGAGCCAAGTGAGGGCGGATGGAACAATCGGGAGGTTGTATGTCGAGCGATAAGGGGGATGTGGAGTGGGTGGTGTGGGGCGACGAACAATGTTGCCTATGCAGATGACAGTGGTGGGTGGGTGGGCGTGCTGGGGGTGGGGAGAGAGAGAGTGGGAGAGAGAGAGAGAGACCGATAGGGGGAGAGGGGGGGAGGAAGGGCGAGCGTTCGTGCGAGTGAGTGCAATCGGATGATACGGGGTGGTTGTGAGTGTGACAGGTTCCAGAGTTGCCAGAGTGCACACTGCCAGAGTACCAGGAGTACCACAGTGCTTGCGCCACCCAAACGCAGGGCGATGCCGCGGACGGGTGGCGTGTGGGTACGTAATGGCAACAGGGGGGGGGATGGTCTGTACATGTGGGTGAGTGACGCTCGCACGCCTGTTTATTTAATCACGTGACTTGAGAATAGGCGTGCAAGTCCCTTTCCAATTCCCCGACGCGCGCGCGCGGACGCAACTGTCCGCCCTGTCAGCCGCGATCAACCGGAGACGTCGGTCCGGAGACGACAGCGCCAGGGCGACAGTCCCGTGCCATCCAGGCCCACCGGCGGCATCGTCTGGATGGGTCGGACACCCGCCCCCCCCCCCATTCCCCAGAATTGGTCCCCCAGCTCTCTCTTATACATACTCTCCCTCTTCCCCTCAACAAGTTCGTTCCTTCCTCTCTCTCTCTCTCTCTCCAGCATCTTTGTCCTCTCCTACATCCATCTGCACTAAAAAAAAACACAATGGCTACCGGTCAGCTCGCTACTCGTAAGTCGCTCCCCACCCGCCTACCCACAAGGTTTCACACGGCAACTACGTCACTCTCAAGCTCACACCATTCCCCTTACAGAGTACAAGGCTTGGAAGCAGCTCGAGCAGCTCCACGCCTCCAAGGCCTCCAAGCTCGTCCTCAAGGACCTCTTCGCTGCCGACCCGGAGCGCTTCAACAAGCTCTCCGTCGAGTTCAAGACGGCCAAGCCCGATGTCAGCATTCTCCTCGACTACTCGAAGAACCTCGTCGACGAGGAGGTTCTTTCGTCTCTCTTTGCTCTCGCTCGCGAGGCTGAGGTCGAGAAGTTCCGTGACGAGATGTTTGCTGGCCAGCACATCAACACCTCGGAGGACCGTTCCGTTCTTCACATTGCTCTCCGCAACCCCCCCGTCTCGCAGGGCGGCTATGACATCAAGGAGGAGGGCGTCAACGAGGTCCAGGGCGTCCTCAACCACATGAAGGAGTTCTCAGAGTCTATCCGTTCGGGCGCTTGGAAGGGTTACACCGGCAAGGCCATTGACACCGTCGTTAACATCGGTATTGGTGGCTCGGACCTCGGCCCCGTCATGGTCACCGAGGCTCTCAAGCACTACTCGGACCGCAAGCTTACCCTCCACTTTGTCTCCAACATTGACGGTACCGACATGGCCGAGACTGTCCGCGTCTGCAACCCCGAGACCACCCTCTTCATTGTCGCTTCGAAGACCTTTACCACCCAGGAGACCATCACCAACGCTGAGAGCGCTAAGGCTTGGTTCCTCGAGACCGCCAAGGACGTGAGTGCCATTGCGTCAGCCACAGACCAAGGAGGAACCGCCAACTGACACTTGTTCCCAGCCCGCCCACGTTGCCAAGCACTTTGTTGCCCTCTCCACCAACACCGAGGGCGTCACTGCCTTTGGCATTGCCGAGGCCAACATGTTCCAGTTCTGGGACTGGGTGGGTGGCCGCTACTCGCTCTGGTCGGCCATTGGCCTCTCAATCGCCATCTCCATCGGCTTTGACAACTTCCAGGAGCTCCTGAACGGTGCCCACGAGATGGACCAGCACTTCAAGACTGCTAAGCTTGAGGAGAACCTTCCCGTTATCCTCGCCCTTGTTGGCGTCTGGTACAACGACTTCTACGGTGCCCAGACCCAGGCTCTCCTCCCCTACGACCAGTACCTCCACAAGTTTGCCGACTACTTCCAGCAGGGCGACATGGAGTCGAACGGCAAGACCGTCACCAAGGACGGCTCGCGTGTCGACTACCAGACTGGTCCCATCATCTGGGGCCAGAGCGGCACCAACGGCCAGCACGCATTCTACCAGCTCATCCACCAGGGCACCAAGCTCATCCCCTGCGACTTCCTCGCCCCCGTCCAGACCCTCAACCCCATTGCCAACGGCAAGCACCACGAGATCCTCCTCTCCAACTTCTTCGCCCAGCCCGAGGCTCTTGCGTTTGGCAAGACCGAGGCCGAGGTTGTCAAGGAGCTCGGCGCTCAGTCGTCGAACGCTGCCCTGGTCAAGTCCAAGATCTTCGAGGGCAACAAGCCCACCAACTCGATCATGTTCCAGAAGCTCACCCCTGGTACCCTCGGTGCCCTCATTGCCCTCTACGAACACAAGATCCACGTCCAGGGTGCCATCTGGGGCATCAACTCGTACGACCAGATGGGCGTCGAGCTCGGCAAGGTCCTCGCCAAGGCCATCCTCAAGCAGCTCCCTTCGCCTGCGGACGTCACTGGCCACGACAGCTCGACTACCGGCCTCATCCACTTCTACCAGAAGCACCGCGCGTAAATTGGTAAAAGTGCATTAGCCACAAAGATTGATTTGAGGAGTGTAGTTACCGGTTCCATGTACAATCTAAGAAGCACAGTGTGTTGGAGTGTTGGATAGTGTGTTTTTCGTTGGCAGGTTTGGATAGGTGTCCTAGGGACAGACAGTGTTGTGCTACTTGCTCTTGGTCTCTTTTGCCTTTGACTTCGCAGCGGAACTGCGCCTGGCGACGCGTATGAGCATGTAGACGAGGAAGGTCCAACCGAGCCACACAACTGTCGCCGTTGCAATCTCCACGGGCACCTGGTAGGATGGCTTGGCGGCTGGCAGGTGTAACGTCATGTTGGCTGAAATATCTTGCACGTCTGAACAATCAGCATTGGACAGGCCACCTGGCGACGTACCCTGTACTCCCTCAAAGGCGCTGTGCCCACAAACCCACACTCGCCGGACGTTACCACCACCTTGTCCAAACACGGGCACGTCCCACCCAGCTTCAGGGGATGGTGGAAGATACCTGATGTGCAGAGGGATATCGACGTCTACCGCTTTGTCGTCACGATCCAAGGGCACGACAACTGTTAGGTTGACGAGAGGTGAATCTGGAAGGAGTGGGCGCTCAATGTCAATGACTCGCGGGCTCAACGTCCATGACAGGCGCGATGATGATGGACCAGCCAACGGCGCGTCGGTGTACACCAGGTCTCCGTGGTCGATATCAGGCGCACCCCACAGGTCAGCCAGCTCATCTGGGTCTGGGAAAAGGGCATCGGGGATGGCGAGGTCAAGGCGCAGGAAGCATGGTCCTTGCTGGTGGGCGTCGTATGGCGACGGAGACGGGGTGCCGTGGACGAGCAAGTGCGGGTGAAGGGAGGGTGTGAACTGCAGCTCGAGGTCGGCGGCGGAAGTCGTATCCGTAGCGGGCGTGCTTGAGGATGCTGCTGGTATGCCTGTAGGCATGGTGTTGGTCAAGTGTGCAAGTGGACGGGTTTGTGGGAGATGCGGAATCACGGAAGTGCTGGTCGGAAGTGTGACGCGGATGGCCGCTCGGGTAAAGAGAGCACGCTGGCGGCTTTGGCTGGCGCGGCCGGTCATTACAAACCGTCTGGCCAGTCCCCAAAGGGGCATTACCAGGTCCCGCTTAGATCTATGGATCTTGTATTTGGGCTCGCTTGAAACGACCGCAGACTCTGTCATATTGAACGGCCTAGTCGGGTCGGCGTCTATTCGGCTCGACCTGACAGGCGAACGAATCGTAACCGCTACCGCATTGCATGCCCCAGTTCTCATTCACTTGCTCACCACTCTCTACTCTCGCTGCTTGCCCAGCAAAACACACACGGCTTTGGCCTCCCCTCCCCCCTCCCCCGCATTCTTTTCCCCAAATCAGGCAGCATGTCGGCCGCTCGTTCCCTCCTCCGCGCTCTCCCCAAGCACGCCGCTGCCCGCCGCGCAGTTGTCGCTCCGCGAGCCCTCCACCCCGTCTCGGCACCTGTCGTCGCCGTCCGTCATGCCTCGACCATCCCTCCTCGCGCTGAGCAGTTCACAAAAGTGACTGCTGAGCACGTCAAGGCTCTCCGCGGTCTCCTTGGCTCGCCGAGCAGCCTCATTTCCACCCTTGACGGTTCGGCGACTGTTGATGAGCTCGTCACTTACAACGACGACTGGATGAACAAGTACCACGGAAAGGGCCAGGTGGTCATCAGGCCCAAGTCTACTGAGGAGGTTTCCCGCGTGGTCAAGTATTGCTACGACAACAACATTGCCATGGTCCCCCAAGGTGGTAACACTGGCCTTGTCGGTGAGTTGCTTACATTGCGATAAAAAAAAAAGTTGGGCCGGCACTCATTCTTAACCAGGCGGCGGTGTTCCCGTGCACGACGAGGTTGTTATCTCGACTGCCGGTCTTAACCAGGTCCGCTCGTTTGACCCTGTTTCGGGCACCCTCGTCGCCGACGCCGGTGTCATTCTCGAAGCCGCCGACAACTACCTCGCCGAGAGGGGCTTCATCTTCCCCCTCGACCTCGGCGCCAAGGGTTCGTGCAACATTGGCGGTAACGTCGCGACCAACGCTGGCGGTCTCCGTCTCCTTCGCTTCGGCTCGCTCCACGGAACGGTGCTGGGCCTCGAGGTCGTCCTGCCCGACGGTACCATCTGGAACGGTCTCAAGACCCTCCGCAAGGACAACACTGGTCTTGACATCAAGCAGCTCTTCATCGGTTCGGAGGGCTCGCTCGGTGTCATCACCGCGGTCTCCATCCTCTGCCCCCGCCGCCCCAAGGCTATGAATGTGGCTGTCTTCTCGGTTGAGTCGTACGAGGCCGTCCAGCAGGTCTTCGCCGAGGCCAAGTCGCACCTGGGTGAGATTCTTTCGGCATTCGAGTTCTGGGACGCGCAGGCCTACGATGTTGTCCGTCACCACAAGGCGGAGGTTGGCGAGGAGGTCCGCAAGGTCTTCGAGACTGAGGGTCCTTTCTACTGCTTGATCGAAACCGGTGGCTCCAACGGTGACCACGACGAGGAGAAGCTTGGCAACCTCCTCGAGGACCTCGTCACCGAGGGCAAGGTGCTTGACGGTGTTCTCGCCCAGGATTCCACCCAGTTTGCTGGCCTCTGGACCCTCCGTGAGGGTATCCCCGAGGCATGCGGTAAGACTGGCTCGGTCTACAAGTACGATGTCTCGATCCCTGTCAAGGACATGTACTCGGTTGTTGAGAAGGTCCGACTCCGCCTGCGTGAGAACGGTCTCCTGACTGGTGATGGCCAGGCCGAGGGCCCCATCAAGGCCTGTGTCGGATATGGCCACATGGGTGACGGCAACATTCATCTCAACGTTGTCGCCCCCAAGTACACTGATGAGATCGAGGCCGCCATTGAGCCCTACGTCTACGAGGTTGTTTGTGAGTGGAAGCACATTTCGTGTCAGTGACACATTAGCTGACTTTCCCAGCTGAGCTGAGGGTGAGTGACGAGGCTGCACACGGACTTGGGTTCTACGTCTTCATGTCTTTACGTTCTACGTCCTAAAGCCAATGCTAACGTGTTCTTTCCAGGGATCCATCTCAGCTGAGCACTGTCTGGGCCAGATGAAGGCTGGTGCCGTTCACTATTCACAAGATAAGAACTCGCTCGACCAGATGAGGCGGATCCGCAAGCTCTACGACCCCAAGGGTCTGATGAACCCATACAAGTTCATCTTGTAGTTGGTATACCCAGACAGTTGTTCGGCTCATGCAACACGTTGGCTCTCGGTGCGACAACGTACGCGCTGAATTTTTGAACTCATGTCCTAAATGGTGGGACAAGTGTGACGCTGCTAATGGTGGTGGCCTGTATAGGCAGGCAAGTCTGGGTGGCCTGCGCACCCTATACAATTCGCAAGAGCCTGCCAATGTGGCCCTCAAGCAACTAGGGAGGATGCCATGGTCAACCGACCACGCACAGGGGTGAACAACTACATGTGGGACCAGTTGGCGAGTGCCGCTGTGTAGGTACTGGTTAGTTACCCTTCCACAGGCGTACCACATGACGGGGACCTACACAGCCTGCGGGCGTGCTTCCGTGTCTGTGGCCACCCACAAGCATACCCACATTATCGTCTTCCGTTGCTGCATGCACACACTGTACTGTGTTTGGGCACTTGAATGACTCGTAATTCGGCCTGTGGCCTGTGGCGTGATCGCAGCTGCATTTCTCCAAATTGCAAGCTGGCCCGAAAATCTCAGCCACGAAGACACCCAAAAGGATGCGACTCAATCGCGTGTGCCTGGCCGTGCCGGTCAACCCCGTCTGCCTCGAACGTGTTTAATGTTGCATACCGCGCATCGTGGGTTGTTTTCAACTGCTCTCTCTTCACCATCAGTTACCAGTCCCTCAAACCGCGCTTCACCGGACCTCCTTGCCACCCCCTTTCCTCACGCCTCTAACAATGGCTCTCCTCGCAGTTGCTGACATTGCGCTTACAGGGTGGCTGACCGAACGCCACCCCCTTAACCTCTGCATCACAGTCTTATTGTGAGGGCCAACACGACGGGCACCACCCCGCATTCACGTTCTAAAGGTGTCAAAGCGACACAGAAGCGCACCGGCACCCCTTTGACGCAGCCTTCCATCACAAAGTCGAGTTGGGCCCATTGACCTTCAACAATGCCGGTCAGAGACCAGAAAGTAATTCCCATCACTGCCCCCTGGCCGTTTCGAGCCTGGCGGGATCCAGCATCCGAAAGACGCGTAGAAGAAGCAAACAACGAGCACTTAAGACGTAGGCGCTGAACACTGTTCTCCTCTACTGTTAATGATATCCCATAGCGATACTATCGATCCATTCCAACGCATTTGGGGTGAAGACATGGCCCATTCCAACAACGTCGGCCAGCAGGCTGTGCCCACCCGTTGGCCCGGAGCCAAGGGAACCCACACAATCCACTCCATCACCGAAATCCCAACACAGCTCGAAGCATCCCACACGTCCAGTTGTCACTCGGATCGCATAAGCGCTTCGACCCCCAGTGTTACCCGGTCCCAAGTCATGCTCCCCAGCTCGGCGGACAACTGCCGCAACGAACGGACAATGGGGACGGGTGCAGTCGGAGACGGCCTTGATCTTGGAAGTGATGGCCCACCGCCGCCCGATGGCGGAGTGGACATGCGTCCCGATCCGATTAGGGGTGGACAAGCAAGTATGCAGGTCGCTGAATGTACTCCCCGCTCGTCTCCTCTCGACCCAGACGTCGAATCGAGTGGTAAGTGCGCAGTAATGCAACGTGTTTTTGCTGCCAGAGCAATGTCACTGATGGCACCGCAGAACTCCTGGCGTTGCCCGGTATTATCGTTGCCCCCCACCCGGCGCCAGCGGGGCCAACCAACTTCTCTGTTGTTAAGCAAGCGTCACCTGGTGCAGGTGAGCCAATGGGATAAGTGTTAATGGTGCTGATATCCAGCTCCCAACGTTCTCGTCTCGGCGCCGTCGATCATTATGACCGACGGATCTTCACACCGGCTTGCCTGCGATGATGGCACCCGCAACGAGACATCTTCAAGCGAGAAGGGAAGTGGGCGGACGAGTAGTTCATCTTGTGTGACATCGACAACGGCTGGGCCAGTGACTCCCCAACGCAACAGTCCATACGTACCTGGTGAGTTGTTAAACTCGCAGAGTATAGCTAAACCCAGCTCGCAACTCGACCTCACCTGCTGGCCCGCAAGGCGTTTTTCTCCCTGCCTTTCCGTTCCGTTCCAAGCATGGCAGCACTTCTAGTATCGAGTATGCGTCACTCCGGCCACCTCCCACTCCGCCCTTGCAGTCGCGGCGCTTTGCTCCGGGATCGCCGGTTCATTCACCTGAACGTCGCCCAGCTCCACTGATGAGCTCGCCCTCTGGTCAGCCTCACCTTACGTCCTTCCACACCGACCTCTATGGCCTGATCGAAATCCCGCGATTCAAGAAGAGGGATCTTAACCTTGGTATCGTTCGCAAGGATGGCAGCTGGTTGCCCTTGGCGTGGGGTATGCTTTGGGCGTCGTCTGTGGGACAGACCTTGTTTGGAGTGGTGAGTTCCAGCGCTCTTATCATCAACTGACTATCAGTTTTTCGATGTCAACGTCATGTACACGCTGGTTCAGATTTCCCAGTACCCTGCCTACGGAACCAACACGCACCAAGTCTGGACATTTGCGACCATCGCATACGCTCTGTGCTGGGCCACATCGTTCTTTATTGTGTGGCTAGGTTGGGAGGTCGGCTACGAGTTCTGGCGCAAGTGGAGCCCGCATCGACCTGCTATTGAGCCTATCTATCGCTCGCTCCCAGCGAGCCTTCATCTCTCGCTGTGGTCTTTTGACCACTTCACCTTTTTGACGCACATCCGCCTCTCTGCCCTTGGAACGCCCCATGCCATGGATATTCTGCCTGAGACGGCCCATCTCATCGTCCAAACGGTCCCCGGATATCTGCCACTCGCTGCCCGCACCGCGATTGTCATCGCCGTCCTTATCTCGTTCTGGGATCCGGAGGCGTTAGTTCCTGGCGGCAACGTCGTGTCCGCTCATCGAGACCCTCACTTTTTCCTTGCGAGCAGTCCTGGCGCACTTGCGCCGTACGCCAAGGGTGTTCTTCTCACATTTGTTGTCACGGTCGGAGTGCGCACGCTTCTTATTTTCGTGTCGGCCATCATTCTCTGGATCTACACCTTGCACCCATTCGGTCTCGGCCTCGCCCAAGAACCAGGCTCTCCAGTGACGCCCACGCGCGACCCAGCATCTTGGAACACGCCGGCAAAAACCTGGAAGGAAGAAAACGAGCTCCAGTGTGCGTGGCGGGACCGTGCTCGCGCGAGGATTCAGAACGCGTTCGAGCTGTGCATCATCCGTTCGACACCGCGCACCCCCGAAAAGAAGCACGAAGAGCCCATGACCCCGACTACGCCTTCCCATTCGTTGGGGCCATACGCCACTCCTGTCGCTCTCCCGGCTCATCAGACAATGAATACGGCGCAAAATGGTGCCCTCGGTCCCATATGGGAAGAATCGCCTCAGCCTCCAGTCCGTTCCCCAGTGCCACACTCTGAGTCGTACTCTCCGACGTTGTCCCCAGTTGTTCATCGCGCAACAACTCGTCACGACCAACAGGACATTATCCACGGTCTCGGACTCTGTCCCTCCATTGCTGGTGTCGTTGCTGGAGCCTCGCAAATGGCCGAACAATGCCGCGAGCGCTCGCTCTTCTCCACTGAGGCATCGTCAACGACAACCGCATCTCTACCACGCGCGCTTCACCTGTCTAACGGTACCGACCTCATTGAGACGTCTGGCTCGGGCGTTGTGCCCAGCGGCAACATGCATCTCGCGGAAACCTCGTTTGTCAGCCGTTTGCAAGAACCAGTGACATGCCGTCAGCTCGCAGGAGTCATTCTGGAAGAGGACAAAGGTAACACCGACAAGGTTCATTGCCCTTCAGCTGATCAACTGGAAGAGCCTGTTGAGAGCGTGGTCATGTCCCAGACGTCACCTACTTCTCCCATTTCGCCACACCACTCCGAGAGCAGTGAGGAGCCGGTGGATTTCAGGCGCTTCCCCGACGACGAGGCCACGCCACCTCCCCGCTTCCGCCGCCCGAGGACACCCATGCCTCCGAAGCCGGTCACTTTGACAAGCTCCGAAGCTGAGAGCGACGAAGAGATCGAGGAGATTCCTGCGCGCCCTGCAGCTCCACCCTCGCCTGAGCCCAAGGTCAAGCCAAGGCCCAAGTCCAAGACAGACTACGTCGCCAACGACAGGATGTACCAACGTGCTTCAGAAGCCATGCGCCCCGAAAACAAGAAGGATACGTTTTACGAGCCCAAGCCAAAGGATTGGACATGGCGCTTCGACGACAAGCGTTTCCGAGGCAACGAGTCTCGTCGCCCTTGGCGCCCAAACGGTGACCCATGGATTCTCGAACAGTGGCGTACGGCAGACGACGTTGACCGCATGCTACTCGTGGCTTCACCTGCCGAGCTCACGGCCGGCGAAGAGGACAGCAACGACGCCGCGAATGTCATCTTGACAAACATGTTTATTGAGTCAGGTTCCATGACCCAGATTGAAGCCTACGCCTCGTACTGGAAGGATTACAGGGGCGGAACCTCGATTGGGGAGGCGATCAGGATGGGGGTGCGCTTCTGGAGTCTCCGCGAGCCGCCCGTTACGGCCACGGTCGAAGAGCTCGACGACACGCCAGAGCCAAGCCCGACCGCGACCTCAAGTACCGGTTCCGTCCCCTCCGTCACTGTCGCGGACATGCCAACATGGCGCCGGAGCGTCCTCGAACCGGCAGCTCGACGTGAAGATCCGACAACTTTGAGGGAGTCTGTAAGCGACGAGGTTGAGGAGCCCCTCAACACTGGGCTGCCCACCGAAGACCTGACAGACATGTTGGACGAACTGCCACCGGGGCGGTACGAATTTGCCGAGCTCACAGACATGGGCATCATCGACGACGCGAAAGACATGGTTGAGCTTGCGCCTCCTCATCGTCCTCCCCTTCCTGTTCCAGGATGGTACACGTTCGCTGAGCTACGCGAAATGGGTTTCACTTCTGTGGACATTGGTAACGCTATGGGCCCAAGGCTCGGTCCTCATATTTCGACGGCCGCCAGCACACCATCGCCTCCGCCACACCAGGATGACTCTCCACAGACGCCTCCTGCCCCGGCCGTTGAGCTGTTCTCTCAACCTACTGAGGCCTGTACATCTGAGTCGCGTAAACGCTACACTACGACGCTCGACTCGGCCGCAAGTGGTCATGAGCACATCACGCCACTTGGGCTGCCCATGTCCCAGCCAGCCTCGCCGACATTGCCGACAGCAGCACCAACATCACCAGTCGTCTCCGCCACTGCCATCGGTCTGCGAACATCGTCACTTGTCCCGGTGCCGCCGGAGTTTGGCGCCGTACTATTCGAGGTGGAACCTTCGTCCTCGTCCCCCGACTCGTCTTCCTCGTCTCCCCCTTCGCCTCCGCCTCTCCACCAGCGGACGTTGAGTGGTGGAAGTGGCACGGGATTGCCGCCACTCCTCGAGCTCCCCGAGGCTCTCAATACCACCCCTGTTCCTTTAAACTTTTCCGCCCTCGCCGACAGCCCGACCGACCACGAGCACGAGCAAACCTTAACAGACACACTCAGCCGCGGCCGTACCATCAGCTCATCAACGAGCGGCACCTCCTCCGCCCAACACCGTGCGCACCACCTTTCCGGCCTCGACTTCTTCATTCACCCGGACGAACTCCCCCACCCGCGTACCAGCCACGCAGGCGATGCGAGCCACGCGGTCCTCGCATCGCCAGTCCTTGCGGCCGCGTTTTCTCAACAACTGCACTCCGCTACGACCCCCATTGAAAGTGTTTTCAGCGCGCCGACCAGGTCGTACTTGTCGTCGCCGGCTCGGTCGCCTACAGGCGCTTCGGCCAATGTCGGACTCGGCGTCCCACGCGCCTCGAGCCCAGGGCCCAATGTTGCGGCTTTCCAGACTGCCCTCGCGACGCTCACGAAGAACAGCGTTGCCAACGGCCCGCAGTCTAGCGGTACCGCCACCCCCATACCGGCTCACAACCGCAATGGAAGCGCAACTGCGGCCGCCCAAGCCCGTTTCTCTCGCGAGTTGCAATGGGCCGACCACCGCCACTCTGGAGAGGTCCAGTCGCTGCGCATGGGGTTGGCGGACCTTCCGTGCGACCAACATCAACGGCATTCGGGCGAGGTCTCGTCGGTCAGGCGGACGGGTGATGGACTTGACGATGACCATTGGTCGTTCCACCGCGCGTCCGGCGAGTTTGTCCGTGACCGGCGCGGGGAGGGAGACATGCCAACGCCGAGAGACGGGCGGGCGTCCATGTCCTCGACCATGGATGCTGAACGCGAGTAGAGCGTAGTAGAATGTTGTACCACATACATATTAGAGAGAGCCCCCTTATGCGATGCCACAAACTTGATGCCTACGGTCAATATGAGCTTGAAAGGCATGATACATGATAATGTCCGTAAAACAAAAACAAAGTCCTTTGCTAACCTTATGGTTACACGAGGGTTGTCTACATGGCCTCTAAATGGTCATGAGACATTCCGGTATACAGGTCACTCGTCGTACTCCTCCTCAAACGTACACTCTTCAAGTCGCTGCAGCTCCTCGTCGGAAGTGGATGCGGTGTCGGCCATGACGCGCTCGCCATAGTACATGCTAGGCACGGACACGAGGCAGAAGACCAACCAGACGAGTTGGCGTTTGGCCGACATTGCAGATGAAGAGGTTGTAGCAAGTGAGAAGAAGGACGACACAATGAACGGCCCGATAGCGCGGCCAATAGCCTGTAAATGTTAGCAACAAGGCTTATCAACGTGCATCTGAGATGACCACAACAGGAAGGGACTGTACACGGCCAGCTGTGGAGGCGGTAGACGGCGCGTTACTCACTGCCATGCTGAAGGTTGCGCTGTTCGCCATTGCCAGGTACTCGGGTCCTGGGATAGAATCGAGGACGATTGTGTCCAGGAGTGTGGAGGCAAAGTCACCGACTCGACGGAGGATCATCTGAATGCCGAGAATTGTACACGCCGACATTGGCATGTAACCGGTGCGGTGGGAGAGTGCCCACAGGAGTGGAAAGAGGGTCACAGCCAAGGGATACATGAACAAGCCTGTGTCGAGTTAGCAACACGACTGAATGCCGCGTCACTCACAGATACGCAGAAGATTGGCTTCGCTCATCGATTTGTGGAGGATGGGGAACATGAAGATTGTCATGACGATTGACAATGCCGCCGATATCGACAGGACCACACCGATTTGCTGGGTCGAAAGTCCGAGGCCACCAATGCTCTTGCCCGTAAAGGCAAAGAGCGGGAAGAGTGCCTCCCAAGAGAACATGACACCATTGTTGACTTTTATCAGTACAAGCATGGCAGCCCTTGAAGTCTGGACTCACGACCATAAAGAATCAAGACATTCTGGAACTTGGGGTACGTAAGAAGGTGCTTGAGACCGCCGCCCGAGTTAGCTTTCTCGGCCTCGTACCGGTGGGCACTGGTGTTGCGTAACCGAGGTGGGAGAGTCTGAGGGTTAGCTCGCCACGAATACGACCACTCACCTCTGGGAGCCACAAGTACGCAAGGAAGGAAGCAATCCCGCCGACAACAGCTGTTACAAGTGACGGAAGAAGGTAAGGCCAGTCGGCAAACAGGGTCCACGACTCGGAGAGGAGGCGGGGGACTGGACGCGAAAGGAAGCCGCCGACAAGAGGCGCAATGGTCACACCAATGGTGAACGCGGGGGAGAAGAGAGCAAAGCCTGAGGGGTCAATATGGTTGACCTTGTACATGGAAGCGCCACTTGACGTGGTGTTGCTTGGGCCATCGGAGTATTGAGGCAACGGCGGTGGCGGCGCCTCAACAACAAGAACAGGTACCTACCTTTGATACGGTTGCTCTTATCGCAAAGCTCGCCGCACATGGTCCGCGAAATGACACCTGCGCCAGCAAGCAGACCCACTGGTTCCGTCAACATGGATTGCCTGTGAAGGGGGAATAAACGCACAAGCTCCGCGCAGAACGACTGTGCTCCACGGCGAATGCGCAAAGCCGAAGATAAGGGCGGAAACCCCCCACAGCCCCACCAGGGGGACGAAGACTGTGCGCCGTCCAAAACGATCCGCAAGCGGGGCATACAGCGGTGCGGCGATGGATTCAGTGACCATGAGGACCGATTCCTGCTGCGTCAGACGCGCTGAAAACAAACGAACGCCTACTCACGGCAGTGGCCGACCAGATGCCGACCTGCTCCTCGGGGACGCCAAAGTCATGCATCATCTCGTTGATGTAAGCTGAAAGCGGTCAGTTGTGGGGAACGAACAAGAAACGGGGGTTTGACTTCACGCACGGAAGATGACGGCAAATATGAGGCCCTCAGCCACGCGCGCGATGCAGAGGGGGATGATGGCGAGCACAGGTACAGGAGTCGCCTGCGTCCGCTGTGGGCCGTACAGGTGTGAGAACGGTCCAGAGAGGGGATGTCCGTGGGGCGTTGTTGGCGTTGTGCTCATCTCGGACACGGCGCTGGCGGGAGTCTGAGGCGGGGAATACACCGAGGTGTCAATGCCATACGCATGTCGCTGAGCGAGAGCAGCAGGTGCTCTCTGGAGGAGGTTATCCATCGACATGCCGTGTGATGAGCGTGCGGTGTCGGAGAGGGGGGACGGCCGACGTTGAGCCGCTGGTGCGGCGCCAAGAGTCGCCATGGGGACACTGCGATAATCTAGGGTTGGTGGAGAGGGGATCTATGGATCTCTGGCCGATCTCAAGAGCGTGTACTGTACTTTGTAGGCCTCGGTCTTGTCTGTTGTATGCAGTGTATGTGTAGTGGGTGTAGTGTGCAATGCGGCCAGGTGCGTTTCGATGCAAATGAGTGGCCGAGTGTGAAAACAGAAGCAGCCATGAGATTCCTGCGGCACTTCTTTCGTCCTAGGTCCTGCACATCTGGACAAGCGCGCCGAGAAACGGCCGTTCCGGGGTTGCAACGGGGGGAGCCGGGGGTGGGGGGTGCGACGCGTCCAGCTTGGGCTCTGACACCCATTTTGCATGCGTCTCCCTGCCCAGCATATGCCGCGCGGGGCCATGGCCCCCCCGGGTCGTCAATTCACACCACGCCGGCTTGCGCGCTTGCAGGTTTGGATGCCGAACAAGGTTGACGGACGTTTTGGCGCGCGCAATGTGCCTGGGGGCCCCAGCCTACCTGTCCCCTGGTGGCCTGGTGACCTGCTGGGCTCTCGCCATGCACTCTGCATCTACAGAGTATGCATGCATGCACGCACAGGCCGGTACGCTGGTGCACAAAGCACAGAACAAAGTACGCGAATGATAGATTCCTTCGTTTGAAGCGGAACAAGCTCACAGTGGCCAGTGGCCAGTGGGGCAGCACTTTCTGGGATCAACAGCAAGACAACCAAAAATGCCCACAGGCCACAGGCCAAAGGAAAAGAAACGAAAAACGGCGACATTGAACTGACCTGCGTACTTGCAGCCATCATGTTTAACCGGATTTAACCAGCATCAGCTTTCTGTTTGTTTGCTGCGCATGCAACACAGGTACACAGGCCCCACGAGATACCAGTATACCAGAGGCGGTCGTCGAGCGGATCGAGTGGATCGTGAGCCGCACATGGCAGAGCCTGCGTAGGGCCGTAGGGGACGCGCATGGCAAATGGGTTTTACGTAAAGTCTGCTGACGCCTGCATTGGGTGCTTGCTGCATACGGAGACACGTCGACTCACAACGAGCCTGCACGCCTGACGGATATGGGAAATGGCCGGCGCCCATAGTCCTCACCAATTCACCAAGTAGTTTTCTATAGCTGAGCATGCTGACAGAAAAGCCGCGAGTGTGGAACGCGGTAGTGCAGTAGTGTCTACGTGCTGGCATGTGCGCGGGCCGTCCGTCGGGTGCACGTGGTTGATTAATAAACAGCTGTAAACCGGCGGATTAAAAAAAACTGCCGGCGGGAGCTAATGCCCTCGGTCGTCCCACCGGGCGCCCAGGCGCCCAAGCGCCCATGAGATCACCGCCCCCCGCTGGCCGCCGCCGCCTGGCACACGCGTCGCCACTGGCCCAGTCGGCCCGTCGTCGTCGCCGCCGTCGTGTGTTTCTTGCCATCGTCGTCCTCTTTCTTTGTCTTCCACTCACCCTTGCGTACGCCGGATCCCTCCGACCCGTCACTCTCGTCTCATCTCATCTCCTCTCTGTCCCTCTCTACTCCTCTCATCGTCGCTCCTTTAAAACAAACAACACCCACACACCCGTACCCGCCTCCTCTCGCTGCCCCCACCCTCCCTCATTCTTTCACAATGGGCGCTCGCATCTACGCTCCCGTGGAGATTGCCCAGCGTAAGTTGCCACCAGGGGACAAATCAGCCTCTTAAGCTGACATTTCAACAGACAAGACACGTCAGTCATGCTGGGTCACCATGAAGGGCAACGTCTATGACCTCACGCCTTTCCTCGAGGACCACCCCGGAGGCGACGACATGATCCTTGCCTACGGTGGCAAGGATCTCGGCAAGGTCATGGAGGACCCCACCGAGCACGTTCACTCCAACTCGGCCTACGAAATGATGTCCGAGTTCCGCATCGGCGAGCTCGGCGGCGCAACCTCCGTCTCTGATGGTGAGTAGACGTGTGATACGCAGCGCTGCGCCGGGAGATTCTGGCCTCCAATCCGTGAATGGCATTCACCGTATTGTTGTGTTTAGCAACCAACATGCCGTTGCCCCTCTGCGATATCACGCGCCAGGTACCATCACAGACCACATATGCTGACATGCCAGACTGGGATGGCGATGAGAACTTTGACCCGAGCGAGACCAACGTCACCTCGGACTTTTCGCAGAACAAGTTCCTCGACCTTTCCAAGCCCCTCCTCATCCAGGTCTGGAGGGCCCCTTGGTCCAAGGAGTACTACCTTGAGCAGGTTCACAACCCTCGTCACCTCAAGGAGTCGGCTCGTCTCTTCGGCCCTAGCTTCCTCGAGGCGTTCACGCGTACCAACTGGTATGTGGTGCCCATTTTCTGGACGCCCATCACCCTTTTCCTCGTGTACCTTTCGCTCCTTCAGTTCACCGACAATTCGATCCTTGCGGGTGACGTCCTCCAGTTCCCCCTTGCTCTCGACCGTCTGCCCACCCCCAGCATCTCGGCCTGCTACAAGACGACCGCCTGCTTCCTCCTCGGCAACTTCATCTGGACCCTCCTCGAGTACGGCATGCACCGTTTCCTCTTCCACGTCGACTACTACCTCCCGGACCGCAACTGGGCGCTCACCCTCCACTTCCTCCTCCACGGCGTCCACCACTACCTCCCCATGGACCGCCTGCGTCTTGTCATGCCACCTCTCCTTTTCTTTGTCCTCGAGACGCCGTTCACCAAGCTCGCCCACTTCCTCTTCCCCAAGGCGATCGCCAATGGTATCATCTCTGGCGCTTTTGCCTTCTACATCTTCTACGACTGCTGCCACTACGCTCTCCACCACACTCGTCTGCCCCACTACCTTGCCGAGCTCAAGCGCTACCACCTTGCCCACCACTACAAGAGTAAGTCTAAAAACTGAACGCCGTGGGCGGCAGTTCCAACTTGTTTCCTGTCATTGTGCTGACGCTTTGCAGACTACGAGAGGGGCTTTGGTGTTACCTCGCCCGTGTGGGATTGGCTGTGTGGCACTGAGTGAGTAACGGCGATGCGATGAGCTTGCGAAGAGGTCAGGTCGCTGACATGTTCAGGTTCGACAACTACAAGTGGAACTGGAGCAAGTAAACGAGGCCGTCGCAGACGGCTATTGTCGTCGCGAACAGCTATGTAGTCATCTAATAATCACCTGTTACCCCATACCCAAGACCTGGCCGTGCTCCCGGCTCATGCATAGACGCGAAAATTGCCTTCGATTCCATGAAGAATGGCGCCGATCTGTGCAGGTTGCAACCTTTCTCTTGCTGTCTGTCTACGTCCCGTTTTAGACCTAGCACCACCCACCACTTACACGGAGGCAGCAGAGGACGAGCGAACAGAGTGGGCGGTGTAGTACACCGGGTGTCTGCACATTATTGCTACTGTCGCGAGCATGGCCACAGCAACCGCCTCGGGGACCTGGGGCTGAAGCAACGAAGGGAGGCACAATACATATATATATACGCGAGGCAGTAGAATTGATAATAAACCCACGAAGTCTCGGTCGGTATATAGCGCTCCTGTATCGAGGTCTCGAAGAAATGTGGCGATAAACAGCGTTGGTTAGCCAAGCGAACCACATACCTACCTCCGGGAATGGCACGCGCTGGAGACCCCATCCGCTTTCTTAGACACAGTCAGTGAATCTCTTTGCTCTGGTAGAATTCCCTCATCCTGATTGATTGCACGCATGTCCGTGCTTTCGCTTTTCGTATGCAATAACAAGCAAAAAAGCAGTGCGCGGAGGATACATCTAGTTGCTCTTTTTATTGATTAATTTTGTTGGTTTTGTTCCCGAAACGCCAATATTGTTGGACCGATTTAATACAGCACACACATACATATCTCCTACCGCTTTACCTGCATCCCGAGCGAACAATGTGCAATACATGTGAGGAATACCGAACTAGAATCCAGAAGGTGGGCGACGGGTTGGACGGGCAAAGATCTTCTCAAAGCAGTCAGCAATCAAAGGCCAGATTAAAATCTGCCCACAAAGTCGTCATACAATAAGCTACTCTGTGTTGTGTGGAACCCACCAGCTTTTCCTATGCGCACATATACATTTCTCTCTGATATACGCAGCCAGAAAGTCCCCTGCCTCTCACCTGCCTCATATGGCAACCCAAAGGCACCTGGTGAACGGGGTCGATCGGAATCGCGACTCACCCTGATGTTACTTTTGGCAAGTGGTGGCAAGGAAGACGAAGATAGAGTGGTGCTAAACGAAAAAGTGATAATGTCTTAACGCAATGGGAGATGTTGCTGTGGAAATTGGGGTCATGGAAGATAGGTGTGGTGAATAGTGCAAAAAGATGGAGGAGAATCGTTACCACGGCGTGAAGAAGACTCTGGTAATGGAGGGATCATCTGGAACGGGCTGGAAGAGGGCGCATATGCTGTGCTTCTCACGGACTGGACCCATTGTTCTCACCACAGACGGGTATGACTGACGAACACAGCGGGAACTGTTCGCGCTGTTACCACCACCCATTCCACGTCGACATATCTGTTGGCCGCTGGCGCCGCTGGTGAGTTGGATTCACCGCAGTCACGTCGATGCTCCCAAGTGCCACGGATATTTCGTTTCGCTTTCGACAGGAGTGACTCCACTCCATGCATTGGCTGTCCGACCTCCTGTCATCCCTTCGTCACTTTTACTGTCCTACTATAGCATAATCAACACCCTCCCAGGACCCAGCTGACCCCATTCACAGCACCATGTCCACCACCTATCGCAACACCCGTGGCAAAACCATGGGCCCCAGGACCCACCCACCCCAAGAGGCCACAGCCACCGCCCACACAAACACGGACACAACTGGCAACAGCCCCAACCCCGACACCAACGTGACTTCGACGTCCATTCACGCACCCGTTGCTACCACTTTCACTGCCTCGGGCGTCTCTGGCACGCTCACCGCCGCCGAGCACATCAACCTCATCACGTCGTGCGTCATGATCGACCAAAACGAACGCATCATTTCGCTCCTTTCCGGTCTTGTGCTGGACAAGTACGATTTCGTCCCGCCTGAGAGCAAGCCGAGTCCCGATGTTGCAGCGCTGTATCGCCACGTTGAGAGTCTTAGGTTTGAGGTGCCTCGTACTGGAGCTGGAACAGGAACTGGAGCGACCAACGTCAAGGGCAAGGGGAAGAGTGCCGAGCAGGGGCAGACGTCCGATGTGGAAATGGAGGCTGGGCCATGGGTCGGTCAGTTGTGCTCAGACCACGGCTGACTCTGCAGCGTTACAAGTCAAACTGGCCCGACGACGAGGCCAGCTCGTCCGAGTGAGCGAGACTAGCGTGCGTTCCTGTGTACCACATGTTCATTCATACTCATGTCCACTGTATACATGTAACACGAGAGACTGTGCCGCCGTGTGCTTGTGAATGAGTGGGAGGGCCAGCGTGTCCGCTCCACTTGTCTGTGTCTGTGCAGAGGCGCAGAGGGATGCAGCGATCAGCCCGAGTTTAAGAACGAGCCCATTGTGTCAGCGGCCAGCGAGGCCAGCGGCGAGTGGAGCCAGCAAGGTTGCTACATAGCTGCGAGGAGAACATGCGCCCAACACTGTCACATGCGCATGTTGTTCCCCCCCCCCAACTCGTGTCAACACTCACGCAGTCTGTGATCTTTGCTCTAGCATCCTCAATCCTCCTTTATGAGTTCACCACCTTCAGGTAATGAAATAAACACCCTTATAACCATCACTCACACCCCAGCAATGTCCTCAGCGGACACCCATCCCCAGATGGAAGTGCTCAGCGACCACTCCCGCTTTGAGTCTACAATCATTTACCACTCGGCCATTGCCGCGGCGACCAACAGCGTTCTCGCGAACCAGCTCGACACGGACACGCTTACTCCGGGCATGGCGAGCATGATCTTGGATCAAAATGAGCGCCTCATTGCTCTTCTGTCCGACCTTGTGGAACGCAAGGACGCGGCTGACAGAGTCGAGAGGGAGCGCCGGCAGAGGGACAAGGACAACAAGGGAAAGAGGGGTTCAGTGCGCTTTGTCGATCCCAGGCCTGTTTCCATGCCTCTCCCTCAGTCTCTGTCTGTGACTGCCGCATCGCCCAAGGCACAACAACGTCGCCAGCACCGTGTGGGGTCGTTTTACCGTCGTATGGTGGACCGCGTCACTGTCAAGTTCCACAAACACAAGGGCAAGACGCTCAAGAGAGAGGCGGGCAAGGACAGGGCTGCGTCTACCTTGGACAAGGAGGACTTTCTCCGCTGGGTGAGGTGGAAGTTTGAGATAGCGTTTGACGATGGCAGCTAACCGCCTCAGTGATCAGTGAGCAGTGAGCCCCCGCTGTTCGTTTCTTGGGTTCGCGAAACACACGTCCGTCTCCCCGGAAGGCAGAGCCCTTCGCAAGCAGACAATGGCGCAAGGTGTATGCATAGCTGTGCAGAATCATGTCACTACTGACCCGTTCGTGGACTGTGCGTGTCTCCGATTCACAGCGTGTAATGCGCTGACGAGACCGGAGCCGGCGTCCACAAGCGAAAAAGTCTTGGCCAGGCTTGGCTGGTGGCTCCTGGCTGGTGGCAAATTGGCGGGATGTGTATGCAGGTATTGTCCCCAGCCCACAGCCCACCTGCTGGCCTGCTGTCCCCTTGGTACCTACTTGGACCGTACAGTACATCTACGCGCCTGACCACGTATGGTCTCTTTCAAGCAGCAGAGAGGAGCCTCACAAACAATTTGCCCGCGTAGGCTCTTGATTTTCCTGCAAATGCCACCTGGAAGCAACACAGCCGAGCCACCGCCAAAAGACCCAGAAAGCCGTTGCCTGTATGCAGAGGCTCAAAAGCAGTCACTACCAAGCGTCACCGTGTCAAGGTAGTTCTCGATCCCCGAGAGGCCAGCAGCAACATGGACGAGCCTCGGATCCGGTGCATGCTTTTGACTCGGACGACCACAGGTGCAGTGATGGCCGCTGCCACCCTGAGCGTAATGGGCTGCCCGGTTGTGCCGCTCCTACACCTCTCCAGACGTCCAGACATGAAGTGATCGCGTCTTGCGCGGTCCCTCTGCCAACAGCCAAGGACCAACGGCCAATTAGGACGACGACCTGTGTTGAGATCTGGACTGTTTTGAATCCTGTGGGTCCACAAGGCTTCCCGCGTTGGACCCGGGGGGCCGGTAGAGTGGGTTGACGGGAGATCGCCGTTCAGATATTCAGATCCCGGCCAAACACCTAACACAAGCAAGACCAAAGGCCGGGCTGCCGAGTGTATGCTTGTAATGCAGACGGCTTGTAGTGAGCAAGCAGGGGGGAGGGACCGAACTGTGCGTACAGCATGTAAGTATGCTGTTGCTGCTGATGCTGCTCTTGTACACTTCAGCTTTGTGGGGGCTCCAGCTCCCCACTCGTCTAGCCTTTGAGCGGTGCGGAGTTGACGACCTTTGTGGCTTTCGTTTGTGCCTGCGTATGCGTGCTCGCGGCGACACACTGTAGCTGTGTGACTCGCACGTTTGCACCATTGGTGTCTCATGCCTCCCCAAACCCGTATGTCAAGTGCTTAGAAACTAGGCAAGGCATTGTCCTGGGCCCAAGACAGTGGTAAGAGCAGGGGGAGTGGGACAGGGGAGTGGGACACGAGAGGAACAGCAGCAAGAACCCAACCGCGGGGGGGGGGGGGGCCTTAGGTCTGCGTGTCCGGCGTGGCCAACAGAGACTAGGGAACTAGAGTACTTATACAACATGAACACGCCCGTGTCGCACAGGAGAGAAGCAAAAGGCCAATGTTAACGTCGAAGTGATGTGATAGGGGTGTGTGGGGCTGCACCGATTGAACGATCACCCATGGGAGGAGAGTGTGGTGTGATGGAGCGATGAAGAGTGCGTATACCTCTGACAAAAGGAAAGAAAAAAAGAGTAAAGAAAAGAGACAAAGCAGAAAGCATAATGCAGCCATGCAGCCACAGCATGGGGGGCACCGAGATCCCACACCCAGAGCGCCAGAGCGCCAGAGCATGGCCCAGACAGCAGCTGGCGCAGCGGGCTGGCAGCATCATCATCATTACGCGGGTGGAGCCGACAGGCAGACCGAGAAAAAGAAGACGGCCAGTGAGACGGAAGCAAAAGGGGGTCGACGAGTTGGCCGAAAGAGTCACCTGGTGGTGGGTGGTTGGCCTGGGTGGTGTGGGCGCGCGCACGCGGGGGGGGGGGAAGGCTTCCTTCCCTCTCTCCCACCCCACACCGCCGCCGCCGCCGTCTTCCCCCCCCCGCGGCCCCCGTCCCTTCCTTCTCCATCCCCCTCCTCCATCCTCCATCCTCCATCCTTCAAGTCGCCCTCTCCTCCCCGCCTCCCTCCCCCCTTCTCCCTGCGAGCATCATCACTCTTCACACCTCTCTCCTCCCCATCGCAGCAGCAGCAAGCCGCCCATCGGCTCTGCTTGTACTACCTTCCCCACATCGCACACCACCACACATCGTTCGCGCTCAGTCTTTTTCGCCTTTGCCTCTCCCACCGACACTGCCATTAGTTGTGCGCGCGCGCACAGCGAGAGCGTCCTTCTTTTCCCATCCTCGACATTGACGGGCAACACATCCTCCACGCTGTCCTAGTCGCTCAATCGCACTCCCATCCCCCCTCCCCGCCGCCCTCTTTCACGACACCACCAGCAGACACGTCCGTGCACCGAACCCTCTCCCTCCTCCGCTCTTGCCGCCGAGAGAGTGTGCCCAGGTGACCTCATCCAACGCCGCCCTTCCACCTCCTCACCCTCCATCTCCAACGCACACCCCCCCCGTCCTCCCTCACACGAGCACACCTGCGTCTACAAGCATCCATCCACATCACCCACTGTCGCACAACAACTGGCCTGCCGGCTTTGTTCGTCATCTCTGTTCCCGACACTTGTGCGCCCGGCCTCCTCCGCGAGTCTTTGTCCCATCAATCTCGCTACGGCCCACGACAACGAACATCGTCCTCGCACCCCTCACCCCCCACCTCCCCGCGAGCACTCTTGCACTGTTCCCCCCCCCCGCTCCCCCACGTGCCCAACCTGGCACTAGGTCTCTGTGACCATGTCCAACTTTGGCCAAGGCTTCCAGAACAACTCGTTTGATCCCTCCCTCCTCTACGGACTCCCCAATGCGGGCGGTAACGGAGTCAACCTGGGCAACTTGGGCAACCTGGGAAACGTTGGCAACGTCGGCGATGCATCCCAACAGGTCCAAGGCTTCAACCTCAACAATGTCAACCTCGGCGGCGTGTCTGGCGTCGGAAACGTCGGTACTGCCGCCGCCGGAGGGACACTCCCACCAGGGTGGCTCAACTCGTTCAACAACCTGCAGTCCCAGGCCGCCAACCAACTCAACCAGCAACAACGACCGCCCAACAACGCCCAGAACCCACAGCTTGCGGGCATGTCTCTGATGGCTAGCTCTGGGCAGCCCAATGATGGCCAGCGCCAGCTGGAGATCGTGAGTGGTGGAAGAACCGGGGGAGAGAGAAGGGCGCGCGGGGGGATTTGGAAAGAGGCACGGAACGTGGCTTTGCCAAGCTGACACCCACTGTTCAGTTGCGTTCTATGCAAGCTGTCCGCGCCAACAACGCCGCTGCGGCCACGGGCGGCAACAACATGTCACAGCAAAACTCCAATGCAATGGCCCAGCAGCTGCAGCAAGCCCGTGCTCAACTCCAGCGCCAGGCCGCCATGCAGCAGGCTCAGCAACAGCAGCAGCAGCAGCAGCAGGGAATGGGCCAGCAGCAGCAGCAACAGGTCGGCCAGCCCCAGGAGGGTGTCAACCAGCCCAACTATGCGGCCATGGCCATCAAGGCTTCCGAGGCCATCATGAACACAAAGGTGTGTACAACACACACAGCTGTGCTGACTTGTGGCAGGATATCGTGTCATTACCTCCGCAGACCGTCAACAACTACATGTCCCTGCTTGGCAAGCACCCCGAGGCCCCCGAAGTGCAGGCAGCAATGCAGCGGTTGTGAGTGTGATGGGAGCGATGGGAGTGATGAGGAATGAAACACACAGTGTGCTGACTAGTCTCTCCCTCAGGCAAGCGGCTCAGAATGCCAACAAGAATGCCGCCGCGGGTGGTATCAACTTCTCCAACGCCTCCTCGTTGATGGGCAACAACAACGCCGCCAACCTTCAACAGCGCCAACAACAGCAGCAGCAGCAACAGCAACTGCAACAGCAGACTGGCATGCAGCAGGGCAACCTGCAACAGAACCAGCTTGCCGCTGCCCAACGCGAGCAACTGGCCAAGCGTCTCCAGCAGGCCCAGGCCCAAGGCGGACCGCTCAGCGCCCAGGCTCAGCAGCTGATGGCAATGACTGCCCAGCAGCGCGCTCAAGGCCAGCAGCCGCGTCTTCCCTCCGGCACCCCCAACCTGCAGCAGCTCAACATGTTCCAGCAGAACCCTATGCTCGCCAGCAACCAGACAGTCCAGCAGACCCTCCTGCAACAACTCCATCAGTCTCAGCAAGCCCAGCAGCAGCAGCAGCAGCAACAGCAACAACAGCAAAACGTGGCTGCCCAGCAGGCGACCCAGAACCAGGCCAGGCAGCAGGTCACTCCCACCCAGACCCCGGCCCAGCCCCAACAGACGACACCCCAACTTGCCTCAGCTCCCCAGCCACAGATGACCCAGCAAAACGTCGCAACCACTCAGTGGCAGGGCCAGACGATCCCGCTCCAACCAACACCGATTCGCAACCCTGGTTCTCTGCCGACCGAGGACGAGTGGCTGCGCTTTTTGCGCAACGTCAACAATGACCAGAACTTTCAGTACCCGGTCATCTTGGGCAAGCAGGTCAACCTCTTCAAGCTATTCGCCTACGTGTATGCGTGCGGTGGCTACCGCGTCTTTGACCAGCAGCCCGTGGACAAGTTTTGGGGTGTGGCTGCCGGCACTGTTGGCTTGAACACTGGCAGCGCCGAGATCAACGGCAAGGCGGTATCAGAAATCTACCATCGTCTCCTCATCAAGATTGAGGACATTTGGACTGCTAGCCAGCGCGGGAACGGAACCGCCAATGCCAACAATGGTAACCAGCAGCAGCAACAGCAGCAGCAGCAGCAAAATGCCCAGCAGACCGCCCAGAACACCCAGCAGCAGCAACAGAACACGCTTCAGCAGGGTGGTATGCCACAGCAGACCCAACAGACCCCCCAGCAACAGCAGGCTGCTAGCATGGCCCAGCGTCTCAGCCAGTTTACGCCCCACCAGCAGCAACAGCTTAGCGGCCTTATGGCTCAGCACCAGGCCGCCCAGCAGGCCCAGGCGCAACAGGCTCAACAGCAGCAGCAGCAGCAGCAGCAACAGGGCACTCCGCAGCTCCAGCAACAGCAAACTCAACAGCAGCAGCAAGGCCAACAACAGCCCGGCCAGCAGACCCCTCAGCAGACGACGCAGCAACTCCAGCAGCAGCAGCTCGGACAAGGTCAACCCGGCCAGGCGCAGATGCGCCCCGCCATGCCCAACGTACTCTCGGCCGACTTTATGAACCAGCTCGCCAACAACCCCAACCTCGTCATGACCGAGGAGCAGCGGAGGATGATCCAGAGCGTCCAAATGCAGCGCATGATGGCGCAGCAAGCTCAACAGGCTCAACAGGCTCAACAAGCGCAGCAACAAAACAACCAGCAGGCTCAGCAGGCGGCGCTCGCGGCTCAACAACAGCAGCCCCAACAGCAGCAACAGCAACCTCAGCAGCAAGCGCAGCCTCAACAGGCTCAATCGCAGCAGGTTCAGCCCCAGCAGCAACGCGTGCCGACGCAACCCCAAGGCCAGCCTCAACAGCAAGGTCAGCAACAGCAGGCTCAACAGCTTCAGCCTGGTGGTCAGCAGCAGCCCCCTCAGCAAGGCCAGGCTCCTACCCAACAGCCGGGCCAGATGAACGCCACCCAGGCGCGCTTGGCCGAAATGGTTGCGCACATTCGCCAGCGCGAGTCTGAACTCGAGGCCAACTTTATGGCTTCGCGCAGGACGCTTCCCGAGATTCCCGCCGAGCAGCAGGCCGACTATCAAAATGTGCTCGAGGTGCTTGCCAAGCTCGTGACTGAGGCCAAGACCAAGAGTCCGCTGTTTAACATTTTGGCCAACAACGACGAGGACAAGATGAAGTTCCAGACGCTCCTGCAGCTGTCGTCCATTTCGTCGGCGATCATCAACAAGGCTCGCGCCGGTACCCCGATCCTCAGTTTGAAGGAGACGGACGGTATCCGCATGAAGCTTCAGGATGTCCTGCGCGGCGCCGTCCAGCACCTCCAGGCTGCCATGAACGACCAGCGTATGCGTCCGCGCATGCAGCTCCTCACCACGGAAATGTCCAGGGCCAACGCCGCTGCGTCTACAATTGTTTCTGCTCATGCCGCGCAACAGCAGGCTCAGCAGAACAACAACAACAACCAGCAGCAGCAGCAGCAGCAGCAGCAACAGGCTGCCCTGCAACATGCCCAACAGCAGGCTCAGCAGGCCCAGCAGTTGGCTCAGCAGCAGGCGGCTCAACAGGCCCAGCAGGCCCAACAGGCTCAGCAGCAGCAGCAGGCTGGGCCCCAGACTGGCACGCCTCAGCTCTCTGGTACACCGATGCAGCACGCGGCCATGCTGAGCCCCGAGATGGTCAACAACCTCATCAAGCGCCCGCTCAAGCAGGAGGACCTGAAACCTCCCCCTCCCCCTCGCTCGCGCGGCAAGGTCAAGGTCGAGCCGTCACCCAAGCCTATCAAGGAAGAAACCCCGCGCACCCCGGCGACTACTGCTGGTACCCCCGCTGGTGAGATGACGACGCCAAACTCGACAGCTGCCAAGCGGCCGCAAAAGCGCAAGGCGTCGACTGCCACTCCCAAGACTACGAAAAAGGCCAAGGGAGACGACAAGAACGAGGCCAGCCCCGCGACTGGAGCCACTCCTGGAGCGATGCAGGCGCCAACCCCGACGGCCGGAGCCGACACTGCGCCCGCGTCTGGTCCATCGGCGGCGTCTACTCCTGCAGCCGCGGGATTCACCGGCAACGCGCTCAGTGTGTCTCGCGCCACGCACGCCGACTACTTTGCCCAGCAGCAAAAGGCTGCCGAGGCCGAGCGCGAGCAGACCGCACAGTTCTTTGCCGCCCGCAACGCCACGGCCAACTTTGACGGTGACCTGTCGGCGGCATTCAACCTCTGGACCGAGGCACAGGCTGCACCCGCGATGCCTATGGGCCCCGGCGGCCCTGGAGGACTGGGTGAGGCCGCTGCGACCCTTGGCATTTCATCGGCAGCCGACGACGCCCTGGCAGACCAGTCATGGCACGACTTTATCAACGAGCAGAATTTTGATCCGGACGAACCGACACCACTGTTAACAAGATGTCGGTCTCTTGATACGGATCCCGAGTGCAGCCCCCGCGATGCCGACCTGATCGGTCGCTCCCCCCTGGTGTCGATGCACCACATTGGTGGTATGGGTATGCCCCAGCAAATGATGGACAAGTACGCTGCCGCTGCCGCCGCCGCGTCCGGTGGCGCTGCGGCACGACGCGTGCCCCTCATGAGCCCTTCCGCACAGCCGTACAATGGCATGCTGTTTGCCGACCACGACGATGGGGTCGGATTGGAAGCGTTCATGTAGAGTGAGCCCAGCGAGCATTCGAGGCCCAGCGCGTGAGCTCTCGACGACCACCCCATCAGCATTCAGCATGATTCTGTAACGCAACGCCAAAGCACTGTACCGCCACAACAAACGATTCGATCCCACCATCATTGACATGCCCCCACACCCACGGTTTCTTCCTCCATCTATCAGGTTTCCAACTCGTTTTCCCATCGTGCCCTTCCCTTTATCCAATCCGGTTCTATTTTTTCTCCCTCTGGTGTACCATGTGTAATCTGTAATACCTCCCCCGACCAACCCTCCTCCTCCCCGCTCTCTCCCCCAATCCACGATTATGTGCGGCCTGGTGCGACAAGCCACGACGACCGACGCTCTCTTCATCGAGCGAGCTGAAAGAACGAACATGGATCAGGACCCACCCAAAAGAATTAAAAAACGAAAGACAAGCCGAAACAAAGCCCCCAAACGCGTGCGCTGGCGGCGAAGTAGTAGTTAGTGTGTCTGTCTACCTTTGTACCTCCCCATAATCTAGCCTCCGCGATCTAGCGAGATATGCAGTGTGCACGAGCGAGCAAAACCGAGTTGTGAAGTGGGGAGGAATACATTTGAATCGATTTGTCTTGGCATGGCGGTGTGGGACGTGTTTGTGGCTGTGAGGGTGCCCTAATTCTGGACGCGTGTACCCCAACAGCGCGCGTATTCGTTCTGGTGTGTGGTGTTGAGGGAGGCCCAGGAAATGAGATATAGGCAGTGCCCCATGGTACATGGTTAAATGAGTGTTGCACTGTAATGCATGCATAACCGGCACGGACCAAAGCACTGCAGCAGCAAGAGAACGATCCCAAGGTACCACCACCACGGGAATGAAAGGGGCGCCGGCTAGGATGTTGCGTTCCAGTGGCCAGTGTACAAGTGTTCCTCTCCGTTCTCATCTGGCCATCTGGTAAAGCTCGGTCTCTGTAGTTACGTACATAGTTCCCAGGCACACGGGGTGTCATATATGGTGGAGCCAACCCACGGGGGGGACTGGAGATCTGACGAGTCAGTGACCAGTGACGGCAGGGCAGACGGTAAGGATTGGACGATGAGACGTGACGACGAGGTGCAGTGCGGCAAACACGTGCATGTCGATGGATCAATGGCGGACATGCGAACGGTAGTAGTAGAACAGATGACGGATAGAGAAGAAGGGAACAGAGGGCGGTTGTGTTCTTTAACGACGAGCAGAGCTCCAGAGCAGGTGCAAATGCTCCAAAGCAGGTTGGTGCTGATCAGACATGGGACGTTAGAAATGCAGCATGTAGTGGAGCTGGGCGACGTGAAACAATGTGCGTCAGGCGTGTCAGGCCGCGGCAGAACGAGGTCGATCGACAGTGCTGCGGTACGCGGACTGCGGCGTCGACGTAATAGAACCGCTAGAGTGGGGCGATAGAGGGTGGTCCTAGGGCTAGAGGACGCGGGGGTGGAGAGAGACACATGAGACAGTGGTCGTCCCAGCTGCCATGACATGGGTTGAACCAGTGCCGGCGGAAAGGGCCACAGGGGGTGTCGTCGTTGACGTTCAGTGTGGTGGGGTCAGTCGACGACTCTGCTGCACAGCACACGTCTCGAGGTCCACGTTTGCAGCCTCACTCGCCAACCACGTCTCATTCACTGGCCCCATTCAACGACTGGGAAAGGTGTGCCAGCCTGGACTTTTGCAGGACATCTGTGAGAGATCTGAATAGGGCGACAGGATAAAATCCACAGGGTGTGCAGGCAATTTTCGGAATCCCGTCAGTACATCAACAAACCCGAGCGAGCGCGCGTGCGTGCGGATCAATCGACTCCCTCTTTGGTTGTTGGGCCTCGCCATCTCTCGTCCCCCCCCGTCCCTCTGTCGGCCCGTTTCTCTCTTTCAACAACAACAACAACAAGCACACACACATATACATATACACAAACAGCCTCCCCCCCCCCTCTCGCCTGTCGCCAGTCTTCCTACTTGCGTCTGCCCCCACCCCGCCGCCAACCACGGACGTTGCGCTGCTCGGACTAGGGGTACTTTCGACCGCCCCGCGCCGGCCATCAACCTGCATCTCAATCGTCCGACTGGGCATTATCGCTAGCCAGTCCCGTCACCATGCCGAGCTCAAAGTCGAGTCTCGATAAGCGCGACGTCTACTACCGCAAAGGCAAGAGTGATGGTACGTGCCCCCTGCCCAAAATGAGCGCCGTCTGCCGCCATCTCGCCCATCGCCCCCCCCCCCCCCCCCCCCCCCCCCGTCTCCGCCGTCCACCGCCGTCCACATGCCCCAGTCGTAGTCGTCCCCAGTCGCCTCCTCTCGCCTCGCGCTCTCTCGTTCTCCCCTGCAGTAGGCTGACATTAAACAGGCTATCGCGCACGCTCGGCTTACAAACTCCTTCACCTCGGTACGCAATCGTCTCTCCTCCAAAGTTCTCGCAACATCGCTCGGTCAACTGTCTAGCTAACACCTCGCTCTAGATGAAGAATTCGACCTGTTCCGCGGCGTCAGCACGGCTGTGGATCTGTGTGCGGCGCCGGGCAGTTGGAGTCAGGTTCTGGGACAGAGGCTCAAGTGAGTAGCATCCTAGCGCCGGCGAGGAGTGTCGAGATGGGCGTGCGAGGGAGAGTGAGCGCCGCGCTATCTACAGCCGCGGGCTGCGGTGACCGTGATGGTGGGCGGTGAGGCCCATGAACCCCAGAGGTGCTCCGTAGCCCTCCTGCAACAATCAGAGTGTACTCCGTGTCACTCGTTCTCATCTCCGTCCGGGCGCACCGTTCAGATCTCGCCGCAGTTTCCTCTCTCGAGATCCCCCAACCCCAACCGCCGACATCCTGCCAAGCCCCAGCTTACGTTCCAGACCCCAAGTGACCTCCAACCGCGTCGTTTCCATCGACCTGCAGCCTATGGCCCCGCTCCCCGGCATTACAGAACTGCAAGCCGACATCACCACGCCCGAAACCGTGCCCCGCGTTCTCGAGGCTTTGGGAGGCAGAAAGGCCGATTTGGTGGTCTGTGACGGGGCTCCGGATGGTGAGTACCAAAGGGTTTGAGGACCGGACCGGAGCGGACTTGGGTACAGAGTGCACAGCATGGAGGTGCTCGCTGCCGCCACCGAGAGTCTGGGCTCAGCCTGGACTCTCGGGAGTGGCAAAGGGCAAGCGGCCCAAGTGGGTGTGGCGGTGATGTGCGGCGCAGGCGAGCGGGATATGCTTGTGGCGGCGAATCGTCGGTCGCCCGTTGCCTGTGCCAAGACCAATCATTTGCCAAGGGGAAATGGATGGGGACACGACGACTATTCTGGGATGAACGAGACGAGTGGGACATGCGCAGCACGCAGCGCGCAGCCGCAGTCGTCGCCGCGCCTCGCGGTCGCGTTTTCGTAAAGGACAACATCAGCGCGGAGTATCCTCGCCCTGTTGTTCCAGCTGCGTGGTGGCGGCACAGTCGGCTTGGCTACCGATTGCCCACAGCAACGCCAAGGTCGCTGGTGGATAGCATGTCCACGACACGACATCGTACTGACATTTTCTAGTCACTGGCGTACATGACCTCGACGCATACCTCCACTCGCAACTCCTCCTCGCTGTAAGTGATCTTGGGAATCGTCCTGGCCATGTCCGTGGTAGCTGACCCGTGTGTACTGTCCCTTATTCGCCGTCCCCACTTGTTGTTTCCATCAACTTGACGGCGTCCACACCACATAGGCCACCACCCTCTCGCTCACCATCATGGCTTCTGGCGCGACACTCATCTTCAAGATCTTCCTTTCGCCACTGGACCCAACGGCCGCCGTCCTGCGCTCCCAGCTGCGTGCCTTCTTCCCAGGGCCTCTGCCGGGGGACGATGGCTATGACGCCGACGACGCCTTGTTTGCAGAGTTTGACGAGCACCCAACACACGACATCGGCGGCCACGTCAAGGGCGTTGCACACCTGTCGGCGCCCACCAAGCGTAAAGCAGGTTTGGACCATGCTGGGCGCCGTGGTGGTGTGTGGGTGCGTAAGCCGAGGAGTAGCAGAAAGGGATCTGGTGGTAAGTTCTAGAGCGGATTGTCAACGGCGCTCGGTTTGTTTTGTTTTGCCACCGACGGGGAAAACAAGAACACAGCCTTGATACAAAGTATCACATGCTAACTTGTTTTCTACAGAGGCGTTTATCGTGTGCCGCAATTTTGATCCAAACTGCCTCCCGCTGCCAACCGAGTTCACCGCCGAGTCGCTCGTTGCTCTCCGTCGCCAGGTTGGCGAGACCCTCACGCTTGAATCGCTTGCGCACCTTGGAAACGACAACATTGCTCCCGACGCGTCGTGGCCTGCGACCAAAGGCTTTGTCGGCGGTGGCGACCTGAACGCTGTCAAGAACGACACGAACGGCACCAGCCGCCCATCCCTCGTTGTCGAGGTTCAAGGACAGCGCAACCGCTCTGCATCTATTCGCAGTATTGATGGTGCCCCCTCCCCGGTGCCGTCCCACGCAAGCTTGTTTCCCGACTTTCTCCCGCCTACCGCTTCTGGGCCATCTGCTATCCGTGCGCCGGTGCCATTGCCATCGCTCCCAAGCACCCCGGCCCACGTCTATCCTCCTGTACCTCTTCCCTCGCCAATGTCCGCGCTCCTCGAGCCCCGCGCAGCGCGCGAGTTTAAGACTCTGAACTTGGGGCCATCCAACTCGACGTCGCCATCGTGGTCGTCCCCACTGAGTGCCATGGCAGCCTCGGCGAGCCCAACGTACCTCAGCGCCGCCAACCTGCACGCACAGAGCGCGCGTGAACGCGACATTTATGCGTCAACCCCGCACGGCGACGGTGCCGTGAGTCCTGCATTGAGCAGCAGTTCAAAGACCGACATGTTCTTTGCCACCTCGCAGCGCGACTCGCTGCCTATGCCACCCAAGCCATTGTCGTCGACTTCGGAACGCTCTCTGCTGGGCCGCACTCCCTCCATCGGACGCGGAATTCCGCCCATTGCACGCGCTCGTGTCGTCACGACCCCGGCCCCTGTCCCGACGTCAGACTCAATCTCCCCATCGCCCTCCACATCTCCGACGCTGCCTGCTCCTACGCCCTTGCGCTCAGTCACGGGACCCATCCAGTCGCCCCACAGCTCGACGCCGTCACCGTCTCTCCTCTCCCCACGCCCGCCTGTTGCTGTCACCACTACGTCCTCGTCATCCCGACACGTAGACCATGCGGCCGTCATTGCTCGCGAGGCACACCACGGAGAGGTTTCGGAAACGCTTGTGCACGCGGAAGACGTCCTCACTCCGATCCCTGATGATGACAATGCCCTTCCCATTCGCAGCCCCAGCTCAACCACTGCATGGCGCCTGCGCAAACCTCTGGGGCAAGGCGCGTTCGCTGCTGTCTGGTCGGCCGAGCCCGCTACTGCTACTGCCCAGGATGGCGAGTCGAGCGTCGCAGCAGTCAAGCTCGTTGACCGTGCCGCGTGCCGCCGAAACGCGCGTAACGCGATTGCCTTCTACCGCGAAGTCGAAGTGCTGCGACACCTCGTTCACCCAGGTATCGTCGGTTACGTCGCGCATTTCAGCACGGCTGCACACCACTGCCTCGTCCTCGAGCAGTTGTCTGGCGGGGAGCTGTTTGCCCTCGTCGAAGACGACAAGAACCGCAAGCGCATGCTCATCCCTGGTCCTGGAGACAACATCGGCGAGGGTCTCGTGAGGCGTATCTTTGGAGAGTTGGGTCGTGCAGTCGCGTGGTTGCACGAGGTCGAGGTTGTCCACCGTGACATCAAGCTTGAGAGTGAGTGCAACAATGACTTTTGAGACTATTGCTAACACCTTTGCAGACATTCTCTTCACCGTCAACCCCTTCAGCCTGCCACCAACATCGACCGGCTCCGTTCCTCTCGACCGCCTCCCGGTCCCACTAGTCAAGCTGACCGATTTTGGCCTGTCGCGCTTCATCCGCTCCGATAACCCTCTCTTGACAACTCGTTGCGGCAGCGAGGCGTATGCTGCCCCCGAAGTCGTCATGGGAAACCTGTACGATGGGCGCAAGACGGATGCCTGGGCTCTCGGTGTCGTCCTGTACGCCCTCGTAGCCGGTGAATTGCCCTTCGAGGAAGGAGCGCCCCTGCCTCCAGGCCGCGCTCGTGCCCTCTCCACGGCGTCGAACATGTCCGCCGCAGGCGACGGCCCACGCGACGTCCGCCGCCGCACCATGCTCCGCATTGCAAAGGGCGAGTATGGCTGGCGAGAGAACGTTGGCTCGTCCGGGGCGCGCGCTGTCGTCGCTCGACTGTTGACTCGCGACCCATCGCGCCGTCCGCGCGTCTCGTCACTGTGGAGCGAAGGGTGGATGCACTCGGACCAGGCCGGCGGCGTCCCAGCGCCCTCGGAGCCGATGACGCCGCGCGTCGTCGGTGGTGAGATTGCCGACCGCGTCTCCGTCGAGATCACCCGCCGGGCAAGCGACACGCCGCATGTGGTCGTTGACCAAGGGGTGCTCGTGGACCCGGCGCAGATTGACGATTGTCGCAAGGCAGGACGTGGCCCCGACAGACGTGTGAGGATCTGTCGTTTGAGTTATGCTTTGGTGTAGAAATGTCCAGCCATAGACAGATCTAGGATCTATAGAAGACATACTCTGGAGAGTTGGTTTTGTTACCTTGCCGCGCAGAAAAAAATCCCACCACAAACAATGTCATCTTTATTGAGCTCAATGGTGTGTGCGTTCAGCTGTGGGGCTGTGCGGGAATCTATACATGTGTGTAATAACGTGCTAGGTGTGGCAGGAGGCGGACCGGAGTGTTGGCAAGACTTGGGGGAGGGTGGGGAGACAAGCGAACGAAGACCCGGTCGCTTAACGTGTGCCAGTCTCCATACGCTTGAGCCTCCAGTCCAGACGGCCAACGATACCAGACTCGGCCTCGATATCTCTTTTGCGGCCGCTGTGCTTGGGTTTTCTGTTTGTCGGTTACTGCGACTTCTTCTCCTTGCCAGCAGGAACCTCTTCCGGGAGCTCGCCCTCGGCGAACGCGACGTAGACGTATCCGGCGAGAACAATGTTGGCAGCGAGGACCGCGGCGAGGGCAGCATAGGTTGTGTTGCCTGGAGAGTGGTCAGCTTGGGAAAAGAGCGCACACGCCAATGTGGGTGCACGTTGGGAAGGTAGGAGAGACTCTGCACCTCCTAGGGGCCAAAATTCCAACGTTACTCACCCTCAAAGATACGCTGCAAAGCGATAAAGTACGTTCCAATGGGGACGGCGGCCATGAGCAGAGCGAACACGATGAGCTTGGTGAGGACGCGCCTGTTCGTCAGCAAAGTACAGGGCGAAGGATAGGTGTCTTTGGGATCAAAGGACCCGCCGACAATCGCACACCTCTGCAAATGGTACGCACTGCTGAATACCCTGCTGGGCCGGGGTGGCCATCTGTGTTGAGGGAGGCATGTGATGAGATGGCGGCTGTTGCACGGGTTGATAAGAGAAACAACAACAACAACAATGTCCTCTTGTCCACGACACCCATGGAATATCACAGTGACACGGCCGTGCCTGAATTATCTCCGTCTTTCGATCCCCTCCCTGGCTTCGACGAGCTGAACCAACTAACGACGTCAGAGCAAAGGTCGTCATCACATCCATATCATCGATTTCGTCCAACATGGCAGAACCTCGCCGCATCGTCCTCGCGGATCCCTTGGCAAGGCCAGGAGAGGTCACCCGCCTGGCCGTCGCCGGCCAAGGCGCCCCCGGCGCTCCCGGTGATGTCAAGATGTACGAATGGGACGGCCATGTGAGTCATTGGTTGCGATTGTTGCTCCAGATCGCGGGTCTGGGGGCCCTGTGTATCGCTGTCTGTATGGCATATGTGTTACAAGCAGCTGGTTGATATCCGTGGATGGAGATGGCATGAAGAAGCTGGTATTCTGCCCGCTCTGACGTCGGACCTGTGCGGCGGCAACATGAGTCGCCGATAGTGACCGCCGACTGTTGAAGCTGACTATCCCAGTCCGAGACTATGAGCATGGTCGGACTGCAGACCGACGTTGGAGGTGGTATCAAGGTGCGTTTGGATGCTACCTTCTTCCATTGGCGCCTCTGCTCACAACAATGTGCTCCCAAACACTACACTGCTACCTCTACACATAATCCGCGTCTTATTCATTTGTAAACGCTGCAGGCCCTCGCCTGGTCACCTCACCCAGCCCAACGGCACCTCCTCTCCATCGGCCTCAGCACGGGTCGCGTTCACCTCATCTCCCTCTCGCCGGCTTCCCTCACCTTCCCATTACGAGGAACCCCCAACCCTTCCTCGGTTTTGAGCGTCAAGCACTCTCGCGCCGTCACGTCTTTGGCATTCAGCACGCGCGACCCCCACTTGCTCGCATCAGGCTACGAGAGACACCGTTCAGACCACTCGCTTCTGATTTGGGACGTGGCCGACGCTATCGCTTCCCTCCCGCAAGATCCAGATGGAGACCACACGTACACCCGTGGCACTGAACGACTGGAAGTGACAAACCCTTACCCGCCGCGCGAGCAGGTGCGCCATGTGCAGCAGTACTGTGCTGCTGAAGCAGTACACTCCGTTGCATGGGCTCATGGGTCTGCCCACGAGCTATTTGCCAGTGCAAACAACAAGGTCTTGAGGATGTACGACCTCCGCGCAGCAGCGCGCGACACGTCCACCACCGCAGCCGCACAGTGGGCCACGAGGGCGGTCCAGTTGCTCACTCCCAACCCCGTTGATGCCCACCGTCTTGCTTCTGTGGAGCCTTCACCTCAAGGTGGCGTGGTGCGATTGTGGGACACGCGCAAACACGGCCACGAAGTGACCTCTCTCGATGTCACTGAAGGAGGCAACGTCGTCTCGCTCGAGTGGGCGGGGGCCCACCAGCTGGGTGTGGCTACGCGGGACGGCGGGATGAATATCTGGGATATTGTCAACGGGCCCAAGAAGGATGATGGGACGGATGAGTGGGTGACTGTCGCTGGGATGCGTCATGGTGAGTAGGGTGGAAACCGGCGCAAGGCGAACGACGCTGTGCTCAGCTGGGTCCTGAGCTTGACATGACCGTGGTCTGACTCCACAGTCCTCACCCCCAAGCAACAACTTCACTCGTTTGTTTTTGTACCACAGACCACACCAGCCAAGCGTGAGGTCGTCTTCCTTGTCAAGGACGGCACGATTGGTGTCGGCCCGTTGTGGAATGCGCCAGTGGTGAGTTGACCGCACCTATGGGACCAGCCAGCTGACATGCCCAGATCGCGTCGTCTTCAATGGGCGAGCTGGCCGTTTCTGGCACTGACATCAACATTCTGGACCCCGAAGTACCTCCTCGCCCGCGCGTCGAGTCGCACCCCTCAGCAAGCCCTCCCCGCTCCCGCGCACACTCGCGCGCACCCTCGCGCGCACACTCTCGCCAAGTCTCACGTACTGGGTCTCCCACCAGGCGTAATTCTGCCGACGAGCGGCGCAAGAACCGCTTCCAACTTGGCCCTGACCGTGTCACCGCCCTTCTCGCCGAGGAACACCTGCGTGCGCGCAGTCGTTCCGCTAGCCCCAACTATCTGCGTGCTAGCAGGCGCGACTTGAGGTCCCTGTTGGACGAGCCGGATGAGGATCCAGAAGAGTTTGACTATGGAGACGAGGTGGTCGACTCGGAAGGCTTTAGGCATGTCCTCCGTCACGACGTGGCGTACGTCATGCGCCGTCGCGCAGAGGAGAGCTATGGCTTGAACAGTGTGGGTCACAGACTTGTAACTGAGGTATGGCTGACAAGGCTAGCTGCAGCTGAACGCCGCCGTGGCGACCAAGTTTCCCGGCGCAGACCGTATTGCTGGAATCTGGGAGTTTATCAACCGTGCGTTACAAGACTTGCTCTCGAAGTTAACGCGGCAGACTTTGTCCAGGCTACCAACCCGGAGTGTTCTCAATACAATGGCTACGACCTCACCTACCAGGGCCTCTGGCCGATCTGGACAGGTCTCCTCGGTGCTGAGGGCCGCGACACTTCAGCGCCGCCCTCTGCCGCTCTGTACACACTGCGCACTCACGCCGTGCCTCTGCCCGTGTCGCGCGATGGGTCTGGCTCGGGCGCATCGACACCCCGCCGAGGAACGGTCGATGCTCATGACGCAGAGTACAGCAGCGTTATTCAGAGTATCAACGCTATGCGTGCAGATGCTCAGGCTATAGCGGCACCGGGAAGCCACAGGCTGCCGCATACAGATAAGGCGCCACAGCGCCGTATGATGCTCGCTGTTTGTGGCGAAAACCACGCGTACGATACGATGGAAGAGGTTCATCGGTGAGTACAATGCAGTTCAGCTCCACTGCAGAACGTTCAATGGGTCGCAATTGCTAAGCTCTCAGCCTTGTCGACGACAACCAGCGCACCAAAGCGGCGTGTTGGGCCTTCTTTGCTGGCGAAGAGGGCCCTGCCATCACCATTTTGATGCGATCAGATGGTAAGTGATCAAGCGAACCCGGCTCACAGCCTCCCGGAATTCTCATCTGACAAACACTTAGACGAGAAGCACCGCCTCATGGGTGCCACGATTGCCGGTTTTATGACGCAATCTCGCGCCGAACGCGGTTCGCTATTCTGGCAAGAACACTGGCGCAGCATGGTGGACAAAGTAGATGACCCATACATCCGTGCGGTCCTGGCGCGGATCGCGGGGGAGAACTGGGAGAGCATCCTGTACGACGAGAGCTTACCCCTACTGGACCGCGTCGCCGTCGCAGTGTGTAATTTGAGCGACAAGGAGGTCAGTAGCTGTCCGTTGTCTATTGAGGCTTATGTTTGCCATCCTGACTTTTCAGCTCACAACGTTCCTGCGCAACCGCCTCACCCGCTGTGTCAACATGGGCTCCCTCCCAGGCCTGGCTCTGACGGGCTTCACGCCGCCCGGCCTCCAACTCCTGCAACGCTTCGTCGACCGCACGGGCGACATCCAGACCGCCGCCCTACTCTCGGCCTTTTTCCCGCGTGCGCACCTCACCAGTGCAGAAATCGCCACCCTGGACCGTTGGGTCGACAGCTATAGGACACTGCTCGACTCGTGGCTCAACTGGGTCAACAGGACCAGCTTTGATGTCGAGGTGCTCGCCCAGCGGCGCCTGCTGGGTGACTCCGTAGCGGACGCGGTGCAGACTGTGGTCGTCTGTCCCGTGTGCAACAACCAGCTCACCAAGCAGACAGAGGAGATGTTGACACGCAAGAATGCACTGCGGGGTACAATGAGGCTGCCGACAACACGGGTGAGTGCGAATGCGCGTCATACAACTGGCTGTCGACGCCTCTGAACAGACACCTGGGTTGACAGCAAACGACAAGTCCCGAGCTGACACCTTCTGCAGACCGTCTCGTGCATGTACTGCCAAAACGCCTTGCCACGGTGCAGTGTCTGTCTCGTACACGTCCGCCCCTCCACCGAACAGGGTGTCGCGGCGGACACGATGGAGCAGGCATATGTCAGCTGTCAGACATGCAGGCATGGAGGTGAGTCGACTATGTGGCGCCTGGGGCGTGTGGCTAACAACTTATTCAGGCCACGCAGACCATATTCTCAAGTGGTTCATGGGCGGGCTCGACAGCGAGCCCTCGCACGAAGTGTGTCCCGTCGCAGGATGCGATTGTCGCTGTGCGAGCCTGTAGGCGACGCCTCTCCTTCTTTTCTTTTGTCTTCGGCTTCTTCTCTAGCGTCTCGTCTTTACACCAAAGTGGCAGCCAATGCATGTGTCTCGTGTTAAATGCAGATAATAAAAGAAACAAAACAATATGTGTGTGTGGCGGCTGCAACCCCCTCATGCAACCTCACTTGGCCGCAGCCACCCGCCTCGCCGTACCCTCGGCCGCGGCGATGCGGTCCCTGCTCTCTCCTTCGTCTTTGACGCTCCGCGCAATCGCCTCCACCCACTTATCCACCCTCGGCGTCCTGTTGGAGGCGAGGTAGCGCGCATGCGCCATGAGGGGCACTTTGCGCAGGAACCTGCCTGACAGCTCTTGGTCTTTGGCCTGGCGGGCAGTGTTGGCGAGTTGGAGGGACGCGATGCGTGCCCGCTCACCCCTCTTGCTCGCCACACTTCTTGTCGACCTGGCCAACTCGTCCCATTCCAGCAGCTTCTCACCGCCGGGACACAGGCCGGAGCGGGCCAATTCACGGAGACACCCGGCCAAAATCCAGTAGATGGCCTGCGCGGGGGGCAGGCCGACGTACTGCTTCACATCGGCGCGGTCCACAAAGGCAGGGTCGATAGAGCCCGCCAGGTTGGAAGTGGTCATGACAAGGACGTTTTTGTGTTGTTTGAGCTTGTCAAGCTGAGTGAGGAGGGCGTTGACCGACTGAGGAAAGGGTCAGTGTTTTCAGAGCTGAACAGCGGCAGCGCATAACTCACTCGCAAGGCGTCAGAGGGCTCGCCGACAGCAGCACGGGCACTGGTGAGGGACTCTACTTCGTCTGCAAATGGTCAGTTTGGCCACATGGTCCTCGTGGATAGCTGCACGTACCAATCATGACAACGACGAAGCATGCCTCATCCTCCACCATGGCGGTGACATTGTCAAAGAGCTTTTGAACGAGCTTGCCACTCTCGCTAAACCACTTGGAGAACAGCGAGTGCGAGTTGATCTCCACCAGTCGGCCAGACGTGTACCTGCGAGGTCAGAGGGGAGAACTGCACGCACACCCACTTGTCGCCCATGCGGATGGCTAGCTTGTGTGCCAGCGCGCGGCACAGCGAGGTCTTTCCTGTTCCCGGTGGGCCGTGAAGGAGGACGAGTCTGGAGTATGAGATGAGATGGCCCGGCAGCGATCAGCTCACCTGTTCCACGCGATGACGTTGAAATCCACCTCGTTTTCGCTAAACAGCATCGACGAGTGGATGTATGTTAGGAGACGGGGCTTGATATCGTCGTCATATATCAAGCTGGGGACCGACAGTTAGCAATTGTAGCTGCAAAAACAAGGTGGCACGTACTTGTCCCAAAGTCCCTCGAGCTCGCGCGCCGGCAAATCCCTCACGCTCGCCGCCGAGGTGTTGGCCTCTTGTTCCTCTTCGTCTTCGTCCAGCCCGCCACTCAGCTCCACATAGTTGTCGACAGTCTTGTACACGTGCACATGGTAGGTGGCCTCTTGGGCGTCGACCGGGTGGCCGTCACCTACGGGGGTGTCAGTGAGAGAGCACAGTAGGCTAGGAGTAGGGCCCATACCAGGTTGACAAGGGAACCTGTTGCCTCCACGCCACTTCACTCACCGCATTCAGCAATGTAGATCTGCTCCACACTCCTCCCCAACACGCCCACGTCGGCCCATCCCTCGGGAGCGACCAGTGTGCCGCCCGAAAGCCATCGGTAGTTGTTTCGCAGGAAAGGTGGGATGTTGGCCTCGATGATGCTCGGCAGTAACGTCGCTTCAGGACGCAGGCGGACCTCGACTGCGAGGGTTTAGCACTGACGCACGAGGCAAAAAGCAATGTGCCTCTGCTGAAAGCGTCGATTGATACCCGGCTTGTCGTGTGTGCTTACCATGAACAACGTCCACATCATCCTCGTCGTCCTCATCGTCGCTACTCTCCAGCTCGTCGTCCTCCTCCGCCTCCAGCTCCAAGTCCGAGTGGAGCGTGTCGTCCCCGAGGTCCGCGTCGACCTCATCCGAATGCCCGAACGCACCGCCTACGTGTGTGTTCTCGTCGGCGTACTCGACATTGTCGTCCTGGTTCTCGTCGGCGAACGCGACGACCCGGCGGTGCGAGGTCGCTGTGACCGAAGGTTCGTTCTCGTTCTCGTCCAGGTAAGACTCCTGCGCGTTGGAGTGGGCAGTGAAGAGGTTGTCCTCCTCGTCATCCTCGTCCACATCATGGTCGTCCTCCTCGTCTGGTAAGAGGCCTGTATACTTGTCAGCTGGGTTCAGAATGGAACAGATGCCCAGCTCGATGGCATGGCAAGTTACGCACTGGAAGGAGCGACAGGGGTGAACGTCATGTCGGCCGGGGTGAGCATGTCGATGTCCTCTGCGCAGGTGTCAGCAAAGCTCAGCATACGGTACCAAAGCCACACTGTCTTGTCTATTATCCCAACTGGTCCGTGTCTTCCAGGAAGAACAACATGTAGCCGAGATCTCAAAGACGCCTCCCGTTCTCGCTGAAACCAAACATTGCCATCGATTGCTCAATTGCTCACCTTCCCGTCCGGGTGTGACTGGTGAGAACACCCGCCCACCTTCAGAGTCGGCCATGAGGGATCTCCGCTTCTGAGGACGTGGTGGTGCCGGTGCTTCCAGGATGCGTGTGGGCATCATGTGTCGGGTTGATGATGAAGAGAAAGAAATCACGCAGGTTGCTGACCGGGCTGTTGTTTAGGTGGTCTTCCAGGGCGAGCGGGACCAAACAAGGCATGCAGTTCCTGTGCCAGAGATCCAGAGAGGCCATGCTTCCTCGTCATTTGTTTAATGCAGCAATGCAGTAGTAGCCCCAGCTCTTCCCTTCGCTAGCTTATACATGTCTACAGGACCGACGAAAAGAATAGTGAATGTGTGTGAAAGAAGCAGAAAGGAGCAAAGGCAAGGAGAATGACGCCAGTACGCCAGATTACGGAAGGGTAGGATTACGGGCCAAAGTGGATCTTGTCACAGACGACCTTTGGCGAGTCGGTCTTGCTTGTAGGGGTGTGTTTGGAGCAGCACTTGTTCGCTGCACGGCCAGCTTGGGGCTTAGCAGCTGCACCCGTAGTTCTGCGAGTTGTCCGAGTCGATCCTGATGGGGTCCGGGTAGTCGGCGTACAGCTCCGTCTCGGCCTCCTGTGCAAGAGCGTTCTTGGCAATGGTCTGGAACGCCTGCTCGACGTTGATGGCCTCCTTTGCGGATGTCTCAAAGTAAGGAATGTTGCCCTTGGCCTGGCACCAAGTCATTGCGCGCTTTTGTGACACCTGAAGTGTTAGCTAGTATATGTATGTTCAAAAGCTCACCATGCGCTTCGACTCCTCCATGTCAATCTTGTTGCCAAGGACAACAAATGGGAAGTTCTCCGGGTCATGCGGGGATGCCTGAATGTTAGCCTGTGCGGAGGGCCAAATGCAAGCTCACCTGAACGAGGAACTCATCCCGCCAGCCATCAAGAGCCTCGAAGCTCTTGCTCGAGTTGACGTCGTAAACTAGCACGCAGCAGTCGGCGCCGCGGTAGAATGCAACACCGAGCGACTGGAAGCGCTCCTGGCCGGCAGTGTCCCAGAGCTGCATCGTGACGACGCGGTCGTCGACCACGAGCTCGCGGGTGAGGAAGTCGGCGCCTGCAAATGAGGACGAGTTTGAATATTTAGGGAGGCGCAGGGGGTGTGGCGTGGGTGGCGAGAAGGTTCAGAAGAGGAAGGAGGAATCGGGGGTCAGCACGGTTGTCCAGTTGCCAGACCCTTTCAAGAAATCTTCCATTCCACGCACCGATAGTTGCCTTGTACTGGTTCGAGAAGCGCTTGTTGACGTACTGGTTCATGAGCGACGTCTTGCCGACACTGCACGTTGGATGACCATGGACGCGGGGCGGGAGGACACGGGAGAAGAGAGGGGCAAGGTGTCAAGGAAACGACCGGGACGGGGCAAGGCGGCCAAAGCGGGGGGTAGGAAGCAACGAGTCGGTGTACAATCGACAATGGCGGAGGAGAGACGAATACGTGGAGAAGGACACACACTATGTCAGTGAATTGCACACACTGGGACACCGAAGAGGACAAGGGGCTTGTCACGGCCACCGTTTCTGGGGCTCGCGCGACAGCTTCCCCTGGCACACGGCGGCGTGGCTGGGCGGCGAGTACTTACCCAGAGTCGCCGAGGATGATGACCTGGAGCACGTTAGCGCAAGTTCATTCTGGTGCATCGAGTGCGACACAGCCCACACACGGCCCGACGCCAGTGTCCTTGTCGCCGTTGGTGGACGGTACCGTGGGCCCAGAGGTGGATTGGGCGGCGTTATCGGCACGGGGGTGGTGTGTGGGGCTGTGTGACGGTTGTCTCACCTTGAGGAGAACCTTCTTCCTGGCTGCCGACATGGTGGTGCTAGGTTTGTAGGGGATGAGTAAGAGGCTGATGGGCGAGAGGGATGTGGGGGTGGTTGAATGCAAGTGAAGAGAGAGAGGGGGGGCGATGGGATGGTGATTGTGTGATGGATGCGACGAGGGCCGGGGGCAGGTTGAATGGACCGACCGACGATGGTTGTCGTCACCTCTGCCAGCCAGCGCCAGCCGGCCAGCCCCCACACCCGGCTGGGTGGCGGCATTTATTTCACCCACCCATTTAACCCTTTTAGGTGACCTCAGCGGGCCCCCACTTTTGGCGCTCGCTCGCGGCATTCAAGTGGAGAGAGAGAGGCTAGAGACGAGACGAGACGAGACGAGGCTCATTCTTGTCCATTGTTCCCTCTTTCTCTCATTCTCTTCTGCTCTCTGTCTCTCTTGCACTCCCCCACCTCTACACAATGGTCGCCCAAGGATTCATCACTCCCGCACCCCCAGCCAACCCCACAACTCAGGGCAGGCAAGAGGTCCCCATCGCACCAGTCTCAAACTGGGCAGTTGGAAACGTCTCCAGCGTCCTCGTCTTCCCGTCCACGCTCGACCCCGCACGTCTCGAAGCTGCCTTTGCTCGTGCCGCGTCCTTCTGGCCCTCTGTAGTCGGTCGCTACGTCAAGGCCACCGTCCCCGGTGGCCCCGAGTTTGCTGTGAGTGAACAAGAGGGAAACGAAGAAACGAGGGAAGGCGCCTCGTGATCGGATCCGAAAGCTGTTTTGACTCAGTTGGAGTGAACCGCAAGCTAACGCGTCTCAGATCTCCCTCACAAACTCGCCCATTCCCTTCTCGACCCAGGTCGTCGACGACGAGTACCCCTACCCGGACCGTCATGTCATCCAGCCCGATCTGGGCAGCTTTATCCCTCCCTTGGCAGGCGACTACTTTGTCGCCGGAGCCGACGCACCTCTCGTGACCGTCCGTCTCAGCACTCTCAAGAACGGCAACTCGGTCCTCGGTGTCAACTGGGCCCACATCCTTGGTGATGCCGCCGCCTTTTCACGTTTCCTCGAGGACGTGTCCTTGCTGTACAACCTGCCCGCGGCCGACCTCGACGACGACATGCCCACTCTTGAGCCCCATGTCCGTCTCCCGCCTTACTCAGAGCAGATTGGCAAGGACTTCAAGTTTGACCTCCTGAACCCTCTCCCGCTTGAGGAGGTGGGCAAGGGCTACGGAGATGCCGTCACTAGCTCCCAGATGTTCACTGTGACCTTGACTCCCGAGGAGGTCAAGCACATCACCTCGCTCAAGACCCCCGGCGAGCACCTCTCGGACAATGACCTGATCGCCGGCTGGTGGGTCAGTGTGCTTGAGCGTGCCGGACAGCGTGTGGAGTATGTTGTTCAGACTATTAACGTGAGTACGATATTGCCTTTTACCAGCAGCTGCTTTCTGAGAACTTGTACACTAACGTCAGTACCGCTCTTTCCACAAGGACCACCCGGCCTTCCCTCGCAACCTCTCGACTCTGGGCGCCAACGTTGCTCAGATGCGCCAGATCCCCCTCCCCGCCAGCTCGGCTTTGGGTACCAACACCCCCAACTCGAACCGCCGCGCTCTGACCGTCGCTCGTACCGTCCGCGCAGGCATGAACCAGCTCCGCAACGACCCCGAGCTCATGCTGCAGTGGCTCTCGAACGCCGCGCACCAGATCGGTACGGCTGCCCACGAGGGTAAAAGCTTTTGCCTCGTGCCGCCTCCCGGCGGTGTTGTGGTCAACTCGAACCTGAGGTGAGTGGGAGCGCTTGTGGCAGACCACTTGCAAATCTCGATCGTCTACAGCAAATGATGCCGGCTCACCTGGTACAATTCGAGCACCAAGCTGACTCGCAGGTACGACTGGGCCATCAAGTTTGGCCAAGCCTCGGCCAACTACCACACGGACGTCTCCCTCGCTCGTTTCCTGCGCGTCTTCCAGGCCAACCCCGACGCCAACTCGGACCCTTACAACCCTTCTCCCCGCGGCGTCGAGCTCGTCTTCCGCGTCGAACAGGGTCCGGCCGTCGAGGCCGTCACCAGGGTCATCGCTGGTGACAGGCGGGCGTGGGCGGAGGGCGGTCCTGTCGGCGGTGAGGACGAAGAGGAGGAGCCCAAGGAGCCCGAGGTGCGCGCCTTTGGCTTTGGACAGAACGTTCACCGTCCCTCATATGGCGGCTACGGTAACTAGACCCAGGCAAACTAGAAAGCAAACCGGCGGTGGGCTGGGCGTCTTGAAAATGCAAAGGTTGAAGTCTAATCGAGCCTGTGGTCGTTGCCTTTCAACGGGTATGGCTTGAGCGACGATGGGAGAGTCCTGCGGGTTTTAACATCCAACACCTGTCGACGACAAGGAGCAGGCGCTGAACGTTCCTACTGATACGGGGTGCTGTCCCAGTGCAACGCCAGCGGCTCAGTTTAGGCGTATCCGTGGCCCTAGGCGCTGGGGTCCTCTGCACCCCATGAGTGAGTACCACTAGGTACGTGTGCCACCGTCAAGCGTGGAGAGACTGAACAGCTGGTGGTGGTGGTGTTTGGGGTCGGTCGGCATTTACTAGAGTGAGGCTTGGGGCGGCATCGGACACATCCACTCCCTCCAGCTACCTCGTCACAGGATGTGAGTGGCGTTTTACGAAAGGCATGTCCAAGTACGAGCGTCGTGAATACGATGTCATGCACTATTTTTACAGGTTGATAGAGGTCATATTCTAGTTGCTTTACTGCTCTTGACTTATCCCATGCCGCTTCTTCCTCCACTTGAATCAATCCTCATCCATCGCCATCTCCCCATCTTCCTCCACTTCCCACAGCGTCTCGTCGTGCGCCTCGTTCTCAGAGTCAGGCTGGGGGCTGGGCACCTCACGCGCGTGCTGCGCCATCCTTCCCTCCGCTCCCCCTCCACCGCCAGTGCCAGCATCTCCACCGCCCTCACCTCCTTGGTTGGCGAGACTCAAGAGCCCCAGGCCACCGAGGTCACGCGGTGCTGCGCCGACGGCGTTGGCGGCCGAGACGGCAGCGGCTGAGCCGGGTCCCGAGGGGATGAATGGGCCCGCGAGGGGTCGCGAGGGTCCTGTGAGTCCGCCATTGCCCAGGCTGGAGGAAAGGACGCCAGACGTGCTGCCGATACTCAGCGCGGGACTCGCCGCGCGCGAGCGACTGGACATGGGCCGAGTGTAGGGGTGGGTCGGCGGTTTACGCGTGTGCGAGCCCATACCCATACCGCCCCCAAGTGAGAGGTACCCAGGACTAGTGACAGCCAAGGCGCTGCCGACGAGTGGGAGGTGTGATGGCGACGAAGGGATCGGCACGGCGCTCATGGCGTTCATCGCGCCAGTCGACTTGCTCGGCGAGACGGCAATGTTCTGCTGGAATGGCGAAGGTGATGAGCCTCTGGGGCGCTTGTATGGGTCGAAGCGGTCGTCTGAAGCGGCAGCTTTGCGTTTTCCAGTGCGAATGGATGGTGGGTCGCGGTACTGCATCATACCGGGAGACGCGGCGATGGAGGACATGCCTGGGGACGCGATGGACATCGGGCTCGCAATGGCCATGGCACCAGGCGACCCGCCAAGCTCGCTGCGCTCGACAGTAGGTGAGCCCAGCGGTGTGGCAATTCCGTTGCCGGCCCCGGCCCCGCCTCCTCCGCTACCCATTGCGAGACCGCCAAACGCAGTGGGCAGTTGCAGACCAGTGGAAGGGCTGGGCGCAACGGGAGGTTTCTTCCACCCAGGAGTAGACACACCGGGGGTAGCAGTTGCCGACGACGTGCCGGCCCGTGTGGCTGTGGTCGTGCTTCCGTTCCCATTCCCACTGCCGTTCCCATGACTCGGCGTCGACTTGCCGCTGGTACTGTTCCACGCGCCGGACGAATTGGAGCTTGACGGCCGATCGAGGTCCATGACGCTCGCGAACGCCGAATTGACAGCGCCAGCACCCGAGCTCGCAGCGGGCCACTCTTGCACACTGCTGTCGTCCATCATGTCGTCCGAGTCGCTATCGCTTGAACCAGCACGCCACCTTGCTCCGAGTGCCATGCGCGCGGCATCGTCGTCATCATCGTCATCATCGTCCCCAACCATCTCAGGAAAGCGGCCACGGGTCCAGCGCGTGTTTCGTCGTTGGCGTGGGTTGAATGGCAGTGCTGAAGGATGGGAAAACAGGAGACGCTGGAGACGGGCCTCGGAGCGCATCTCGTGTTCCAGAGGCGCCGATTCCGAGATGAGCGTCGCGAGCAGTGGGCCTGGCAACGGTCTACCGGTAAACGGCATGCGAGCGACAGGGGCAGCCTGATCGTCTTCGATGATCTGGCTCTTGTCTTTGCTCCTCCTTGGCTGCATGTGCGGGGGCAGCCATTTCAGCGGGCTGCGAAGCTGGTCCTCGGTGTCCATCGCCATGGGAGACTGCGCGCCCGAAGCCTCGCTCTCCGAACCCCTACGACCTCCGGCCACGCCCGGGACCGGCGACGTGCTCGTTGTCAGGCCTTCAATTGGGATGGGTGGTGCGCTCGCTACGCGTTCTGGAGCTGTGATCGCCGTGAGAGGCGTGATCCCCCACGGTCGCCCCTGCGGGGCTGGTGTTGCAGGCGGCTGCAGTGGGGCTGGTGTTGATGGTGGCACAGGAGGCAAGCGTTGCGACTCTGTCGTAGCTGGGAGCGACGCGGTGATCGATTTAGGACTCAGGCTCACGTCTTGAGGCTCTCTTGGCTTCAATGACAGCAACGAAGGCCGGCGTAGGCGGCGTGCGGCCCCCGTTGTACTGGGGCTCGTTGCGGCTGTCGGCGAAGTGGGGCCCGTTGGCGTTGAGGGGTGGTGTGGAGTTGCGAGGCCAAACGCTCCTGTTGTTGTAGCAAAGCGAAAGGGTGACGCTGATGACGACCTATCCCCTCCTTGCTGTGTAGACGTGAAGAGAGACAGGTGTGGGGGGCGGTCGTGTACTTCGTCCTGGCGACGGAGAGCCGCTGCACCCGCCGTTCCGAAGGCACCCCCGCGGTGCGCATCGGCGCCGACGATCTGTGCCAGCTCATCACGGGCAGCTTCGAGTGCACGTTCTTGATCTTGCTGCTCGTGGTTATGCTGGAGATGCTCCGCCTCCGCAGAGTCGTGGGCGAATGCGTGCATTGTTGTTGTGGACGAGAGGCATCAGGGTAGCATTCGGGCCAGTAGACGACGCGCTGTGTGCCAAGGTCCAGCCAGGACGGAGAGGACCTGGCCGCAAGCCGCGGGTGGCGGCGAGAGCAAGGGGGGAAAGCGGAGCAGCGCCGTGGCCGCCAGCGGCGTGGCGAGGCCAGGAGAGAGTGCACGGGCGACGCGTGCAGCGACGAAGGGGGGGGAGTGGGGGTGGGACGACGACGAAGAGAGCGCGAGGGTACGGATGGGTTGCTTGATGGATGTGGATGAATGGACGGTTGCAACATGAGATTATTCCCCGCTCGATTACAATGACGGCCATTCTTGCATCCACTCCATCGCGCATCCCGTCGTCGTTGTCACCAAACATGCCCACAGCACCGCCAGCGAGGCCACACAGCGCACATCCACATCGTGCACTGCCCTCGGGTCTCTTCCGCACATCCTCCGCCCCCCGCCCGCGCACCTCCCTTCACCGTGAGGCAGAGTGGGAGGCAGACGCCTGGGACTCGAGCAGCGACAAGGACGACGACGACGAACTCCTGGCTGCCGACCTCGGCGGTATGTCCGTCGGCGGTGCGGCTCTTGCTGGGCCCTCATCGTCGTCCGCACCCACCTCTCCCACACTTCCGACATCGCCCACGGCCACGACAACGCAGGCTACGGCAAAGCCCATCCCCATTCGCCGCGCGCCGAGCCCACCCACTTCGCACTCGAACCCGGGCTCGGGTTCCATCTCCACGTCCTGGGTATCCGCGAGCTTCCACCCCACACCTTCACAGAACACGCCGCCAGGAGGCTATGGCTCATCGGCATCGGCCGCGGGCCCTACGCAGCGTGCTGTCGTCGGTAACAGCACCGCTCCTCCAGCAGTTGCGTCCTCCTCGCCAACAGACGAGCCGAAATCGCCGGCTTCACCACCCGCATCCTCAGACCCGCTCGCACCAGCACCCACGCGACTTCCTCCCGGCGGTGCATGGGAGATTGTGGAGACGGCAGATGCCGCTGAACCCCCAGCTCCAGAGGGCGTCAAGGGCGCCGAGGCCGTCAGGCCCGATGCCGAAGACATCTTGCGTGGTAAGTGACGAAACCAGCGCGTGGCGGCCCCACTGTCGTTTTGACTTTCGGGGAATGGGATGTCGTACAGAGCTAATGGCTTTCCACAGACCCGCTGCACCTTCTCTTGTCATTATCGTCGACACCGGCCTCGCCGCGGCCGGGCTCTGTTCCGGGGACACCAGGCGCGCCGCATTCTGGGCGCGCGTCACCTATAGCACCGCCGCGCGTGTCTGGTCTGTCGGCATCGGGCGTCAGCCGCCAGCGTAGTGTGCGGACGGAACGGAGGCGTGAGCTGTATGTGCGCGCACTCACAGTTGAGAGTGGGGGCATTGTCGACGCCGTCAAGCTGCGCAGCCTGGCCTGGAGCGGTATCCCGTACGAGGTCCGCCCGATTGTTTGGCAGTTGTTGCTAGTGAGGGGTCGCGCGAGCATTCATCTGCTTACACCCAGAACTACCTGCCCCTTCCCGTGCAACCCCGACTTGCAACTCTTCAACGGAAGCGCAAAGAATATGCGGCGCTCGTGGACCAGTACTTTGGCCGTGGCCCAGCGTCGCTTGACCAGCAGGTGAGGTCAGATCGTGTACTCTGTCTAACCCCTCAGATCTGGCACCAGATCGAAATCGACGTGCCCCGCACCCGCCCAGGTGCGCCGCTGTGGTCCTGTCCCGCAACGCAGCGCGCACTCGAGCGTATCCTGTACGTCTGGGCGATCCGTCACCCCGCCTCTGGCTACGTGCAGGGCATCAATGACCTGGCCACCCCATTCTTCGAAGTCTTCCTCTCGGGCTATGTCTCGGTCGACCCCGAGGCATTCGACGTCTCATACCTGCCCTCCGAGGTTCTCGCTGCGGTTGAAGCAGACAGCTTCTGGTGCCTCACAAAGCTGCTGGACGGAATTCAGGACCACTACATCTCGCAACAGCCTGGTATCCAGCGTCTAGTGAAGCGCATGGGCGAGCTCATCAAACGTATCGACGCGCCATTGGCCAACCACTTTGAGGAACAGGGTGTCGAGTACATGCAGTTTGCGTTCAGGTGGATGAACTGTCTCCTCATGCGCGAGATTACTGTCAAGTGTACCATCCGCATGTGGGATGCCTATTTGGTGAGTAGGCTAGGTGACACGAGGCGCTGCACGCGTGTGCCAGTCCGCCGACAGCTAAATACACGAGTATGCAACTAACACCAACAGTCTGAGGGCAAGGAGGCATTCTCCCAGTTCCACCTCTACGTCTGTTGCGCCCTCCTTGTCAAGTTTAGCGACCGGCTGCGAGAGATGGACTTCCAGGTGAGTGAGCGTGGTCAACTGGGGGTATGGGCAGGGACGAGGCAGCTGCGTGGCCTTGGATATGGCCTGTACCTTTAGCCCGTTGTGGTTCGTCCCCACGGTGCCGGCCCGTCGAGCCATGTAACCCCCTCGCACTCCACTGACACTCAACACAGGAAATCATCATGTTCCTCCAGCGTCTTCCGACCATGTCCTGGACCGACGTCGACATTGAGCTGCTTCTCTCTGAAGCGTTCGTGCTGAAGAATGTGTGGCATGGCGCCGACAACCATTTCGCAAACTTGCCGAATGGCGGTGGTGGCTTTGGCATGTTGGGGAGGTAAAGCAAGCGCGTGTGAGGGTGTAAGCATGCGTCAGCATGCGATACCCAGACCATGGCTGCGATCAGTTGGGGATTTGGGAATGTGGCAAACAGGCCGCTTGGGTTATGGTTATGGCGTGGGTGAGCAGCACTACAGCTCACCAGCCGCCTGTAAGGAGTACTAGAGGGGAGGAGGGAGTGGAGATGAGGGGACCATCAATTAGACCTTTGCATCGTAATAGCACCAAAATGAGATGCCCTACTACCAAACACACACGCAGCATCTCTTGTGGCATTGCATTGGGGCTCGTTATATGACTACAGTAATGGCCGGATCGACCAGGCCCTTGCCCCATCGATTCACCGCCGCGGCGTTGACTACAAGCGTACATCCACAACTCGTCCTGGTCTCTCTAGACGTCCCGTATCTCCACCACGCGCAGACATTTGCCCAGACCAAAGTCAACGCCGCGTAAAACAGCCACGTCCACCCAGGCGCCGTCGCCCTCACGCGCCATCCAGGCCGCCTGTCGCGGGTAGCAGCCGCATCGACCATGAGCCGGTCCACGGCTTCGGCGACAGGGTTGTATCCCACCGTGCCCACACCGCGGCCTTCGTGGATATGGCCACACACGACCACGCGTGGTCGCGCACGCCGGATTTCGTGTAGGAGGAACCTGCACCCGCACCCCGTGACTCTGCCCATGTCTCCGGGCTGGAAGAGAGTGGGCATCTGCTTGTCGGCCCGCAGGGCGCGTTCACGAGCCTTGTATTGAGGTGTTTCGTAGTCGAGGTATCCACGTGGGGGGCCATGGACGACGAATACGTCAACCGATGATGCTGGTGATTGGATGTTCGGGGTGGCGGAGGGGAGGGACTGCAGGCTTGAGTTTGGGTTCGGTTTGGCGACCGCGTCCAGAGCATTGGCCCACGGGTTCTGCACGGGAGGGTACTGGAATGCCCAGCGGCCAAACGACGGGGACAGCGGGGAGCCGTAGATGGTGACCACTCGCGGGGCGGCCCGCGAGGTGGTAGGCGTCTGGCCGTCGTCCGCCACTCCAGTCGAGGGTGGGAACACCAAGTCAATCTTCTCGTTGCAGAGGTACAGGACGCCGCCCCAGTCAAAGTCTTGGGATGTCTTCCCGACCACCTTGGACTGGTCGTCGTCGTCGTCGTCGTCGTCCACACGCCCGTCACGGATCCTCCTCCGCCTCCTCTCGCTGGCCAAGTACGCGTCGTCCAGTGCGAAATCGTGGTTGCCGCCAATGACGACTTTGTACCGATGCGGCTGCTTGCTCAACCAGTCGATCTGGGACTGAACCTGTTCCCAACGACCTTCGGCAGTCAGGTCACCGGCATGAACCAGGATGTCGCCAATGGGAAGGTCCGGTGTGGTCCCGTGCGTGTCGCTGATACACACCACCGTCAGGCCTAGGAGACCAGCAGTAGTAGTATCCGCATGGGTTATACTTGTTGCTCGTGATCTTGATCGGCCAGTGTCCGAGATGAGCGGGGCTGTTGCGACTGTCGGCTCGCCATCGCCGTCCAGGGTCACATGATGGTGAGGGCAGACGGGCGGGGTGGTGAGGTACAGCAAGAGATCGTGCCGTAGCTTGTACGAGTTTCGTGACCAAAAGTCGGACATGACTTGGGATGAGTGGGGCGAGAAACGGGAGGTACCGTCACTGCCTGTATCCAGAGTGGATTCACGGAAGGGGAGGACTGGGTGGATTGTTGACGTGTGGTGGCAAGTCGTTGCGAGTACGTTGGCCGTGTGCCGATGGTCACGTCTAGGTGCACGTGGGTCTTTTAGAGAACCCGAGAGGACGTGAGTAGCAAGTACAGAAAATGAGTTGAGGTGGACAATGACGAAGCCAACGCCAAAACGCACCGCATTGAGTTAAGTTCCCATCGAAGTCGCCACCGACCGCCTCGGCAAATACGGAAAGTAAACAACGGCGGTACGGCGGCCAGCTTTGTCTCCGTATCTCTGATCTCTGTTGCTCTTTGGCATCTTGGTACTGGCACCTCTCACGTTACACGTTAGGCAAATGTAGTACCCTTCCAAACACGGGATGCAGTACATGTCATGCTAGAAGCCGATAAACAGCTCACGGCGGCTACACTCTATGAAATGAAACGAAAAACAAGGTATCGCACGGTTGACGATGGTGACGCTCTGTTGCTGCTGCTTCTCACTCGATCTTCTGTTGCTTCTCTGTCCCTCCCCCTACTCCCCCCTTTCTCCTGTACACCACTGTCGATGGAAAGGGAACATATGAATGTCCAGACGACCGCCTAGTCGTAATCACGGTCACGCCTCTCTCCTTCCTCCATGTCTACCTCGACTTCGCCGTCCTCAGCGCCACCCGCGTTGACCGGGTACGTTGGCGTCGCGCTGCCGGAAACGATGGGTGAGGGGGCCGAGTGCCATGCGGCCTGGACGGGGCCAGCGAGGTTGGGGATATCCTTTGAGCCGAGGGCGAGAGCCTGGAGGGTGTCAGTAAGGTGATCGCGGAAGGGGTCCGTGGTTGGCTACATGATTTTGGGTCCGATGATAGCCAGCCTACACGACCCAACTAAACTCACGCTCTCCGCCATCTCGCGGCTCGGGTACGTCACCAACAAGCCTCCATCGTCACTCTGCGCAACGGCGCCACCAGTACCCTCGTACCACTCGCGCAGGCTCGCCTGAGACGTCTCCGATCCAAGTGCCTCACCAGACAGGTGGACAGTACGCGACCTGTTGTCGAGGCGCATGGGGCGCTGGAAGGCACCACCGCGACCGCGTCCCCCACGCGCACCGCGGACGCCACGGACAGCACCGCGGGGGGCGCCACGTCCATATGGAGAGTAACGCGTGGCGGGGATACCGAGTGTGGACGCCTTGTCGCGGAGAGCAGAGAGCTGGGCATTGAGGGCGAGCAGCTCTTCCTGGTCCTTGCCGGCCGTAGTCTCCATGCCGTGCTTGGCCAGCTCGGCATCGAGCTTCTCCTTGTCGGTCATGTCGACGTCGGTGGTGGGCGGGGGCGCGGGCTTGTCGAGGTCCTGCATCTCCTGGGCGATAGCCTTGATGCGGGTGAGGATGGCGACCTTGTCCTCCTGCGAAGCAGTGCCGGCGCGGGCAAAGAGGACTTTTTGCTCTGCGACAAGGGTTTCGCGCTTTTGCCGGCGTTCACGGACCTCGAGGTCGGCCAGCGTCTTCTTCAAGCGCGATTCTGGGCCCTCGAGTGTCGCGACCACGTTCCCCTGCGTCGACTGGCCATTCTCCAGCTTCTTCATGTTGGAAATCATCGTTGCCGAGGCCTCGAGCTTTTGCTGACCAGCGCCGCCCTGGCCGGGACGGGGACGATGCCAGAGCACTTTGACGTGGCGGGAACCAAACACAGCCTCCTCGTTCTTCCACGCCTGGAATGCCTCGCGGTTGGACGCAAACGAAACAAGGGCGCGACGCGACTTGCCCTCCACAGCGACGTTGGTGACATCGCCAAACTGGCCGAAATAGTCGCGGATGGCGCCCATTGACACGTGTGCTGGAGGGATCTCGGTGATGAGGAGGGTGTTGCCGTTACGGTCGTGCGGGGGTCGGTTGACGCCGCTGGCAAACTCGGCAGACGGGCCGCCCTGAGGACCACCGGGTCCACCAGGTCCCATGAACGGCATGCCGGGCATTCCCATCATCATGGGGGGCATGCCTCCTGGGCCCATCATACCTCCGCGACCGCCACGACCTCCGCGTCCTCCCCTTCCTCCGCGTCCGTTGAACCCGCCACGGCCTCCCTGGAAGCCCTGCATCTGTTGGAACATCATCTCCGGAGTGGGGATGATGACGTCCACGCTGTGCTCGAAGGGGCAGTTGACACCGCGCATGCAGAAGCCACGCTCGTGGTAGTCGACACAACGTGGGCGGCCGCCGGGAAGGCGGGGAGCTCCTGGGTCTTGCGGGTGGGGAACGGGCGCCACAGGACGGCCCTCTCCCATCTCCACATCACCAGTGTCTCGGCGAGGAGACGAGGGGCCGGCAACTGCAGGTGGTGGGGGGGTTGCTGGGCGAACGGCGGCGGCGGTGGAGGGAAGATACGCCTTGGTGCGGAGGACGTCAAAGCAGAGGTCAACAAACGCTTGCGAACGCGCTTCGAGGAACTCTTTCAGCTCGGTCACCATGTACTGGCATGTTAGCAAGAATGCAAAGATAGAGAAGGTGATATGGAGGGGATACACCAAGATAGCTCAATTGACGCTTACAGTCTTCCACTCCGCTTCAGTCATGCTCGACTCGTGCTTGAGTAATGCAATGATGTAGTCGCCGAGCACATCCGGGTCGGCATCGCACCTGGTAATGTTAGCTAAAGATATTTGGGAAACAAGCTAGAGTGGAGGGGGAAACGAGGAGACAAGCGCAGAATATCCGGTTCGCCGCTCAACTTATTTCTGAGCCGAGCGGCGACGCGCCAGAGATGCCTGTACGCATCTGTGCCTCCTCATCAAAATGACAGGGGTGAGAGGGCACGTACATTGGTTCGAGGGTGGTGACGAGCCATTGCTTAAAGGCTGGTGACTCGCATGCCTCGTTGTATGACATGGTTGCGAGAGATGTTATTTGTGCGATGGATTGCAAGAGATACTCTGTGCTTGAGGTTGCGATCGTGATGTCTTTGAAAGTGGAACCGGGGCTGCGGAATCAAATTGTGCGCACCCCACGGATCGCACACCTATTTCGCGCGGTCCCGTGATTTCGACGAGGGCCTATTTCTACGGCAACGGCGGCCTATTTCCTCTCCCGGCGGAATCAAACTGCTCTCATCCCAGGAATCGTCCTCTCAATGTCGTCCCGACTTTGTTCACTCTCGAGACACACAAACCACTTCTCTCGACGCACAACAACAACAATGGGTGCCTCCGCCTGGGTCCTCCGCGATCTCCGCAAGCGTGTGTCGGCCGCCGATGTCGAGCTTCAGCGCCGCGCATACCTCTACGTCGCCCGCAACACCACCCTGCCAGCTCAGGTCCGCCACCGCGCCCAGCTCGGTCTCAACTCGCTGAATGGCGGAGAGGGTCGCATGACGAGCATTAGGAACAGGTGTACCGAGACCTCAAAAGGCCGTGGTGAGTACAGAACACATTTTATTAAAGATGAGAAGATGGGGGACAGTGGAGACAAAGGCGACCTGGGACAGATGGACCGTGGTCGCGGTCTCCATGTGCCTAGCTTTGTCGATTGGTTTCTTGCCTCGTCAAGACGAATAAGCGGGGGATAGGGATGGAACCACGGCGAGTGAATCGTCAGGCTGGAGATGCCTGAAACTGGACTTGGGCTAGTGGTCGAGGTCACAGTGTCGAAGGACACTCATGTCAAGACAAGCGTCAAGGGATCCAGGATCCGCCTTCCCTCTGTCTTCCCCATGGCCCTTCCCATTTCTCTCCCCCGACCATGCGCACAAAAGTTCCCTTGGCAATGACTGATAGCTGACGAATCCAGGTGTCCTCACCAAGTTCGGTCTCTGCCGTTACCAGTTCCGCCTCAAGGCCCTCAAGGGCGAGATTCCCGGCGTCCACAAGGCGTCGTGGTAAAAGGCCCACCCCACAACACCTCTTAAAACATACACATTAGAAACCGACTTGCTGTTACAGCTGCGGTTTTGCATTGCATGCACATATACCCCTCCTCTAGCTCTGTCAGGACTGGCAGTGGGGACTGTGACAACTGGAGTATTCGCTGGCTCCGTCTTCGTTACCGCTTGCAATCACATTGAGCGGCCTTGGCCACGGGATCTTCCGTGGTAGCTGTTTGGCAGACGCTCTTGGCATCTACAGACCCATAAGCAGACGCGGAAGGAGTGTGTCCATTGACGTATGAGCACAGCGCAGGCAGGTCCACTTTGTTTCGCCTCGCCATCAGATGCGCCATCAACAAAAGCCCGAGCTGCGTGTGGCACCACACTGCCGATTCTCACATGGCATACTCAATGCGCAATTAACCCTCTGTATTTCTATAATTCATCTAATCCTCCCTCCCGCCTCCTCAGTCGGTTGCTGAGACAACAAACGCGTGTAACAGCGCCACCACCCTGGGCGCAGCATCCACACCTTCCTGCTCTGTCCAGCTCGTCTCAAGCAAGACCTCCTCCAGCTCGGGCTCCACTTCGTCCATCTCCGTTGAGAGGAGGAGGTAAACTGCTTCAGCCGTCATGGCCCGGATCTGTAGTGTTTTAGCGGCGATCGAGACATCGTGCAAGCTGAAAACTCACCCTTGGGAAGCGGTGCGCAAGCAATGGTGCGAGTGCGTCTGCCGCCTTGTTTTTCAGACCTGGGAATGGCAGACCGAGCGTGCCGACCACCACTCGCATGGCCGCGCCAATACGGTCCATGCTCTTCAGCGTCCCCACGCCACGGGTCGCCAGGCCCAGCGCGCGGGCATAGGGAGCGGTGGGGTCTGTCGAACGCACCAGACCGGCGTCCAAAAGACGCGACACGGTGGTTAGGGCCGGAACTGCAACGCGGTTCGAGGTCAAGTTGGCAGCGAGAAGAGCAACAATGTCTGCAATGACCGGGGTGGCGAGGTTTGGGCTGGCTCGGAGATACTTGATAAACGGACCCAGAGCACGCTCAGACGTCGGGTGGGCGGCGCTGCCTGCGCTCTGGACCAGACCAGCGAGCACAGCCGGACGGGCGGGGGTGGCGAGGAGTGCCAGGCCCGCAGTAAACCATTCGCTCGGCTGACGCATGGCGCCTTGCACTCCGTCGACCTGCATGGCGCGTGCGCAGTCCCAGACCCACACCATGTCAGTGTTGGCGGAGAGAAGTGTCCCCCAAGCTTCGGTAGCGGCCTCGCGCAGCACATCAAGCTTCTCGAATGCCTGCTTGGCGATGCCGGCCACCGCGGCCTCGAATGTGGCCTGCGGGATAAATATTTTGGCATCGGCTTCGGTAGAGGCGCCAGCAATGACGCGGGCGAGTGCGCGAACGGCGGCTGAACGGACCCAGGAACCGACGTCACCGCGTTGGTCAGTCGTGTAGTCGTCCAAGGCCGTGGTGAGTGCGGCGAGGACGCGGTGGTAGTCGTCCGCAATAACTAGGGTCAGCTACTGAGTGTGGGAAAAGAACCTTACAGAGAACATGTCCATCAAGGCCACGTTGACACGCCACATCCGCTAACGAGCCGACGGCGTTCCTCTTGGTCTCGACGTCGGCCTTGGCTGCTGGATCAAGCAGAACGAGGAGGGCAGCAAGGGGTGTGAAGAGTTCCTCCGGCGAGCGGTAGAGGTAGTGACCCAAGCATAATGCTTGGGCTTGCCTTTGTGCCGGACGAGCGGAAGACAGGTCCGAAACCGATCGCTGGACATATGTCCCCGAGTCGTCGGGCCTCACAATGCTAATTTGCTGACAGGCCTGTGCAAGCGCATCGTGTACGTCACTCTCGCGACGGCGCGTCGCCGCGTCCAGGAAACGGGTGAGCGACGTCAAGTCTGCGCTAGGCGTGAGAGCCGCCCCGCCGAGCGTACATCCGGCAGCGATGATTTCGGGAGCGTTTGCCGTGATAAGAGCAGCAGCGCGGACGCCGGCGAGGGATGCAAGCAGACGTTCCTTTGTTGAATCGTCCAGGAGAGGGGCCATGTGGGCGAGTGCAACAAGCGCGCCGTGTACACTTGTCGGGTCTAGAGAAGGCACCTGACCTAGCTCACGCGCAACTGAGTCGGGGACTTGCTCCGGCGACAGGGCTAGGAGCGCCGCAAGTGCTGTTGCACCGGCGGTGCGCATGCCAGTGTCCCAATGCCTGAGGGTGATGTTGTGCAGGTGCTCCCTCATCGCGTCGCGGTACACTTGGTGAATGGCCACAGATGGAGCGGCGACGGTGAATGCTTTGCGACGGACCGAGACCGAATAAAAATCCGTCTTGCCGAGGACATCAATGCCCTCTGGGTACAGACCAAGACGGCCCACGCCTTCCTGGAATGCTGCCGATGCGGCGCGTCGCACACCGACTTCGCGGTCAAAGACGGCAACGGAAACCAGCGATGTTGCCATGTGTTGGGAAAATGGAGAGAGCTGGGCGGGGCTGCTGGCACGCGAAAGCGACCAGAGCACATAGGCAGCCGCATCTCGCACATTCGAGCCAATGCTATGGCTCGCCCGGCGCAGGTCAAATGAGAGTGCCTTGACGACCCATGGAACTGCCTCGGATACAGCCTCCTCGGAAAGTAGACCGCGACGCGCCAGCTCGGCGACAGCGAGACACACGCCATGCCACCGCGCCTCGCCACGCGCAGCCTCGGCACCACCAAGTCCCATCGCACCACCACCGGCCACGCTCCCTCCCGGATCCACAACGGTGCCGAACGCAGTCTCGACGACGGGCTCGTCCTCGGTACCGGCATACAGCCCGATGGTGGCCATGACAATCTGGTCGGAGAGCTCTTCGGGGAGCAATGCGGATATGCGCGCGAGGTACTTTGCGGCCGAGTATCGCACAATCGTATCCTTGTCACCGAGACCAGACATGAGGTCGTCGAGAACTTCCTCGATGCCGTCCGGCAGCTCGGCATCCGGGTCACCGCGGAATCCACGTCCAAGCCTCGCGAGCCACCAACGACCACGTGCCTTGACAGCCAGCTTGCGGATAAGACCAGACGTTGCGGCCGTGTTACCTCCAGCGAGGTGCGGGATGAGGACGTCGTCAAAGAAGCCGCATAGGGTCGCTAAGTGTGATGGCGATATCATGCCAGGGAGTACGGCCAGAAACGCCATGAGTGACGCAACGAGGTTGGCCTCGCGCTCCCTTTCTCCCTCGGCGAGTTCAGCGCCCGCCCATTCCACAAACCCGGGCAGGCCTTGGGCCGCGTCGTGCCGCGCAAACAGACGAGCAAGCACAAGCGCGGCATACCCTCCCTCGCGGCCCGGGCTGTGTAGAAGTGGGAGCGCGAGGAGTGTGACTCGGACAGCGAGGTCAGAAGTCGGTGCTGAAAAGAGACGTTGGTGGGTGCGCACGTCGAGACGCGTAGGCGTCTCTCCCGAGCTCAAAGCTGTGAGGCTGAACGGCACAGTGAGGAGGAGCGCGAGCCACAAAAGGAGAACGGCGCGCAACTCCCATGCGTCCTCGCTTGAGATAGCTGGATGGTGCGGGGTGTCCGGTACACGCGAGGGTGACGCTGCTGGAGGCGAAAGGAGCGTGATGAGCGCGCCTAGGTGTGGCAGCGATGAGGGAAAGTATGGGACTGAAGCGGTGTCAGTCTTCCTGTCGATAGACCATGTCTACTTGTAATACGCACTGACAGCCTTCCACCCGCGCACCTTGACTACCCAGTTGACAAGACGGCCAACGCGGGCCAATCGCGCATTGTTCGGTGCTGGGCCGTTCTCCGCTAGCCGCTGCAGTTGCGTGCCCAGCACCTGCATCAATGGATGCACAATATCGTCGAGGGCCGGGTCCAGCAGTCCTGGCATGGGGAGGTAGTGATCCAGCTAAATGTTAGCTTGGTTATGGAGATGTGCAGCTCACAATGGCACCCATTTTCGTCACGAGAACCACCTCGGCCTCGTCCTCGGCTTGGGTTGGCGTGGTGCCAACATCGAAAGCGAGCAACCGTGCTTCCAGAGCAGCAAACTCGACACGGTGCGCAAAGTGGGTGTAGGTGGGTTCGGCATCGTCGGCAACAACGTCGTCGACATGCGCCGATGCTGTTGGCGTCCGCGCGCTGTTCACGCCTGCACCTTGATCGAGGGTCATTATAAGTGTGTTGTTGAGATGGTCCAGATGAGACGCGTCGAAAGTCTCGCGAGTGTCGACCTCCACCGCGGCCCTTCCATTAGGAAAGCCTCATTAGCGGAGGATAAATTAACAGAATAGATATTTTCTATTTGTTTATGACATGGACCCACACACACTCATAAGCTATGCCCAGGCGATACATACAACGTCGACATCTACATGAACTAGAAGAACGTCTAACAAACATTGCTAACGATTTGGGACAGCCCCTGCAGTCGGCGCTTGGGTTTGCTGAGCCCATGGTGCCGCTGTCGTGGCAGTGCCGATCCGGGACAAGGCCGACGAGCGCCTCTCATACTCGGTGGCAGCGGGCATGTCCTCACCCCAGCACCACCCGCCAACCCACAGACCTTGCACGACGACGCGTTTCCCCAGTACCTCAGCCTGATACATCTTGGTCAAGCCCGAGTGGACCTTGACCCAAGATGGGAACTGGGACAGGCTGTCAAGCAGTGGCGAGTGCTCGCTGAAAGCCGCACCGCGTTTGAACAGAGTGATGCGGTGCAGGGAGAGGGTGTACAGGTCGGTGAACGGGCCAGAAGACGACGTGGCAGCCTTGAGCGCTTCATCTGGGGAAATGTCGCCACCAAGCAACTGCGCACTGCCCAGGAGGTAGGGCATGAAGCAGTAGTCGTCAAGACCCCACACGCCGTGAGAGCCTGCGGGCTCGAGGCGGTACGTTGACTGGAGCTTGGTCACGAGGTCGAGGTATCTGGGGTCAGATTCCTGTTACTAGAGCATCTGACATACCTAGGGAACACACGGAGAACAAGTTCGTCTTGCTCCTGCTCAGTCGCTACCCAGCCGGCAACAACGCAGCACCACAGGGACAAGACAAAGGCAAGTTCGTGGCCTGTGCCATAGTCGATACGTGTCGGGTGACCAAAAGCGTGAGATTTGATAAGTAGGGGAAGTACCTGGCCTTGGAGAGTTGCCGACATGCTCGTCGCTGCCACAATAGCTGGGAGACGCTAGTCGTCAGCTAACGGACACAACCTATCCAACTCACCTTCTCCACAAGAACAATGTACTCCCTGAACGCGAGGTTTCCAAACCGCTGCCCAGCTTGAGGGTGGGGAGGAACCTCCTCGACCCATGCCACCATCTGGTCCAGAATATCAAGGAGCGCCGCCGTAGGCTGTCGTCAGCTCGTGGTTCGTACCGGTCGAATGCTCACTTCTGAAGCACCGTCGTTGCCGTCGATAATGTTCTTTCCCCTGATGCGGTCGCATCTCCTCTTCAACCACCCCATAAACCCCTGGTACCCAGGTGTCCGTGGCCACTCTGACACGGCTTGTTCTGTAGTCAGAATCGGGGCAGGCTTGGCCGGGTCGGAGGGAAGGACAATGTGGTCTGGCTTTGCAGCTGTCGGGGGTGGTGGGGGTGGCATTGCTGTGCGTCCGGGCATGGCTGTCGGTGGAGGCATGGTGTTAACGCCCCTGTTGGGAACTGGCAGTGGTGGCATAGTGTTGCCTTTTAGGAGAGGTTGTTTGTTGTGAGGGAGACGGGACTGTGGAGAGAAGGAAAACGGAGAGAGACGCTCGAGGAGGCAGCGAACCGGCCGAACGCTGGTACAGTGATCAGTGACGTATTAGGTCACGTGATGTACACGCGATAACCACGTGCAAATAGCTGAGCAACAAAGTTGATCTTCACAAGACCTCCGACATTACTTTGCCCGAACGTCGTCTGCTGCTGTTCTGCAACAACACTCGTGTCCAACACCATGCCGCTCTACTTCCTGCGTGTGTCGCTGGAGCACCTCTCCTTCCGCATCCCCGAGCTTCTCTCCATCGCTAAGCTTTTTGAGTTTGAGCTCAAGATCCTTTCCACCGACATCTACCGCGGTGTCATCGTCATTGAGGTCGACAAGGACGAATATGTCGAGCGTATCCTGGACCGTGGTGTCCTTGTCATGTGAGTAGGCATTTTGGGGGAAGAGAAGGATCTGTCTCCTGCAACTTCCATCCTTCAGCGTTGGAGGCAGACAGCGGTCAGCGCCTTGCGCAAGCCTTACCTTCCCCTTTCAATTTACTCTGCGCTACTCCCCTCCAGTGGAGCATGACCGCTGACGCCTCAGCTCCGTAAGCAAGCTGTACGCTGAGGCGACCAATTACGAGGACCTCCATGCACAGCTCAAGGAGAAGCGTGAGCTCTTCGAGCCAGACCTCGACGCATGCTTCAAGATCACTCTCGAGTGCGTCAACAACCGCCCCCTCGACAAGCGTTACCGCCAGGTGGTCGAGGACTTTAGCTGGACCGAGCTCCGCGGCAAGATTGACTTGAAGAACCCAGACATTGAGTTTGTCGTCTTGGAGGACTGTGAGTGGAACCGGGTGTTGAAACCGATTCAACCCATTGAAGGCTAATCGATTCCAGACGACCATGTCACCTTGCACACCCGCCAGGCCCGTCTTGACCGTGACGGCAAGTTCCAGAAGGTCTACTTTGGCAAGCGTATGGGCTTCTCTCGTGCCCGTCCCGTCATAAACGTCCAGGACATCAAGCAGCGTGCCTTCTACGGCAACACGTCTATGGAGGCCGAGATGGGTCTCCTCCTTGCTGGCCAGGCTCTCGTGGGTGCCGCTATCTGTTCGAGCTAACCCACCAGCCCGCCCCAGGCAAGCTCATTTATGACCCATTCGTGGGAACTGGATCGCTCCTGTATGCTGTCGCTCACTGGGGCGCGAGCGTTATCGGTTCGGACATTGACGCGCGCCAGTTCCGTGGCAAGCGTGAGTATGTGCCTCTCAGCCTGTGCTGACATAGCAGAGAAGGGCAAGGACGTCACTCCGGGTATCTTCCGCGCAGCCGCAGCTTACGGCTACGACCAGCGTTTCCTTGACGTTGTTGCCTTTGACGTCACCCACGGTCCTTGGCGCCGAGGCGGTTTCCTCGACGCCATTGTCACCGACCCCCCCTACGGCGTGCGCGCTGGAGCCAAGCGTCTCGGCAAGTCGACAACGCGCAAGCGCAACACTCTGCGTGACGAGCCGTACCAGTTTGACGATGGTACTTTTGCCCACGAGAGGCCCGGATACCTCCCACCTTCAAAGCCATACGAGCTCGTGGACCTGACCCTTGACTTGGTTCAGCTGAGTCGCTACTTGCTCGTTCCCGGCGGTCGTCTCGTCTTCTTCCTCCCCACTGTCAACGATGACTTTGAGCACGTCGACGTGCCCGTTGTGGAAGGTATGCGGGAGGTCAAGCATGAGGATGGCAGTCTGCAGGACTTTGGCAAGTGGGGCCGCAGGGTGAGTACCAGCTGTGAAGCGTATGTCCAACAAGCTGACACATCTGCAGCTTATCACCATGGAGAAGACGGCCACCGATGACGGACCCATGCCCACTTTTGGTGACCATTCCGAGCTCACTGAGGAGCGTCTTCCAGGCCACCACCAATTCAACAAGCGTTACTTGGAGGGATTCAAGCCGCGCGAGGGTGGTGAGGGTTCTGAGGAGACCTCGGAGGCGGAGGAGCAGGCGCCTGCAGAGGAGATGGCGCAGCTCAAGGTTTAACACACTGGAGACTCATTTGGGGAGCAGATACTGCACAGGCATAGATTGTTGCATTGCTATGAAATGCGTGTAATATTCCAGCTGGGATAGAGCAGTTGCGGCGTCCCAGGTCTGAGAGCGCCGGTGTTGTGCCTGCCTCGCGCCCCCAGGTGCTGTGCACAGTTTCTCACGGGAATGTCGGCTAATGCGCAACTCCAGTGGTGCATAACATCAAACCATATTTGTTTTGCATCGTATTACCGTTACTACAAGACTACAAGACGCAAGCTGATACAATAGGCTGTCATAACGAAAAGTCGTAAAAGGCCATTAAAGGTCGTCACAAGCATGCTTAGTTCGGGTGACCCCCGGTATGGGGTTGCGCAATAAGGTGATGGGAATGAAGCCAACGTGGAGGCCGTTCTTTTTTTCTTGGATGGGTACACTGAAACCGAAAGCGCATGCAAAGGTGCGAGATGATTTGGGGCACGAGCTTCGAGAGGTGAAGTGCAACATCTGGGGATCGGAGAGAAGGAGTCGGATAAAGAGTCGGGTGGGGTTTTGAGTGGGATTTGTCTTGGTAGTCCAAAATACCGGCGAGCAGGCTGTGTAGCGAGCCAGTTGTGGTGGTTTTGAAACGCGACTCAGTCCGTGTGTGGGGAGTTCTTGCGGAAGCCCTTAAGATGGCGGAGAGGGCTCGTGGATGGCACAAGGTGCCCTGCCTCTGATACGGGGGCAGTGAATGCTGCCGCCGTCTCGTCCTTGATCTGGACCTTAGTGGAGGGAGGAGTCGGAGGCGGGGTCGGAGGGAGGGTGGTGTTACGAGTGGGAGTCTCGCTCTGGACTTTGGGAGTGGGGGTGGACACCTCAGCAATGGGTGCTGCTGCCAGTAGCTTGAGAGCGTCGCGAAGTTGGCGGGAGGCTGTACGACCGAGAGGGTGGCGGAGGACGCGATCAACACGGCGGAGGGGACTAGGAGGCAGCCACTCGTCACGGTGATTATTGGTAGGGGATGGATGAGTGACGTTCTGCGCTTGGTGGGGCTTGGTGGGGGTTGCGGGCCAGTTGACATCCTGTTCTGCCGCGACGGGAGCGCGAGACGGGGTTGTTTTACTGGGACCGAACTGGTAGCGCTTGATGTGGGCCGTGCGTATGACTGGCCGAGCCTCAACAGCGACTGGGGTGGTGTAGGCGCTGTGGACCTCGCAACGGACTCCAGGAGAGGGGGCAACGAACGAAGCCCTCTGGCGCGAGAGGAGAAGAGAACGAGGCGCCTCCCAGATAATACTGGGGCTAGACATAAGCGCTTGAAGACGGGCGGACAGGCGCTGGCGGCGAGAGTGGGCAACGGCAGGATCCGTCTGCCCACTGGACTCCAGATCAGGCTCGACTGATACTGAAAAGTCGGTTACAATGGCCTTGGGTGTGGGCGGAGGGGTGTGGACGGACGTTAAGGTGGTGCAGGGCGCTCGCGGCACGGCCTCAAGTGGCGAAACACACAAACCGAGGAGGTTAGATGCACGCTTGGTCTTGGCCTGGTACTCCATGATCTCGTTGAAGGAGGGAGGGGCGGTCGTGGAAGGGGACGCAATGATGTTGTTGACGTACTGGAGCGAGTCCTCAGGCTGAAAGGCGTCTTCAAACGAAAGGAACTGAGAAGTGGCAGTACGAGTGGTCTCCATGTCTCCTGCAAGGGGAAGGCTCTCGTCGTCGAGGAGCCTGACATGAGCAGAGCCAAGACCAAGGGAGCGAGCAGCATCGAGGGAGGTGCGCGAGGGCCCTCGAAGAGCAACCGTAATGCGACGGAGGGAGAGAGGGCGGCTGGCTTGGGGTAGGCGGAGGTTCTGGAGAACGGAAGCGACGGTCTCGTTCCACTCGCCAAGAGGAGAAGCAGGAGGAAGGGCCCAACGACGACCGTCACCATTACGAGTGAACCTCGGCTCGTTGAAAGCCCAGGCGTCGAAACGTGCCTCAGAGGCGATGGCACATTCATCTTGACGTTCCTCGCGGCGGAGAATGTGGGGAGGGCGACCAGTTACCGTCCAGGTGTCAAAAGCGCTTGGCAGGCGCACAGAGGGCAAAACGTTGGTAGAGTCGGCCCAAAGGGAAGACTTGCGTTCATTCTTCCTGCCGAAGGAGAGAGGCTGGCAATTGCCGCCGACAGACCAAGGGTCGGCCAATTCACGACGAGATGCGAGAACTAGGGCGAGGACGGCGTCGTTCTCGAGAGTTGGGTGGCAGCTTAGAATGGTGACTTCGAGTGACTCGGACTCGTCGGCGGTGGTGACTGGGAGAGGGGTACCGCAAGCCCAGAATAAAGACTCCGCATGGTCGATCACGGGAAGAGGAAGGCCAAGGGCAAAGAAGAGATATTCAGACTCGTCTGGCGGTGGGAGAGCAAAGTCGGTCGTACGGAGTGAGGTGATGGGGAGTTTGGTACGGAGGGAGGGGAGACGTAGACGCCGTAGTTGTGCCATGGGAGTGCCGACCTTGGTCGGATGGGGGGAAGACGGTGGCGACGGGACAGAAGGAGCAGCTGTACGAGACCAGAGAGGCGAAACAGACGGCCAGAGGAGGGGTGGCGGGGCAGACACATCGACAAAGTCAAGAAGGAACGGGTCGATGTTGGCTGTGTCCATCCATCGGACAGCTTCCACTTGCTCGCAGACGACGCGGACAAGACAACCGCCCGACTGGGGATCGAGACCAGTTCCAGTGGCAGACTACATGTCAATAAATTGAAGCCAGCAATTAGTCGTCCAGTACTCACGACTGAGAGCCAATGGCGGACACTCTTGACCACCACTGGGGGTAATAAAGACGAGTTACCAGATGGCGACAACGTCTTTTCCCCTTGCGCTGACAGGAGTTTCTTTCCCTCTCTGTCAATATGTCAGCATAATGGCCCACGGTCGTTGATCACCGCGACTTAATCAACACGACTTACTTCACGAGGACCAGACGCGCAAGTGCAAGTGCGAGGGAGGGCACCTGGTGGCAAAGGGAGTAACCCCGAGCCTGTGAGGTCAGTGTCATGCCCATTGTCCTCCAAATTACACATACTAGAGCATTGGAGATGGCGAGCTTGACCAGCGACAGCTCGTCAAGCGGTAGCGACAACGTGAACGCTGGAAACATGTTACTTGTGGGTGATGGCGAGAAGAGAGGAAACGAAAGGGCATTTCCGTTGTACCCCGTGTTCTTGTTCTGGCCGGCCCATCGTTGCCACCGTGTGCCGGTGTGGCCAGACCTCCGTTTCCTCGCCGCGTCCGCCGCCCGGGCATTCATCCACAGCCGTTCGCCCGCGTGCTGCCATGTTACCCCGTATACCCCGCGTGTCGCTGAGACACCACGCGTTCAAGGCCTCAAATTCTCTCAGAGGATCAGCTCGGTGCTCTGTAAAGCCTGTGATCCTGTGACCAGTGCCCAGCGGGCGCGCCACGGAAACTGGAGCCGCCACGAGATAAATTGTGTTTCAAGCTCCTAGCTCCTAGAACGCTTCGAGAATTGATGGAGATACCGGCCGGCGTGAAAGAAGTAGGTGAGAGGTGGCGATAAATGTCTGTATGCCGGAGGAAGAGCAGGAGTACCATGTCCATGGGATTCATTTGCTACCCAACGACCAGGCCCTTGACGGAGGCTGGTGTTGGAAGGGTGACAGAGGCGACATTGGTTTGCCACCGGTTGTCAATGAAGCGTGGAGCTGTGGTCAAGGCCGACCACACCATTGACATGCGTTCTGGAAGAGTCATGCATCTGCGTGGATTGGGCACTCGCTCTGGGTGCACCATTCGAGGTACTGGCTACACTGTTGTGACCCTTTCTCGTGAAGGAGACAGTGAGCTTGAGGAGCGGTGAGGGCAAGCTGCCAGCGCCTGTCGTAATTGCACGGTCATCGACTTGCCATTTAGCCTTGACCCATTTCGTGTACGTAGAACGCGATCTCGGTTTAACAGTCAGTCTCGTTGTACACCGTACACGTTAAAAGCTGGTGAGTGTGATGGCTAATCTAGACGCGCTCGTTCGCTGTTTGTTGGGTACTTTCACTGGGATGGCCGTCCGCGCACGACCTCGCTCGGACAGGGATCTTCCGTCGTTGTTTGTTCCCATCCATCCATCTCACTCCTCTCCTTTCCTCGAGCCATCCGCAACGCCTTGAACTCTTATGCTCCCTGTACCTTGGCTAAGACACCAGCCGGTAAGCGATGTGGATGCGCTGCCATCTGCACGCGGCCATGCCCAACCAGACCCAGATCAATCACCGCAGAAGTCACGCGGGCAGCGACCGCTCCGATGTCATGCCAACCCCCGATGCACGGTCCAACTCTCCGATGGTTCCCAGTCCCTCGCGGGCTGTGGAGCAGTCTTTAAGGTGAGCGCGGTTGAGTTCCCCCTCGGCTTATGAGTCCAATATCCTTCGACAAGCTCCCAGCTGACGGTTTCCGGTCATCGTTTGGAGCCGGGGCGAGGTCGTGTTGCGAGGAACCATATCGGACCGCCTGGCAGCGGGTTACGAAACCAACCACGCAGCGCACCTCTTCCTGGCACACGGAATCCTCTCGATGGAAGTATCGCTCCCTGGCCAAGACGCTCGGTACTAACAGCTGACGAGACTGGGTTCCCAGACGAACAATGGCTATGCCGACGCCCTCCACGGTGGCGATCGCACACGCTGTGTCTGTCCGTCACTGTACCATGTCCGCCGCCAGGTCTCTGAGTCTTCTCCCCTGCTCTGTGAGTACAACTGAATGTGCAGCAATGCTGCCCATCCATAACCGCAACTCAACCGCAACTCACACCAAACGAGAGTGCCGAGATTTGTGCTCCAGGCTTCTCATACATCCTCGTGCCGTTAAACCTGACTCACACATCCACTCACCATCCTCAGCTTCAAGTAGAGCGAGAATATGCAAGTCAAGTCAAGTAAGCGGTCGAGAGAGGAGAACGAAGTCCAAATACGACGTTGAATTCAGGTCGATCGACGTGGTCGGACCGGGATCGCCGAATCCGGCGACAGCTCACAAGCGACCCGAGCTCGGGAGATTGATTTCCCGCAATGGCGTTCAGCACTGAGGACCACCTGAAGCGTCCCCGATGGTGTCCACAGGCGACGTACAAGTGGTACAGAAGACAGAACGCTGAGCGCGAGTGGCTCTCGGTCAGGGGGAGGTGGATGAAGACGACGGGTGCCGCTGTTCGGCAGCAAGGAGCGGCAATCGCACTCAAGAAATCGCCAACCCGTCCAGTCCCTTGTCGCCTGGCTTGGTCAATGCTGACGTGGTGACGCACCAGCCGTCTGGCACCGTCCTCGACACCTGCGATCAGTTGAGAGCTGGAATCGAGAGAGAACGTGGCCATGGCCGTACCCGAGGACCAAATATGAATACATTGCCCCTTGTGTACCCAACGACGGCTCATCTCCACTGACGCTTGTGAGGTTGCCGCAGATGTCCCGGTTGTCACAGCAGTGAGCAGCCCTCCTCTAAATGATGCAAATGACTCATCCTCTGACCCTGGAAACATGTATGGTAAGTGTTCAACTTCATAGTTAAATCCTCCCCTACGGGACACTCACCGAATCAGAAGTCTACCTCCTCAAGGGGCTTGCCCCCAACCTCAACAGGCAACGCCGCAACAACAACGGTCACCCAACGGGCACCTTCCGGCCCTGCCTCCCAGGCATGCAGTGTGCCACGCTGAACCACAACTTCGCCTGCAGTGACGAGTGTACGCTCCTCCTCTCCGCTGGCCGACGGAGTAATGAGATACGCGTGTCCACTGACAAAGACGTTGTAATCGATCGAGTTTGACCGGTGCATGCCGACCTTGAAGTTTGGCGCAAGATCAGTGACTTGGGCATTCACGCCGTTGGGCGTGACCACCGATGGTGCCAGGGCCATGGAATCGCTGATACCGGCTGGAGTGAGGATGTGGTCTGATTTGGCGGGCACGCCGACGCTGGCAAAGATGGGCGAGAAGGCCGCGTTGCCGTCGAGGCCGGTCTTGAGTGTGAGGGGGTTGGCGATAACCTGGACCTTGGAGCCGTCGGTGTCTCCGGGGGCGTGGGTGGTGATGATTTGGCGGAAAGAGCCGTGAAGAGCCATTTTGCAGGTGCTACGAGATGGGTGTAAGTGAGAATAACAGAAGAGCTGGCTGTATGGACCCGTTATAGGATGGGGAGGGAGGGAGTATGGGTGGTTGGGCGGACCGTCTGGTTCGGGACGTCATTAACCCGGGCACCGGGAGACCCCAGGCAAGTTCCTGTCTTTCTCCGGCATTCGGCCCGCCGCTTCCTGTCCATCGCATAAACCTGCCTCTAAGTCCTGTCCACGTCTTCAGCGGCGATGGTGGTTTAACATATACATCCTGGCTACTAGTCTTCACTTGAACAACCTTGATCACCAGCTCAAGCCTTGGCCGCTGCCTTCTTGAGCTTGAGTGCCTCATTGGCAAACTCGACAAAGTAATAATCGGCATAGACCAGTCCGTGGTCCATAAGCCGGTGCGTCGCATGCTCGTTGCCGTTGATCGTAGAGTGCTTGAGGATCGTCTCCCAGTCACCGTGACCCCAGTCTGCCACTCCCTTGGGCGAGATGGACGCTGCCGGAGTAGCACACTCCCGAATGGTGTCGTCGGAGAGTTTGAACCCGGCTTGCAGGTATCGTTCGGCGGCGCCGGTCTCGGTAGAGCGAAGGAGGGTGTAGAGCATCTGGAGGCCTCGGGCGGCAATCATGCCTGCAGATGCGTCGTATGGGCATGGCTTTGGCGCGTTGAAGTCCCTGCAATGTCAGCTCTTTGCGTGTGGTGGAACAGGTTGCTGGGCGGGGTGTGGTGGGGGAGAGTTGTGGCAGCAATCTGTCACCTGTGCCACACCCACTAACAGCCCGGCTCCTGCCGTGATCTTCTCTCTCACTCACCACCATGGAACACCACTTTCAGGAAGACGCTCCAAGAAAGCGTCAGCCAGCCTGCGGGATGTGGCAATGAACTCGGGGCGTCCAGTACGCAAAGCACACTGGGCGTATCCGTAGATACCCCATGCCTGCCCACGGGACCAGCAGGACTCATCTGCGTAGCCTGTTTGTCAGCAACGAGAACTCGGAAGAGCGAGGTGATGTTGAGGTCAGGACGGAACGGGTTGGCAGCGAAGCAGTATTCGTAAACAGCCGGTTTCAGTGACGCCTGTCCGGCTGCGTCGAGAGACCCATCGCCCAGATTCCTCACCCGCTCACCCCACCTCAACTGTGCAACTGGATGCCTCCAACTCACCCTGGTGGGTCATTCCGTTCATACTCGAGCCATCCTTGCCGTAGTCGACGACATGGTACGTGGTGCCGTCGGGACGAATGAAACCCTGGATCATGCGCTCGGCCTGCGTGGTCGCAATGTCGGCGTAACGGTTGTCGCCAGTGAGCTCGGTGGCCTGGTAGAGGAGGTCGAGGTTCATCTGGACGACAATGTCAGGAGGTTGGTACGCGATAACGGGAGAGACGCGTTGGTGGCAAAGAAACTGGCCTGCTGCTCCTACGAGAACAAGAATATAGCAAGATATCCCTGGCCATCTCGCGACTCTCAACACAACAGGACTCACCATGTTGTCGACAATGACCAAGTAGTGCTCGTCCTGGTTGTCGACACGGTAGATATCAGGCTTGCCGACCTTCCTCATCGAGTTCCAGGAGCGAATGCATCCAACCTGATGTCGTCAGCTATTCAGTTCAGAGGCAGTAGCTCACCTTGGGGTCATACCGGTCCACAAGCGACTCGGCAGCTTCAATCAACACCTCGCGCCCCTCCTCGCTGCCCGTAAACTCCAGATCCCTGCACATCATGTCAGCCAAAGCCCATACTCATGCCAGCCTGGACTCCTGGTCAACGTACCGCCCATAACACGTCTGGAACCTAAAGCCTTGGTCATGGTTGGCTGCGTGACGTGCCATATGCCTAAAGCTCGCTTGGTACTGGCGCGCCAGGTCCTGTACTTGCTCGACAGTGTACCCGGCCGCAGCGAGTGTTCCGGGCAAAAGACGCTCGCGCTCGATGAGCAGCCAAAGGAGGCCCGGGAAGAAGCCTTGTGTCCAGGCGTGCTCCACTGGAGAGTGTCAGCAGACGTTGCCGCCCGAGTCCACACCCGCTGTCTAAAGGGAGTGCACTCACCTCGGCTGCAGTGGTAGCTGTTCGGTCCACCTGGCGTAGTGTACTCTGGCACGCGGACCATCTTCTCTCCCTGTACACCACCGTCAGCTGCCGTCGCGATGCGCGCCTGTTTCCCTCCCACATTCCCCGCTTACATTAGTCGGAATGTACTTCTTCGCAACCTCGACGATCTTGATTACGTCGCTGGCGGTGTACAACCCTGGAGCGGAGGCTGGGATGGCAGATAGCCGTTGGAAAGCTGTGGGTGGCGAGTCGGCCGACGGCATGGTGTTTGAACTGTTGCTGGGTGTTGGAGGAGGGAAGAGAGAATGTAAAGGAGGTGGTCAATGCTGTCGTTGCGCTCGCGGTGTAACAAAGCACGCGTACTGTGGATCCTCCCACACTCTTTACAGGCCACATGCTTCATATATGACCGAACACACACAACAACCGCGTAATATCCTCCCAACATCCTTCCCTGCAAACATCCCAGTTCCCGGTCCGGCGGAAGTCCGCGCGGGTATTTCCCGCCTACTTCCCACCCTACCGACCCACCCACATTCATGCCAATGTGGGCATCATGCTGGTGGGGTTACGTCGCGGAGCAGGGCGAGCGGGAGGTGAGTGTCATGCAGTACAGTTGCCAGTGGCCCGTGTGGGAAGAATGTGGGAGAAATGAGAGAACGAGACAAGGTGAAGGTCGAATCGGACAGACCCACCCACCACCACTCGTTGGGCTTCGCTCACTCAGACCACCTACTGTTTCACTGTTTCGCCCAACATGCACTGCATCACACAAACAGAAACTACAAGCCGTCTACAACTACCGCCCATTGATCAAGCCGAGTAACTCTTGGCCGACGGGGGGACGGGGCACGGGCTGGTGCACGGCGCTGGGCGAGACGAGCTTCTGGGCCGTGGTGGGTGGGAGGGTCTGCAGTTGAGCCTGAGCCTGAACTTGAGCTTGGTGGGCTTGATGCAGGGCTTGCTGGGCCTGCTGAGCCTGTTGTTGGGCTTGCTGCTGGCGTTGCTGCTGGGCCATGTATTGCTGGTGCTGGACCAGTTGGGCTTGCTGTTGCTGGGCCATGTACGGTGCGGGACGAGACTGATAGCCTTGCCCGCCATTGAACATTTGTGGCGGGGACATCATTATCGGTCTTCCGGGACCAGCGAGACCGGGGGGCGCAGGGGGGTAGGGCATGCCCCCAGGCGGGCCACCGGCGCTGGGAACTGCACCGTAAAAGTTGGGGGGAGGCTGGGGGTAGCCCGGCTGGCCGTAGGGGGTCATACCCATGTTGGCTTGCTGCTGGGGGTATGACGGGCGGATACCTGGAGGAGGAGCCTGCATGGCGCCGCTCAAACCACCGGGGGGCGGGCTGAAGAGCGTGCCGAGCAGGTTGCGCTGGTGGTCCGTTGCAGGGCCAGGAGGAGACTGGGAGAATGGTTGGGCAGGGGATGTAGGCATTGGCTGAGGCGGTGAGAAGGCCGGGTTGGTAGGAGGATACGGCTGAGAGAAGTTGAGAGTGGGCGCGGAAGGGGTCTGCTGTTGCTGCTGCTGCTGTTGCTGCTGCTGTTGCTGTTGTTGAAGAGCAGGAGGGTACTGCTGTTGGCCTTGGGGCTGCTGGAGAGGAGCCTGGTGACCGGCGGGAGACGGTGACGCGTTCATGTGCTGCGCGATAGACCACGATTGGGGAGGAGGCATGGGTGGCATGGGGGAGATCATGCCGTTAGTGACGGAGGCGGCGGAGATCGGACGGAGCTGGCCTGGGGCCGGCGGCGTCGTGGGCGCGGTAGAGACGGGGAAGAGCGACTCCAGAAGTGCGCCACGCTGGCGGTTACGGCGCTCCTCGTCGTTGTCTGGGGCGGAAGCCATAGCCGAGCTGGTAGACGCCGACGTGGGAGCCGGTGCTGGAGCAGGCGCACTACCGGGAGGTGCGAGCATGGATAACAGCGTGTTATGGTGCATTGAGCGAGGAGGTGACGGAGGGTTCGCTGGGTTGAGGGCGGACAGGAGCTTAGACTGCTTGGCGCTTGGCACCTGGGCGGTCTGGGTAGCTGCGGGCTGCGCCTGGGGAGGTTGCTGTGCTGGTCCACCGATTCCACTGAGGAGACGTGTGAGAGCGTCATCCTCGCGTTGTTCGTCTGCTGAGGGCTGGGGATGCGATGCTCCACCGACGTAGAGGGAGCCAAACAGATGATCCAGAGAAAGGGCACGGTCGCTCTCGAGACGCTCGACATCATCGTCCTTTTGTATAAACTTGGCAAAGAGGTGGTCGAGCTCGGTCTTGGGTCCAGCGTCAAACGCGTATGGTTGGATCTCTCGGTGGAAGCCTCCTGGTTGGTGGGGTGCGCCTTGATGGAGCTGTTGTTGCTGTGGCTGGGGTTCGGCCTTCCTGCGGGGTGGGTGGGGGTTGATGCCGTGCTTCGTGAGCCACTTCTTCAAGGGCCCAACAAACGGCGTCACGTTGTAGAAGCGTTTCTGGCCCTTGGTAGCCGTGCGCTTGGGACCCTTCTTGTGAGTCCAAGTGGGAAGGTCGAGGAACGGCACCCATTCAATGGCGCCAATCTCATTGCGGGTCTGCGTCTCGAATACTGTCGCCTCGTCGATATCCTTCACAATGAACATTGTGATTTCCTGTGCGTTGATCTGGGTCTTGATAAAGTCGGCAGGATTGACCAGGCCAGAGAGGTCAAAGCCAGTTTCTTCTTCCACCTGGAATCGTCAGCTGTGTTACGTGCAAGCTTCAACGCACCTCTCGGACGGCGCAAGCCGCTTCGCTCTCGTCGGCATTGATCTTGCCGCGGGGGAAACACCACCCGGCGTTCGACTTCCAGCCTCGCACCATGAGGACCTTGTCACCGGCGTCGTTGATGAGAATACCACCACAGCACGGTACCATCTTCTTGTAGGCGCAGTACTCTTGCCAAACGGCGTCATAGTCGATCTCGTTGACGGCGTGGACAGGGCTGGACGCGATGATGAGGTGCGTAAACTGTCGCTGCGACAGTGCCGGTAGCAGAGGGTTGAGTGGCCGCAAGTAGTCTTCATAGAACCAATGCGCTTGCTCGGCCTGCCAGTACAGTCTCAAAGAAGAGTTCTCCTCCTCGGGGAGGTTGACGAGGAATCGGCCTGCGAGTTCATCGAGCACGTCCTCAAACTCCATGTCGCGGAAGATGTTGTCTTCGCTTCCATCGTCCTCGTCGGGTACCACTTGTGTTGACGATGGCCCTGCTGCCGGAGACGAGGACTGGAACATGTCAAAGTGCGGCGGAGGAGCACGCTGGGGTGTACTTGGCTGGTGGGCCATGGCGTGGGCGTATTTGGCCGGAAGCCGGAAGCTCAAAGGGGAGTGGAACGCGGTGGCGAAAGAGGTGGGGTGGACGGAAAAGTAGTGGTTGTGGGTACTACAGTTCTCTCTTGTGTGTGCTTGGTAGCGTCTCGAGCTGGAGTGTGGGCGAGATGCGTGTGTATGCAAAGGGGTGTGGTTGCAAGTCGAGAGAGTGTTTGATCGAGACGGATGACTGAGAAGCGAACCCCGGCACCGCGGCGGCATCGGAACGTTGGCTTCTCGCTCACGCGTCACCCGGTTCAAAATGTGTTACGTAATCGCTTATCTTGCAGTTTATGTGACGTGGCATTCTTATCAGTTACCCGACGATTCAAGCTGCGGGCTCTGGATGCTGAGACGATGCAATGCAGGCCATGCGTATTCGTACACATACCCAGCGGATCCCTATAGATTACTGTATACAAAGGCATGCTGTTCAAGGTCTCTGATTCTCGAAATGTGTTGTGCAGGAAGAGCTGAAGCAGTTTCCGTACGCAAATGGGAACGGAACATTGCCCGCCGGTGCTCTTGATCCCCACGGAAAAGGGAGCCGTTTTTTGGTAGTCAACGCACCTTCACCCTCACCATCCACCTCCCCATCCCTCTACCCCGCTGATATCAGGCTGGGACAAGGGGACCAAAAATGGACCAGCACTGTCGAAGTAGCATCTTCGGACTAGAATGCCACACGCCACGCCCACTCTTGCGTGGAGCACGTGATTGTATTTACCGGCAATTCTCGGCGTCCGCCGATGCCTGGCCGATTCGGCGACCACGTCGGCGTCGGCGCACAAGCATGAAGGACGGTGTTGGGGCGCGTTGCTTGTCTGTACACACATCCATGACGCTTGAGGTGATCGACTTTGAAGTGCTTGAGCGATGGTTTGCCCCCTTACAGGCTGAATGGGAGAGGATCGCTGACATGGCGTGCGCCTCGCAAACCTCGAGGAACAGGAGGGCAACGAAGTGGGTCTGGAGGTCGACATGTGCTGACTGGTTGGTATTGCCAGAAGTCCTTAACCGTAAGCTTGGTTCATCTATGCAGATACTCGGCGAGGTGGTCCGCCTGGCTGGGACAAAGAGGTTGAGTTAGCGTCCGCGGGTCTCACCACCGTCCGCAGGTCCGCTTCTGAGTAATGGAAGATACAGGTCCTTCCACACCAGGGTCTGGTCCTGAGGGATCATGAGGGAAACAGGACCTGTACCGCCCGCGGCAAAGTGAACACCCCAAGCAGCGCAGAAGGACGGAGCCGAGGACAGCCGCAGTCCAATGTGGTGGCACGTCGGCGTCGCCAAAACGTCGAACGGCACTCACTGCCGTTCCTTGAACTCAGTTTGGTATCCGGCGTTGTGGGACTGACATGCGAGTGTTAGCAGTCGTGGCTCAACGGCATGACAGATCGAGAGTGGCGTAGCTGGCTGTGCATCCCCCGCAGTGATGGCAGCTGCTGGCTCGCAGTGGGCCGGTGGGAATCGCTCTTTCGGGGCTTGCGTCCACTGTCCAGCAGCGTGCAGAGTGTCACCCCGCATCTTGCATTGGTCAGCCCGCCAGCGCGGGCGCAAGATGGCACAGAGGAGACATTGCACCTCCGGGGGCCACATGTTAGACTCTCAGAGGGCAGACGGTGAAGAGTACCCGCTGCTCCTTGTGAGGCAGGCCGGTCGGACGGCGAGTCCTGGAGGCGACATCTATGCCTGTGTGGAGCCCGCTGAGCCCCCCTGACCGCCGGAATCTGTGCTTGAGCTCGATCTGATGGTTGTATTGACGAACGAAGCAGCACTTGACCGATGAGTCGCGTCCGACTGGAGAATACCAAGACGCTTGTCTGGGCGACAGCCGCCAACGTGACGTGCCGGCCAGGAGGCAATTGCTGACCTAGGGTGGTGGTCTCTCTGTGCTAACCTCAGTCACAGTCCTGCAGACTTCCCAAAGGGTGACTAAAGTCCAGCCAGGATGTTTTGGAAGGTCTGGACGGTTGGACCGGAAGTGTATGGATTTGGGGAATTTTGACGATTTGGTGAGTGCGACAGTGATGGCGCGTGAGGCCAGCAACCACGTGGATGAATCAGTTCACCGTCATTGAGGATCCTACATGCTCTGACGTGCTTACTAGACTGACGTATGCTTGGCTGGCAATGTTCATGGACTTGTGGGGCGATGGAGCCCTGTTGATGGTGGAACCCCGAGGGAACCTGTTCGGGGAAACATCGCGGAGCGCTCCTTGGGTCACATCCGGCCTGGCTGCGGGATGAGAGGACGTTCTGGGTGCGACGGAGCGGTGATGAAAGGCAGTGGTGCGAAGTGGATGGAGGTGTGTGTGTGTTATGTCGAGAGTTGGAGACTGTCGGGGGTGGATGAAACGTGGAGGAGAAGAACGATCACAGATCACAGAGCAGGTGCCGCCTGGCCGACTGACAGCAGCACCCGACGACGCGTTAACCCCGTCCGCTCCCACACGCCGTCGGTCACACAACAAGTTATACCGATTGCCGACTGGGTGAGTCGAGGACTGATGGCATGCTGGATGCGTGCTGGCCTGCTGGACACTCGAGTATGTGAGCACACACACACACCCCCAAACCACCGCCTGACCGGGGCAAGACACCAAATCCCGTCCCCATCACCTTCCCGTCTCCATCACCTTCCCCGGTTCCCCACCGTCCTTCCTTCCATCCTTCCTTCTACTCAACACTCATCCTTACTCTTCTCGGGCTTCAACATTGTGGCCTCATTGCCTCCCAACACTGCACGTCGTGCTCGAGCGAGTTCCGACCATCTCGCCCCGCTATTCTCTATTCTCGCTCTGCGCGCTCTCTGCTACCTTCAAGGAACGTCCCCCCACCACCCACCACCCACCCACAGCCGGCTTCTCGCCCTCCCCCCGCGTCTCCCCCGATCCCCTCGCCCACATCCAGCCATCGATGGCTCAAGTCGCTGGCCCCTCTGGCCTCTGGCCTCTGGCCATCCCCCCCAGACGCGCCAACGCGTCTTTTGAGCGTCTCTTCATGAGAGACAAAGGGTCCTTGGGTCCTTGGAGAAACACGGTGGCGTCTCGCGTCGTCCACCGGCATTCAGCTTACAGACCAACGTCATCCACCCCTCACACCGTCATCTCCAGAGATCCCGCAGGCCACCCACCGGCCTATCACCTGCGCGCGTTACGACACCCACCCAGCGACGCGACTGATTTCTCTTCGGGCTTTCCGCCTCTCCTCGCCAGAGACCCAAGGCTCATGGTCCAGATCTCTACATGGCTAGAAAGTCTAGACTCTACATGAAAAAGTAATATGGCGTTCACACTGTCATGTTCAGAGAGCCAACGAGAGAGCGCTGACCAGCCATCTCTGCATCTCTCACGCACATATGTATAACTACTGACCTCGCCACCACGTCTCTTCTTCTTCTCTTTCTTCATCCATTTAATGGAATTGACATTGTCACGCTCAGCATCATCTTGTTCACAACAAGCTCTCATGTTCCAGCCTCTCACCATGTCTCTCGCTCCCCTCATCCTCGCCCTTGGTGTTGCCGCTGAGGTCTCGACCTCGGCGGCCCACTACGAGGCCCAACTCGCCCTTGCTCGCGTGGTGATGCTCCGGTGAGTCCTGGGCAGGCGACTGGTCTTTTGAATGAGCTAACCTCCCCTATCAGCAACACCACCGAGCACCTCCTCGACCTCCCCGTCGCCATCGCCGTGGCTCGTGCCGTCCTCCTCGAGGTGAGTAATGTTTCTCATTTGCTGGCATCACTCTGACCAGCTCAAAGGCGGTCGAGCTCGGCGATGTCCCCTTCCCTCCTGCCTTCTTCGACGGCACCGCCAAGTACGGTGCCGTCGTTGCCAAGGCTGCCCTCCAGCAGCCCCGCTCCCTCGTCCCCTCCCTCCTTCTCGACCTGGTCGAGGAGGGCCACACTTCACCTCCCGGTTGGGGTATTCCCGACCACCACCACCACATTCGTCCCTGCCTTGGCGATGCGCTCGCCCCTCATGTCCTCAAGAGGGTCGAGCACTGCGCTGAGGCCGGCGCGTTCTACCTTTCTCGCGCTGCGGACTCGGAGGAGACCCTCGTCGCCGACGAGGTGATCTCTGCCGACGTCAGCAGCGTCACCCACGACCGCCCCCCTTCGCCCGCCTCGACCGCCACCCTGGTGGACGACGGTGCGTCGTGGGCTTCTTCCTGGTCGGAGGGGTTCGACGAGATCGACCTCAACGACCCCTTCGACCACGTCCTCGAGCAGGCGATGCTCGGCATGCTCGCCGCCGTCCCCGCCCGCCGCCCCGACCCGCCCATCGAGGACAAGCCCCGCCGCCGCTTCTTCCCGGGCGTCAAGCGCGCCGTTGGTCGCCTGATCAAGGGCTTCCAACGCTGCAAGGCAACCTCGGCAGACCCCAGCCGCTCTCGCAAGCTCCGAGAGGCTGGGGTTTTCTCCTCGCCGGTCATCGGCCCCCAGGCTCTCAGCCGCGGGGTCAGCCCATTTACCGGCTTCCCCCACCTCCCCACCTCCCTCACCCGCCAACTCTGAGCCAAAGCGTATCAGACGTCGACCTGTCCTATGGTCGACATGAACGTGCCACACCAAAAAAAAACACAAAACCCCAAAATCCAAAAAAAAGAACAAGACTCTCGTTTCCCCTACACCCACTTTAATTTTTAATACCCTTCTTCTTCACCTTCTTTTTTTTCGTTTTGGTTCATCACAACAAAAAAAAAACACAAAACGTGGCACGTTCAAGTCTGAATGGCTTGGCTCTATGGCTCCCCCTCCTTCCCCCTCCTCTCCCCGTCGGCTGGCGACCACAGAGCGACCTCACGGTTGTCCTGTGAGACCCCTTTACGCTTCTCGTCCATGGCCCACCGTTCCCTCGTCTCCTTCTAGGCTGGCATCCTACATCCAGGACCCCCAACACCTCTCCAGACCGCCGGTAGTGTGCCCGGCCTGTCAAAGTTTACTTCAGGCGCCTGCACCATCATCCAAGGCGCCACTCATCACTGGCGCGTCGTTTTCGCATCGGCAAACCTGCAGATCGCCGCCACCCTAGACCACCGCGCACCTGGGCCACCTCACCACCCTCCTCATTGCCAAACCATTGGGCATACGGACGACCCCATTGCACAGCACAGCGATGCCTTTGGTCTTGGGGTCTCGGCTCTCACCACTAGAGAAGAGGATATTTACGACAAGCTCAAGAACATGCTGTCATGCGCCGTGCCTTCTACCACCTCCACCATTGCCCCTTACCTCACTCGGATGGCATCCGCGCGCATCGTAAACACTGCCCGCCAGCTCCTCATTCCAATAGCAATGGTAAGTGCGATCGTTATGAAACCCTCAGATGTTGTCAAGGCCTGACTCAGACAGCAGGATCTCGGCCCGCAGGCTCAACAGAAAGGCCCCCAGTGCCACTAGCCCAGAAGTGGTAAGTGTGTCTGCAACACTAAGATGTTATCAATGACTGACTCTAGCAGAACGGTCTCGGACCACAGCCTCACAGTAGAAAGGCCCATGTGCCTCTATCACCATTCAAGACAAATGGTAAGTGTGACTGCTAGACCCGCTTGCTGTCCGTGCTTGACTCTGACAGAACGATATACAGCCCGCACATTGTGAAATCTCATGTGCCGTGCAACGCACCTTGGCCATGTCGGATCATGTCTATCAAGAAAGTGAGTAGGTGGCGAGCTTACCCGTCTGACACACGCAGTAACAACTGTCACCGGCGCCGGAAAACAAAAATAAACAGTGAGTTTGCTAACTGTATCTCGTGTGCTGACGCGGCACAGAAAACCTGAGCCCGGCAGGTTGAAGTAAAGCAGAAGGCCTCGGAAGAGAAGCACAAACAAGTGTGTACAATGCTCCTCGCGGTGACTGACAATAACTTTTAGAACATTGCAAACGAGAAGAACTTTCCCCTTCTCCCTTCTCCAGAAAACAAACAAACAAAAACCAAACAAACAACCAAAAAAAAACGCAATATCCCACTTCCCTCATCCCCATCCCTCTCCATCCCTCTCCATCCCTCCCCATCGCTCCCCCTCCCCATCCCTATCCCAATCCCTATCTCAATCCCTCTCCTCCGCGTTATCACCTCAAGCCCACGACCTCCAAAAGCCTCTAGAATCGACATCTCCTTCTCCTTGCTCAACCCCATTCGGCGTCTGCCAGCGCATTCCTTCACCCTGCTATACCTGGCTCTCGGGCAACCCTCGGCCCAGCCTCCCACCGTTTGTCCATTCCCAGTAGGAAACTCCATCGTCGCTCTGGCCAGCGTGGGACGTGCATGCTCAGCCTGCACGTGCTCATAGACTCGGCAACGGCAACAGTCATCCTACGCCGCTGCACGAGATCATCATGTGCACGTCCACGCGCGTAGGCTGTTTCGTCCTTGCCACTCAGTCGGCTCCCCCACACACCTTGTGCGGACCGCTGCTCCCATCAAGCATGGTGGCTTAGCCCGGCACGGTATCGCTGTCAACCTCAAGTGAGTACCCATGCCTCCTGTTGCTAGTGGTGTACTAACCGACAGCCCAGCTTAGGGTCAACGAGCGTCCCTGCCAACCTTACCTGCACACCCAACGTGCAATCGCAGCGAGGCATCGGGCCACAGACTTCCCTGCCGTTCAACCCTGCACACCTTACCTGCAGCCACACGTTGTCCAACCCCACCACCCCATTGTAAACGGCACGAACGTCCCTGTGGTGGCCTCCTCCGTCTCGCTCCACATCCACACTCTCGTGGCACTGGACTGCTCCATCAACTCCATTGTTCTGCCCAAGCCACTGGTCTCCTCCACCCACTGCACCCACTCCATCAGACGCTTCGGCCTACACTATCACCCCACCACTAGACCCGCCACCACACTCCACCAATGGACCCCACCACCCACTGTGCCTACCCAATTTCACTGCCGTGGCCGATATCGACCTTTCTATCCCAGGAGTGATGAGGCACACGCACATACACTGGCCTGGTCAGTATATGGGAGCGATCAGCAGCAAACCACTACTGGTGCGGCCCACCGATCTCAACTACCCGCAGCGCCACACTCCAGCTCCTCGTGCGGACAGGACTCCCCTGCATGTAGCAGGCTCTCTTCACCACTACGCATCGAGAACTTTCTCCACGGAGGACACTGCGCTGGAAACTGGCAAAGCCGCCGCCTCAGTGAGCCACCAACCAACCTCCTCCCTACCCCTGATACTGACTCTCCAGACTGCGGCGCCTGGTCCCCTGCCCGCGGGCCAGTCTCAACCCCTTTGCAGGTGGCCAACGTTCCGGCACGTTGGAGTTCCTTCGCGTGGGAGTTGTCAAGATGAGGCTCAACCCTCGCCGACTTCTCCCCGCGAGAAAGAACCTCGGGAAGTCGCCCACAACCGCATCCACCCACACCTGGTTGTGTGGTGACTCCCGTCCTCAGGTGTTCTCTCGGGCACACGTAACGAGAGACCCTGGGAAGAGGGTTGGCAATATGTGCCACCCTGCGTCGCGGGCTCTCCCTGGTAAATGTATGGCCAGGGTTAGCCAGCGACGGAACGGTTTGCCAGAGGAGATACCAAGCCGGCTCCTCTACAGTGCTACCTTCCACCCCTTCAAGACGTCAAGACATCAAGCATCGATACGTCGCGCCTCAAGGTAGCAAGCTCGAATGCAAGACGCCAGTCACCAACTCTTGGCTGTTCAGCTCGGATCTTTCTCAGGTAAGTCCCAACCCTTGTGGCTGGCACCGTGAGCGAACTTGTTCTCGACACTGCCCCTGTCCAATTCGACCAACCTCGACCCGTTCGACTTCACCACCGACATGCGACCGACACAGGACAGCGACTGGCATTCGACTGGGCAGTATTCTCGACTCCAGCACACTGGCTCACGCTTCACCATGGCTCGCCCACATCGCTCCTCACCAACTCGACCCCATTCACTCGACTCGACAACTCATGGTGCCAGCTTGCTGACTACCGCGCTCGGCACTAGCGCACGACCGACACTACGACCCACCCTGCGACCCACCCAGCCAGCACACGCCAGCACATGGCACCGTCAGGACTCTCTGCCACGGCCACCGTCCGCTCAGCTGATACTGCCGGTGTCGTGTGTTGGTCTTTGACTCCCAACCCTTTCCCCTTTCCCCTTTCCCTTTCCATCGGCGCCACGGCGCGAGGGGTGCGCGAGGGATCCCGATCCCATTGCACACCACCTCAAAAGTAGACTAGACATTTCAGCTCAAGAGCCCAATGGGCCAAAACAAGGCGGGTCACGAGGAGGAGGCGTGATCGCAGGTCAAGAGCCTACGGGCCACCCACACTGAGGCGAGTGGGCGATGGGGAGGAGAGGAGAGACGGCGATCTCTGCGCTACGGCGCGAGGGGCTGCGCATGGGATCCAAATCTCATTGCGCACCACCTCAAAAGTAGATTAGACTTTACTGCTCAAGAGCCCTACGGGCCAAAACAAGGCGAGTCACAAGGCGGAGGTGTGATCGCAGCTCAAGAGCCCAAGGGCCACCTTTGACGAGACGAGTGAGGAGGAGGAGAGATGGTGATTGCGCGAGGGATCCAGGTCCCATTGCGCACACCACCTCCAAGTAGATTAGACCTTTACTGCTCAAGAGCCCTACGGGCCAAAACAAGGCGAGTCACAAGGCGGAGACGTGATCGCAGTTCAAGAGCCCAAGGGCCACCTTCGACGAGGCGAGTGATGAGGAGAACAGAGGCGGCGCGTGGGATTTCGGTCTCATTGCCCACCTCAAAAGTAGATTAGATATTTCAGCTCAAGAGCCCCACGGGCCACAAAGAGGCGAGTCACAAGGCGGAGGTGTGATCGCAGTTGAAGAGCCCACGGGCCACCATTAAAGAGGCGAGTGAGGAGGAAGAGAAGAGATGGTGATTGTGCGTGGGATCTCGATCTCACTGCGCACCACCTCCTCCAACAAGTAGATTAGATATTTCAGCTCAAGAGCCCAACGGGCCACAAAGGCGAGTCACGAGGAGGACCGCAGATCAAGAGCCCAGGGGCCACCGTTAAAGAGGCGAGTGAGGAGGAGGAGGAGGACAGATGGTGATTGCGCGTGGGATCTCGATCTCACTGCGCACCACCACTTCCAACAAGTAGATTAGACTTTTCAGCTCAAGAGCCCAACGGGCCACAATTGAAGAACGCGAGTCACGGGGAGGAGAGATCGTGATTACAGCTCAAGAGCCCACGGGCCACCTTTAAAGAGGCGCGTGGCGAGGAGGAGGAGGAGAAGGAGGAGGAGGAGGAGGACGTTATAGCTCAAGAGCCCCTGGGCCACTTTTAGAAATGCAAGTCACGGGGCGGGGGGGTGGTGAGAGGCGAGTTGGAGTGCCTTTCGAGAAGGAGGGACGGGACGAACGATTGTGGTGACTGGAAAGTTTGGAGACGAGGTGGTGTCCATGCTCTTCGACTGGCTGCAATGCTGGTTCGACGTGGCTCTCTCGGCTTGCGGCTGGACCCGGCGCGGTAGATGCCGAGACAGCGCGAGGCTGTAACTGCAGCTCGGCGTCGAGCCCGAGTTGCAAGCTGAGCTACTGGGTTGCGTGGTGGAAAACGGACAACGACTGGACAACGAGGGGCAATGGCTGGAGAGCTGGAGACTCGGCATGAGGCGCTTGGGCCTCGGCATTGCCAGAGAGTCGGCGCGTGAGCAGGCAGCCTGTGAGGCGGGACCTAAGGAGCTTGTGGTGGTGGAACGGGTGGTGAACGGCCATGCATCAGAAGGTGAACGGTCATAGATTACAGTCAGGTAAACGGTCAGTGGGTATTGCTTGGGTGGATCATGGATGAGGGACCTGCATAGAAGTACCGTCTCGTGACTGTCAATACACAACGACGACCAATCCCACACTGTCCCCACATGACGTGAACGGCAGCACGGCAGCTTTTCTTAGTCGTCATTGACGGAGAAGTCGGCCTTGATGATGAGGCTAACGTCCAAACCGTGGGGGATGGTGATCGAGACGCTGGGGATCTCACCACTGGCCATCAATTCCATGACGCGGTGCTGGTGCTTGGTGCAGGTGTGGGTCTTGACGGAGTCCTTGTGAACCCATTCGTCCTCGCTGGCATCGACAAGCTTGAGCGCCTGGGCGACGATATACGAGTCGATGGCCGAGACGGCACGGCAGCGGTGCTTGTTCGAGTAGTGGCTCAAGGGGAGGGGGTCAAAGTCGTAAAGGTTGGCCTTGGCCTCGTATGCGACTAAAGAATCAGACAAAAGAGTTGCAAGTCAGGACGCACTGAAGTGGGCTTTAGACAGGGCCTGGTACGTGGTGAAGCGCATGTTGATGACGGCGTTGGCCGTGTCGAGGGCGTGAGAGTACCACTTGCCGTTCATAGTGATGCGAGCGAGCTTGAGGCAGGTAAGGCTGAGCTTGAGCCATGCCGCGGACTCGCTGGAATGGTCAGGCTTGACTTGAAAGGCAGTTATCCACTACTTACAGCTGGGCCACACCAAACTGGAACGCATCGTTGTTTTTGAAGATAAGAGGACTCGAGACCCATGGGTACAGGTCAAAGAGGATACTGATGTACTCGTGTATAGCCGTGATGTAGTCACCGCAGGAATAGTAACTGCAGGGTCAGGTACCGCGCATCTCAACGACACATACACGTCGTGAGCCATCTGAAGTTTGCGTTCCAGGCGGAGCACAAGGCCCTTGAGAGGCTCAATCACATTGAGCGCTTTGCGGATGGCAGGGTGCTGGGCAGGAAGGGGATAGTCGCGAGGACGGCGGACAGGGCTGGCACCCATGATCATCTTGTTCTGAAAGATGGCTCTAGACCACCTCTCGCCTTCCGATATGTGGTCGCCATCAAGCGAACGATCAGACTTGAGGAGGCCATGCGTCCAGAGCGTCTCCATGATGACGTCGAGGGTGAGCATGTTGGCATAGATGCGATGGCGCTCGTGGCTTGGGGATGCTGCCTTGAGTTTGGGAATGGTGTTGGTCATGGAAGGGTTGGAGGTGAACCTGCGGGGAAAGTGAGTCAAAAGGAAGGACACTGACAACCTACCTTCCGGTCTCTTTGGCGGCGGTCTTCTCCAACTTCTCGAGCTGGTCGATGTTGCGGTTGGTAGGATCAAGGGTCTCGACGGGGAAGAGATTCCAGAGCGCCTGGTTCTCGGTTTGGTCCGACTGGCTGAAGCTCTTGGCGCCGACATTGGCCACACGGGGAAGGATGATGGTGGACCCTCCGCGCGTGAAGACACACTGGTCAATGGTGAGCGCTGGACCCCACTCGGGGATATGCAGCTCGTAGCCACTGTCTGGGGTGGAGGGTTGGGAGTCGGTGAGGGGTCTCTTGAGGTTTGGGGCCTTGTTCTGGGGTGTCATGGTTGTGGATGGGTAAAGTGGTGTGAAAGGGAAGCGTGATGAGGAGGGAAAAAGGATGAGCTGGACAACACCGTCACACACACGCGGCTGGCGGCGGCTGGCGCGGCCGGTGGGACGTGGGGGGTTTGATTGATGGGCAGGTCTGTGTGGGTTTCCGGCAATCAGTGGGGCGTGAGAAGCATGGTTGTCTTTGAACATGTTATTCCATCAGCTGCGGCCCATCATATCCAGTATCCAGTCATGCCGTCAGTAGGAATGCTGCTGGCTCTACCATGCATGCCGTGTGACTGATGGCCAGGGGCACTCGGGAACACTACACGGCCCAAACAACTCGACAAAGTCAAACAGAGCCCAGCTTCGTCTTCCTGTGTCGTTGTCGACATGGGGTTCTTCGTCCTTGCGGCAGTCGAGAAGGACATACGACCGGCTACTGGGGCTATCAGCAACCAACCCGCCGGCCGCCAGGGAGTGACAACATACTCGCGGTCGTCCTGCCGATGCGAGATTCCAAGCTGCCACTTTGGGGAGAGGAACTTTCGATGCCGCCTGACGATCATTTTGACCGTCACCTTACGTCGGTGGTGTTGGATGAGAGGGTGTGAACAAGATGATACTGTCAGCTCCATGCCTTGGTCTTACTCTGCAAGATCTCAACACGGGTCGAGACACCTTTCGCGCAACGCTGCCAAGACAAAGCACCAACACCGCTGGACCGACCACCAACACCGCCGCCGCGAATGACACTCGGACACTCCGCAATCCCGACGTGTGTTATCGGCCGGGCCAGCTACTAACCCTTTGGACTAGGCATGTGTGCATGTGTCAGTGTTCAGCTGTACGCAGCACAACAACATCGTCCAGTACTTTCGAAAGTCCGAGTCTCATCGGAGAATGGGTTGCCAAGACAACAGAGGAGATGCCGAAACTGTGGCACGAAAACGGTGGTCCTACCCTTCTTGTGTGTAGCTGTTGGGATTGTTGTGGAGACGTGCGGAGCCCGCTATAGGCTCCATCGTAGGGTCTATGGGTCCGGCTTACTAAATATGGATCCGAAAAGAGCGTTGCCGCGCGCTTATAGCGATGGCCGTTGACACCTGTGTGGCCTGTGGACTGTGTTTGGTGTAAACAACGGGTGTTGCGGTTGCTCGGATCTTCGGCCGACGTCGACGTGGACAACAGAATTTGCAACGGGAACTGGCGCCGTGTTATCAGATAAAATGGGGCCGGAGAGACGTCCCTGAGCAACTCTTTCTCCCACTGCTTGCCGGAACGGGTTGCGTCGCCCTGAGCGTCTCTCTGTTGAGCTTGCTCGCTAGGCTCGCTGCCCGCTCGCAGTGTGTAATGGCCGGGTACGTAGAGCTTGGCGTAGGACAGGTGCACATGGCGCCTGATCTCTGACCGGTGCCGGCCGGTGACAGGCCTGACAGGAGGTTGCTGTTCAAAAGTCGGCGTTTCATTTCAAGACACTTTTTTCTTTTACACTGTCACCCTCTCCACTCACTCCACACCTCTCGCTTGCCTTCAGTGCAATGAGCATCGGTTCCACCTCCATCTCGACATCCGCCGGTACAGCCATGCGTACCGTCGTCGTCCTTGGTGCCGCGTATGGCGGTGCTCACGCCGCACAGATGCTGGGTGCGAGCCTGCCGGCCAACTACCGCGTGCTGGTCGTGGACCGCAACTCCCACATGAACCGTAAGCTCCCAGCGCATTCCTGCAAGCTGAACCAAGAGACGTCTACGTTTTCCCACGCTTCATCACCGTCCCCCGCCTTGCACCCAAGGGCTTCATCCCGTATTACAACATGTTCGCCTACCCTCCTCTCGACTTTAGCAAGCCGAAGGAGGAAGTCGACAAGGAGATTGCTGAACGCGCCAAGGCCGCCAAGTCACTCCCTACCCCTCCAGCGACACGCGATGGCTCACCAGAGCCCGACACGCGCCACGAGTTCATTCAGGCCAACGTTGTGTCTCTGTCCAAGAACAGCCTGACCATCCTCAAGCCGGACGCGGAGGGCAGCTACGACGGAGTCAAGGATGACGGCAGCGACGCGCCGTCCGATCGCCTTTGCACGATCGACTTTGACTACTGCATCTACGCACTGGGCGCGGGTCTCCCCGCACCTTGTGACGTGTGGGGCGAGTACGGACGCACCCAGCTCCCTGGTCGCGGTACCAAGGCTGGAGGTCTGAACTGGATGAACACCCGTGGCGAGCTTTTGGCAAAGGCAGAGCGCATTGTGCTTGTCGGCGCCGGCGCTCTGGGCATTCGTGAGTACAGCATTCCTGAGCGACACTGACCTTTTCACAGAGTTTGCGACCGACCTCAAGGACCTCTATCCTTCCAAGGAGGTTACTCTCCTCCACTCGCGTACCCGCGTGCTGCCCAGGTATCCCCAGGAGATGCACGACGAGGTGATCAAGGGACTGGAGCGTGCTGGCGTCCAGGTGGTTCTTGGAGAACGTGTCACCGAGTGGCCCGAGAACCCTGACGTTCTTGGCGAGCCCAAGGTCGTTCGCACCGACAAGGGCAGCGAGTTCACTGCCGACCTCGTTCTCGCGTGCACTGGCCAGAAGCCCCACGTTGACCTGGTTCGTGGCCTCGGCGACGTGATTGCCGACACTGGCCGCATCCGCGTCAAGCCCACTACGCAGATCCAGGTCGGTCCCATTTCGGAAGAACCCAAGTCGGACAGCATCTCGGCTGCTGTGGAGAAGCTCTCTCTGGAGCCCAGCGAGACCCTCGACCACATCTTTGCGGTCGGTGACTGCGCGGACACGACTGCTATCCAGGCCGGGCACACCGCCTACTGGCAGGGCGAGGTTGCGGTTCGCAACCTCCTGCGCCTCGTCAAAGCTCGCGAGGGCGAGGACCTCGAGGAGCTCGAGACCTATGCTCCCGGCGCACCAGCAATCAAGGTCACTTTGGGTCTCAAGCACTACGTGATTGCCAATGCGGATGGTGTCAAGCCCGGTGACGACGGTGTGGAGGACCTCCAGGCCAGGCTGATGTGGCCGACCTTCAATGCGGGAGAGTTTGACGACGACGCTTAGACGCTTATGCTTTCCGGAGGTCTCTAGAGTAATGCAAGAAGTAATATCAAATATCAAGGCTGGGACACCGACTGAAGAGGTGGCCTCGCGCAACGCGTCTGAAACACGAACTCTAATGAACTAAAGCTAAACAGCCGTACAACTGGCCGCGTTTGACGTTTCTGGTGGGTTTGAGAGAATCCACATTCTCTTGCTGCCACGTAGACGAGGGACAAGAAACCTGCTGTTTCTGCACTGCATCCTGGCGTGTTGAGTGGTGGCTGTCACAGCCACAGTACAGTGTCTGACTTATGGAAGGGTTGTTTGTCGTTGACGCGTGTGGTTGGGGCGGAACAGGTCACGCGCATGGCACTAGTGCCACCCCCACCCCCACCACTCTCTCAAACGACCTTGCCCCTTGTACTCACTCACCCAGTCGTCCCATCCTTCCTTCCTTGCCTTTGTGTTTCTTCCTTCTCTCTCTGTCTTGTTGCACTCCTCTCACCCATCCTGTCTACCCATCCCACCATGGATCCAGGTCGTGTGGCCTCACAGGCCACCGTTTCCTCCTTCAACGAGCACCACTACCGTCGTCACTTGTACATGACACCCAGGATTGATCCCCTCGCCGCCCTTCCCGAGCCGGTCATTCTCCGCGGCATCTTCCCTCACCTAACCACCAAGGAGATCTTCCTCGTCTGCCGCACATCAAAGACCATGTACCGCCTCCTGGTGAGCCAAAGTTGATCGTTGGAGCCACACTGACGTACAGGACAACGACGCCTTCTGGATGGCCCGCACCGCTGTCGACTTTCCTAACTGCCCCGCCTTCCTCCTCGAGACCAAGCACTCGCGTCCCGGTTGGTGTCGTCGCGTCTATCTCGGCCTCCGCCACCCACGCCCCTTTATCTGGGGCATCAAGGCTGCCCTCACCAACCCTCATGCTGAGCCTCTAGAGGCACCTCAACCCGCGGATCCTTTCAAGCATGCCACTTGGGGATGGATGGACACTCCTTGCGAAGTCACCTCGGGATTTCCTGTCCACGCTACCGACAACGGCGTTCACACGTTCTACGAAGCCATAAGCGGCATCGCCATGGCCGACAGCGACTCGTTTATCCCATGGCACCAGAACAGCTACGAAAAGGACAAGGGCTTCCTCCATTCCATTGATCTCGTCGAGTGGCACGCTTGCGGCCACGGATTCGTGGCACGCGACTCGCGTGGAGGTCTCTGGGGATTCGGTAAGCCGTCAATGGGTGGGAGACATTCTGACGTTCCCAGGCAAGCTCTCCACAGAGGGTAAACTGCTCTCTCGTCCTACGGCTATCCCCTTTCCCATGCCCGTGGCGGATGTCACTGCTGGACCGACCGACGTGCTTGTCCTTGACGAGGACAACAGCGTCTTTCAGCTCCCCAACTGGGATACCGTGAGTACATCTGATCCAACCATGCGCTAACACACAGGCCCTTCATGAAGCCGGTCACAACCTATACGCCTGCAGAGCGAGCGGTCACGGTCCTCTTACCCCACGCATCACCCAGCTTGCCGTCGGACATCAGTACGCCGCATGTCTCATGGAGCAGAGCAGGGTGTGCGTTTGGATGACCAAGGGACGCCAACCTCACATGGATGACTGGAACTTCTACATTCCACGCCAGGCCTATGAGTTCACGATGGGGCACCTGGACAAGTACGAGGACTCGTTCCTCAGCTCGGCTCGCATGCTACCTGTGATCCCATCTTTTGATCTCGAGGAGGAGCACCTTGACCATGACTCATGTGCTGCTGGCGAGCGGATTGTCAAGATTGCTTGTGGCAGAGAGTTCATTGCCGCCCTCAAGCAGAATGGCGAGGTCTGGGTCGCGTATCCTCAAGAACGAGTTCCCACCTCCTGGACCTGGCGTTATGTGAGTTGGATACGTTACCTAGTGCTGACTGTGAGATGCCATACTTCTCTGGACCCGACACGACCCATCTCTACGTCTACGACGATGTCATTGCTACCCACAGCACACCAATCTCCATCAGTGCGACCCACTGGACCCCATCGTACCTCCGCTTCGGTTGGTTTGACCCGGACACCAGCGTGCGCGAATCGTTCCAACCCGCTGCGTTCACTTCCCTTCCAGTTGTCGACGTTGCGCTTGGCCACTTTCACTATTCGGCTCTGACCGCCACCGGTGAGGTCTATACCTGGGGTTGCAACCTGAGCCCAAACATTTCAGTGGACCACCGCAACATGGTCCGCAGGATGACACCTGTACGCCAGGTGCCGTTTGTGGACCAGAATGGCGCTCCCGTCTTTGTGTACGCCATCACTGCCGGTACCCGTCACGCCGGCGCGCTCGCCTTGGGTGACAACCGCATCCAGATCTATGCGCCGCCTGTCAAGGACGTTCCGGAAGCTGATGCGCCGCGTGCTCTTCGCCACAAGCGGACCGGCTCTCGTTCCACACTCCACCGCAAGTTCTCGTCGTTGTCGCTCAGCAGTCAGATTTCATGGGGCACTCTCCCCCCGGCCAACGGTGCAGCTACCCCCACGCGCCCTGCCCGCAGCGACACTGCCGACTTTATTCCCAAGATTACCTCTGACCAACCGAACGCCGTCAAGGTCGCTCCGGGCAACGGCAACGCCTCGCCCACCAAACGTTCCTCTTTCAAGGGCTCCAGCAGTGTCGTCAAGTGGCTTGGAGGCGTCTTCGTTGCCGACACGTCCAGTGCCAGTGTCACGACTGCTCGCTGTGGCATGTGTCACACGCCATACTGTCTTGGCATGGAGCACCACAACTCGCTCAAGCTCATCAAGTATGACGACGGTCGTGTTGACCCCCGTGAGGTATTTCTCCCGTAGCGATGGAACAACATAGGTCGAATGATGTCTGAAAGTGCCTAGCGTAGTAAGGAGGGAGTTCATGTAGCCTGTCGAGTTGACAAGTGGTTATGCCTGCTGTAATGGAAGAGTACCAGTAACCCTGTCCGGTTGCAAGTAGTGATAGTTATTCGTGTATGCACGTGGTGCTTGTACCGAGGTCAGTAGGTACAGAAAGCAGTCCTTGCCTGGTGAACGGTGGTGGTCCGTGGATGTGTCGATCAAGGAACAGGCGTACGCTTTGGCTCAGCCCGACTGATTTGTTTTGCCACCCGATCAACTTGCTTCTCATTCTTCCACATCCGCTTCATTTCGTGTTACCTCCATCACCCCCTCCATCACCCACCACTTCTCATCATGCCAGAGGTCGCTGGGACCGCTCGTGCTCCCCCTTTATCACTCCCCAGCTTTGTGCTTCACCCTCCACCTTCGCCACCCAGACACATGACGCCCCCACGCCCTGCGCGTAGGCGCCGCGCTCCATCAACCGCTACTCGTCGGCGCCTTCCATCATCCCTCTCCTCTCTCCCCAAGGAGATCCTGCTCCAGTACATCCTTCCACACCTCACCATCAAGGATGTGCTCCTCCTGTGCCGCACGTCCAAGCGGTTCGTCACGGTCCTGGTGAGTTGACTTATGACGTAGTTTGGTGGTGGGAAACTGACGCCGGCAGAATGAGGACAGCTTCTGGCGTCGCCGTATCCTAACCGACTTTCCGGACTGCCCGGCCTTCCTCCACTCCGGTCGTCGTGAGCCGGGGTGGATGCGAAAGGTGTATCTCGGCCTCCGGCACCCTCGCGCGTTTGTGTGGGATGAGTGGGATGGCGGCGCACCGGTCGGGTTCTGGTCCAAGCTTGGGCAGGGCGGCGGTAAACAATCACTGCAACATGTCTCTCACCGCAGCAATCCCACCACCTTCCCGGCCACGGAAGTCACCGACCTGTTCCCCAAGTACACCGAAGCGCAAGGTGTCTTCTTTGTCAGACCCAATCAGACCCCAGAGCTCATCCGCTGGGCGTCGAATGACGACATCAAGAGCACATTCCGCAACGGCCGCCATGCCAAAGTGAAGCCCGTCGACCTCGTCCAGTTGTCTGCTACAGGACATCAACTTGTGGCCCGGGACTCGCGCGGTGGGCTCTGGCGCCTTGGTGAGTACACCTGTGTACCTCGTGACATGCTGACAGGCGAGCTCCTGGAGGACCTACTGCAGACAGCACCGACCCAGAGGCAGAGGTCGATAAAGCCTTAGCTCCGTGGACCACCGCCGCGCGCCCGATTCCTTTGCCCACCTCCGTCTCGCAGGTTGTGGGCGGATCTGACGGATTCCTCGCCTTGGACCAAAACCCTCTGGTCTTGGAGCAACTCTTCGACCTTGACAACTGGTCTCATGTAAGTGCTGTCAGCCTACGGCAAGTCCTGACCACCAGGCGTATCGTCACAGCAGGGACCAGTTTTCCACCTTGGGTCAACTTGCCTCGGACACCGAACCGCCGAGGATTTCAAAGGTCTCGAAAGGAAGCACCGTTTCCGCTTGCTTGCTCAGCAACTACACTATTCTCGCCTGGATCCCAAGCTCTCCGACGTTTCAAGAGACCTTCAAGGACCTCAAGGGCCACCTTGCACTGCACAATGAAGAACTGTTCATGTCGACCGTCAAAAAGGGCACTGAGCCAGGTATATTCCGACTGCCACCTCTCCCCTCCGACCCTACCGAGTTCAGTGAAGCTGTGAGGGGGGAGGGGGGAAAGACCTCGTCCGGCTCTCAGCGAGTGACTGCCATTGCTTGTTGTGGGGGCCGTGTTCTTGCGCTCAAGGCGACCGGCAGCGTCTGGATGACAAGCAAGCTCAAGACCGAAAAGCTGGAGAGGGGGTCTGTCGTTTGGCAACTGGTATGTTCACCGGCTATCCACGGGGCTAATGTCCCCAGGTCGACGGCCTGTCTTTACCCTCCACGACTCACATCTACGCCAACCCCTACGGCACCGAGGTGGCCGCCCACGGCACGACAACCCAGTTACCTGACGGCTCTTGGACCCAATCAAACCTTGTCATTGGCTCGGTCCGCATCGGCAAGCGTCCCCCACTGTTCCCTCGCCATGCAGTCTCGTTGGTCAAGTTCCAAGACCTCCCCATTGTCCAAGTTGCCTTTGCGAAGAGGTATGCTGTAGCCCTTACAGCTGGGGGTGCTGTCTACACTGTTAAGCGGGAAGACTTGTTGGACCCATTCCATCCAGGCAAAGTTCACCTCCGCCACTGCGATATTCGGGATGCGACCGGCTCGCCCGTCTTTTTCTATTCTATCACCTGCGGGGCCATGCACAACGCCGGCCTTGCCTTGGGTGATACCCGCATTCAGGTGTATGCTCCTCCCTTGTCGAAGCGCGAACGCCCCATTGAAGCAATCGCGGGCAAGACCAAGGCAGAGGAAGCTCCTGCCACGACCGAAGCTCCGACGACGACCAAGAATCCGCCCAAGACCCCATCCAAGATTCCGCCCAAGACTCCCAAGACTCCGGTCAAGACCCCTTCCAAAGGTCGCACCTTTCAGCGCCAGGTCCGCCGTGTTGCCAGTCGCCTCGGCCTCATTGACCTCAACCAAGCGCGTGACGATACCATGGGCAACACTCCCGAATGGGAGCGCGTGGCTCCTGTGAGCCTCATGCCCAAAATGGACCACACCAAAGGATTGGCCGCCACCCGCCAATACGTCAACGACGCCGTCGAGTTCCAGGACGGCCGTGTCGACCCTGTGGCTTCTTCCAGGGAGTAAGAGATGTGACATGAAGTAGTTGAGTGAGAAAGAAAGAGGAGGTGAAGTGTCTGCCATGTGCAAGTCCTGCTGTGACTGGCTTCCGTGTGTTGTGGCGGTGCCGTTAATATGCACATTTGCTGCGTCAGCTGAACTGACAAACACTTACTCTTCCGCAACTTCCCCACGTGGCCACTTGGTTTGGCCCAAGGTCACTTGCCAACTGGTGAGACCACTTGTTTATTGACAGGACACAAGACGATGGCCCACCAACTTCGGACGTCGAAGCCACTCACCTGATCACCTGCTGGGCATTTTGCTCCCGCCGCCACCGACATGACGACACAATGAACGCTCTCCTGATATCCTGATCCACCTCCACCGTTCCTTTCGGGCATCTCCATCTCTCCTCTCTCCTCATCCTCTTCCCGCCATCCAACCACAATGTCCGTCCCAAGGGTGAGTATGGGTGCTTTACGCAGAGGTGACATGCTCGCTGTACTCCTCCTTCCCGTGCAGCTCGCGAGAGGGGCAGGTAAAGACACCGTCCGACGTCTCGATACCTGCCCACTTTCCCCACCGCGCTCCTCCGGTGTACCCCACACTGACACCACCAGGCGCCATACGACCCCCGGGGCGTGTTCCGCATCAACTTGCCCCATTTTGAGATTGGCCCGCGTGCGCGTGCGGTCGGGACGTACATCTCCGGCACACTGGTGGGTAATGCGATCTCCAGAATGGGCCATGGCGGCAAGGCGCCAAGACTCACCCACCAACACAGTTTACCCTCTCGTTCTTCCTCATGATCGATGCGGCCACCGTGTCCAAGTACTCCCGCCCACCGCCCGATGCGCCGTACGATACTGTACCTGTGCACGTCGCGTTTGTGGACTGGATTCCGGCCATCTGCTCCACTTGTGAGTATGCAAAGATGATCGCGGCCGAATGGTGGTGATGGTGGCGGCGGTGGGTGGTGAATTCAGCAGCTGACGCACTGCGCTCTGCGCTCCGCCAGTGGGCTTCCTCGTCACCTCGCTCCTGGACAAGTCGCACCTGCACGCGGCGCTCTCGGGGGATTCATGGGGCACCGACGGGCCCGCGGCATGGCGCGCGCGTGTGGTCCTCTTCATTGGCGTGGCGCTCATGGCCGGCGGTCTGGCCGGCAGCCTGGTAGGTGCGACGTTGGCTTGCGGTAAACACCTACGGCGACTGTGCGCTGACGAGTGTGCGTGATTTTCACAGACGGTCCTCATCCTCAAGTACATTGTCAACGGGTACACCGAGTACATCTACTATGGCGCGGCGAATGTGGGCATGAATGCCGGAATCATGCTTTCGTGAGCTGCGAAACCCCGGACGTCCAGTGGTTGCAAAGCTGACAGGTTCCAGCGGGATCATCCTCTGGGTGTCGCAGAGCGGCAGCGACGAGTACGAGTACCAGCTCACCGTCTAACGTTGTGAGCGGAGGTGTACAGAGGGGGAGAAAGAAAGGAGGTGGGGTTGTCTGTAGTGATCGATAATGGAGCTCGTAAGAAGATGCATTGGCGTGGTTCTTGCACGCTGTTTGGTGTGGTGCGCCCAGAATTAATGACTGGGGGTGGCAGGAACCGATAATCGTTGCGTGTGGTCGAGCAGTGAGGTGCAAAAAAGGAAATCAATTGAAATCAACTGGCGTGCTGGTCTGCGGCAGACCACATTTGTCGCCGGTACTAGGTTTTTTCCCCTAAAGGTCACTGGGAAAATGCGGTCAAGCGAGGAGAGGAGGACAACGAGTGGGGCAAGCTAGGTCTGTGAGACCCGGGCAATTTGTGGTGAGCTAGGTAGGGCTTGCGGCCACCTCGGCAGGGTGCCGCAGCAGGATTGTCCCGAGATGATGGTACCCAAGAGAGATGGACCAGGAAACATGAGCGCATCAGCGAGTTACAATATTCCAGTGCCACGGGGGACTGGTGAAATTGTGAGTAAGCGAAAGGCCAGAGGCTGGAGAGATTGGGTGCCACTAGAGGTCTCGGTCCAAACTATTGTTCTCAACACGGCAGGCGACGAGCTCAGCACGTACACGATGCAGCGGGACAAAGCCTGGCGTGATGAGGACCCATTACGCCCCATATTTTCCGTCTGGGATGAACATGGAGACATGGACATGAAGCATGGTGTGTTGCTGGAGGCGAATGTGTGGGGGTGTGCGTTCGAAATATAGCAAACAATCATTTGTTGAGCTGTGGTGGACTGTTTAATCGCCTTGCGCCCACGTCCCACGGCTCATGGCCTCTTCAGCTCTTTAGCAGTCCACCCTAATGCCTAAAGACAGTCCAAGGTGAATACGCCTCTGTATGCTCTCCAAGGTAAGATCACCGTGCACGACACACATGTGCCACTGCGTCACCAATGCATGCACACAGTGCTTGTGGCGGCAATTGGTACGGCCTGCTTTTGTGCCACAATATTCCTCCGCGTCCTCCTCCGACCCTCCGACCTCCTCCCACTTCTACAGAACCGTAAAAGCGGTCAAGAACAAAGTCATCCGTTCCATGTTTGTCTTTCTCAAGAGACAGCCTGAGGCGTGGACGCGCTTGCTCCCAAAGGCCCAAAGGGTGTTCAGTGTACCAGTGTGTGTATCAGAGCCGACAAGTCACGTGATGGTGAGTGTTTTAGTTCCGCGTGTTTACTGTTTTGGTTTGGCGTCCATGATCCATGACCAGCGGATGGGCGGTGCGCGGTTCAAAGGGGGCATGCAGGGTGGTGGTGTGAATTGGCGTCTGAGGGAGCAAGGGAGCAAGGGAGCGAGCAAGCGAGAGGGGGCTTGAGAGGTGAAGAAATGTCGACGACGAGGGGGTCTGGCGCATCATCATGGTGGCTGGTCGGTGGACGCGACGCGTTTGCTCTGGGCCCTTTTTGCCCTCTGCGCCAGTGACGGCGCGCGCACGAGCGCGGTCATGTCCAACCCAACTCTAAGCACCAGCCTCGACAGCTCATGCCGAAACGCAGGCTGCTCGCACAAGGTAGTAGTATAAACATACACGGTGGTGGTGCATCACAATGGAAGTATCAAAAAGCGAAGTACAGGCCATAGTGGCTACGAAGAAGAGAGAGGAGAGAGGAGGAAGGTTGGTTTCTCGGTAGGAAGAGAGAGAGCAAGCAGGACCTCTACGCGTTTACTTGGAGCTGGTAAACTTGGTGACGGCCTTGGTGCCCTCGGAGATGGCGTGCTTGGAAAGCTCGCCGGGGAGGATGAGACGGACGGCAGTCTGGATCTCGCGCGACGAGATGGTCGAGCGGTGGTTGTACGAAGCGAGCTTGGAGGCCTCGGTGGCAATACGCTCGAAGATGTCCGAGACGAACGAGTTGAGGATGGCCATGGCCTTGTTGCTGTGCAAGTGTCAGCAAAGGAAGCAAGGCAAGGGGGCACGGGCTGGATGACGCAGAGCTTGAGGCATCCGAGCGCAGTCCAGCCGACTACTCACGAGATACCAGTGTCGGGGTGGACCTGCTTGAGGACCTTGTAGATGTACGACGAGTACGACTCGACACGCTTCTTGGAGCGCTTCTTGGTGCCCTCCTTGGCGGACGAGGTCTTAGCGGCCTGGGATGGATGTCAGCTGGGGGAACCTTTACCAAAGGGGGGGGGGGTAAGCTCACCTTGGCGGGAGCCTTGGAGGCGGCGGCGGGAGCCTTGGAGGCCTGCGAAGCTGGGGCCTTGGAAGCGACGGACGACTTGGGGGGCTAGTGTGGTGTCAGTGAAGGAACAAGCAAGGCAAAGGATGGTGGTGGTGGTGGCGACGACGGCCCAAGCAGGACGCGTCGAGGGGGGGAGGGTGGCGAGCGGGGTGGATACTGACCATTGTGGATGGAGTTTGAGTGTGGGTGGGGTGGGTGGTAGAGTTGCAGAGAAAGGGTGGTGGAGGAGACAAAGGTTGGGAGAAGGAGAGACGAGTGGATGGATGCAACCAGTTGATATATGGCGCGCGTGAGTGACGGGTGTGGGTGAGTGTGTCGTCAGGCAGCAGAGCGGCGTGGGTGGCCTGGGTGGGTGATCGCTGCTGGGTGACGTGGGAGCAAAACACGCAAACACGTGCCTTTTTGGCCACGTCACGGAAAATACAAATAAAATGTATTTCTGATGACGGTGTTTTCGTCCCCGCCAGCCAACACACACACACACACACGGCCCGCCACCCACAGCGCGCACAGGAGGCCAGAGCCTATATTAGACCACCCCGTCACTTCACCTCTTCCGTCTTCCACATCCATCCACTTCTCCTTCCAACTCTCTCACAACCACCCTTCTCGTGTCTTCGCAACCCCACACACCCCAACCACAACAACCTCTTTCACAATGTCTTCCGGTGGCAAGTCTGGTGGCAAGTCGGGCGGCGACTCCAAGTCGACCACGCGTTCGGCCAAGGCCGGCCTGCAGTGTGAGTAACATGGCCTCTCCCTTGCATTCATTCCTTTGCACCTTTGCTGACTTGCATCCCAGTCCCTGTTGGTCGTATCCACCGTCTCCTCAAGAAGGGCAACTACGCTCAGCGTGTCGGTTCGGGCGCTCCCGTCTACCTCGCCGCTGTCCTTGAGTGTAAGTCGCCTCAGCTTCGTCGTTCCACTGTAGCTGACCTCGACCAGACCTCGCTGCTGAGATCCTCGAGCTTGCCGGCAACGCCGCTCGTGACAACAAGAAGTCGCGTATCGTCCCCCGTCACCTCCAGCTCGCCGTCCGCAACGACGAGGAGCTCAACAAGCTTCTCGGCTCGGTCGTCATCTCGCAGGGCGGTGTCCTCCCCAACATTCTCTCCGAGCTCCTTCCTGCCAAGTCGACCAAGGGCAAGAAGGTCGCCGCCGACGCCTAAGCAAGTCTGCACTGCACCAGACCAAACCACCTGCGCACGAGCAGTCTCTCGACGCGCAAGAGCTACACACCTCTTCTTTCGAGCAACCTGTTCTTTCTTCGCTTTCGCTCATTCCATTTTGTACATGCCGTCCACCGAGATGCATACTTGTATTCTGTCACCTTGCTCTTTTCTGCTGCTGCCACTCGCTCCTAGCCACTGCCTGATCTCACTGATGCCAATACATTGACGCGCTTGTCAGGTCCATGGTATCCTCAGAAGAGACGCGTCCACGCCACCGCCACCACCGCGTCGCTGCGAGTCCTACCACTACCCTACAGTCAAAGCGACTGCCCTCGCCGTGCTCCTGCTCCTGCGCTCCTGGCTGCTCCTCGAGCGTCCCTTGCGCACCCTGCACAAAAACTTGCTGCAGCGATCAGCGAGCCGTGCGGTGCGGAAAACACACAGCACACCACAGCGGTACAGCGGGCACTGCAATCACGTGACTTGGATCACAAGGATCACGCCGATCAGCGAGCACGCAGCGTCCAGCAGCGCCGGCGGGTGTTTACGCGTCGAGGAGAGCGGTGGCTCTTTGCTGTGTGGGTTGATGATATGGCCAAGAGGACATCAACTGGGATCAATTCACGTGACTAGCTAGCAAACATGCAAACATGCGCGGCCCCTCGTCGAGCTCAGCGCCGAGGGGCCACTCCTTCCTGCCCTGCCAGAGACGTGCTGAGAGCGATCACGATGGAGCCGGGCAAAGGTTGTAACGGTCCAAGTCTAGCTGGCCCGTGGCCGCCGCCATAACCAGTCGATTCACTGATGGCGCGTCGGCTTGCTCGTCGCGTCATACCACTGGGCCTCGTCTCCAGCGTCTGCAGCTCACCCGCTCACCAGCTCTCCGCCAACCGCACAAGGAACTGGCAGCGAGGCGAGCTGGAGGGCCTTCCTCTGCCAACATCCATGGTATCTCCGCGGATATACAATCGTGGGATGTGGGGACACTGAGCGTTTGACTCTTACTCGTCCACATTCTCCATTCGTGCTCGCTCTCATCCCACATGCAGCACCGCCAGACATGCTTCGCGGTCATAAACAAGCGTTCAGTGGACTCTTTCTCTCTCCTTCGTTCCAATGGTACCCAATCATGCATGCTACACAACCCTAACTCGCTCGCTCGCTCGCCCTCTATCTAGAAGACAAAGTCCTCGACACGCCACTTGCCCACGGCCTCCTCGGCCATGCCGCCCTGCGGGGCGGGGACACGACGACCACGGGCCTTCTTGTCCTTGTCGTCGCCCGCGTTGCTGACGTTCTTGGCCAGGCGGAGCGCAGCGTCGACGGGGGCGCGGATACGGCGGTAGTCCTGCTGGGCCGCGAGGGCGGGCGCGAGCGCTTCTTGCAGACGGAGGAGGAGGGGCTCGGCCTCGGGAATGGCCATGAGGGACGGGAGGTGCGCGTCGAGCAGGAGCGACGAGTGGGCGACAATGTGGCCGAGGCTGGGTTCCTTGGACAGCGGCGCGCGCTCGGGCCACGACTCAAGGCCGTCGCCGCGCTCGGCGTAGATCTCGGCCCAGAGCGCCAGCTGGGTGAGGACGCGGAGGGCGCCGGCGCCGTCGAGCTGGCTGCGGAGCTCGGCGCGGAACGACGGGTCGGGGGTAGGGCCCGAGACAATGTCGTCGAGGACCGTGGCGAGCGGAGGCTGCTCCGAGTCGAGGGCGCGCGCCAGGAGCGCGACCGAGGTGCGCGACGGCAGCGAAGGGTTGGTGCGCACCAGGCGAGAGATGGAACGCCAGTCAGCGCAAGGGACGAGGGCACCGAGGACGACGCCGCCTTCCCACATCGAGTCGGCGACGGCCTTGCGGTCCACAAGAGTCTGGACAATCTTGGCAGCGTAGGGGCCAGTCTTCTTGTCGCCGGTGAGGGCGGCGCCAAACACAGCGTCGAGGACGCGGCGAACAACAGACTCGGAGATGGCAGCACGCTTGGCAGGCGACGCACGCTTGTCCTCGTCGTCGAGCCACGAGGCAAAGGCCTTCTCGGCGCGGGGGACAGCGTCGGGCGAGGTGGTGCGGAGAGCAGCCGAAACGGCCTCGAGCATCTTGTCGGCTGTGGGCTGGGCCGTGGTGCCGGCAGCCGCCTTGAAGACCTGGGCAGTGCGAGCAGCCGAGCCGACAAGGAGAGCGAGACCGACACCGCCGGCAGGGAGGATCATGTCGGCGACATGGATAACGCTGCGGCCACCTTCGTCGCCAGGGTGCGAGAGGACAGTGCCGAGAATCACGTGCGTCGGCGCAGGGCGAGCGAGGACAGCGAGGTGAGTGATCTTGGTGTCGGTCGCACTCGACACCGAAGTGCTGGCCAGGACGGCAGGCAGGTCGTGGCTGGGCACGACGAGAGCGACGTTGGGGGTAGGGTATGGGCTGGCAAGAGCCGCGAGGGGACGGGAGCTCGAGGGGAGGGACACGATCGCGGCGGGCGTCGAAGGGTGGGCGAGGGCGAGACCGGGCTGGGTGGGAGTACCGTCCACAATATCCTTGACAGTACGGGTGTGCACGCGGTTGGCATTGTCGATGGCTGTCAAGGTGCCATCCGAACCAACATCGGCCGCAAGGACAGATGTGTTGGCCAGGGGGGCGTCGGCGAGGAGCTCGGCACGAGGAGCCGAGACGTCGAGGGTGTACACGTATGCGCGGCCACGCTCGTCCACAACCACCACGCGCAGAGGCACATCGACAACACCAGCAGCATGCACTCGGGCACCCTTGCGCGACTGGACGAGGGACGTCACTTTGAGCTCCGAGTCGAGGAGCGACAAGCTGCCGTCACCGCCAACCACCACCAAGGGCCAATCTCCACGGACACTGTGGACCGAGTGTGCCGGGGTCTCGAGCGACACCGAACGCTTCTCTCCCTCCTCTCCGCTCCACACCCAGACAGCACGGCCGTTGTCAACGACAGCCGCGGTCACGCGCGAGCTTGATGCCTCGCCAGTCTCGTCCGTCTCGGCGGTCACAAAGCTCACGGGAGCGCACGAAAAGGATGTCGAGGGGGGGACGGTAAACGAGGTGGTGGGACGGAGAGTCTTGATCTGTTCGTTTGTCAGCAAACGGAAGGTCGTCGGAGAGCAAAAGCACGACCCACGTCGTAGGTCCAGACACCATCTCCGTGGACGGCAGCGACTGCCAGGCGGCCCTTGCTGCCGTGAACTGGGGCGAGGGTGACGTGGGGGACGCGCGAGGACGACGCGTGTGCGTAGGGAAACGTCGCGAGGGACGAAGGGGCGGCTATGGACGCCATGGCCGGTGGGTTCTTGTGGATGGGTATGGTGGGAGATGAAAGAGTTGGCAGGTGTTGAAGCCGATCTGCAAACGATGGAAATCTTGTGATTAGGTAAGCAAAGGGGTGGCAAAAGCCTCCACTTTTGGTGCCTGGCGCTGTCCACAAGCGTTCGCTGGCGGTGGCATCCATGGCACGCACGGTGGTTGTACCCACTCTCTGATCTCTGCAGCATTGTGTCGCCATGCATGCATGGAGGACGTGTAAATTGACAGTTGTGATAAACACCATCAAGCATCACAAATTCCAACTTTGAGACCTGCATTTGGTGTTGGGAACCGCTGCTCGCACAGGCTGTGGACATTCCCTTTTGTGTCGTGTGCCGGTGGATCTTGTTGGATTGTCGATTGTCCCGCGTCCGTGTTGGGCGCGTCGTTGGAATGCACTCTATAAAACACGCATTCCCTTCGTCCTTTGCCTCCTTCACTATCCTTACTCAGTCACTCCACATCCTCGCCACTCTTACAGCCGGGCCATACAACACCCTCGTGTGAGTCCAGAATCAAACTCCATTTGCTGTCGTTGGCAAACCTCATCAGTCTGTTATGTTGCAATGATCAGTGGATACAGTCACTCACCATCAATAAAAACACACCCCATCCGCTCCATACTCCCATCACTGGCCACCATTCTCATTCTCCCACTCCTTCCAGTGCTCACCTGCCGCCAGGACAATGACTCTCTGCCCGGCCCCTCGTCGCACTCCTGGCCCGCTCCGCCCTCCACCCCCCAAGAAGTCTTTGAACACGATCATCGAGGAAGACACTAGCTACACAAGTGACACGAGCGACAGCAGTTGCACCAGTTCCAGTAACTCGTGGTCCAAGTTGCCCAAGCCTCCAATCATGCCCCCCACCGAGACGCCAGCCGTGTCCGCTATGGCGCCAACCACACTGGTCGTCGCGACACCGTACCCCCAGGACACCGAGTTTGTTTATGAACCTCGTTGTTATCAAGAGCCTCCTGGAGACCCCATGGTCACTTATCCCGACGAGTATAGGACCTCCAGTTATGACGCAGTTCGGTGTTGCCCGGTACGTCTACCATACGTGGAGCTTGGGGGGTTGCTGACGTCTCTCAGGGCCCCGTGTTCTGTGTCGAGGCCCAGTCTCCCACCATCAAGGACGAGGTTATGGACGACAGCTCCATGGCTGAGGGATCCCGCCTTGATGGGGTCACCCCGGCCAGGGCCGCAGGTGAGTTGCGCTACGCGTTGGTTCAACTAACGACCAGTCATCATGCAGGCCAAACAGCTCGAGCTCGAGTCTCGCCGCCTCGACCTTGAAGCCAAAGCTCTCGACCACGCCAAGAAGGATGCCGCCGTTCGTCGTCGTGCAGCTGCCATTGATTGGTCTATCAAGCTGCTCGAGCTCGACTTGATCGATCGCTCAAAGCTTGACCAAGCCACAGTCAGCAAGCTAGACAAAACTGTTGACAAGGTCCGCGCCGCAATTGATGCCATGGACCTCGATGGACAGGGCATTGATAATCCCACCTGGTTACTGGCCCTCTGATGGAAGCGGGAGAGCGCTTTTCTACAGTGATACCTGCATGTATACGCTATCAACAAATCTTGGGGGAGGTCTAGATGTCGCCACAGCGGCAGTGAGGGCTGGTGCACGTGGTGCACGTGACGTGACGTAATCGTCCACATGTGCTTCCTTTGCCACCCAACACGACCAAGACAGACTGGTTTCGCTTGGCACCGCTTCGTCACCGTCCACACATTCAACAACAACACAATGAGCGGGCCGCCAGCACCAGACGCGTCTCCCTCGGACACAAGCGCGGAAGCCACTGTTCCCCCCGTGTCCCTGCTGTCTCTCCCGCCCGAAGTCCTCCTTGACAGCATCCTCCCCATCTTATCTACCGACGATATCCTCAGCCTCTCGAGTACGAGCAAGGTCCTGCACTCGCTCTGCGTGGGTCATAGGCTGCTGCTGAGTCCAAACCCACTTGCTAACGTCGCCACCAGAATGACCCGTCGGTATGGCGCACCAAGACGCGGCAAGACTTCAGCTATCGCGCCACGGCGCTCGCGACGGCCAACAACACGTCTGCGGACTGGTACAAACGCGTCTACCTGGGTCTCCGCCGGCCACGCACCTACCTCTGGGGATCGACGGGCGAGTCCCGACTGGGGGGGGCCGAGAGTGTACGCGCCCACACGGGCATGTCGGTCGCCATCCGCCAGGCTGTCGACACACCCATGGACGTGACGGACATGTTTGACGCCAACTCGAACACGCGCGAGCGGACGTGGCGCGCAAACCTCCAGCAGGCGCCGGGCACGGCGAGGTATCACGACGATGCCGAGCCGCCGGCGCCCGTGGGCATTGTGGATCTCCAGGCTGGCGGATGGAGCTTTGCCGCGCGCGACATGCAAGGCGCGATTTGGGTGTGGGGTGAGTGCTGGGCAAAGGCGTGGTGCTGGTGGTGTACATGTTGCTCACAGGACGATCAGGCAGGCTCAGCGGAGACGGCTACGGCTTCAACATTCCCAACTGGGGTAACCCACACGCGACGGTTGACGAGCCCTCGCGCATCCCTTTGCCGGCTCACGCTGAATCGATGGCTGTGGGCCGCAAGCACGTGCTTGTGCTCGACAGCGACAACCTCGTGTGGGAGATGCAGGCCTGGGGCAAGGCATACCACCACACGGCTCCCGAGCTCACTGCCCCTTCGTCCACGGGGGCTGCGGCGCCTGGTCGCGCGCAGCACATTGTCCAGATCGAGGCGGGCTGGAACGTCTCAGCGTGCCTCATGTCGTCTGGCGATGTGGTGGTCTGGGACCCGTTTTGCGCCGAGTACAAGGACTCTCTCACGAGCGACGACGACATGCACGGCCCCCTTGGCGCTGACGGCGACGACCTCACTCGCATTTTCTACTGGGGCACCGTCGGCGCTGACGTTGTGCACCGGCTCGAGAAGATTCCCCTCCGGCCCGAGCCCGAGGATGACGAGGACCAGACCGCCGAGCGCGCCTGGGAGAAGGCCGAGGGCGGCATGACGGACAAGCAGCGCGAGGATGCGCAGAAGGTTGTCAAGATTGCGTGTGGCGAGAGGGAGGTGTTTGCCCTCAAGGGAAACGGCGAGGTGTGGGTCGCGTCTATTAGCATGCCGTGGCAATTCGTGAGTTGGAGTGTTTGTAAGCGGCAGCTCACGCTTCAGCTTCGCCACTTTTCGTCCCCCTCAATCACGCACATTTCTGCCCAGTGGATCAACGTGTTCACGTACTCTGCCGCCACGGACACGTCGTCTGTCCAGGTCCTCATCGGCCGCATCGACGCTTACGCTCCGGACACTGGCCGCACCGCCACACCCCGAGTGTTACCGGGCATCAACGACCTCCCAATCCTTCAGGTCGTGGCTGGAGACTGGCACTATGCAGCTCTGACCACCACGGGCGAGATGTACACCTGGGGCCAGAACACATACGGCCAGTGCGGCACGGGCGGCGGACCGGAAGACGGCCGCATCCTGCGCCATGGCGGCCGCAACGTCGACAACCCCACACGCGTGACGTTCCCCAAAGACGGCGACAAGGACGCATTCGTGTTTGGCATCACGGCGGCGGGCATGCACTCTGGCGCACTGGTGCTGGGCCACCCCCGGAGTGAGGAGGAGAAGGCGCGAGACAAGGCTGCGCGCAGTGCTGTCCCGCCTCCAGGCGCGCCGCCACCGTACACCGACCACGATCGCGGACCGGTGCGCGGCGTCCCCGGGTTTAGGTTCCCTGGCATCTTCCGTATCGGTCTTGCCGGGGCAAGAGGGATGCGTGGGATGGGAAGCAGAGGCCGTGGAGGACCGCCTGGTCAGGAAGGGCCTGGAGAGCAGACGTGAGTGGTAGAATCGTAGAACCCGTACCAAGTCAGGAAATGTCAGTTGTCAAACGTTTATGCTGTCAAATGTTTTCTTTTGTCGCAAAAGTGGCATGTCGTAGCAAGTGCACATGAATAAACCCAAGAAACAGGTCGAATTAGAGCTACTTCCTGCCCTTCTTCTTCTTGGGCGCCTCATCCTCACTCTCACTCTCGCTGTCCATCTCCTCGTCCTCATCGTCGTCCTCCTCATCATCGTCGTCGTCCTCGTCCTCGCTGTCCCCTGCCTCCGCCTCGCCCATACCGCCCCAGATCTCCTCCTCCTCCTCCTCGCCAACCTCGGCGTCCTCATCGTAATCCTCCTCCTCGGCGTCCTCGCCCTCGGGCTTGGGCGGCACCACATCGCGGTGGCTGCCAAACCCGCGGAACACAAACGAGCCCACACCCACACCGCCCACGGCGCCGACGACGCTGCCCTTCTTGCCGGGCGTGACGGACGCGTTTCCCTTTGACGGGTGCAGCGCCGGCGGGGTGGTGGCGCACACGCGCAGTGTCGCGTCGGACGAAATCGTCGCCAGGCCCGCGGTGCGCGAGAACGCCGGGGACGGGGTCGGCAGCGCGAGCATGAACGCCGCACTGGCGGCAACGCCGGGGACGGCATACAGCATGCGGCCGGTACGCAGGTCCATGGCGGCGGTGAGGGAGGAGTGGTCGGCGAAGAAGAGCTCGTGCTCGTTTGCGCCGGGGATGACGGCGCCGACGCCGCCCTCGCGCGCGGCCTTCCAGTCGCCCACGGGCTTGCGCTGGCGCGTGTCGTACCGGCGCACATTTCCGGCTTTGGTGCCCGTCACAATGTCGGTGGTGGAGTTGGGCAGGAACGACGAGCACAGGTGGTGCACGGGCTGGCGGATTTGGAGCGAGTTGTGCGCAACGTTCTTGGCGCGCCAGACCTCTCCGGGGGCCAGGTCGTCCTTTTTGCGCTTGTTCGCAGCAGCTGCCGTTGCTGATGTCGAGGACGGGGTGGCCGAGAAGGCGCGCGTCGCGTCCCACACACTGATCTCGACCTCCTTGCCCGCGAGCGCGAACGTGTTGGAACCACCCACGCCAGGACCCGAGGGGGTGGAGAGGGTGAGCACCGGCCGGCCGACCTTGAGGGTGCCGCTCACGTCGGCGCCCGACGAGAACAGGCTCACGCGGCCCGAGGCGAGCGACGAGATGGCGCCCTCGCCCAGCGCAGCGAGTCCGGTCCACTGGCTGCCGGCCTTGGGGACGGGAATGGCGGTTTGGGACGTCACGAGCGGGACGGCGGTCTCGTCGTCGGGCGAAGGGAGGGACAGGGCCGAGATGCGGTACTGGTCGTCGGCGACAAGGAGCTGGAGCAAGTGGTCAGTGACAGTTGGGAGACACAGCGGGGGACGCTCGGGGCATCGACTTACACCACCGTTGACAGCGGCCATGCGCTTGATGACGCCGACGCTCTCAAACTCGCCATACTTGATGGGCAGGTGGCGGACGATGGGGTCCCGGCTCGGTCCTGGCTCGGGCACGGCGACCTCCTCAATGGTGTTGGCGTAGAGCGCCGGTGCCCAAAAGTCGACTGTGCGGTAGGCGGCCATGGTTGTTGGATGTTGTTGAAAGAGCGAAGGACTGAAATCTCGTTTTGGCTGTGGTTTGGAAATTCTGATTTCAAGTGGATGCGGGGTCCCCGCAGCACACAGGGAAGTGCCGACGAGCGAGAGGTGGTCATCGATCATCGACGAGACACCCAACTCAATCTCTCATCCATCTCTTGTCCTCACCACCCCCTCTCGCCGCCATGCGCGTCGACGGCATCATCATCCTCGACCCCAACGGGTGGGTTATGGTCTTCTGAGCAACCCCACTAACCATCGCGCAGGAAACCGCTCATCACGTCCAACTTTGCAGCCCACCCGCCCGCGTACCCAGCAGTCCACATTGACGCGTACAACCACGAGCTCGCCCGCGTGCGCGCCGAGGCAACAGCCGTATCGTCCAGCAACGGGTCCAGCGGCGGTGCGGCCGTTGCAGAGCTGGATCCCGTTCTCTGGGTGAATGCCCTCGGACGCACGGGGACCGGCGCCGGCGCCGCGCTCTGCCACCTCGAGCGGGATGGACTCCGATATCTCGTGCCGCTCAGCGACGAGGTGAACCCTCTGTTTGCGTTTGCATTCTTGGAGAGCTTTCTGGACACGCTGAGAGAGTATCTCGGCGAGGTCACCGAGGTCACTGTCAAGGACAACTTTGAGATTGTGTACATGGTGCGTTCTGCCGGGACGACCCCAGCTGACATTCTCTCAGCTCATTGAAGAGATGCTCGACGAGGGCCACCCCATGACCATGGAGCCCAGCATGCTCAAGGAAATTGTCCTGCCGCCCAGTCTCATGCGCAAGCTGCTCAACGTCGCCGGCGTCTCTGGGTGGGTGGTCTCATGGGCGCGCTTGCTAACCACCACCTCAGACTCCAGTCCCACACGACCGCCCCCTACACGGCGCCAATACCATGGCGCCGCTCTGCTGTCCGGCACGCCAACAACGAGATCTACTTTGACCTCGTCGAGACTCTCGACGCCATCGCCGATCGCCGCGGAAACGTCATCCAGAGCAGCGTGTGGGGACGCGTCAATGTCAACTCGCGGCTGTCCGGGAACCCCGACCTGGTGCTCCGTTTCACCAATGGAAAGGCTATGGGAGACCCGGCGTTCCACCCTTGTATCCGGTGAGTCGTGCGAGGAGCGCGTTGTGGGGACCTTCACCCGACTCGGCTACCACATTGTCCCTGCCTGCCGTGCAACGTACTGACTTGCAGATACTCGCGATGGGAGCGCGATGGTGCGCTGAGCTTTATCCCGCCCGACGGAAAGTTCAAGCTCGTCGACTACTCGGCTGGCGAGGTGTCGCAGCTGCCCGTGTCGCTCAAGGCCAAGATGACAGTGGACGACAACGGGGGTGAGTCCCAAAGCCAGATAGTTCGACGTCATGGACGCATCTGGTTGCTACATGGACCGCACACCTGACCTCCTCCCCAGGCCGCTTTGCACTCACGCTCACGCCGCGCGTGACCGCTCGACCAATCGAGGACATTGTGGTCTCCATCTTCCTCGGATCCACCACCACGTCCATCTCCGCCACGCCCGCGGGCGACCGGCGGCCGCTAGGCCTGGGCCGCGCACAGCAGCAGCAAGAAGGCGCCGTTGACGGCCATGTGGGCGGCGGCACGGCCGAGTTTGACCCGCATACCCAGATCTTGCGGTGGACGATCAGCTCGCTGGTGGCGAGCGAGAGGCCGCCGACATTGACGGGGTCGTTTGTCTCGTGAGTGTTTGAAGCGTTCTTGTTCAGTGCCACCTGCGCCCATCCCCCCGCGTCTGGCCGGCTGGATTGGACTGTAAGAACCAGCCAAGCCGAAGCTGCGAGACTGCGACGCTCGACGCTCTGGGGTAGCGTCCCCGCCGCCTCCGGGTACCTGCCTGCCCGACATGTTGGAGTGACGCTGCGGGCAGTGACATGTCGCTCGTGCCGCGGCGCCGGCGCTCTGACCTCCTGCTCCCGGAGGCCACAAACGTCCCTTGTCAGTAGTACTGACCCGCGCCCCACAGGTCGTCCCGCCCAACTCCGGACCCATCCTTCAACGTCGCATTCTCCATCTCCAACTACTCGTTCTCGGGCATGCGCGTCGACCAGCTCAAGGTCGCCGGTGACGTAGGTTACAAGCCCTTCAAGGGTGTGCGGACGAGCACGCGCGCCGGGCGGGTGGAGGTGCGGTGGTAGAGGATGATAGAATGGGAGAGTAGCTGTTTGTAGAAGTGGGGTGGGGTGGGCCGCGCCGCCACTGGCCGCTGGGGGTGTTACACGGGGATGGTTATTCAGAGATACAATGCAAGGACGTATTAGTGGCAGGTGGCTGGTACACTGCTGGACGAGGCGCGGGTGTGGTCGACTGATCGCGACTGCCAAGGCTCTGGCTGGCTGATAAGTTATCAAGGTGATCGCTCCCGACTGCCGTGCAGCCCACAGACCGACCAAAGAAACCTGATTATATTGATTTCACGGCACCAGGCCCCACACTACAAGCCATAGTGTATTCCGACGAGAATGGTTGGCCTGCGTATGCGATTGCTGGCAGCGGTAGCAGCTGCAGCAGGCCGCACGCGCACGCGCACGCAAGGAGCGCAGCGTAGGGGGGACGCGCTCACGCAGGCACTCTCTCTCTCTCTCTCCCCTATTCAGCGCTTGAGCACTGGGTACGCGCCGTGGCCGCGCATGTGCTGCGTGCTGCGCCTTGACATTCACAACAACTGACATGTTGAAACACAAACGGCGTACGATAAGACAGTTAGCCAAGCAAGGTTTAGCATTTTACTCATTTTTGGGCCACGGTCCGATGGCGCCTGGCGCACCTGGCGCACGTCTTGGCCTCTTGGCCTAATGAAGAAAGAATGGAACGAAAGGAACACAGCGCGTGCTGCAGCGGCGCATGTCTGCAGCATGGCCTGTGGCCTGTGTGGTGGTGTGGTGCTGGTTGGCATGGCTGGCATATGGCTGGCCATGGCTGTGGGCTAATGGGATGTTGGTGATCGACCGTGTCGTGGCGGCTGGCTGGGGGCACTGTATAGATGAAAAGTGGCCCAGGACCTGGACACACCCAGGCAGTTGGTCGTGTCTCGGACGCGCCATTGCCTGCCTTTAAGCGAGAAAAGCCAGCAAGCGCCGCCTGGTGCCCGCTGTTACCGCCGTACAGGTGAGAGGCGGCGACGCTCTGGGCAGATGAGAGGGAAGAGGGCCTATTCTAGCTCCCTCAGGCGCCATTTTTACGCCACAAGGAGTTAAGGAGCGAGCGAAGAAGAGAGAGAGAGATGAGGGGGGGGGTCGAGACGGACACGAAGGACACGGTCCCCCGTTGGCTGTGGGCTGGCTGGCTGGCTGGCTGGCTGGCTGGCATCGCGCACCCATTTGTTATGCGCATTGCACCCACCTCGTCCTTGTGCATCTACATACTCTCTCTCTGTCTCTCTGCAAGTACGTACAGGCAGGAAGCTCTCTGCACACTCACGCGCCTGTGTGCATGTTGTGCCTTCACCTGCCCCGCCGCAAACCCGTGCGCTGACGACCTGGCCCAACAGCAGCTCTCCCAATCGTCATATATTCCGGGATTGCGGGATCCACCCACCCACCCTTTTGCTACTCGCCCGTCCAAGACCCTGCCTGCCGTCTCTTCTCCACACACACCCACCCGTCGCAGTCTCTCCGTCTCGTCCATCCATCCATCCACCCATTCCACACCACTCTCCCTCCCTCCCCCAACAACAACAACACCTCCCTCCTCCTCGACAGCCCCGCCGCTGTCCACGTCGAGCCGATCCACCCTCTCCCTGGTTGATCTGATCACTCGGTAAGTGTTTACCCCCCCCCCTTCTCCCCCCCCCCACCCCCACCCACCAGTGTCTCGCGCTCTCGTCCCCCACTCTTCATCCGCACTGCGCACTGGCACCTCGTCCTCTTTCGTGCTCTTCGTATCTTGCACATCGCTCCCTGCCATCCACACCACCCGCTACTGCAGCCCCGCAACAGGGCGGTACCCAGTGCTGTCGGTCCCACCACCCCCATTGCTCCACCCCACACCCAGCCCTCCCCCCCATTCTTTTCGTTTCCTCCGCACGCCGCCAGACCCGAGCCGGAGAGCCCGGGGGCCAGAACATCTCTCTCCTCAGATGCCGGCCAACCCGCGGAATGATCTTTGGTCGTGTGCACGCCTACCACGTCGCTCGTCGGTGCATACGAGGCCGCATGCTCTGCTCGCCGCGGTCTATCACTGCTCCGCCCCCGCGCAGAGCCCGACGCCGCACGAAATGGTGTGGGCACCGCGTGGGCGCCAGAGTCTTATCGGCGCGCAGAAGCAGCCGGAGGGAGAGCCCGAGCCCGCACTCGACGCCGTCCCCTTCCCCCCCTTGGCTTGGGTTTGGGTGAATTGGCCACACACAAAAGTGCCATTACGTGCGGCCGATGAGCGAGGAGGATGACGGGGGCGGGTGGGCGTGCGATTGCCCGATACGCTCGCATCACTGCCGTCCACCGTGCGTCTGTGTTCCTGCATACGAGCTGCTCCCCCGCGGGTTCCAGTCGTGCAGGCGTCGCTGTGGTTGTTGGACGAGGGGCCCGCGGCGGCTCATGTAGCCTGCTGCGCTGCGAAACCGGCTACGACTTGCGTCGTTCTTGCAGTGGCGGGCCGCGCCATCCGCACAGACATGCCCGATTCCAGCGTGTGTCCCAGCGATGACAAGCTGGATTTTCTGGCATGAACGCGGTAAACGCTGCTGTCGGGTAGAGGCTGGTCGGCGGGTCGCACCTGGCCAGCTTGCTGCAAGGAGCAGGGCAGCGTGGACTGCGGCTGTGCGGAACGAGTGCTTGCCGCATGCGCGCGCCTTTTTGAATCATTGACTTGGACTTGTGCTTGACTGCACCGCCGTTCTTGCACGTCACCGGGGGGCGACCCAAGAACGCGCATGTGCGTGCATCCTGATTGTCTCTGCCGCGATGCCGGCGCCATCAGAGTACTGTTGTGCCCTGCGACCCCGCGCAGAGAAGCCGTGATCCCCGTGAACCGGCGGCCGCGCATCAACAATCCCCGATGCGAGAGGTTGCCACCCACATCACTGGCAGAGCGGGTCATTACCCGGCCCGTAGTGGCCGTTTGATTGTTGTCTCGCACCGCTCTTTCTACATTACCCATATCCTTACCCACCCACCCTCTACACATCCACCACCGCAATGACTGCTGGTCTGACCGAACTGCCAGTCCCCATCACCTTTAGGTCTTCGCGCATCGCCTCTCGCTCAAACTCGAGCTCTGGTACGACCCGTTCGCGTGCCACTGTCATCAGTCCCCTCACCCAGGTTCGCCCGCCGCCTAAATCCAGGTCGCCCCCGACCCGCGCGCACAACACTCCAGTCTCGTCTACGCCTGACCCGTGGCTTAGCTCGAGACGCTCTACTTCCTTGTCCTCGTTCCACAGCGGCTCTGCATCCTCCAGCAGCGCCCTCCTTTCCCCCGCCACTCCCCTCGCATCCTCGCCCACCTCGGTAGGCTCGACCAGTAGGTCCTCCACCCCCGACCGCGACTATTCCTATCGCGGCGTCGACTACGACCTCGAGTCCCACCGTATCCGCATCATCTCCAAGCACCGCAAAGCGTCTGCATTCGACATGTCTGCTGCTGCCGGCCACAAGCGCAAGGTCGTCATCCTGGGCTCTCCCAGTGTCGGTGAGTACAGCCATCATCCTTACCGTGCGAGCCTGTGACGTGCGAATCTGGGACCCTCCCTGGGACATCCATGTTCTGTTTGGAACTAGGGGGTTGTCATCAATGTTGCGAGCCGCGCACATTACGCGGCTTTCCGGCTACGTGAGACATCCCCCATCCGCGCGCGCGCAAACTGGTCGGATCTTGCCGAAACGTTGTTTGCCACCGTTGCCGCAACTGGTTTGGGTTCCAGTTCCCACCTCCGCATCCCATCAGCCATCCCACATTGTGTGACAGGTGACCACCGGAAACAATGGCTCAAATGGCTGGTCAACAATCACTGACACGCTTTAGGCAAGACGTCTCTCACTCAACAGTTTGTGACGCCGCCGACGTACAATGACGCCTACTACCCCACCATTGAGGCTACCAGCCAAAAGACGGTCAAGTACCACGGCATGGAGTACGACTGCGAAATTGTCGACACTGCTGGCCAGGACGAGTTTTCGCTCTTCCCTCCCAAATACGCCGTCGGCGTCCACGGTTACATGCTCGTCTACTCTATCGCGTCGCGCCAATCGTTTGACATGATCTTGACTCTTCACGAGAAGATTCTCGACCAGAGTGGCCAAGAGAGGGTCCCCTGTGTCATTGTTGGCCAGAAGAGCGACTTGAATTCTGAGCGCCGCGTAACAAGGGCGGAGGGCGAGGCCCTCGCCAAGAAGCTCGACGCAGCGTTCATCGAGTCTAGCGCCAGGGACAATCAGAATGTCGGTGAGTGGCAAAAACAAAACAAACAACCATGATATCAGCGGGTGGTTGTTCGGCACAGCCACATGCCAGCCGCCACCTTGCCCCTGTCCCCTGCTTCTTTCTTCTATCCCAACCTAACACTGCTTCCACAGACCGCGCGTTCGACGCCCTCCTCGCTGAGATGCAGCGCGAGTACAACCCCGAACCCGAGAAGAAGAAGTCGGGCTGGTGGCCCTTCAGCTAGACGGCTCGCGCTAGACGGCACACAGCAGAGCACTCTGCACACTGGCGTACAGAGGCGTGACGTGTGCCCAATAAGAGATTGTCGTGTTCTTCTTTATTCGCCACCACACTCTCTCGTTGCCGCCACCACAACCCTTCGTTTACGGCCGGTGACATCTCCCCCCTCACTCCCCATTTTTCCATCTTCCACACTGCCCTTTCCACTTTCCCCCACCCCCCCACCCTCACCCTCCCCCTCCCCTCCCCTCCCCCCTCCCTATTCCACTAGCACCCCCCTCCCCCCTCCCGAACTCTGCCTCTGCCCGTTCCTATGTACACTACCCACTCGTTGCCTCGCAGCACACTTGGGCTCTCTGCGGGGCTGTACCACCAGGCGCATGCACTCGTTTCGATAACTGCAGCAGAGGAAGCACAAGGGCGCGACAGAGGCAGAGAGGCAGAGGCGTATTGGCCAACTAAACGCAGTCTGAGCCAGGAGGAAGCCCCAGGCAATGACCTCATGACGAGATAAGCTGAGGGATGGCGACGGATATCATATCATGGCTGATGGGCGTACGTCGCTCTCGGGGAAGCCGGACGCGCGGTAGCCGTGAGCCACCGGCCGTGGGCGGACGCTCGCTCGTCCTTCTGACAGTCGGGTTGACGCCAGTGGCGACAAAGCAGATGTGGCACGGTCGACGATCAGTGTGGCTCGATCCAGATCCGTAAACACGGGCGGGCTCTGGAGGCCTAGAGGCCTGAGGACTGAAACGGACACACACCCATCCAGCGCTTCTTACACCCCGCCGGGTGCAGCCCAGCCACACAACGACACTGGATGAAGCCTGCTCCGCTGTAGCACAATGACTGCACGACAAAAACCAAGCCCCTTCCAGCCTAAGAATCAAGAACGAGGACACACAAAGGGCCCAGTAGGGACAATGAGACGAGACCAGAGAACACAACTGGGCAGAAGGGTGTGCGCCTTCGCCGGCGTCGATAGAAGCACGACTAAGACAGGTGTATTGTTCTTCATTGGCAGAAGCGCAATGGACAAAAGTTTGGCATCGGTGAGGAGGGTATGTAACCTCTGTGAATCTGCTTCGTTGGTGTGGCATGGTTGAAACGTGTGGCTTGCGTTATGGTCATGTGCGCTCGCTGCTTCATGGCCCGTGTCCTGCTGTCTGTCTCTGTATCACTGGCCACCACATGGCCGTTGGATCAATAGCATTAACTCGGGCTGTATGTACACTCCAGATCATCCGTCTCGCTGTTTCTCTCGGCCCATCGGGGCCGGGGCTACGCCTCCCTCGCCTACTTGCCGGTCGTCGACCCGGGCGGGGCCGTCTCGCCCACGCGCCAGTCCTGGTTATACCGCGGCGGCAGGGTCTCGTACGTCGGCTGCGAGGGTGGCGGGATGGGTCCCCAGTCCTGCTCCTCGGTCACGATGTGCTGCGCCTGGGGTGGCGGTGGGGGAGGGGGGTTGGAGCCGGAACCAGAGGCAGAGGCAAAGTCCAGCCTGCCAACGCCCTCAGCCACACTGTCGACACCCCCGGACGGCGGTGCGTCGGCGCGGTCGACATAGATGTCTCCCGAGTTGGTGTTGAGGCGGACGTTGACCTTGCCCTTGGACCCGCCGTTGTCCGTGATCGAGTTGTGCACGCGGCCCGCGACCGTGTGTGCGTCAATGCTGGCAATACGCGTGTCGCGCGCGATCCCGCACCACACTTTGCCGTTGTTGGTCTTGGCGCGGATGGCGCCGCGCGAGACGTACGACAGGCGGACGAGGCCGTTGTGCGTTGTGGCATCGACGTCTGCCCCAGCCTCGTCGACGGTGACGGCGCCGTTGGCCGTGTGTGCCTGCAGCGCCTGCACGACCTTGCCGATCTTGAGCGCGCCGTTGGACGTCTGCACCACGGCGTCGGCGCCCGCATAGTCGACCGTCACGGCACCGTTGTGGCTCTGGACGTTGAGCGGGCCGCGGCACCGGCCGACGACAATGGTGCCGTTGCCCGTGTTGGCCTCGACCTTGTCTGCGCTGTCAACGCGCAGCGCGCCCGACCCAGCCTTGAGGACGACATTGGTGACGTCACCCGCGACGGAGATGGCGCCCTTGCGCGCGCTGGCGTCCACGCTCGAGTGCATCGGCGACACGACGCGGATGACCGCCGTGCCGCGCGTAAAGATGCTAGACCACGTCGGCGGCGGTGCGGTAATGACAATCTGGCCCGACGTGGGCTGCTCGACAGTGATTTTCTTGGCCTCGTCGACGTCCTTGGCGTTGGACGGGTTGTACGGCGTAATCTCCACGGTCGTCGAATCGGTGTCGCGCGCGCCGTCGCCGGCAGTCACTGTCGACTCGGCGTAGAGTGCGCGGATGGTGATGGAGATCGGGTGTGGGGTTTTGAAGATGGGCATGGTGGTGGTGGTGAGGGAGCGATGGAAAGATGGAGCAAGGGCCATTTTTGTTATTTTCGTTTTTGGGTGGCGACCTCGCGCAGGTCATCAAATGACGCGGGCTCGAGACCGTCCGCGCGCGCCCGCGTGCGCGTCGCCGGGACCAAAATGGTTGGACACTGTCATCCATTGTGCTGTTTCTTATGGCGTCGATGGGGCGTGGTGTGGCACAGTGTTTGCTCGTTGGGACATGCATCGCTAGCCCCAGAGTACCAGAGTGGCGCCAGCCTGGCAAGAAAGAACAAACGTTTGACGGAGCGGAACGGGGTGTCGAAAGGTCTCGCCTCAACCACCTAACACGTGCATGGCGGAGGGCACGGCGGCACCGGGCAGACAACGACTGGGTGGACAACACGAGAAACGCACTACAGCCGTCTGCCAGGTCGACCCAGGCGGTTTTGAGGGTGGTAGTGTGTTTACTTGGAGAAACACATAGACAGCCAAAGATCAAGTCGACGTCGGCCCGATGTTGGCGGATAGTGTGAATTGCCACCATTGGAGAAACACACTGAGCGGTTTGGGCCACGTCGATTCAAGAGAGGATTCTTCCAGTAGTGTGAATTTCCGTCTGCTCCCACCCAAAAGCTAGAAACAAACTACGCGCCGAAATTGATGGGCCAACAGGCGGCCGTTGGCGTAGTGTAGTGTAGTAGTGTATGCGTTTCAGCAAGCGCGAGCGATGACCGGTGTAGAGTCGCGGCAGCCACCGGTCCGAGGCCCTTCGAGTCACCACTCAAATGCCCGAGATCCACATCAACCATGGGGGCTGCAGCAAGTGGGCAGAAGATACAGACCTGTGTACCCCCATGCTCGGCCCGCAAGAGGGCAAAGTCAATCACCAGTCACCCACAGAGTGGCCTGTCAACGCTGGGATATGGGGCTTCTCGGCGACCACGGCCCGATGACGAAACCGGCCAAACCGGGGTGAGCTCGCCGATAAAGCGGCAAAGCGGCAACAATCTAGTGCAGAAAAATGACACACGGTGCGCGACGGGCGCTGAAAACGGGAAGACTCTGGAGATACAGTGGGTTTGCTGGCAATGGACGGGAATCTCGGTGACGGGAATCGGTGCATCGGTGCGTGCCGACTGCGGAGCAACAGCGCACGACACGCTTGCACGCTTGCTTGCCCGTCGTGGCGTGCGACGGCGGCATGGCCAAGTCTCTTTTGCAGCTTGGATCGTCGGATGAGACGCCGCTTTTTCGGTGATCAGCGTTGCTCTAGTTGCTTTTTCTGTTGATCGTTTTGATCTGATGTTTTGCTTGAGCGCGGTCCGTGGTGGCTGACGTCCTCTATTGCCTATCGCCTGGGCCCTCTCTCACATCCCAACCGCTCGTCGGCCATTGCATGCACTACTAGTGCGGCCGTGTAGCCGACTGCCCCCTTGCAATATCCAGCATCTCAAAACCCCACGAGCCTACGCGCCACGGGACGTGCTGGCCCCATGCTCTGTCCCGTGGGACGTCCTTGGACCAACGTCGCCGCGTCGCCGTGTATGCCGCCTGCATATGCCGCGACCATTTCAGTTCGAGCCAGTAGTCGTTGCATTTTGCATGCATATGCATTCATCCCGGCCCACCGGCCCCCGCACACCGACCATTCGGTGGCCATGGACTGACCCTGGGGCCCGCTTGTAGGACGGTTGTAACCTGGCTGTACGCGGCTGTCACAGTTGTCGTCAGGTTGCTCGTCCCCACCCAATCTCAGCCCCGAAAAGCTTTTGCTGGTCGCTGCGCTCGTTCCGCGGGGCATGTGAGGGAGAGAGGCACAGGGTGCATACAGACCGAGGCGGCAGAGCATGCGGGGACGCGGGGGTAGCTCGTCCGGGCCGATGAGCCCCCGTGTCACCAAAGCTTGTTGCCCGGCCTACATGGCCGTTCTAAAGGACACAGAAGATGAGAAATTCCCGTTCGCAACGTGCCAGGCCCGCCAGAATTGCCGTTCATCGCCAGAATTCCCGTTCGCTACGTTGCCAGATTCCCGTCCATACCCCACGCACCCCATCTGTATCGTCAATATGGAAAGGCAGACCATGCATGTATATCTCCCCTTGGAACAGCACGCACGGTCACATCTCCCAGCTCTCTCCCCCTCACCACCACCGCTCACACCTGCACCACTGCTTTGCAACATCGACACGTCCCTCCCAAGACACCTGCCTTGGCGCCACCACCCCGCGTCCCCCCGCACTCAACTTTAGAACTCGTCCCCAACAACAACCGCACCACGGTCCTTTCCACCCATTACTCCAATGACCGTCAACCCAATGCCTAGCTTCGAGCCCACCGAACACCCCCACAGGCGATGTGAGTCATGCACTGCTAATCACACAGAGTCCACAGCAGCTGACAGTTTACAGTCAACCCGCTTATTGGCAAGCACGTCCTCGTCTCGCCCCACCGCACCAAGCGCCCCTGGAACGTGAGTCTGCGCTTCTAGCTGTGAGAAGGAGGGGGAACTCGTCTAGTCTGGTCGCGGCAGGCAGCCGCACTTGTAGCGGCGTTGGCGTTGGCGTGCCCGTGGCTGTCCCCACTGCCCGTCTCCGCGACGACGTCCCAACGTCGCTGCAGCTTTCTCAATGCCCGTCGCCGTCGGTGGAATCGGGCCGAAACACGGCGTCGACGACGTCTGGCACTGCCAACACCGGCCCCCGTGCGCGGTCCCCGTGTACCGCTCGCTCCCGCCCCCTATATCCCACGAGATTGGTTGTGCTGGGGAGCGAGCAAGTGTTTGTGTGTGTTTTTCGAGTGGCGAGGGTGGCCCGTGTGCTCTGGTGGAGCAAAAGTGGCAGCTGGCGGACCGACTTGATGCCGAGAGATCGACAACAGCTGACATGTGGTACAGGGCCAGACCGAAGAGCCTGTGAGGAACACGCTCCCGGCCTACGATGAGAAGTGCTACCTCTGCCCCCGCAACGCGCGCATGGGCGGTGCTGTGAACCCCCCGTACAAGGACACCTTTGTGAGTTGGTTGCTGTGGGACGACAGTGGCGGGCGCCTCTAGCTCCCCTTTGGGCTCCTGATGTCCTGTCGGCACAGTCGCCGCACGGGGTCTCGCCGTTCACGAGCTAACCGTCCCGCAGACGTTTGCCAACGACTTCCCCGCGCTCCTCCCCGACCCGACTCCTGCCCTCCCTGCTCTCTCGCCCGAGCCCACCACTGCCCCGGCCTCGATCGACAGCCTCTTCGCGTCCGAGCCCGTCCGTGGCCGCTGCAGTGTCATCTGCTTCCACCCGCGCCACGACGTGACCCTCGCACGCATGGCGCAGGACGACATTGTCGCCGTGGTCCAGAAGTGGCGCGAGACGTACCTCTCCGAGGGCAAGTTCCTCCGCGAGACTGCCGCACCCGGCGCTGAGGAGGAGGGCTACGTGCAGATCTTTGAGGTAAGTAACAAACATGTCCCATTGCCACACATCAAGTGTGGCGCAAATCTCGGCTGGATTCCAGGTTGCTGACGCTTCTCGCAGAACCGTGGCGCCATGATGGGTGCCTCGGCGCCTCACCCCCACGGACAGGTTTGGACGCTGTCGTACACCCCCGACGAGCCTGCCACCGAGCTCGCCAACCTCGAGGCCTACGCCCAGCGTACCGCCAAGCCCAAGGCCAACGGCCACGCTCACACCAACGGCTGCTGCCCCGACGATGCTGCGGCCCCCGCCGCGCTCGCCAACGGTACCGGCGAGCACTATGACGCCAGCGCTCCTTGCCGTGGCGACGGCGCGCCCTGCCTGCTGTGTGGCTACGCCGCGTCCGAGGTCAAGCGCGGCGAGCGCGTCGTCGCGCTTGACGGCGGATGGGTCGCCGTCGTTCCCTTCTGGGCTGTGTGGCCGTACGAGATCATGGTCCTTCCTTACAACCGCCACATCCCGTCCATCGCCGAGATGACCCCCGAGGAGGACGCTTCGCTTGCGCGCGTCCTCAAGGCCGTCCTCGTCCGCTACGACAACCTCTTCAACTGCCCCTTCCCCTACTCGATGGGTCTGCACCAGGCGCCCCTGCCTCCTCTCGACCCGGCCACAAACGCCGCCCACACCCACTTCCACTTCTACCCGCCTCTCCTGCGCTCCGCCTCGGTGCGCAAGTTCCTCGTCGGCTTCGAGATGCTCGGCGAGGCACAGCGCGACCTTACCGCCGAGCAGGCCGCCGCGCGCCTGCGGAGCACCGAGGACGTGCACTACCTCGAGAAGGACTCGGAGTAGAGGTCTTCTCTCCACTCCACGCCGCACTCCTCGGTAGCACCGCAACCGCACCCCGCGACATGCACACGCACGCACGCACACGCGCGCCCGACTACCTGACCTCAGGAGCAAAGTGCAAGCACTATAGAGCAGAGAGACACGGACGATGGCCGGGGCCCCCGTCCTGTCCGTCCCCCGGTAACAGGCGCTTTTAGACTTTGAGAAGTAGCCCATGTAGAAATGTAGACAAGGCCCAGCAGACCCCCGTTCCACCCCCCACCCCCACCCCCACACCCCACCTCCACCTCCCCGCCCAGTTCCCATGGGTTGATGCATTGTCCCCCGTATCGTCATGACCTGGAACAAGAACAAGAACGAGAACGAGAACGAGAAACGAGCGTTGGCCTGAAGAGGGAGTAGTGGTGCCTCAGGAGCACAGTACCAGTACGTCTGTCCTCACGGCTGTCTCGCCCTTCTTGGTCGTCGGTCCTGTTATCGCCCGGGATGCGTCATAACGGTGTTCACGTGTGCCGCCGGGCCGTGGATCCGTGGATCCGCCCATGTCCGGATGAAAGCCGCATGCGGGCCCCGCCCTTCCTCCGTAGATTCTGCGGCGCCGGGCCCGCGTGGGGGGGGGGGGGGGGGGGGGGGGGGGGGTTAGGGAGCGCATGAGCAGGGGGGGGCGGTCTTTGGGCTTCGCTTCGGCTTCGGCTTGATCCTGGGCTGGGTGGGTGGCTTATCGCGGTCCGAAGGGGGAAAATGCCAAATTGCATGGGTCAGAAGAAGAAGACGTGGGTCAGGTGTGACGATGTGATGTGATGTGATGTGTGATGTGAGTTGCAATACAGGGAGTGGCAATATGTGAATGGAAAATGCAGACGTGACTAGACACAGACGAGGAGAGGGGAGAGTGGGTGGGGAATGGCGCGAGGAGCGAGCGAGCGAGCGAGGACCCGTGAATGCCGCGCGAGCCGAGCCGATAGGAAATGGGACCCCGAGAGAGAGATATCAGCGGCTACGTACGCCCCCGAGTCGGTCCTGGGATCCTGGTCCTTTGCTCAAAACTTGGGCACGTCGCCGGCGCCGGCCTCGAGAAAATCGAGGAATCCCCGCGCATACGCCACGCACTGCTCGTAGCACTTGTCGAACCCGTCCCGGCCACCATAGTACGGGTCCTCGATGGCCTGGACGCGCAGGCGCGAGCCGGGGGACGCGAGCGCGAGTCCGGGGTCGAACTGGCCAAAGAGGGCCAGGCGGGCCTTGGAGCCGCGCGGCTGGCGAGTGACGAGGGACTGCAGGCTGGGAAGGGGGGTCAGTATGAGAAGGGAGAAGGAGGAGATGGGTGGTCTGGGGAGACAGCGGACAGCGGACAGCCTGAGTATCATTGATGCGGCGGCGCTCACACACACGCCGTGCTGGCCAGTCAAAACGGCTGCGCTCTCGGCACCAACGTATTTCCGAGCTCGCGAGGTATGGTGAGGCGCAGTGCAATATTGTTCCTCCTTGCTGGTCGCCTCAAGCAAGCCGCGTCCACCAGGAGTGGGTACTCACTTGGACGTGTCCATCGCGAGGATGTAGTCAAACTCGTCATAGTCTGACATCTCCACCTTGCGGGCCACCGAGGGACACTTGATGCTGTTCTGAAGGGTTAGACACCGAAACCGTCCCGGTAACCCACCTTGCGGCACACCGCGATCGTGCTGGACGTCAGCGCAAGTTTAGACTCGGTGAGCAGGACATTCCGTCAGGATTCAAAAGCCTGGGCCTTAACCGGGGACGAGAGCAGGGCAGGTACAACAACAAGCCTTCCACCTGCACTCTCTCTCCGCAAGAGCAGACTCGAAGAAGGAAGACAGCGTCACGCGGACACCAGCTACTCACCGAGAGTCGGCTGGCTCGCCAGTGTGGTACGCGCCGGTACCGGCCGAGTCGATGCGGAGGGTCAGGTTTGGCCGCTTGGCAGCTTCGGCGATGAGGACAGCCTCGGCCATGGGCGAGCGGCTGGGAGGTCAGCTCGTGTGTATGGGACATGGGAGAAGACGAGTAGGTCCAGTGAGCGAATGACCCCCACTGCGCGACGACCGGTCGTTGAAGGGTCGCGGAGGGGACGAGGGGTTCCAGGGAGGTGGGGGTAAGGTCAAGGAGAGGGTTGCATACCACTTACCAGATGCTGTTGGCAGCAATGGGAGCCGAGAGTAAAGGTTGTCAAGGTGCCATCAGTGCAGGTTGACAGAAGCGGGCAGCAGCGGACACCGTCAGTGACTCGTCTTGCTTGTGTTCGTTCTGAGGGGTACATACTTGCTGCGCTGTCAGTTTACGTCGTATTCCATAACAAGGCCAACTCACCCGAGGCACACGGTGAGAACGCTGTACTGCTGGGACATTGCTGTATGTTGTCTAAGAGAGAGAGAGAGAATGTGGATTGCATGTCGAGGAGCAACCATCGTCATGGAGCGCCCATGTCCTGAATTGCCGCCTGGGTGGAGGTTGCAGTTTTCCCACGGTCGACCCAGAACGGGTGGCGCACAAACACTTGTGGGTGTGTCCTGGTTGTGCCCATCTGCTGGCGGGGTGAGCTAGCCGACGCAGTCACGATGCTCTATGGCTTCATGCTCTTGTGGTCCTGGTCACCGTCGTGGAATGGCATCTCGCTGTTCCCCCGACCGATACGTTCTATATAACAGTGATATACACACGTCTCGCCTCAATACGGGCACACCAAAGAGTTGGACGGCTTCGCAGCGTACCCTCACATACCCTGCTTCTTCTTCTTGTCCTTGACCATCTTGTCGACAAGGTGGATATTGGTCTTGAGCATGTCCCACTGGTATGATGTGAGCAACTCCATCATTTCTATTATCCTACCTGAGCGGCACTGAGACTGATGCCCTTCTTGCCAGGCTTCTCCTCGCCAGAGTCCTTGTCGGCGTAGAACTGCATGTCAGCTCACCGGCAGTCCGCAAAGCTCACCTCGCGGATATCAATACGCATCTCGCCCTTGAAATCGCTGACGGTGAGACGGCGCATGTTGCCCAGCTGGGAGGTGCTTCAGTGTATGTCCGGGAAGGAGCGGTGGTCGGCGGAAGTCCAGCCCCGCCGCGGGTGGAAGCAGGGTGGAAGGGGGAGGAAACACTCACCGAGAGGTACTGGTCGCCACCGGTCGTCTGGGACTTGCCCTTGTCCTTGTCTCCCGAATCACTGGAGGACTTGCGCGCCTTCTTCCCGTGATTTAGGTTCATGCCGGACAAGAATAAGAGTCGAAGAGCTTACCTTGGAGGCGCTGGGCTGCGCCGGCGAAGCGGTCGCCTTGGTCACCATGGAGAGGGGCTGACGGGTGAGCTACATACGGTCGAAACTTTCAGCTCACGATTCCCACATCGCTCTCCGAGCTCTCTCCGTCTTGGAAGATGGTGTGGGCGTTGCGCTTGGGCATGGTGCCGTGTGTTGAATGGAGAGTGTACGAAAGAGAAGAAGACACGAGGGGAAGCAGTGCTGGAACAGAACAGAGCGGCAAGGGCCGCCATGACGAGCGCACATGGACCGCCCTCTCGTCGGGCGCAACATCCATGCCAAAACACCTCTCAAACCATTCAGAGATCAGAGACCAGACTGACGTATAAACACAACTCCAGGCAACAAGGAGAAATACATTCACAACCTGGCGAAACTTGGATTGGCCTGCGACATGGCCACGCATACACTCCCACCAGGCTCCAACTCACACGTTTCAAGAAGAGTTGGGTACGTACTATGGTGCCCCGCGCCCAACCCCAGCAGCAACACCGTGTGCCATGTTGCAAGCATCTTGTGCCCTTGCTGTAAGTCACCACTCCAGCCTTGGCAGCACACCCCCACAGAAGGCGTAGAGAAACAGAAACATTGCTTTCCTTTTCTGCCGATCGCAGGCCAGTACCGGGAAGATGGCTGCTCACACACACGTCGCATATCTCAGATCGTCACCCTTTGGCCAACCTCCCCTTAGATCCAGAGCCCAGAACCGGCATGAAGGGGCAGTCTGGCCGCCAAGAGTTGGCCCCACTTTGCCTGCATCCTCTGCATCCCTCCAGGACCCCAAGGACGTCGTGCGGTTGGTCTGCTTGGGCGTGGCTGTGGGTTTGTCTTTTAGGAAATAAGCTATTTGGAAACCACCACTCGAAAACAGAAACGTCGTTTACTCGCGTCATCGTCGGCCCAGTTCTGTGGCTAGCGCTTTTGCAGCATAGCATGCATCAACCAGAGACACATCACCGCTGTCCCAGATTTACCTGCAAAGACTGGTGTGTAGAGGTCTAGAAATGCGGAGCCCATGCACAGAGGGCGGTGGGGCGTCGACGAATTTAACCGGATTTTTCCTAATTTCCGCCCCCACCTTCGCCCTTGGCATACCCCTCGCTGGCTACCTGCGTAAGGGGAGATGCATGGCCCATCCATGCTGGACGCTTCTGGGTATGTACTTTCCGTAGACGGGCGCATGAGGGCAAAGGGACGTAACGGCTTCGTTCGGCGCATCAGCCGCGTGAATTCGATGATTATTCAAGGATTGACCGTTTTTTTTTTTCCTCCTTGCTTTCTAAGATGCATTGTATCACCCACGCCCTAAACACGCATGTAGACACCCCTGGGCACGAGTGGGCCCGATTGAGCCCCTAAATTTGCTCTTAAGGCCATTGCAAGTTGCGAGCCATGCACCCATGCCCCTCATCCAATCGTGCCCGCCCTCATCTCGCTCCTACCTCTTTCCGACGTTCTCGACGTCCCTCTAACCAGTGAGTCCGTTGGTTACAAACTGCCCGGGGACTCGTGGCCCCTCATCGCTACTTGCATAGAAGTGTATTCTCGGTTGTCATCTGGTGAGCCTACCTCGGGTCCTCACATGCTCTCATACCTGTGGCAGCCACCTCGCGAAGTCGCTGTGAAGACCAGTGTTAAACTGCTCTAGATAACACACAAGACACTGACCGATAACTCCTTCAAAACGCTTCTCGTTTTCAGTACCTATAACCCTTAACGCATAACACCCCGCATCAAATCAACATGGCCGACAAGGTCACTCTCCCGTCAATCTCGACGGTCCTCAACTCGCCCACTGAGGCGAGCTTCATGATGTCGGAACAGGAACGGTATGCGAAACTGTACAGTACACTCTGCCGGATGATGCTGACTCACTGCCTTCCAGTCTGGACTGGCTGCACGTCATGCACATGTCGCTCCTCAACCCCTCCCATGACGACCTTATCATGCAGCACCTCGCCAAAGTGCACGCCAGTGGGCGGCGGAGCAAGGTCCTGGACGTCGGTACGGTGGGTTTGAAAGTCTGGGCGAGGGTCCAGAGTTTCAATATGGCGGGGGCACAACACACATGTGTGACGCTTCTCCCCATGATGACATCTGCTGGGCGCCGTGTGGAGCGGGAAACGACGCTGACAGCCCAGGGAACGGGCACTTGGGCCGTCTCGCTGGCGCTGCGTCACCCATTCGCAGACGTTATTGGTATCGAGTGAGTCCAGCCGTGCTAGAAAGGAAGGGGCGCGCCTGAATGACACTTGTGACACGCAGCATCAACTGGTCAAACTTTACCAACGCCCATCTTCCGCACGGCAACGTCGACTTTAGCACTGTCGGTGAGTTGACTGCGCGTAACCCACTCTCCATGTTGATACAGTGGACCACATAGATGTCACCCAAACCCTCCCGTGGACGTCCTTCTTCGGTACGTAAAAGGGAGACACTGGCGCCTTCGCTGTACAGAGGTACATACAGAGGCTGAACAACCAAATCGCAGACATTGTCCACGTCAAGTCGATGCTCATGGACATTCCGTATTATCCTCAGCTCATCAGGCGTCTGTCGGAAACTTTACGCCCCGGAGGCATGATCATCCTCATTGAAAGCGAACTGTCCTACGTGGGTCCCCATCTACCTCTCTCTCCCATTATTCTTCACACCTCCGATCGGAACATTGACGGCACTCGCACACAAGTATGCCGCATACTGACTTTCATTAGGAATCCGTCCAAGGCCCGCCTTCCAGTGTCGTCGAGGCGTGGTCCGAAGCGCTCAAGCGTGCCCTTGCGGCCAAGAACAGTAAGCACAAATCCTGAGGCTGCTATGCTGGACCGTGGTAGGGCTCCTCACTGATCCCAAACTTGCAGCTGACGTGGGTCTTCCTCGACGCCTCGACACGACCGTCGCGGCGACTGGATTCTTGTGAGTTGAGTCATAAGAGGCCAGGCCACGGCGAATATCCCGCCGCGCCACATTTGGGCACGCGATCCTCGAGATTGACGCTCCACCTCGCCTTCACCCAGCTCGCCACAGTTCTTCTTCCAAGAGATTGGTTGCCCCGTCGGGGCGTACATGAAAGGTGGTAAGTACCGCCCTTGCCTCATTCCAGCTTGCAGCGATGGTTCCTAACAAAGAACCAACAGAGTGCATGGTCCAGGCCAACCTTGCCTTCCTCCTCTCGCTCCCTTACCCCTTTCGCACCATCGACTCTACCACCTTCCCAGAATCCCAGACCCTCCTGCGTGCCGGTCAAATCCAGGCGCACGTCCTCCGCACGAGCCTTCACCGTCTCGTCTGCAACCGTATCGACCACGCCGAGCGCGCCACTCTACTCAGTCTGGGTGAGGCCTGTGTCCAGCAGGTAAGTTGCAGTGTGAGGCGTCTCTTGAACACGAGACGGCTGACGCTGGCCGCTCTCCCACAGCTCATGGCTCCCGACACACCATACCTCCAGCGGCTGTTTGCCGTGTATGCGTACAAGAAGGCCCAACCCCCAACCCAGGCCGTGACGACCCACCCAGGACGTGCCGCGACGTCTGTGGCGTCGCTGGTTCAGAGCTAGCGAGGCGGTCAGACCCACAGCCACTCCTGTGTGTAAGACGAGTATAATTCGCTTGCCTCTGTCGCCGAGCTCGCGTCCCTCTCCCATTCTTCTACTGCGTGGGGGAGGAGTTCCCCCACCCCACCCGTCACGCTTACAATGCGCGACACTCAGTGTAACCTGTACCCAAGGCCCGTCAGGGTTTTTGTAATATACATTCTGTCTGTGGTGAGAGGTGGGCAAGAGTGATGATGTACTGTACGCTTCCGTCGTCCCCGGCTGGCATGTCCCTGGTTCTTTCTTCTCATCAAAGCTGCATCTAACCACTCCTGCGACCAAGCAGACCCTCGCGGTCCGCCTCGGGGGACCAGAACACAAGCGCACGGCCCGGGTACGGTGCGCGGCTCGAGGGCACGTCCACCACGAGCGCCAGCATCGTATAGTGGCCCGCGGCATTCTTGACATAGTCGGCCCTCACCTCGCCGACCTTGTACGTTCCCGGTGGTGGAGGGGTGCGCGAGGCGGACCTGATGGAGACACCCGACGTTGGGCCGCGGAACGCGAATGCGCTCGTGAGACGGCCGAGGAAGCCCGGGCCTTGCTCCTCCGCAGCGGCCTCGGCGTTGGCGACGGCATTGTGTGCCGCGGCGACGGCAGCGTCGGCCGCCGTCGGGTCCTCGACGGGCTCGACGAGGCCCACAAACGAGGCAAACTTGCGCAACTGCGTCTCACCCTCTGCCCACCACCGCTTCGCCCAGCCAAGGGGTTCGGGCTCGTCGCGGCCACGGCCGTGGACCCAGAATGTGAGGATGAGGTGGTCGCGGCCGCTCGAGGGGTGGCGGACAGCGCGGTGCACCACGGGAGCAGTGCCGCGCGTGGGCGCGGACGAGTGGGGCGAGTGTGTGAAGCTCATAGGCGGGAGGAAGTAAGCGTTGAGCTGAGAGTAGTCAGTGGTGTGCGTGGTGAGATGGGTACCCACGGCGTCGCTATCGCGGATCATGTCGATGCACTGGCTGTACAGTACCGAAGGCGAGTTCTTGGCAAAGAGCTCGGTCGACAGCGCGATGCTCAAAATGACCAGGAGACCAACACCGACAAGGATGATGGTCAAATTACCCATCTGCTGAGTCGTACGCCACACTGAAAGCCTCGTTAGCCACCAACAACACACTGGCTACCTGGACACAAAAACGCACGCTTTCCGCTGAAGCGAAGTTCTCGCCACGACTTCCATGTCTTGTTCCGCCCGCTAGGCCCAACACCCAGAGGGAAGGGGCCGGCATGGTCGCGTCCCCCGTCGCCGAGTTTGCGCGCCTCAGTCTCGAGACGGCGGAGAGTCTCTTCGACCGTCTCGGGGCGCGACTTGCCACCGGGGTGGTGGCTTGCCTTGAACGGCTCGTCCGAGTGGGTCGCCAGGCCGCGGCGCGCAGAAGCACCACTGCCCGTGGAGGATGCGACGTGCTTCTGCTTGGCGGAGAAGACGGCCCCGCTCGAGCGCAGGACTGAGGCTGCTGGAGGGAATCGAGTTGGCAGGCTGCTGCTGGTCGTGTGGGAGCGGCACCGGCTCGAGGTGGGCGCCGAAGATGCGGGGGATGGGAGGGTGAATGCGAACGCGGCAAGCGGCCTGCAGGCCGCTCCCTGTCCCGAGGCGATGGTCGATGCCAGCCTTGCGATAGATATGCGGGCTGGCATGGTGAGTGAGTGTGCACTTTTGAATCAGTTGTTGGACGTCATGAAGCTCGCGGTCGGTCATGTTCGGCGCAGATTTGGTTCCGCCAGATTCATTTGGGTGACATCCAGTGGCAGTCACGTCCAGGACGGGTGTTCGATGTAGCTCGAACGAGTTCTTTACAGGCGAGAAATGCATAACCAATACGTTACGGTGTACAAAAGCGGCACAGAGTCACAACTACATCTTAACCGTCCAGGCTGAGGCTTTTGAAGGCGGCTGGCGTGTCGAGGTTGACGCCATCATCGTTGCCCTGTCGCCTGGCCTTGCGCGGACTCGATGCCCTTGCCTTTCCCCGGGCATTGGGAACGTACGACTGGAACGAGGCCGAATGTTCCCAATACACGAGTTCTCGGGGGCTGAGCCATGGTCCTGAGTTGATACCTGGCGTCAGTTTAGCCAACAGCGTCCAGTCTCACGATTTGGACCTGTGGTGGGGAGACCAAGGATATCCAACACATGTGCCATCTCGTGTGCCGCACGCTGCTCAAAGTCGGTCACCTCCCACGGGTGGCCGGTTTTCGTGGCGCCCAGGATCCCAATACGTAACAAAGAACGCGTAAAGTCAATGACCTTGATGGGCTGGTCGCTCTTGCTGTGGGTGTGCCGTCGCCAGTGTTTTGCCTTGGGGTCACCGTGGAGAACGCCGAGCATGTGCATTTCGCGGTAGATGCGCACAATGTCCATCCTGAGTGGGTCAGGTTTAACCGCACTTGTGAAACCCACTTGTCATCCTCTGTAAGTCTTGTGGGCGCGTCGCCAACATCTTCCTGGACCACGGCAAGGACCTCGGCAGTCTTCCAATAATCGTTGGAAGGGTGTATACCTCAATACTTGCCATACATGCGGGGTACGGAGCGGCCCTGGAGTGGGACAAGGACATGTTGGAGAACGAAGGCCTCCCGATCGACGGCCTCATTGACCATTTTGGCATCCCAGTTGTCGTCATCGTCCAGCGGCCGCAGTTTCGGGCACGTAAGCTTGACCACTGTGGGTAACGGGTGAATGGTTTGATCCAAGGGTGTGGCGGCATACACGTCCCATATGACGCCAGTACCAAGTATCCCATCGAGCATGAGTGGAGTGGTGATGCGGTGGTACGACGTCCAGGCGTTGGACTCGACGGGCATTGCTGGGGTTACGCCGACGGGCTCGATGGGCATGGGGCCAAAGAATGGCCGCAATTCGTCGATGTGACTGAGCGAGTGGAGAGCAGCCCAACGATGAATATGGTTTGGCCAAAAGATGGCCAGAGGCGGGAACTCGTTGATGGGGAGTTGGGGGATACGTAGAGGCAAACGTGCTGGGTGCGAGTTCGTGTCTTGCTTGACAGTACCGGTAGGCTTCATTATCTCAAGACCGAGTCCAACGAGGACTCCGAGTAACGTGTCACCAGCATGGGTCGGTAGTAGACCCTCAAAATGGGCGCTGACGCGGTTGATGGAAAGTCGCATCTCGAGTGGGCGGTCGAGTATGAAGACCACATCTTCCTTGATCCGGAAGAGCTGAGCTTGCTCATCGTTAGCGAGGAACGCGCTCAGGACTTGTCGACTACGCAAGTCTACCCATGCCTGTCTCGTCAGCTTGTGCAGGAACCGTCTGGAAAGCCTAGCAGACTTACATGCAGCATAAGGGCCAGAGCACTACCACCCGGCACACCTGACTCGTTGGAGATATCCCCACACAGCGCCTTGAACGCCTCGCCACTTGTAATGTGAATGCCGTCGCCCGCCATCGTCGTCATCAAGTCCATGGTCGTCCTGTCGAGGCATGCTGGTGGTTTGGCATCCCACACCATAAACACACTGGAGAGGACATTGTCGGGGTTCTTTGTCGCGCCGTCGACCACAAACTCGACACAAGGGTGGACTTCCTTGGACGAGTTGTCGCACCATCGAAACTGCCGTTGATAAGGAGGCGTAAGGTAATTGTCCATGTCCTCGAGAACAACGCTGGCTGCACGCAACAGATAGTACTGGTGGTATGCCGCCAGCCCTTCTGCCCCCACTATGGGAAAACTGTTGGCGCTTATCGCCTCATTGAGAATCTTGACGAGCTCGCGTCTTGTGTGCGCAGACGGCGATTGTCGGAACTGGAGCAAGTGTCGGCGGACGGGGGCCAAGAGGTCGTACCGAGGGGCAGCCACAATGTCACGCGGACCACCAGCTAGAGAGGCGAGAGAGCGGACTCTGTGGCCAATGTCAATGGCCACCTGGCCGCGCTGCACTTTGGGGATCGGGAGGAAATACTGGAAGAGCACGAAGACGTCTGCCAGTGTCCGCACTGGCTCTGTGTCGAGGATGTGCTCCACTTTCCAGGTCGTCATTGTCAATGAGGATTAGGGAGGATGAGTGGAGTGATGGGTGGCGAATGATCATGGTATGCCATGAGCTGGGTGTGTGATTGCCGAGTCATGATGGCAGAGTGATGGTATGGACAATGGCAACACGCGCGCACGACCACAACCAAAACAATGACCATGTGATGATTACAATGGACGGGTTAATTCCATTAGATGTTAATATTACGTAACCATTTGAAATGACTTTGCTAATCTCGACACACGGCTTCCATCGATCATCTCTTGACGAAAACAACCTCTTCTTGTCCATCTGCACCCTCTTCTTCACGGCCACTCCCATCACAATGGCGACATCCCAATACGTCACCTTTGACACATCCGTCGGCTCGTTCACCGTGGAGCTGTACACCCAGCAGGCTCCCAAGGTGAGCTCCTGCATTCGTATTCAATGCTGACAACAAGACGTGCAACAACTTTGCCAAGTTGGCAGAGCGCGGTTACTACAACGGCGTTATTGTGGGTGGTGACCTGTCGCATCGAGTCCAGCTAACCGAACCAGTTCCACCGTATCATCCCAGTACGTATTCTGCTCGAGAATCTCTGCGGCAAGGCTGGCGGTGTTGCTCTTGCAACTCGTGCAACTCGGACACATCCCCCACAATGCCCCGCTCTTACCTTCTTGCAACACTTGGCTCACATCTGCAGGGGTTCATGGTCCAGGGCGGTGATCCTACCGGTACGGGCCGCGGCGGTACTTCCATCTACGGCGAGCGCTTTGCAGACGAAATCTCCCCCGAGCTCCGTTTCGTTGGCGCAGGTATCCTGGCCATGGCCAACTCGGGACCCAACACGAACGGTGAGCTTCCCAGCACCCAACACCCGCGCAAACCTTCTCTCCTGCCCGGTGGCTCTGTGCTGACTCTCCAGGCTCCCAATTCTTTGTCACTTGCGTGCGTGCTGCTAAAAAAACGCGGTGACAGCACACAAACTAACCTTAATCTACAGGCCCCCACCCCCTTCCTCGACGGCAAGCACACGATCTTTGGCCGCATCTCGTCGGGCATGCAGACCGTGCAGAGGCTAGAGGCCGTGAGGACGGACGCCAACGACCGGCCTCTTGAGGACATTAAGATCCACAAGGCGCGCCTCGGCGACGCGGCGAGCAAGGCGCTCACCCAGTAGAGAACAGCTAAAAACCCGCCCGTACACTGCCATTTACCACGCGAGGGCAGGCGTGTCGGTGCGCAAGAACACTAGGCAAGGCAGAAGCAATAAATCCACGTACAGGGCATCGTATGCATACAGCAAGGCAGAAAATTACACCTAATGAAAGAAGCTGGATTTTTGGGGATGTGTGAGTGTGAAAACATATGGGATGGGCGGCTCTTCTCTTAGAAGCCAAAGATCTTGTTGGCAGTCTCGCGAGCGACGCGGCCACCGTGACGAAGGTCGGGGTCGATCGCCAAGCTCTCGAGGCCCACAGCCCTGCGCGCGTCGAGGCCGACAATGTCGCTGGCAGTGCCGGTGCCCTTGAAGCCCTGCTCGCCGACACCTCCGGGGAAGTCGGGCGGGGGGATGCGCTGCTCAAACGCCTCGCGCTGGTCGCGGACGTACGCGGCGTTGATGGCCGTCACGGGCACGGCGGGAATGTACATGACTGCGCTGGGACCCTTGCCGGCGTGGGTGGGCTCGACGGCGTGGATGACGTCGGCGTGCCACCATGCCTGGTCGCCGGGGCGGACGCGCGGGATGGACACGACCGAGCGCGACAGCTCGAGGTGCGGGTGCGAGACGTCGTTGAACTCCTGGCTGCGCGCGGGCGGGGCGTTGGGGAAGGCGCTCGTCTCGAGGTCCAGCTCCCAGTTCTCAGGCGAGAGGTACTGCTCCTTGGTGAGGGCGGAGCGGGGCGACTTCTCCTTGAACAGAGGTCGCATGAGGGTGTACGCCGTCATCTCCTTCAAGAAGGGGTAGACACGCAGAGTGCCCTCACCAGGTCCAGTGTCGGACATGCTCGTCCAGCCCTGGAACGCACGGAAGACGCCACATGCACCGGGTCCTTCGTACATGTTCTGAATGGCCGACGCGCGGTGTCCAATCTCCCACGCCGAGTAGTCCTCCCACTGGCCAGAGAGAATCTTGGCGTACACCGCACGGTACTCGGGGTCCTCCCAGCGCTCGACGCTGCCGCCGTCCATGTGTGGGCCGAGGGCGAAGCGCGAGTCGCCCGGGTGGCGGATCCGCAGGCGGTCGGCGTACATGAGTGGGGCGAGGGACACCTCGGTGTCGTCGCCCTTGGCACCGAGCGAGAAGAGACCCAAGAGGGCGCGCTGGACGGCCAGGGCGCGCGGGTGGGCACGAGCAGCGAGCTGGGGCTTGGACCAGTAAAGCTCAAACACCTGCTTGTCGTCGGTGGGGAACCCGTTGACCTGGGGGTTGGCGGCAATGTACTCTTCCAGTTCGCGCAGCCAACCGGTCGCCTCTGCCTCCGAGACGACACCAGAGACGACAGCCGTGCCGCACTCCTTGATGCGGTTGATGGCAGCCTCGTCGCCGCTGAGGAGAGCGTCGTAGGACACGGTCGGGATGGTGCCCTGCTGCTTGATCTCGGCCTCTTCGGCACGCTGTGCGAGGCGTGGGATGAGGGTGCGCCATGCCGCCTTGAGTGCGGCCTGGTTGTCTGCACTGCCGATGATTTCACTAATTTCCCGTCAGTCAAATCCCACTGTGTTGCGAACCGTGTGCGCCATCAGTGCGGACGGGTGCACATGGAATTGTGTTATACTCACCGCTTGAGGTCGAGGAAACGCTCCGGGAGGACAACCTCCTGCTCGCCAGAGAGGGACGCAAAGACCGAGCCGATCTGTAGTCAAAAGTGTCAGCGGCACTGCCACCCACCCGGTTGTGTTGTCTTTTTCGATTTGTACTCACGTTACCCTCTGGCCTGGGCTTGCGTCCACCCATCATGCCCATGCCCGACATTGGTGAGGGGGGTGCGGTCGACGGGCTATGGGGTTGGGTCTGGAGACGGCGGACGGCGCCAGCGCCGGCCAACATGGCCTTGGAGGGGGAGCCGCCACCCAGGGTGGAGAGGCGGCGGGCGGAGAGGGCAATGTTCGGCATGAGATTGAGCTTGTCAGTCGATAGAGGTAGAAGAATGGGGAGAAAGTGGGCGGATGTCAACCTCGTTGATGCGCTGTGCACGCGTGCTTATATCCACATCAGCTGCTTTTGTGTTGTGTCGGGGTGCGACGGGGGGGTTGCGACGAGAGAGAGCGTTTGGTCTGAACGGCAACCTGAACGAGTTTACCAGATTAACAGCTGTGTCAACTGGTAATTTGGAGCGCGCCCACGACGTCGCCGTCACCGCCAGTTGCCGAGCCCGCCTTGTACCCCGCAAGTGACCTCACGGCATTATGCCTGGCAGTGCGTACGGCGCTGTCTGTCCCAGGTATCGGCCCTCGGTAATGCGGGGCCTAACTGAACAACTGCTGAACCATGAGCCCTTCAAGGTATGCGCAAGCAACAATGGGTTGTAGTGGGACCACATTGTCGCTTGACCGGCATTTATCCTGGATTGCCGCAAACCCGACGACCTTCACACCTTGTGGACACGATGCCTTACGGCTGAACGGATCGTTGGGCCCCATGTGCCACATGTGAGAGTATCGTCCAGACCCTCCAGGTTAACCATGTTGTTGTGCAGAACAGGCCCACATCCTCGGCAAACAACAATGCGACTGGACGACAAGACATGCGCGGAATAGTGGGACGGAAAATAGTGCGAGAAGTGTGCGGGTCTCTCTTCTCATCAACGCTGTGTTGAGGTGAAGGCACCGAACAGCCAAGAGGCCTTCCATTCGGCCGAGAGAGTCATGCATCTGCCTGTATATGTCTGTCCTGTGTAATAGAGTGACAGAGATGAACATGTGCCTTGCATGGCCATGTCTGTAGTACGGCGCCCCGCGGGGAGTTTGTGGGAGTAATTTCGGGATATTGTCGGGAGACGGCAAAACTCGGGTCGGCAAACGAGCGAGTGGCCCCCACCTTTCGTCGATGCCGTTTAGACCGTTGCCCACAACCAGCCGCAACACATAAAGGACCATTGCATCACAACGCCGTTCACAGCAACGTCACCTTCTAAGCAACTCGACTCACACAGCACTGGCACAGTCCCACCCCTATGTCAACACTGAACTTTCCAACCGCCGCCGCCCGCGTCAAGGCTGGCGAGCCTTCCGTCCAACTTGCCAAGGAGCTTTACGCCGTGCTGTCGGATGCGGAGAAGATTGCCATCCTGCACGGCGACGAAGCCATCTGGAAAGGACTCCGCGACATGTTCATGTCCGGCTACAACCTTAGGCCATACTCACACGGTGCCATACAGCGACTTGAGATTCCCGGTTTGCAGTTCAGCGACGGTCCTCGCGGCGCCACCATCGGCTCTGGGGCTACCGTCTTTCCAGTGTCGACGGCGAGGGGAGCGACCTGGGATCCGTCGCTCGAGAAGCAGATCGGCATCGCCATCGGCAAAGAGGTCCGCGTCAAGGGCTGCAACTTCTTTGGTGGAGTCTGCATCAACCTCCCCCGGCACCCGGCTTGGGGTCGGTACCAGGAGTCTTATGGCGAGGATCCGCTTCTCTTGGGCGAGTTTGGGGCGGCTTTGACCGAGGGTGTCCAGGAGGTAGGTACGCGCGTTTCCCATCCGGCCATTGCGTCGGCAAAGCAGCTCTTGCTGTGACTGACATTGAAGAACGCCATCGCGTGTGTCAAGCACTACGCTCTCAACTCGATGGAGAATGCCCGCTTCACGGTCGACGTCACTTGTGCGGAAGATGCCCTCCACGAAGTCTACTTGCCCCACTTCCGACGCTGCGTCGAGGCAGGGGCAATGGCAATCATGTCGGCGTACAACTCGGTCAACGGCGAGTGGTGTGGGCAAAACAGGACCCTCCTCACGGACATTCTCCGTGACCAGTGGGGTTTCAAGGGCGTGGTCATGTCCGACTTTATATTCGGTCTTCGTAACGCCACACTCTCCGTCAAGAACGGCCTCGACGTTGAGGCGTGCTTCGCTCAGCAAAGGGCCCAGCACCTCCCTGGCGCACTCAAAGATGGGTCGCTCAGCTTCGAGTATGTGATACATTGACACACAGTTGGGAGCAAACATCGCTTACAGTCTGCACAGGGAGCTGGAAGCGCCAGGCCTGCGGATCCTCGCTACGCAACTCGAATACATGGCCACACGGACGGAGGAGGAGCCCGACCCTTCCGTCTTCTTTTCCGCCCAGCACCGTGCTCTTGCACGAACCGCGGCGGCTCGCTCCATCGTTCTGCTCAAGAATGCGTCCTCGACGGGCACGCCGTCCGGCAAACCCCTCCTTCCGCTGGCGCCATCCACGGCTTCGGTTGCGCTCATCGGCCGCCTTGCCAACGCTCAAAACACTGGCGACCGGGGATCTTCAAACATCCGTAACTCGGACGTCAAGACTCCTTACGATGGTCTGAAAGCTGCGCTTCCCTCGTCGACCGAGCTTGTGCTCTCTGACAGTGGCGACATTGCCGATGCCGTCGAGGCGGCCAAGAAGGCCGAGGTTGCCATCTTGGTCGTAGGCTATACGTCCCTCGACGAAGGAGAATGTATCCGCCCCGGCGCCGGAAACACTATCCGAGCTCTCTTCCCGCCTCCTGGTCCTGATGACCAGGCCGTCAGCGACATGGTGTTCCAGACCCTCTTTGGGGACGAGGAACTCAAGTCCGATGCCAACCTTGCCAAAGGTGGCGACCGCGAATCGCTTCGTCTCCTTGCGGGCGACGAGGCCCTGATCAAAGCCGTGTCCGAGGTCAACGCCAACACCGTCGTGGTGATTGTCACGGCCGGACCTGTCATCATGCCCTGGCGCGACTCTGTGCCGTCCATCCTCATCGGGTGGTACGCAGGCTGCGAAGGCGGGCACGCACTGGCCGACGTCCTGCTCGGCAACGTCGATGCCTCGGGTCGCCTTCCGTACTCCATTCCCGAGTCCGAGGAGCACCTTCCCTTCTTCGACCGCGACGCCACGGCTATCACGTATGACCGATGGCACGGCCAGCGTCTCCTCGACCGCGACGGCGTGCAGGCCGCGTTCCCCCTCGGCTGGGGTCTGAGCTTTACTAGCTTTACGATATCGGGACCCCTCATTGTCAAGCCCGACACGGCCGCCGAGAAGATTCACGTCACGGTGTCGGTGCGCAACAATGGGTCGCGCGCAGGTCGACACGTCGTTCAGGTGTACGGATGCCAGTCGTCCGACCCTGCCTTCCCTCCTCGGGTCCTGATCGGATTTCAAAGCATCGAAGTTGCGGCCGGCGAGACGGTCGCAGTGGACGTGGAGGCGTCGACTCGCCCGTTGCAAAAGTATGAGAATGGCTCCTGGTCGCTGGTCGCCAAGCAAGTCTCACTTGAGGTGGGCGCGTATGCCGGTGATGAGACCAGTGTCCGTGGATCTGTGGAATGTGCCAGTTCGAGTAAGCTGTGAGACACGCTGTTGTGGAAATTGATTTATTCGGATGGGGCCCATGCCGATGTCATTGTTGTTCTGAAGCCTCCTCGCACCGTGTCAGTGGTCACTTTGTATCTGCTCGGCTCAAAAGAGTACAGGGATGCATCCGGGTATGGTGTGGGTGGCTGGGTCCGACGTTTTGTCCAGCACGTCACGCACCCTGGTGCCCAAAGGACGCTCTATGGCTATGCGAGATACTGTAGGCGGGGAGGTTGGAAAGATAGTGTGCGCGGTTGGTTGATGGTTACTACTACTACTACACTTTTTGGGGGGGCTTTGGGGCCAGACCTAGCTTTGCAGCTTGGCCGTTCGCTCATGTTGTCGGCGGGTTTGTTTAGTCGTAACCCCTTCCAGAGCGCATCTTGCCTTCCTTCCTCTTGAAGTGCTTCTTGCCAGTGTTCCTGTCCTTGGTGGGCACGGACTCGATGAGCGGCATGCCGTCGGGACCGAGACGACGCTGGTGAGGGTAGATGGTCTGGCGCGAGTATCCGTGCTGGCCCTCACCCTCGGCGGCGGCACCCTGCGAGCGGCCCTTGACGACTGGACGCGGGGCGGGACCGGCCTCGGTGAAGAACGCGCCGTCGAGAGCGGCGGCGCGCTGGCGGCCGGTACGGGCAGGCGCAGTGTCGGCCTTGCGCGCGACCGAGGCCGAGGTGAGCTGGCGCTCACGAGGACCGTCGGCAGAAGCAGACGCCTCGGCGCCCTCGCCCTCGGTGGGCTCAATCTCCTCCAGGAGAGGTCCGTCGGACGGAGCAGCGGCGGGGGCGGCGGGGGCGACATAGGTGTCCGAGTTCTTGGACACGTGGGTCTCGGGGGCGCGCTTGCGGCCGTTGGCGTAAGATTCTTCAATGGCAGCGAGGGTACGCTCGTGCGAGGTGAGCATGAACTCGTCGGCGTCGATACCGGGTGGGCCACGGGCGTAAAGGAGCTTTGCGTTGACATAGTCCTTGAGAACGTAACGAGCGGCGCGCGAAGTGTCGGGCATACCGAATGACGAACGGGTCATACCACGGGCAATGGCGTAGGCGGACAGGAACTCCTCCCAGCCAACCTTACCAGTGCCACCGTCCTCGACCTCGCGGACGTCGATACGGATACTGTAGGTACCCTCGAGAATGGCGCGGGGCACGCGACGGCACACGAGGTCGACGGGGGCCGAGTACTCGCGCATCTGGTCAATGGGGAGCACACCGTCACAGATCATGTCGGCCTGGGTGTTGGCAAACTGGGGGAACACGAGACCGGGGCAGTCACAGAGGGTGATCTCGTCCGAGAGGACAAGGGTCTGGAAGTGCTTGGTCTTTCCGGGAGTGGCCGAAACGGACACCTTCTTGGAACCAATGAGGGCGTTGATGGTAGACGACTTTCCGACGTTGGGGTAACCAACGAGACCGATCATGAGCTTGCTGGGGTTGGGGTCACGCTCGGTAGCAAAGTCGGAGAGGGGAGGGGCAGACGAGATGAAGAGGTCCTCGAGCTCGGTGACGGTCAGGACACGAGTGCGCTCGGCCTCGGGCTCGACGGGCTCCTCCTCCACCTTGTACTTGTCCTCCTCGACATCCTCCTCCTCGACGGTAACCGTTGTGCGGGGCTTGGCCTCGGCGTTCAGGTCGGTCTTCTCGAGTGCCTCAGTAACCTCCTCGGTGTCCTCAGCCTCAGACTCCTCCTCAGACTCGTCGCCAGAAGCCTCGTCGCCATCCTCCTCGTCGCTCGACGCCTCCTCGTCCGAGTCCCAGATACCAAGCTCGCGCTTGCGCTGCTTCTCAGCCTGCTCCTGGACGGCGGCGGCGTCGGCAGCCGAGAAGAAGGCGTACGAGATACCCTTCTCCTCAAAGTAGTCGGCCCACATGGCACGCTGCTCAATGGTAAGCAGGTCGGCCTTGTTGATGAGCAAGAGCGACGTGCGCTTGCCGGGGCCAGGGACAGTAATCTCGCCCTCGTCGCCATCCTCCTCCGCGGCACCGCCGTTGCCGCCCACTTCCTTGGTGTAGACGTCGAGGTCCTCGCAACGGAATCCGAGGGGGTTGCGCGCGTCGACAATCTGGACAATGAGGTGGGAGCGCTCGAGGACACGCCACAGCTGACGCCACAGCTGAATGTTACGCTCAAAGGGGGTGAGAAGCAACGACGTGTCCTCGGCAAGGTGTGCGAGGGAGCGACGCCAGTCGAGGAACGAGTTGCGCTCCTGCTGCTCGAGCTCTTGGCGGGTGGTGGAGCGCGTCCAGGCGGGACGACGAGGGATCTTGAGTCCCTTGCGCATCTCGTCGTGCTTCTTGGCCATCTTCTTCTCCTCGGCAGCGCTCAACAGGAAAGGGTTAACTTGAGGAGTGGGCATCAAGCCTCCCGCCTGAATGATACGGATCTTGGAACGCTCTGGTCTTTGTCAGCTAACTCCGTGAAACCTGTCCAGCTGTGACGTACCAGTAGTGAAGTCGGCGTCGGCGAGTGCCGCGTTGGCGAGGAACTCGTCCAGGTCACGTTCATGGGTAACCGAAGCAAGGGGGTTCGAGTCGTCGAGAGCGTACTGTGTCACAACGTCAGCGATCAAGTTGTAGTTGAAGTGCGTGTGTCAACTCACGAGCTGAGTCTCCTGAGGGGCAATGGCCTCCTTGTGCTTGCGGTTAAGGAGGGCCCTTCCGAGGCCGGAGCCAGTGGGCTTTGTCCTGGGCGGCTGTTTATGTGTAAGCTGAGTGCGTCACGACAATCGCAACAAAGTGCTCACCATTTTGAGTAGTGGTTGTTGTCGCCGGTGGTGGTGGTGACCTTTACCGTAACAAGATTTTGGAAACGAGCGAAACAAGTTGCCACTGGCAGGGAATCTGAACAGTCACGTGACCTTCCCATTACAAAGCAGAGTCGTTAATGGACATTACAATTGTGTTTCTAATTACATTCCTAATCAAAGGGCCCAGGTCCCAGATTTCGAGCCATTCGCGTGATTTCCCGGCACGACGAACAACGTCGCTTTCCCGTTTCTCCATTCGTGTCCTTGCAACAAACAAAAACAACATGAGCCGCAACGTCCGTCTCGCCGCCAACAGCGTATCCAGGCTGGCTGCCTCGCGCGCCTCTGTTGCTCAGGTCCGCGCCGTCTCAAACGCCGCGTCCAACGCCACCTCCAACGCCGAGTCGAGCAGCGCCGCGGCCAACGCCCAGCGCACTACCCACTTTGGCTTCCAGACCGTTGCCGAGGAGGAAAAGGAGGGTCTTGGTGCGTACAGAGTTTGGGAATATCAAGACCTTGTTGCTAACCCGTGTGTCCCAGTTGGCGGTGTCTTCTCGTCGGTCGCGTCCAAGTATGACATTATGAACGACTCGATGTCGCTCGGCATCCACCGGCTGTGGAAGGACGACTTTGTCGCCACCATGCTCCCGCGTCTCCCTCCCTCGGTGCACCGCAACCCCGTGCGCAACGGTGTGGCTGTTCCCGACGGCGAGGCCCCGGCCCCGGCCCCCTTCAAGTGCCTCGACGTTGCCGGCGGCACCGGTGACATTGCCTTGCGCCTGCTCGACCGCGCCCGCGACAAGTTTGGCTCGCGCGATATCGAGGTCGAGGTCGTTGACCTTACTGAGAACATGCTCCACGAGGGCCGCAAGCGCGTCGCTCAGACCATGTACTATAACAGTGAGCTGGGCGCCACTACACCCAACAGCTAACAGGCCAGCTCCCCAGATCACCTTCACCCAGGGCAACGCGCAGGACCTCCCCAAGCACATCGAGGACAACTCGATCGACCTCTACACCATCTCGTTTGGTATCCGTAACTGCACCTCGCTGCCTGCGGTCCTCTCTGAGGCTTTCCGCGTCCTCAAGCCCGGAGGCCGCATCGGTGTCCTCGAGTTTGGCAAGGTCTCGAACCCTCTTCTCAAGGAGTACGTCTAGCTGTGGGATGCGCAGAAGCCATTCAGCTGACACACTGCAGGGCGTACCGCCAGTACTCGTTCCAGGTCCTCCCCGTCCTCGGCCAGGTCATCGCCGGCGACGCCGCGTCGTACCAGTACCTCGTCGAGTCGATTGAGCGTTTCCCTTCGCAGCCCGACTTTGCGCAGCTGTAAGTGACGTGCTGTCACACAAGCCTACGATGCTGACCTTCTCCCCCCCTCAGGATCCGCAACGCTGGCTTCCAGACTGGTGCTATGCGCGAGGGCAAGGGCGGTTCGTGGACTGACTACACCTTTGGTGTGGCGACCATGTGGACTGGTGTCAAGGCATAAACTGCGTTTTGACTGTACCCGAAAACAACAAAAGAAACACAACTCCCCATCGCTCTGGCACCCTTGTACCCCTCATGCATATCCCTCTTCTCATCTCTCTCCTTTGCCGTTTGTGTCTGGTGCATACCGCTACTTGCGTCTCGGCCAGAACCCCACACCCCCGCGCTTGGAGCCACACTTTTCAAACGCTGGGACCCTCGTGATTTGATCCCGCGTTCGCTCATTGCCGCCACGTCCCTCGTGCACGCTGTGCACGCTGTGCGGTTCCATCTCCACCGGTGTTGTTCCACGACTCTCTCGTCCTCCACAACTCACCTCCCCCTTCACACCTCTCCACGCTCCTTCCCCAAAACCAGATACCCAGCCATGTCCGAGAGCGTCAAGGACCTCATTGAGATCCCCTCGAGCTTCTTCAAGGAGTCGACTCACGTGAGTACGGCTGGGACCCGGACGACCGAGGGCAAGCTCGTTCGACCAGCTGGCTGCAACTCCGACGCGATGCCTCGTTACCTCGTATGGCGCAGCATCGCGATCGGCTTGTACGCATCTGAGGATGACAAGAACATGCACGGCTGGGCCTTTGCGTGACTGTCAGCCGTGCTCCGTCCAAGTCTCAACGGCAGTCCCGCCCGCCCACCTTGCTCTGTCGACCTCGACGCTGACGCTCGTCTTTCCAGTTCATCAACCGCTGCGTCAAGCCCAACAAGGAGGGTGCGCTATTCTGACCGACTTGGACACTTGGCGGGCGTGCTAACGCGTCGTTTTTACAGAGTTCATCCAGCTGTGCCGTGCCATCTCGATCGGCTTCTGCGTCATGGGCTGTGAGTCTAGCTGTCAAGCACCCGAATGTGGACCACTAGCTGACCAGCAACCACAGTCATCGGCTACGTTGTCAAGCTTATCCACATCCCAATGTTCGTAACCGCCGCCAACCAGCTGGCATCGAGGCTCTTCTCTTCTCTCTTCTCCCCAGCGTTTGCGTGTATGGGCGCTGACAGACCGCTCTTTTCCTTACCCGGCGTTTTCGTTGGTCCCTTTCGTTCCCTTCGTCCTACAGCAACAACATTCTCGTGTACGTGACCTCCTCCACGCCCCCAGCTGTGCTGCGCGATCTCTTCAACTCAAGCTGACTGGCTACAGCGGCGGCGCATAGGGTGGAATGGGCGGATTTTTTCGATGCATTGTATACCGGGCTATCACTCAACCATCGCTCGCGCAAGAGGGATCCGAGCGGGGGGGATGGGACAGCGGCGGGAAACTGACTGGGGCAGCACCGGCGTGCCATGTGCGCTTTCTCGGCGACGCGCCAACAGGAAACAGCGGTGCCGCGCGTCGTCGGCAGCGACAGCGGCAACCGCGACAGTCGCTGCGTGTGGCGAATGCGTCGGGGAGGGCGTGCAAGTGGGCGCGTAAACGACATGTCGTGGTGACCCCGGGAGCTGGTCGCTCGTGGGGTCGGCTCAAGCTCGCTCACCCCCAGTGTCCCAGCTGTGCTCCGCTGCGAAGAAACGAGGGCTGCCCCTCCTCCGCTGCAAGTCGGAAAGAGACACCGCTGAACACAAGCAAGATCATATCACGCTCGCATGACCCTTTCCTCTGGACACACGGTGGTCGCCAACAAGCCCACAACGACGCTGCTCAAACGGCTCTCAAAACGTGTACGAGGCGATAACTGATACATGAAGACTTTAAGACTTTTTATTAAACTACAGTCGCTGGGAAACTAATGCTGAGTGTCGTGAGGTGGTGGTTGGTGGGTTTGGTGTTGTTTGTGCGGTGCGCGTAACATTTGGACTGCTGTTTTTTCGTGTCGACTTGGTCTGTTTCTTGTTCGTTTCTTGCTTATTTATTTGTTCACCATCCCACCTCGCCCTCGACCCAGCGCTCGAGCTCGAGAGTCTTCTTGCCGACGCGCTTACGGATGATCCAGCGCTCGAGGTCGTAGGTTTCGTATGCGCCGCGGGCCTGCTTCATGGCCTCGATGTGCTTGGGCCCGGCAATCGCGTTGATGGCGTGGCTCCTGCTCTGCCAGATGCACGTGGCGAGGTTGAGGCCGGTCACGTCGGGCACGCCGTACCAGTACAGCACGAGGCCGCCGTTCGAGACGGCCTCGGCGTGGGCGGCGCGGTCGGCGGCATACAGCGACAGCGAGGACGACTCGGGGCGGCGGCGCGAGCGGAACACGACGCCGTACCACTCCCTCTCGACGTTGCTGGGCAGGGCGAGCTCGTCCCAGTTGAACGCCTCGTTGTACTCGGTGGCGGCGTACTGTGCGTCGTTGGGACGGAAGTAGTGGAGCGCCTGGTGGAGGGCGAGCGACGCCGGGTCAATGTCGGGCAGACGCGTGTCAAACTCGTGGTTGCGCGGGTGGGTAGGGTCTTCGTGCTTGACCCCGTGAGGCAGGCCGCTGAGAAGTGGCGGCAGGTACAGGATGGGGTCCTCGTTGGGCGGAGCTGTGGCGGGAGGAGGCTGGTGGTGTGCGTGGAACGCGGGTGCGGCGAGCTGGGTGGCGCTGATGCGACGGCCCATGGCGGGCAGCGCGAGTGCAGGACCGGGAGGTGGCGAGCGGTCGTTGAGGTTGGGCAGAGCCTTGGGAGACGGGTCGCGGCCGCGACCAGAGGGACCGGCAGCAGCGCGTCCGCGCGAGTCCTCAAACTGGTCCAGAGTGGCGGACGAGCCGGCCGGGATGGAGATGGGGCGCACTTGGCGCGTGAGGCTGGTAGGCGACACGGGGACGATGGTGGTGGCCATGGTGGTGTGTGATGGTGAGGAGTGATGTCTGTGGGAGAGAAGTGATGCTTGGCCATGCAAATTCTTACATATACTGCGTCGTCCCCGTCGAGCCCGTGGCCAATGTCGCCATACTGAGCACGCTGCTCGTGTGGGTCCCGCCATGGGCCGTCACCCTTGCGCTGTCTGGCCTCACCGCAGGCGAGCCCCCCAGGCGGCCAAACCTGTCCCCGATTCGGGGGGGGGGGGCAGGCTGTCGGATCTCAGCTCGGGTCTCGGTGTGTCGTGCTTTGTTTGTCGTGTCTTGGGTACTGTGCGGTGTGTGTGCAAATCGCCCTTGTATCGCCGCAATAAGGGCTCTGCAAACGTCCCTATGAGATCAAGGGATGGGGTGAGTTTTTTATTAGAAATTATTAGAAAATCTTCCTTTGGTCATGGCCCCCATGTGCAGCCGGTTGTTTTAGGCTCGGAGGCCAGAAAAAGGTTGTGGAAATTCCGGTGGTTATGGCGTGATGGTGGCCGCCGGATGATCTAATCTTTCGCCAGCGTCCAACTCGTCCACTACATTGTTGACGTGCTGGTGGCATGGTGGTGCGGGAGTGCCATGTGCTTTGGCGTGTGGCCAAGACATCGGCTACACACTGTGGTCTCACACAGCTATTTGATCCAAACAATGCCCGCCATTTGACTCATCCCACTGGTCGATGGCGACTGTAACGGCCATTACGTTGGCGTGTCGAGTCGGGGAGCAATAAGAAGCGACCGACTCGAGTCAAGGTCCCTGCATCACTGTACGTCAGTGCGCTCAGTGGTCAGCGAGGCCGAAGATGTTGCACGAGCGACACGTCATGCCGAGACGAGATCGGGACTCACCATCAGAGCACAGTGTGCCACGCCTGTTGATCGCCCGCAGCCGGATTTCGTGGACGCTGGCTATTTCCGGGCGGTGGGTGGAATGTCCAGTCCCACCTGTTCACGACCCTTACTGCTGAAAGGTGCTCCTTGCCGCGTGCATATGTTGGACTCGAGACACGTCTAGAAGAGTGGTTTACTGCTGCTGAGACGGACTGGGCGCAAGCAAGTGTGCAAGTGGACACAACGACGGGACGACTTGTGACACAACTCACGTAACCCGTCGACCTCCACCCACAATGACGCGTCCATCTCGCAAGAACCATCATCGACCTCGCCACCATCCACACCATCGTCCACATCCACCATGTCCGACCCACTCGACCCACGCGCCCTCCTAGCACTCCTCCCACACCTCCTCCCGCCCTCCTCGTCTTCCCCACTGCCCCGCCCCGCCGACTCGATCGCCGCACTCGTACACGCCATCCACGTCGCGCTGGGGTTCCGCCGCGAACCGAGCGAGACGGTACCCATTGCGGGCCAGCCTGGCGACACCCAGGCTCAGTCTGGACCAAGCAGCGACACGGCGACCACCCCCACGGCCACGGCCACCGCTGGCCCTAGCGGCGATGCAATGGACACGGACACGGACGTGGGCGATGACGCGGCGTCCGAAACGACCACGGCCGTCGACCCCGCTGACGACCCCAACCCCGCCGCCCATGTGGATGTGGCCCACGGCCGTCTCCCGCAGGGCTGGAACGCGCGCGGCGAGGACGCATACGTGTTTGCGTACGCGCACCCGCAGAGCTCGATGCGCTTCCGCGTGCGCGTGGGCCGGATGGGCGCGAGGGTCCAGATTGACGCCATGGCTGATGTGAGTACTGGTACTGAGAGGTTGAGGTTCTGGCATGTGTTACGAGTCTGGAGAGTGCTCGAGTTGGCTCGAGGGGGCGAGAGTGCTCTCGAGTGGCTGTTCCCCAAGACGTCGAGTTTGGAGGAGGTGGATGGGCTACGGATAGGCTATGGACGCCGTGGTCATGGGACCGTGGCGGAACATTGATACCCCGGCCACACAAGCACGGCGCGGGCACAACCTTGTACCGTGCTTGCCGGCGACGGTACCGACGCTCCGACGCTCCGACGTCCGGACGCCCCGCACGCCGGCAGGTTGACGGCCCGGTCTTGATCAATGCTTGTCATTGTGCTTGACAAGCGCTGCCTAGATCTATTTCCTGCATACACCCACGGTTGTTGCGGCCCACGTTGTCTGTTTTCATGTCGGTGAGCTGCCGCGCCGAACGGCCCGGCCCGCCGGCCGCTCCCGGGATCGACGGCACGACCGTGCCGACCGCACCGCGCCGTGAACGGCCAGATACGGGATACCGGCAGGAAAGCACACGGGTGTACGACGGAGAGGGGATGAGAGAGGCCTTGCACGGCGCCAGGGATCTACATGCGAGAGGCGCATGGACACATGACCTGTCAGACACAACGGCTGGCTGACTGTCTCCAGGATGGCGCGCCACACACGATCTCGGTCCTAGTCGCCGATGTGCTCGACACCGCGCGGTTCCCCGTTCCCTCGGCTGCGACTGCCACGGCCGGGGATCGCGCGCAGACAGACCCGGCCCGTGCGGTTGGATTCCAGTCGGTCGATAGGTGAGTTGTGAGAAGCGTGTGCGCTTGTGGCGGGAAACAAAAACACAAACGTGCGCGGGTGTATGGGATGAGACAGGCTATCGAGACACATGCGAATGGATACACGGTCCATGCGTGTCTCCGATACCCGTATCTGTCAACGACGGTATCACCCGCCGCCCCGGTGACGCGGTTTCACCCACTACGCTCGCGATAGGGGATTGAACGGGAACACGGACATTGACCAAACGATCGGGATTAGAGGCGCGAGAGGCCATTTCACTGACACTGTGGCTCCCAGCGTACGCAACCTTGTCGACGCCTACAATCGAGACGTGATTGCCCGCCTGATCCCTGGCCTCAACAAGGAAGGCTATCGCGCACCGTAAGTACCCAAAAACTGTGGCTTTGTGGCAAGGTCCCATAAGGTCCGATACGCGATACGGCAAACGTGGTTTTCCGCAGCTGCAGACTGGATGGGATACGACGCCACAAAAGAACGATCGCAGATCGCTGAATGGGGCTGTGTCGCTGCCCCAAAAAAAAAGCAAAAAAAATGTAGGGAGAACGCCGCTGACCTTTTGCCAGGTCCGTCTCGTCGGCCCCCGCGCCCGGTGGCGGCGCACGTGAACCCCCGAACGCGGGGCCTGCCGGCGGCCAACCGCCCAACCCTGCGCGTCCCAACCCCCTTATCGACCCTCTGCACCCCGCCGCCCCTCCCGCCGGCCTGGGCGGTGTGCCCGTCGCGAGCATTGGACACCGCGACCTGGACCCGTTTGGCGGCCGCAACCCTCTGGACCCGCTCGGCCGTCCCGCGCCAGGCAGCGCCGGCGGCGGCATGCTGGCCGACTTCAACCACCCGCTCTTTGACTCGCGGCGCAACCGTGACCGTGACCCGGCTGCTGGGCCTGGCGGCGCGATCAACCCGCCCGGCGCGCGCTGGGACCCCGTTGGGCCCGACACGAGTGGCAGCCTCGGACCGCGGTTCCCCTCTGCGGGCGGCAACCCGCTCGGAGGGGTGGGTATCACCGACCCCGAGTGGACGCGCGACCGCTTCGGCGACGACATGCCCCCGCCAGGCGAGGACGGGCCGCAGCTCGGCTTCAACGTCCGTCCGGGGCTCAACCTGCGCGGACGCGGCGGCAGGCCCGGCGCCGGAGGGCTCGATGGAGGGCTGCCTGGTGGCGGCAGGTTTGGAGGTGGTGGTGGTGGGGGTGGGTTTGGAGGAGGTGGAGGCGGGTTTGGAGGAGGCGGGTTTGGAGGTGGCATCATCTAACGCTGTTCCCCCGGACTTGTGCCCGTGAAGAAGTGTGTGTGAGTGAGGAGCAAGGAACATGTGGCATTGGACGGAAAGGAGAAGACACGCAGAAGAGTGAAAAGAGTGTGGCATGACCCAAAGCGAGACTCCACCTGACAATTGTTGTCAAGGTTCGCCATCAAGCGGGCGGTAAAAGAAACGTGACGAAATGTACAAATTGTAAATAATGCGTCAGTGTCCCATGAGGCAACTGCCAGAGGCCAGAGGGGAGATTGAGTCTAGCCCGAGTAGCTTGGTCTGCACGTCAGTGGCCAGTGGAGCTGCTGTGCTATTGATTCTGCCACACCGAGGCATCGAGCGCGGCGTGTCTTGATTGTCCCGATAACGCTCACAACGCCGAGCACCCAACCTCGGTCGGATCCAAGCACAAGAGTGTAAATGCTGGTCTCCTTTCCTTACCGGTCCCGGACCGGAAGAAACAAGATTATGGTTGCAGCACTAACAAAAACTAGGTTGTTTTGTTTAGACGTGTGATGAGGTTAGACGTGTGATGAGGTCAGGCAAGGCCGGCAAGGTGTGCTTCAGGTCGCTTACAAGGGGTGGTCACCCGCGTCACGTCTCCTTTCCCTCTCTCTGCCTTGTTCACCCCCGCCCTCACCCCGGCCCTCTGCCCCACATCCCGGCGGCACAGATTCACCATGTGCATGGAGAAATGTCGCTTGAAAACGACATCATCCCAACGACGACACGGGCGTGTAGTACGTGCAGAGTCGTTCCAAGGCCCAAGGGCGGGCCACAGGTTCAAAGATCCGCATTCCAGTCCGGGCCGGGGCGATGCGGGCGATGCGATCCTGCCGACCCCCTGCGGGGCAGACGAGCGGCAGTGGCGGCAGCGGCGGCACTGGCGACGGCGGTTAGTACTCGCTCCAGTCGCAGCCTGGCAGAGCGGCGGTTATCGGTCGTTGAATCGCTTGCCCGTGTGGCCCGTCTGATCGCGCCATTTGCCGCTATTACAGGCGCTGGTGTCGTTGGATCGTTGGGTGTGCATGTTTTACCGGTCGCCGGTCGCCGGTGACACAACCTGCCCCACCACCGGTTGCAGTCGTTCATTCAAGTCACCGGTGTGTGCGTGTGGCTTTCCCACACAACATGCACCCAAAGCAATGCATGATCCATTTCATGTGTTGGGCATCGTCGGTCTATCGGGTGTGTGCGGACAAAGCCGCCGCACTTCTGTGCTCCACAATCGCCCAGATAGAGACACCGGGAATTGCCCTTTGCCAGCCCCCCCTGCCACTTGGCCACTTGCGCCGTCCTGAAAGATACGGTCTCCTCGGTCCGAGTCAAGTCACAGCAAGTAGGTGTGTGGTTTTTTGCGCTAAAGTCGGGCATGGCGGGGCCGTCCAAACTCCTTTGGAGCCAACGCAGTGAAGGTACGAGATTGAGCATTTAGACTCTCGACCACAATCCTCAAGCGAGCGACCGAGATACAGGGGAAGAGACAGGGGGGCAGCATGCGAGAGGACTTTACGGTTGTACCGAGGGCGAAAGCGGCCAAATTTTTTGGCCGGCCATCACACCTGTGCACCTGGCCTCGCGTGAGACGCAGCAGCAGCGAGGACCAAGCATGAGCGAGATCCCCTGTTTGATGTATTGAAAGTGCATAATCATTTAGTGTTTCTCGATTAGAATTGCGGCTGTGACACAACGCGAGAGGCAGGCAGTGGGCCAGTGGCGGGCAAGCGGGGGAGAGCGGAGAGGCCACCGAGAGTGGGGGGGGCCACCGCCGGCAGTCACGGCATGGATGTCCGGGGCCGGATAGCTGCTCGCCTGTGCCAGGGATATTGCACGGGAGAGGGGGGGGCACCGGGGGAGAGCTGCAGGAGCTGGAGAGGGCGGACGAGGAGCACAAGGGGCCCGCTTGCAGAGCTTGGCCGCTTGGGTGATTGCCGCCGCTTAGGACGGGGGGGACCACACGGAAAAGAGAATTAATAGCCAGGCGGGGGCACACAAAGAGGCGGATCTCCTCCTTCTCACATCACCATATCTTTCTCCTCTATCGTCCAAACCCATCCAACCATCCCACAACCATCCACAACCCCCACCCCTACAGCAACCACCTACAACCACCTACACTCAACTGCTCTTCTTCGGCGCATCACCAGTAGCGCATAACACCCCACACCCACACCCACCACGCTCCCCCACACCCCTATCACCACACCCGCTGCCACACCCGCGGCAACAACACCATGGACGACCTAATCGCCACCCTCTCGGGAGGCATGCACGTCTCGCAGGAAAGCTACGACCTTGAGAGCTTCAAGGTGAGCATCTCGCACCTGTCAACTACGGAGCGAACGGAAACTGACGCCCGACCACAGGCATCACTGGCACGCACCCTCGTTGTCCCAGTTTCCCCCTCTGCTTCATCTGGCACTGGCGGCTCGCTCCCCCGCACCCGCCCAGCCTCCATGCACATCCCCTTCACCATGGACGGCCTGTACGCGCAGCCCCCGCCCTCGCCGTCGTCGCAGTGCAGCCAGCTGTCGCAGTTTCCCTTTGAGGAGGCCGCTTCGCCCGCTTCGTCCCCGCCAGCCTACTCGTACGAGTACGACATGGACGACGACGCGGCTCTGAACGCTGCGTTCGCCGGCGACGCGTTCGCACCCATGTGGGAGCAGCCCGCTGCCCCCGTCGCTGCCGACCCGTGGGGCGCGTTCAACGCCGAGAAGCACGCCGCTGCATGGGGCAGCGTGCCCACCCAGTCGGTCTCGGTCTCGCTCCCCGAGGCCAACCAGTTTGCTCTGCACCACCACCAGCAACAGCAGCTCCAGTACCAGCAGTACCACCACCAGCAGCAGCAGTATTACGAGGACGAGGGCATGGACGAGGACGCGGCCGAGGCCGTCCTCGACGAGGAGGAGGCCCTCAACGGCGGCTACGTCCGCGCGTGGTAACCGACAGCACGAACCACCACCCCCAGACGTCCGGTCCCCCGCACCACGCCTCTACACCCTCCTCATAATGACTCCCTCCTGCCTCGACACTCATCACGCAATGCACCCCCTCGCCCGCGCCAGCCCGAGTGGCCCGACGACCTGCGAATGGACTTTTTAGACCACTACACCACATACACTCACACACGGACTCCTCATCGACACATTTCCCCCATCCCCATCCCCACACCACATAGCGACCCCGTTGTATAGACAGTTTATACGCGCAGGCAGGCGCCAGCGCACCGTTGTAGATCTACCGTAGACCCAGATACATGCATACCTCACACGCAACGACAGAGCCCACCGCCGCTGCCGCTGCCGCTGCCCGTCGGGAGAAGGTCGATTGAACTCTGTGGGGCTCGCCTCTGCCCTTTCGTGTTCGTGTCGTCTCGGTACAATTGACATGCCGGTCTAGTCTCCACTCCAGAGGCCAGAGGTAACCGTTTCCGGCGCCGTCGTTCTCGCATATGTCGCGAGCCGCAGAACTATGCATTGGGGGGGCAGAGTACCAGAGTTCTGCATACGCCGTTATTGTTCCCCCGGCTACCCCCCTGTCGCACCAGAAGCAAGAAGGAGAACATGCACCCCCACACACCCGCGCACATCGGTGCATCCGTGCACCAGCTGAGCTGCTGGGTTCCCTCTGGGACACCCACATCTGCCCATGGAGAAAAAAAACGCCATGGGAGCGCCAACCCACGCCTTGGCCGGCGGCACGGATATGCACACATCGACACCACCACCCATCGGCGGGGGCCGGAGCGTCGGCCCGTATCTTTTGCTTTTTTACCTGTGGCCTGTGGCAGCCTGCGGGAGCGTCCGGCGTGTGCGGTGCTCTGGCGCTCTGGCGCTCTGCGCTGCAGGCTGCAGGCCCCAACGGCGCAAGGCTATAGGCGGTAGGTACCACCACGGCACCGGCGACCAAACGCGCTCGGCACAGGCGAATCTCGCCTGGGCCATGGGCGGGGGATACGCAGCGGTGGTTCCTCTCGGTTGTGATGGTTTCGCATCGAGCGGACGTACGGGCCCCGCTTGGGATGTGTGGCACATGTTTTTTTCCACCGAGTATACCGCGGCCTTGCAGACGACGACAACGACCACCACCACGACCACGACCACGACCACGACCACGACCAAGACAACAAAGGTGCATGCAGGTTGGGCTCTGTGTCGCACACGGGAAGCGTGATGCACCGCAAGCGTACATCGGTTGTGTGCGGTTAACTGTACACGGAAACAGGACCGGCGACCAGTGAGGCCGGGCGGGCAAAGCCGGGGGGGTCGTTCCGTACCACCCGTGGCTAAGCGGAACGAGGCAATCTTTGCAGGCCTCTAGACATTGAGCTCTGCCGGCTATGCTGCCACCGGAAACGCTCAACGTTACGCTTCTTTCTCTGGGCATGTCACAGTATGCTGCATCACGCAGAGGGAGAGGGTGTGCATGACTGCTGCGGTACTGCATGTGCCGGGGACATGGTTCACAAAGAGCGTTTACGGCCGTAAGAGGACAATTGGAGAATACATCGTCAAAGAAACGCGATAGACGTCCTGAACAACATTTCATCCAGCTGCGTGTAGTTCAATGCCGCGGACCACTACGTCCTGCCATGTACACTGTCGCTGATCTCGAGACAGTCGTCCCCTTCCAGAACGTTCGCCACGTCTGCCGCCCACCATCGTCCCCACTACCACTGCTGCACATTTCCGCCACATCCTCCGAGCCACTCTACTCCCAGCCTTTGTCTTCCTGCACTCGCCAGATCGCCAGCCTCATTTCGCCGCTTCCCCCGACATCCCACGAAGGGGTGGCACCACATTGCACACCGCGCACACCACTTACTACCACCACCAACCGCCTATTTTTCGCCTCACGGCGCGCCGCGTTTCTGGGCTATTCCCCCGGCTGCACCGCGCCGGTCCTCTCCCACACGCCGGCGTCTGGGGCCTCGGCCACCGGTCCGGGGTCCCCCCACCACATGTCTGCGTGGGCGAGGGGCGGGGGGCGGAGCAAACAGGAGCACGCAGAGGGGACAGACTGCGCGCGTACACGTGTGCCCACCGCAGTGGCAGGGGCGTGGGGGGGCGATGGCTTTTCGTTGGCTGGCTCCTGTCTACAGGCTGATCCTCGGATCCTCGGTCTCGGTAGACACTCTTCTCCCCCTCCAGGTGTCCGGGTGTCCGGACAACGCGCCGGCGGCGGCACGGCGGCGCGGCGGCGCGGTGTGATTGCGGTCAACGAGCCGTTGTAGGATTCCCGTTTGCTGGATCGCGCGTCCCTGCTGATCCCTGACTAAGGCTCGAAAAATTCCCGTTCGCTCCACCCACATTTTCAAAGGCATTGGCGGCGGTCAGTCACCGTCCCCCACAACCCCCGGGTGTCTCTTCCCCGCCGGCCCGCGCCGGCGCTCCTCCTTGGCAGCAGTGCTTGGCTCCTTTTTGGCCCGAGGGGCTGTCTGTAGGTGTATTGTATTGCACGCCCTCGGTGCAGGTTCGGTCGGCGAGATGGGAGCCAAACTTTTGAGTTGCGTCCAAACGACCGAAAGGTCGCCGTCCCGCGTCCCGACAACCGGACCGTTTGGATCCGATCGATGGCCGACGACGGGGGGTGCGCTGTGCCCAACGGAGGTTGACGTCGTAGGTGCCATTCACCGGCGGCACTGGCGGCGGCGGCAGTTTCGGCAGTCTTTGGTGTGTGTTGGCCGTTGGGCGGCCGGCGCCGCTCTGTTGCTGCCGGATGCTGGCTGGCAAACTCTGGCCTGTGGACGATAACAATGGGCGACAGCCAACCGCACAGAGTGTCCGCACCACGCGCGGCGCTTTGCAGCGGAACCTAGGCAGATAGGCAGAATCAATAACAGCAAGATACCCACGTCGCGCTCGGTCCCACTGTGCGTCGGCACGTATGCGGGCCCCGTACACCGTTGCTGGGTGCATACGGTGCATATGCGATTGAGATTGTGTGCGCGTAGCATATACGTCGCTGCGGGCGCGCGCGTGCGGTGATCGGCGTGCGGTCGCGATTTCCGTTCGGCGGCACTACGGCGCGAGTTCGGGGGAACAAGGTGGTCAACGTGATTAGGTTATCGATTAGAAACGTATTGGAACATGCCAGAAACGATGTTTCCTCCGCCCTGTGCTCACCGTACCCCCGTACTCACGCTACAGAACAATACACACAGATGCATCTTTGCGGCCCGTTTCTACCTGTGGTAGGCTGCCCAACGAGCCGAGACTTGCTGTTAATCTCACCACAAGCCGGTCCGAACTGCTCGCACCAAGTGCGGGCACCGGCACTCGCACTTTGTTGCTGTTCCTTTTTGCGGCGATGTCGGACGTTGCGGGTGGAAGCGAAGCAAAACAGAAGCGCAGCGAAGGCCGAACGGTACTATCTCCGTCCTCTCGTAGAAGATATCACATGCGCATGGAAGTAGGTTGGGCGGTAGGCCCGTAGGCCTCAACACAGGGGGGTATGTGCCACGCTGCCACAAACCGCCGATCGTGCAGATCCTTTCGGTGGCAGTCGCGTCTCAATGCCTCTGTCTGTTGCGCCGCCACATACACACACGTCGGGGTGCCACACGCCAAACGGATTGACTGACGCATGACAGCATATATTATTCAAACAAATGCACAAAAAATGCCACACATTATTTGCTTTTGAAATTATTAAAAACTGTATGTGTGCGTTGAACACTCTGCAGTCGCCGGGTGATCGCGGCAGAGCGGCAAAGCCTCGCACTGGGAAACAGCTTTGGCTCAGTTGTAATGGAGGTACAGGCTAAACGTTTATTCTTGTTCGTACGGGGGCCGAGGTATGTCCGTTCCATAACCCGGCAGAGAGCCGAGTGCCGCCGGTGTGGGTGTTCGGTGGGTTCCGAGTGATCGACGAGAACGTCTGCGCGCGCGCTTGCTACATCTTCCTCGGTGCTTTGGTGCTGTATCGGGCCGCGATGTTCCGTGTTTAGCAGCTGCTTGCCGCGCTGTGTTGGTCCTTTTTGGCGACTTTTATTCCGCTGTCAAGCGAGTGTCCCAGAGGCCCTTTGATCGGTTGGGAGGTCACCCCACCCCGATCTCGCGTACGTCGGATGACTGTTTTGTCTCACACAGAGGACACGCGCTTGCCGCCTGTGTTCCAGTAAACATCCGAGCGCCAAGACGTGTGGGTGGTTACGACGTCACGGCGATCATCCGAACGCCTCCTCGATCGCCGATCACGGATGGGCGGGCCGACATGCCCAGCGCTCCCCACCCACGGAAGACTCTCGCGCACTCTCGGAGTGGGACCGAACGTGTTTTGGTCCGAGGACCGGACAACAGTCGGATGTGAGGCGGAGGTACATACAGTACAGTCGCTATCGGTTGCAAAAACAGCGTGCGCATTGCCAACCAACCAGTAGCGGGGCAGCAAAACGCCGTGCTTTCCGCCATTCCGCGTTTCCGCAAACTGGCCGCGCGACGTCAAGGCCCATTATCCAGCGGGTTTCCGCCCGGCCCGATGACGCACCGAGGTATACCCGGTTCTCTTCAAACGCTCTGCCAAACCCGCGCCGGGCCATGCGCTTGGAAGCGGGCTTAGGCGTCTTGTGCCGCCCACAGCCGCTGCCCTCGACGGCGCGGCCGCTGTGGCCCATCCATCCATCGCGGCGCCTCCGCCGGCCCGCCATATCGCCCGCTGACAGTGGACCGCAACTTGCCCGCTGCCAACTGGCAACTGGCGGCTGGCGGCTGGCAACTGGCCACATGCCCACATGCATAACACTCTGCCGCTCCATGTCCCGCTGCGGCCCCACACGGCCCCACGCATGGCGCGGATGAAAGTCTGTCCTTGGCGCTGTGGTCGAGAGCGCTGAGCGAGAATAGCCGTGTGGCAATCCGACTGTGGCGTGGCGTGCCCACGCGGTCCACTGGCCACTGGCGGGCTGGTGGCCTGGTTGGGGTGGGCTTTCGGCGATCCATGC